CACCTCCACGGCTGCCGCCACCTTCCCCACCAGCACCGCTTCCCTCACCTCCCCCACCATCCATGCCATACCCCGAACCAGCTTCCCAACCGCCTCCCGAAAATGCGCCGCCCTCGCCGGATCCACCCTCACCCCCACCGCCTCCCACTGAACCACCCTCACCAGCTCCAACCTCGCCTGCCCCCTCACCCCCACCGCCTCAGCCTCTTCCACCCTCACCAATGCCACCCTCACCCCCACGGGCCCCACCATCTCCAAGGCCCCCTAAGCCGCCTCCTAGACCTGCTATACCACCGCCTTCTCCGGTCCCACCGTTCCCACCACCGCCATCGCCCGTGCCACCTTTTCCTCCGCCCGGCCCGCCGGCGCCTCCTCCCCCAGATCCACCGGAGCCATCCCCTCGGCCTCCCAGGAGGCCGCCTTGGCCCCCAGCGCCCCCATATCCACCTTCTCCGTCGCCTCCGCCAGATCCCCCGCCACCCCCGCCAAGACCTCCACCTCCGAGTCCGCCACCACCGCCACCTTCGCCGGTCCCTCCTTTCCCGCCCCCGCCATCCCCAGTGCCGCCTTTCCCTCCGCCCGTACCACCCTCGCCGACTCCTCCTCCTCCCCCACCCCCACCGCCCCCACCGTCCCCACCGGACATTCCGCCCCCGGACCCGCCTTCCCCGGAGCCTCCCAAGAAGCCGCCACCTAGCCCTAGGCCACCCAAGCCACCCAAGCCACCTCCACGGCTGCCGCCACCTTCCCCACCAGCACCGCTTCCCTCACCTCCCCCACCATCCATGCCATACCCCGAACCAGCACCCCGACCGCCTCCCGACAATGCGCCGCCCTCGCCTCCACCCTCACCCCCACCGCCTCCGCCCGAACCACCCTCACCAGCTCCAACCTCGCCTCCCCCCTCACCCCCACCGCCTCAGCCTCTTCCACCCTCACCAAAGCCACCCTCACCCCCACGGGCCCCACCATCTCCAAGGCCCCCTAAGCCGCCTCCTAGACCTGCTATACCACCGCCTTCTCCGGTCCCACCGTTCCCACCACCGCCATCGCCCGTGCCACCTTTTCCTCCGCCCGGCCCACCGGCGCCTCCTCCCCCAGATCCACCGGAGCCATCCCCTCGGCCTCCCAGGAGGCCGCTTTGGCCCCCAGCGTTCCCATATCCACCTTCTCCATCGCCTCCGCCAGATCCCCCGTCACCCCCGCCAAGACCTCCACCTCCGAGTCCGCCACCACCGCCACCTTCGCCGGTCCCTCCTTTCCCGCCCCCGCCATCCCCAGTGCCGCCTTTCCCTCCGCCCGTACCACCCTCGCCGACTCCTCCTCCGCCCCCACCCCCACCGCCCCCACCGTCCCCACCGGACATTCCGCCCCCGGACCCGCCTTCCCCGGAGCCTCCCAAGAAGCCGCCACCTAGCCCTAGGCCACCCAAGCCACCCAAGCCACCTCCACGACTGCCGCCACCTTCCCCACCAGCACCGCTTTCCTCACCTCCCCCACCATCCATGCCATACCTCGAACCAGCTTCCCAACCCCCTCCCGAAAATGCGCCGCCCTCGCCGGATCTACCCTCACCCCCACCGCCTCCCATTGAACCACCCTCACCAGCTCCAACCTCGCCTCCCCCCTCACCCCCACCGCCTCAGCCTCTTCCACCCTCACCAATGCCACCCTCACCCCCACGGGCCCCACCATCTCCAAGGCCCCCTAAGCCGCCTCCTAGACCTGCTATACCACCGCCTTCTCCGGTCCCACCGTTCCCACCACCGCCATCGCCCGTGCCACCTTTTCCCCCGCCCGGCCCACCGGCGCCTCCTCCCCCAGATCCACCGGAGCCATCCCCTCGGCCTCCCAGGAGGCCGCCTTGGCCCCCAGCGCCCCCATATCCACCTTCTCCATCGCCTCCGCCAGATCCCCCGCCACCCCCGCCAAGACCTCCACCTCCGAGTCCGCCACCACCGCCACCTTCGCCGGTCCCTCCTTTCCCGCCCCCGCCATCCCCAGTGCCGCCTTTCCCTCCGCCCGTACCACCCTCGCCGACTCCTCCTCCTCCCCCACCCCCACCGCCCCCACCGTCCCCACCGGACATTCCGCCCCCGGACCCGCCTTCCCCGGAGCCTCCCAAGAAGCCGCCACCTAGCCCTAGGCCACCCAAGCCACCCAAGCCACCTCCACGGCTGCCGCCACCTTCCCCACCAGCACCGCTTTCCTCACCTCCCCCACCATCCATGCCATACCCCGAACCAGCTTCCCAACCCCCTCCCGAAAATGCGCCGCCCTCGCCGGATCTACCCTCACCCCCACCGCCTCCCATTGAACCAACCTCACCAGCTCCAACCTCGCCTCCCCCCTCACCCCCACCGCCTCAGCCTCTTCCACCCTCACCAATGCCACCCTCACCCCCACGGGCCCCACCATCTCCAAGGCCCCCTAAGCCGCCTCCTAGACCTGCTATACCACCGCCTTCTCCGGTCCCACCGTTCCCACCACCGCCATCGCCCGTGCCACCTTTTCCCCCGCCCGGCCCACCGGCGCCTCCTCCCCCAGATCCACCGGAGCCATCCCCTCGGCCTCCCAGGAGGCCGCCTTGGCCCCCAGCGCCCCCATATCCACCTTCTCCATCGCCTCCGCCAGATCCCCCGCCACCCCCGCCAAGACCTCCACCTCCGAGTCCGCCACCACCGCCACCTTCGCCGGTCCCTCCTTTCCCGCCCCCGCCATCCCCAGTGCCGCCTTTCCCTCCGCCCGTACCACCCTCGCCGACTCCTCCTCCTCCCCCACCCCCACCGCCCCCACCGTCCCCACCGGACATTCCGCCCCCGGACCCGCCTTCCCCAGAGCCTCCCAAGAAGCCGCCACCTAGCCCTAGGCCACCCAAGCCACCCAAGCCACCTCCACGGCTGCCGCCACCTTCCCCACCAGCACCGCTTTCCTCACCTCCCCCACCATCCATGCCATACCCCGAACCAGCTTCCCAACCCCCTCCCGAAAATGCGCCGCCCTCGCCGGATCTACCCTCACCCCCACCGCCTCCCATTGAACCACCCTCACCAGCTCCAACCTCGCCTCCCCCCTCACCCCCACCGCCTCAGCCTCTTCCACCCTCACCAATGCCACCCTCACCCCCACGGGCCCCACCATCTCCAAGGCCCCCTAAGCCGCCTCCTAGACCTGCTATACCACCGCCTTCTCCGGTCCCACCGTTCCCACCACCGCCATCGCCCGTGCCACCTTTTCCCCCGCCCGGCCCACCGGCGCCTCCTCCCCCAGATCCACCGGAGCCATCCCCTCCGCCTCCCAGGAGGCCGCCTTGGCCCCCAGCGCCCCCATATCCACCTTCTCCATCGCCTCCGCCAGATCCCCCGCCACCCCCGCCAAGACCTCCACCTCCGAGTCCGCCACCACCGCCACCTTCGCCGGTCCCTCCTTTCCCGCCCCCGCCATCCCCAGTGCCGCCTTTCCCTCCGCCCGTACCACCCTCGCCGACTCCTCCTCCTCCCCCCCCCCCACCGCCCCCACCGTCCCCACCGGACATTCCGCCCCCGGACCCGCCTTCCCCAGAGCCTCCCAAGAAGCCGCCACCTAGCCCTAGGCCACCCAAGCCACCCAAGCCACCTCCACGGCTGCCGCCACCTTCCCCACCAGCACCGCTACTTAAGCCACCCTCACCTGAACCATCCCCGGATCCACCTTCTCCTGAGCCACCTTCTCCCGATCCATCATCCCCGGATCCACCTTCTCCTGAGCCATCTTCTCCTGATCCACCATCCCCAGAGCCACCCAAAAAGCCGCCACCCTCCCCTCGGCCCCCTAAGCCGCCTAGGCCTTCTCAACCACCACCAGCGCTTCCTCCGTCTTCACCTGTACCTGCGATGCCCCCACCAGCTATACCTCAAACACCATCACCTCCTCCACCTTCCCCAACGCCCCCAAGCCCCCCACCTCCCTCACCGGTGCCACCCTCCCCGCCACCCCCCTCGCCAATGCCCCCAAGCCCGCCACCTCCCTCACCGGTTCCACCCTCTCCGCCACCCCCCTCACCAATGCCCTCAAGCCCCCCACCTCCCTCACCGGTTCCACCCTCTCCGCCACCCCCCTCACCATTGCCACCTAGACCTCCTCCACCGGCAAAACGGCTACCACCGCCTCCACCACCGCCGCCTCAACCACCCGCAGTGCCACCTCCTCCGCCTGTTCCAATTCCTGAACCACCTTCTCCTGAGCCCCCCTCACCCATCCCACCTTCTCCCAGACCACCACGCCCGCCACCACCTTCACCAAAGCCACCCAAGCCGCTACCCCCCTCACCCAGACCACCGCCGCCCATGCCTCCCATTCCAGCTGATTGCGCTCGCTTGGCCCAGGCCGCACTCGTCGCCGTACCGCAGGTGAGATTGACATTAGTTTTGGCACAAGCTCGGCGTGCTCTGTTGCACGATCACTCTAGTTACCACACGGCAAAAGGCTTGGGCAGAGCCTGACGTCGCTTACGGTGCACGTGGTAGCACGTAATAAGAGCAGCCGGCGTCGCCCGGCGATGTGTTATTAAACCCGATAACCTCCTGTGTTGCACGGGACTTCAATTACACATGACAAGGTCCCGTGGACCCTTTGCTGCTTTCCTGTGTGAATGACTGTTGCATGTGTATGTGCATGTCATACGGGAACCCCGGTGCATTCCATACCTTGCTGCGATTCCTTGCCTTGTGGTTTGAGACCACAGTAGTAACAGCCACAACACAACCTTCGCGCGCAGACTGTGAACGGCTCCTTTGTGGTGGCTGCGGGAGTGACAACCAGTAGCACCGCAAACGGGACATCATCGTCGCTTCTTCCCTCTTTCTGCGACATCTGTGGTTGCACAATACAAACCTACAGCGCCGTCAGCAGCAGTGGCAGCGGAACACTGTACAGCACGACAACAAGCTCTGGGACCATTAGCGTTAAGACCGTTACGATGCCCAGTAGCGGAGCCGGCACGACCGCCCAAGCAGCCTTCGGTCAAAATGCCGCGACCGCAGCTGAATGGCTGCTGGACGCTGCTGATGGAACGTACGTCATCCAACTTGACATCGGTGGCATGTCGTTCAACCGCACGGTGGTGGTTGACCGCAAAGCGCCAACGGTCAACGGCAGCATCTCGGTCAGCTCGTACCATGTCCGACAGGTCGGTTGCCTCGCCATGGAGCCGCTCCCTGAATGAATGACCGTTACACACTCTGGGGAATACAATGGTTTCCTGAAAGGGAACACGGGTGGTGACACCCGCTCCCTGCCAAGTTGCCCGGTGTGTGTGTGTGTGTGTGTGTGTGTGGCATGTCTGCTGACAATCCGTCTTGCCGTGTACGAATTTTGTGCCGCCGTAAGCTGCCACTGCGGAGGTCTGATACCGGTATTGGTGTGGGCGGGACACGCACTTGGCGCGCCAATCTCCAGCCGATGCCTGACAAGTAGTTTCTGTGCCCGTTTCCATCCCCCGCAACTGCGGTTCACAGGAGCCGGCTGCCTTAACTGAGGCATCGCTGAACAACGTCGCTGGCAAGCGTGCATTCATCCTGCATTACAACTTCAGCGAGCCGGTTGTGGGCTTCAACCCGGTCTCCGACATCATCGCCACCAACGCAGTTATTGTGGATTGGGAAGCCTCCGCTGACAACACCTCATTCTGGGTGCTGGCATTGTCGGAACCTTACGCCACGGTGTTAGGCGCGCCAAGCAATGCTCCGCTGACTGTAGAATTTTACCTGCCGAGAACCAACTACTCTGATGAGGCAAACAACCCGGGAAGCAAGGATCTCAGGTTAACCGCGGCCTTAAAGGAGCCTGAAGACCTGCTGCCTGAAGCGGTGACGTCCGGACTTGATACCGCCACACGTGCAGTGGCTATAGCATACCCGGCCGCCATTATTGCCGAGAACCTGGCGACAGCAGCTTCGAGTGAGCGCTAAAAATAAATAGCTTTGGTCTTGCCATGAAAACACGTTATGAGCGATTTGTACTGTAAATTAGTTGTTAGCGAACTATTTTCTCAATATATTTCTCGGGGGTAATCAACGCTTACCGCACCAAACAGGCCAGTTCGCCAACATCGGCTGCTTATTATAGGCGAGGGACCAAACCTGGCAATGGTGTCTACATGTACTGCAAGTCTTAAACCCTAACCAGTCAATCATCCCATGATCACATTTTTTGCACGCAGGTTCGTTTGCACAGGTGCTGAGAGCCAAAGGCAGCCTGTTGCAGGGCAGCTATCACATGCAGTTGCTGACGATGACGATGTACCTGGCTAGTCCCGGAGTGGGTCGGGAGTACACCAAGTATGCCGTCCAGTTCAAGTACTCGGTCCTCGGCATCAAGGGCAACATGGGGCCTGTGGATTCGCACTTCACGTCGAGCAAGCGCACAATGACCACAAGTAGGTACCCTCTGGGCGTGGCTGTGTGACCCGTGGGTCACTGCTTTGGATGCCCTGTGTGGAAAGGATGGGGCGGAATTTTCCGCAGCTATGCTGATGATGGTGAGGGCTCCTGAATGCATCAAGAAAGGTCTCGAGCTCTCGAGCTTAAATGGTTTGAGGTTGGTATGCGGCTCTGGTCCTCTTCCAAGTTCCAACCTGCTCCCCTGATCACGGCAAAACCGTTCGTCATGAAAGGCGACCATAAGCCGTGACACACCTAAGATGAGATTCCCACTCGCAGTTAAGAGCACGCCCCTCCAGTAACGTTCTCCCCTCCGCTCCCCTCGTGCTTACAACCTCATAGGTGAGCAAGCCAGGTTGGCAGCCGGTAGCAGCTGGCCGGTGAACGTGACGGCCGCTAACGTTAGTGCCGCTGCCCCCAGCAGCGCAACCGCCGTCACCGCTTCCACCGACAGCAGCAGCAGCGGTCAGCCACCTGCCTCACGCGCCCCGCCACCGTCTCCCATCCCTGCTGCTCCGCCAGCAGTCCAGACTGCGACGGATTACAGTGACGGCGAAGTTGGAAGCCCACCACCACCTCCCCCTCCTCCTCCTGGCCCGCACCCACCACCGCAGAAGCAGAACTCCTCTGCTGCACTGAGCGGCTCGATGCCACCCAAGGCGGTAACTGCCGGCACTCGTCGCTCCGTGCAACAACAACAGCAGGAGACATCGCCAAGCCCCAGCAGCGACGTTCCACCATCTGCCTCGCCACCATCGCCAGCGCAGCAGTACATTGTCTCAGACATCCAGGACCTCTTCTACTGCCTGGTCGTTTCAGTGATTGTAATTATCATGGTTGCCGTACTGCGGCTCCTAGCGGCGGCGCTGTACCGCTGCATGGCCTCCTCCGAGCCGCCTCCCTTCCTCGCCTTCCCTCGTATTGAAACCACCACCGCGGGCCTCTTGCTTGTGGCGTTGACCTTCTACTCGTGCCTGGCGTTGGGAGGACCCGAGGCGGACTGGCAGAAGTCAAGTACAGCGGCGTACTTTGTGCTGCTACTGCTTGTAACACCGTACGGCATCTTCCTGTGGTGGCTGGCACTCGCACGAGCGTGGATGGTCCCACAGTTTGCGTTTGTGGTGAGTGCGCGGTCATTCACCTGTTTATGTTGGCACATCTGTACGTGTGTTGACGGTGTACAGAGATTTGAAATCCATGCAATTACTGCTTGTCATACATGAACTATGTCCGCACCTGGGTTGGAGGTGCAGTTGCCAGCACCGGTATGTTCGCAGCAGCGTCAGTACTTGGCCCTAGTGAATGAAACGACTGCACGGTGCGGGGTTTGATGCGGAACACGCCCTGCAGTTCCGGAACACATCCATGGGGGTTACTTCTGTTCCTCCATCAGACCATCATCCCCTATGCGTTAACTCCTTGCACGCCCAATGCTTGACTTTCTGACGTCCTCCTCAGGAGCGGCTGCACACGAACGCGTATGCATCGACGCGACCGTCCTCCATTGGGCCAGACAGCACTTACGCACGGGCAGCCAACCAGCTGCGGGAGGGTGTTGATGAAGATGGGGACGAGCAGGAGCAGGAGCAGTCATCCAAACGCCATGCGCAGGGTCGCAGCGACATGGGCGGTGTGACGAACATTACCGCCACCTCCATCTCCGCTGCCGGTGCGCCTTACGCTGCTGGCTCCAATGCTGTCCGTGGCAACGGTGGCAGCGGCGGCGGCGCCGCCTACGTCTCGGGCTCTGGAGCTGTTGATGGTAACGGCTGCTCTGCTGGGCACGCCGCGGGGTCGAATGCGATAAGTGGCAGCGGCGGTAATGCTTCAGGTACTTCTTACGCAGCAGGGTCGGGTATTACCGGTGGTAACAGCGACTCCGGTTTTATGGTCGGCGCTAATCCTACCCGAGGCAACGGCAACTCTGGTTTCACTGTCGGCTCCAACGCCGCCCGTGTCAACGGCAGCGCTGCGGCTGGGGGCTCCCACGCTGTCGGCTCCGGCGCAGTTACCGGTGGCAACGGCAATTCCGGTTTCGCAGTGGGCTCTGGTGCCATCACCGGCGGCGGCAACTACGCGGACGGTGGTTCTTACGCTGTGGGCGCGGGCGTGGTTCAAGGCAGCGGCGGCGGTGGCGTGAAGGAGGACCTCTATGCACGAGGACCCCACTGGAGTGAGTTTGTGGGCGTCGCGCCGCGGCCTACATCACGTCCTCAGATGGCCTGTCGAGAGCACCACCATGACCCCAACGTCAACGCAGACAACGGCGGCGGCTTTTCCGTAAGCCCGGAAGCCGTGGACCTCCATGCATATGGGCCCCACTGGCGCAAGTGGTCAGAGGCCGACATGGCAGCTGTGGATCCCGCCACGGGCGCCACCATGGCGGCGATGGCGGCCGCGGCAGCGGCGGCGGCGGCGGCCGCAGAGGAGCAGCCCATTGCTTACGGAGGCATCTGGGCGACGGCGCCAGAAGGACCCTATCGCCGTCACCAAGGGGCTCCAGGCGAGCAGCTGCGCATGACGTCCCTTGCGGATACCACAGAGGAGGGTATTGCCTTAGTGGCAGCCGCAGGTGCTACCGGCGAGCGGAGCCGCCTGGTTGCTGAAGCCGCCGCGGCCGCGGCTGCAGCCGCTGTCAGCCAACGCGATCGTGATCGTGAGTCCTACCAGCACGCGCAGCGCCCGTACCCGCAGCAGCAGCAGCCGCAGCCTGCCGTACGATCTTACCCCCCAACCACGAGCTCGGGGGCGCTCGCTGCAAACAGCGGCAAGATCGCGGTGGTGAACGTTCCGGGCACAGCTGACCGCCAGAGTATCAGCGTCCTGCCGGAGGACATGCCCACGATCGACCTCCCGCCCTTCCAGCGAGAGCAGATTGTAGCTGCTGGTGCCGGCACCCACGTGAGGGGTGTCCCCGTGGCTGCATTGGCAATGGTGGCATCGTCAATCGGTGCTAGTGGCGCTGCTCGCGCCGTCGAAAGCAGCGGAAAACACGCACGTAAGGTCGCATCCGAAGATGGAGCTGGTTTCCAGATGCAATCCATCGTAAACGCCTCCACCTCCCCTGCAGGCAGCCCATCTCGTTTCGGTGGGGGCGGCCGCGGTGCAGCCGGTGGCTCGCCCCACTTAGCCGCAAGCTATTCGCAGCTCACCGGCACTAGCTTCGACTCGCCGAATCGCGGCCGCGCCAGGGGTCGGCCCTATTCGGCTGAGCCTGATGGCTTGGCGCCCCAAGCTCCCCTGTCGCCGCACATGTACACGGGCGTGCCAGGCTTGCTGCTGCCAACGCCGCCGCAGCCAGCAGGAGCCGCTGTGGCGCCGCTGTCTCCCAGCCGCGCGGGTTTGGCGGGGCTGCAACGGGCGAACACAAGCACCGGCGGGCGACGCGACATCCTGCCTGGAGGCGCCGACATGGGAACTGTGAGCGCATCGTCGGAGCGCGTGAAGAGGACGCTCACAGAGGGTGGAGTCATAAAGGGGGGCAACAACGCCGCCCCACCCTCTTCCCCGATTCACCACCATCTAAAAGGTACTTCGGCCAAGGCTCAATCCAGTCCACGCATGCAAGGCCGCGGTGGCTGGTTCGGCCCCGCCCGGGGCGGAGGCCCAGTCGCCGAGGCGCATGAGGATGGAACCGGAGCCCCCAGCGACCCACGGGCCGCTGGCCCTCACCGCGGCCGGATTATGCTGGCGCCGACATCGATGGAGCTGCCTGATCTGGACACGGCTGGCATGTACCGCGACCGTGATGACATCCGTGGGTCGCTGGCCAGCGGCCAGACTGTGGTGGTTAGCTCCAACCGAAAGCGTACGAGCATCCTGACGGGCTACCGGCGCAGCAATGCTTGCTGCGCGCCGTGGATGTTGCCATCTGAGAGCTTGATGGCCCGCTTCGAGTTCCTCTTTGAGGACATGCTAGGGGTGAGAGGCTGGGGCTGCGGCCTGGGTGGGGTTAGAGACGCCGCATCCCATTTGCTTGCCTGGGATTACCAGCAGAAACCTAGCCATCAGTGCAGCGCATGTGACATAGCCTGCAGGGGTAGCAGGGTTGGATGGCCGGAATTTCCTTGCAGATCCCTGCAGTTAGGAATCGGACTATCTGCTGGCTACTGCCAAGGTTGCAAGGAGTAATTCCAGCTGCTGCAGTGCTCTGACTTATGTGTCTTTGTTCCTATGCACACATTGCTACACATGCATGTATGTTCCACAGGTTGAGCCCGAGGAGCGGTTGAGACGCGCGAACCGGCCGTGGCGGCTGATTGCCACCGCCCTCAACTTCACCCACAAGGCCGGCTGCGCTGCGCTGCTGGGGTACTACGGGCTGCAAGACAAGAGCTACCCGCAGATGGTCGTCCTCATCGCCATTCAGGTACGGCAGCGGCCATCCTGGGGCGGGGCACCCGGGTAGAATCGCTAATGCTAAGGATAAGGGAAACGTTAGCTTGCGATAAGGATGGCGTAAGCTGGCATCTCGGATTCAGAGCCGCAGCGACCCCCATTCGGAGGAAACCACCGCCACCCCCATCACGCATGAACCCCATTCGCCGCCCCCCCTCCTGCAGGCGGTGATGCTGGTGTATCTGGCCACCTTCACTCCGTACGCGGAGTGGCAGCTGCAAGCCATGGAGCTGGTCAGCCACACTGCGGAGATGGGCATCTTCGTTGCAGCCCTGGCGGTGTCAACCCAGCAGTACTCCCGCCCGGCGACAATCGCCATGATAGGTGGGTGCGTGGGTTACTAGGTAGCTACCTAGTCAGGCTCACCGCAAACTCACACCGATCTGGGGCGGGTGCGGTGACGGCGTGCGCTCTAGGTAGTTGTAGCGCATGTACGCGTAGGGAGAGCCTGCGTGTAAGACAGAGGAGCAGGACGTCATGTTTGTCTGCAGCGGTACTTCATCTCCTCGCCTTCACTTCCACCTCGTGTCATGCCCCCACCTATTCGGTACGCATCCCGATCACTCCCCTAACCAGCTCCTTCCTTTTCGCCCCCCACTGCCCCGCACCGCCCACAGTGTGCTTCTTCATAACGTTACTGAGCATCATGCTGCATGAGGCGCACCGCATCTATCTCGTTGTTAAGGAGGGCCTGAGCATGCTGAAGGACAAGCTGAGCTGCTGCCGACAGCCCAGCACCGCGTCCAACCGCAAGACCGTGTCCAACTATGCGTAACCAAGGGAGCAGCGGGGCTGGCAAGGCGGGCGGCGGTGACCTCGCTTCAATGCCTGTACACTGCCGCTCAGCCTCACAGCAGGATATTTTGCTGTGTTTTACAAACTCGATTAGGATGCTGGCCGCAATATGTAAGTTAGGATGCTGGCCGCAGTATGTTCAGGTTGCGTTTGTATGCGCTGTAATGTGCGTGTAGTGTGCTTTGCGTTGCGTTGCTTAATAGCCGCCGAAAGGTGGGAGGAAGTCCTAGCCCTCGTAGTTGCCGTACGCACGTTTGTTGTGTTTTGTCTGCCATACACTGTCCATCGGGAAACAGGAGTGGCTGCTCTTTTTGTGCGGACATGTCCTTCCTTGGATTTATGCACACATCGCTTCACCAATCGTGATGCGTTCGTATGTGGGTCTGGTCAAGAGTTGGCAGTTAGAAGAGGCCTTGCTTCCATTGAGAACCATGCGTTGAGCCGTGGAATGAACCAGGTTGCAATGGCGATGTGTTGGCCCGCGTTGAAAGTTTCGGCATTTAGGCTTGAGGGATGAGCGGTGAATGAATAATGTGTAGCGAATGGGTACATGCCAACTGGTGTTACCCGTGAATACCGTTACTATCAAACGTGCATAGTAGCATGAACTCTTAACGTAGCAACATCAAAGCTGCAGGGTTTCATCCTGTGTGTGGGTGTGGCATCCGGCCAATGGTAACGATTTGAACCTGCTGCAGTAAGATGTGCCGTGAATATGCCGATAGTGAAGGCAAGGCACGGAAGGAAGCTTGCCTTCTTTAGCTTGCCTCGTGAAGAACTTTACTCGCCGGACTTCTTCTCGAGTCTGTGACCCGCGGGTCGTTATTTTAGCAACGCTTGTGTCCAAGCGTGCAAGCGTCCATCGAGAACCCGAAGGCGTGTCTTGCCGGCCTCATGCAGAACACCGCCCCATGCAAGCCGTACAGAAATCACACGAGATACCCCTGCCTTTCAGCCGCCCATACTTTGGAGCACTGCACACGTCAACCTCCCATGATGCCGAGCCGCTAGCAGCTAGAACGTCTCCGAAGGCAGGGTTGCCGGGGGCGCCGGCTGCCCAACAACGCTCACGCCCTCGGGCAGTACATGGATTCGTACGGACGGCCCTAGGGAGGGTTAAGGGGAGGGGGGGAACAGGGACCCCGAGCTGCTCTTTATCAACAAATGGTTCAGGAGTGCAAGCAAGGGGCATGAAAAGGGCCGCACGCAGCCGCAAAGGGCGCCTGGTAGGTGCTGCTAGTAGGTCTGCCCGTGACAAGGCAAGGACAACTGCTCAATAGCGTTAACAACCCACAGCGTGGAATGCCCCATGGGGGTGTGTAAGGTAACCTGCCGTCCAACCGCTACGTACCGGCATACTGGATGATTCGGCCACCCTCTTCGTCCCTCAGCTCCCATACGTGAGTCGAGTACGTATCTGTGGGAACGCCGTGAAAGAGGAAGTGCACTTGCATAGCAACAGGGCTCCCGTGGAAGGGCGCCGGTGGTTATCCGAGTGGGGGCCAGAGCAGGACCACATTCCGGCATAGCCGTACCTTGCTGCGTGTCCTGTCCGTTTTCAAGCACGTTGTACACCTGTTCCGTGCCATCATATGACAGCCATACAAGCTTCAAGCATTCCGGCGAAAACGAAAGAGTCAGGCCTGTTTCCGCTAAATAGGCAGCATGATGGCACAACGTCTCCTACTTTGCTAGATTGTATATAATTACCTGAACAGACTTTCCACTGCGATTTGCGACCACAAGCTTTGAAGGCCCAGTCGAAGCGTCAGTCCAACTACAAGCTGGTAGCGACAACTCGGCCTGCGCTGGTTCGCCCATTTCGTGCTATGATGTTTGTTTTGTCCAACAGCGATGTGAGTGAAGCGACTTCAGTAGCTTGCACGGTTCAGTCGGGTACGGCATTACTAACACAGCATTCTGATCTGTTATAAGGTTATGTGGTAGTGAGTAATGGCTCAGCACAATACTCTGGAAACGTAACGCGACACTTTACAGCAATTGGCCACCTATTCGATAGATCTTGTGCGAGCAATGTGCACGTTAGGATCCTACTGGTGACTATTGCCATCGTTGAAGCATGTGAGCTTGCCCTGCCATAAAGTATCATTTTGAGTGTCAACTAAAAATGGGGTTTTGGAGCGCATGTACGACAGGGAGCAGAGCAGTCGCCACCAGGCTTGCGAGTGGACGGTGCTAGACGTTTTGACCTTGGTTAAACAGTTTGCCCTCAGCTGGCCTTTTAGGTCTTTGCCGCTGAGTTTCCGTGCGCAGTTAGGAAGGCGCTGACTTTTGCGTAGTTGCAGACAGTTCTTAAGTATGGCTGCAGCTGTAGGTAGGCGAGCCTTTTGTTTTGATGGCACCACGCCGCCAACCTCGCACCACTTGCGCAACTACCCATCCGTGCGCGAACACAGCGAATGGTACGCCAGCCACATTGACGAGTTACTGCGCCAGGGCCTGGTGGAGGCGTACGACAGCAAGCAGCATGGCCCCCTGCGCAACTTTGCAGCCACTATCAACCCACTGCATGTTGTCAGCAAGGCGGATGGCAACCTGCGCCCGATCATCGACCCTACCGCTTCGGGGGTGAACGACTGCATGACCAAGCTCCCCTGCCCGCTGCCCGACCTCGCCTCAATTCTGGAGCATTTGCCGTTCCAAGGGGCGCTAGGCAAACGGGACCTCGCATCTGGTTTCCACCACATCAAGTGCAGCCCGGAAGCACGCCGGTACATGGCCTTTAGGCATCCCACCACGGAGGCAGTCCTGCGTTGGGTGGTGCTGCCCTTCGGCGCCAGCCAATCGCCCCCAATCTTTGTGGAGTTAACCAACGCCGCGTGTGCCATCTTCCAAGCGGAGTGCGACCGGCGGGGGCTACGGGTCAAGCTCTTCTGCTTCGTCGACGACTACATCATCCTAGGGGTGACCCATGCAGACGTCGTTGGCGCCTTCGCGGTCATGGACGAAATAGGTGGCGAGCTGGGGCTGGAGTGGAAGACCAGCAAGGACCGCGGACGAAACGAGCACCTGCGGCAGCTCGACTTCCTGGGTATGCTGTTCGACACCGAGAAGATGGAGATGCGCATCTCGCCGGACAAGCGGCAGCGCTACGCGGCGGACGTGCGCGCCCTCCTGGACGCGGCAGCTACCGGACCAGTGCAGCGGCACCTCCTGGAGTCCACCGTCGGCCGCTTAACGTTCATAGCCCGGGCATGCCGCTGGGGTTTCACGTTCATGCAGGGCCTCTACGACAGCCTCTTCTGCCCCACCCGCCCGCCGGCCACTGTCGGCCTGGCGGCGGACGCAGTAGAAGACCTGGCTTTCTGGTGGCAGGTGCTACGGGCGGATTCCTCTGTCTGGGACGGGGTAAAGCGCTCAGCGGGCATCGGTTTGGACCTAGTGAGGGGGGAGTTTATCGGCCAGGATGGGGCCGTCCTCTTCACGGACGCTAGTGGGCGTGGGTTTGGCGCAGTCTGGGGGGAGGCGGAGGTGCAAGGGGCATGGTCAGAGGAGGAGCGTCAGCTGCACATCTCGTGGCTGGAGCTCAAGGCGGTCCTCAGAGCGCTGCAGTCATGGGCCGCCAGCCTTGCCGGGCGCCGGGTGCTGGTGCGTTGTGACAACACCCAAGCCGTAGCAGCCATCAACCACGGCTCCACCCGCATCCCAGAAGGCCGCAGCCTTAGCCGCCAAATTGCAGAGCTTGCGATTAGCTCAGGGTTCGAGGTCCGGGCTGAGCACATTCCCGGCGTGGACAACGGCCAGGCCGACCGCCTCAGCCGCCGCCTTGACAGCGCCCAGGATCAGAACCTGCGGCTGAAGGCCAGCATCTTCAGGGAGCTATGCCGCAAGTTCTCTCTCCGGCCCACCGTCGACTGCTGCTGCGACGCCCATGGCTCCAACCGGCAGCCCGGCTGTGAGGTGTTCTACAGCGCGGGGCGGTCGGTGCTTGGCCAGGAGGCCGAGCTGGCGGGCAAGGCGCTGTGGGCCTTCCCACCCCAGGCCCTGGTGGGGGAGGTGCTAGCGACCCTCGTGGCAGCGGCACGGCGTGACTCGCGGACGCGGGCGGTTGTGGTGGTGCCTTTCTGGCCGGAGCGGGGGTGGTTCCGGGCCTTCGTCCGTAGCCGATCCGCACCATTCCGGGTCGCCCAGGTGCTGCCCAGGGGCGGCCGCCTCTGCGTTTGGCCCTGGGGCGACGAGGCGGGTCCTTCTCCTTACGATATGCTGGTCTTACGCCTGCCCTGACCGAATTCCGATCCGCGTTTGCGCCCCCATGGCGATTGTAGAGGGTGGCGGGAGCTGCGAGGCCTGCGTGCGGCGCACCTCCGTGGGGGACTTGCGCTGTGAGACATGCGACATACGGGCACATCGCTGGGACTGCCGCCGGGCTCGTACCCCGGCGGCTGGTTCCGCTGCATCCACTGCATCCTGGCGGCGGCGGGTTTTCCGGCAGGGGCTGCGGGCGGTCGGCAGGAGGCACTCGCGGCGAGGCTGGTGGCGCTAGCGGGAAGCGCCGTGTCGGCGGGTTCAGCAGGGACGTACGAATCCCATCGCCGCCGCTACGCGGCCTTCTGCGCTGCTCTGGGCTTACCCATGAGGGCGGCTTTCCCACCTGCGCGGGGCGCGGACCTCAGCCCCGAGCTGGTGAGCCTGTTCATCGCCCATGAGGCCGACCGTGTGGCCCCCTCAACGTTGTCAGGCACCATTAGCGCCCTTGCGGACTGGCAGCGCGCGAAGGGTTTTCCGGCGGAGGCCTCCATCCGCCGGAACCCATTGGTGCAACGCACGCTGAGGCAGGCGTGGCGTGCCCGGGCGCCGGCGGCAGCCGCCACAGCTGGCGGCGATGCAGGGGCCGAGCCGCTGCCGCAACGTACGAAGGAGGCGTTCCCGGTGCCGCTTCTGCGGCTCCTATTGGGCTGGCTGGCAGCGACGGCGGACGGGGCGCCAGCGCGCCGAGCGGAGCTCGAGCAGGATGCGTGTTGGCTGGTGGTGGGTTTCTTTGGGATGCTGCGGAGAAGTGAGCTGGCGGGGCTGCGGCTAGGTGACGTGCATTCGCTGACTGGTGGGGTTCACGTGGTGCGGATAACGAGGAGCAAGACCGATCAGGTTGGGGCAGGGGTGGATGTGCACCTGGGGGCATCGTCTGGCAGCGGAGTACGCATCGGGCGCATTATAGGGCGCCACCTAGAGCGGGCCCGCTCAGGGGGGGCGGAGCCCAGCGCGCCGCTCTTCACGCGGGGCCCCCAGTGGGGACCGGGGTCGGAGGCTTGGCGGAAGGAGGGGTTTACGCGTAGGCTTAGGGCGCTCTTAGGAGAGATGCAGCGCGCCCTGCCACAAATAGCCGGGCGGGTACCAGATTACGCGTCCCACAGCCTGAGAAGGGGGGGAGCCACGGCTGCAGCGGAAGGGGGGGCCTCTGGAGAGCAGATCAAGGCGCACGGGAGGTGGCGGTCGGAGGCGGTGAGCGCGTATATCCTCCCCTCCGCGGCGGCTAAGGCCCGCATTGTGGGGTGCATGTGAGGTGACGAGGCGTGCGGTGGGTGACAGGGTAAGGGGGGTCCTCTCTAGGCGTGCATGCATGCGGAAGCGCGCCTAGAGCCTAGTACGCCGGGGCGGGTTTTGGGGGCTAGAGCCCATCCGCGCCCGGCTGTTGGTTTTCCCCCTCTCCTGTTGTTCCCCGGAGAGGGTAGGGTGAGGTATCGGCTAGGTAGCAAACTTGGTTAGTTACAGAGTTGGGTCTCTTAGACGCTGTTCGGAGTCTGGGCCCGCAGGCCAGGTCCCAGGCGGTGTAAGTTGATGAGGGGTGCGACTCCTCTGGCACTGGAGTGTGTGCGACAAAAGTATCATTTTGAGTGTCAACTAAAAATGGGGTTTTGGAGCGCATGTACGACAGGGAGCAGAGCAGTCGCCACCAGGCTTGCGAGTGGACGGTGCTAGACGTTTTGACCTTGGTTAAACAGTTTGCCCTCAGCTGGCCTTTCAGGTCTTTGCCGCTGAGTTTCCGTGCGCAGTTAGGAAGGCGCTGACTTTTGCGTAGTTGCAGACAGTTCTTAAGTATGGCTGCAGCTGTAGGTAGGCGAGCCTTTTGTTTCCCACCCTCCCACCCCTACTCTCTCCGGGGTCCTCTCTAGGCGTGCATGCATGCGGAAGCGCGCCTAGAGCCTAGTACGCCGGGGCGGGTTTTGGGGGCTAGAGCCCATCCGCGCCCGGCTGTTGGTTTTCCCCCTCTCCTGTTGTTCCCCGGAGAGGGTAGGGTGAGGTATCGGCTAGGTAGCAAACTTGGTTAGTTACAGAGTTGGGTCTCTTAGACGCTGTTCGGAGTCTGGGCCCGCAGGCCAGGTCCCAGGCGGTGTAAGTTGATGAGGGGTGCGACTCCTCTGGCACTGGAGTGTGTGCGACAAAACGGTGCCTTGAAGTAATTGTGGCAGATCAACCGCTACATGCATCATTACTATCCTTGCCGTGCAGGAAGCAACTGACGGTCGGCACAGGCGTAATGCAATTGGCATGCATGCGGGTAACGATCCCACGACCCAAGCCAGTTCCAGCCTTTCTACCAGTCTTTACTACTGGTTTCGTTCCTCACTGACCCCCATGCGCTTCCACAGTCTCCAGCATTGTGCCTACCATATCTCTACGCCGCAGCGCCCTGCAAGGAGCATGCCTTATAGGCATCATCCACCTATGCAGAGGACACATGCCAGAGAACACTTGCCTCATCTAACTCTATTCTACCTGGCGCTATGGCAGTAATGAACAGTGCAGGCCCGATACGCCTCCCCAACCCTGCCCCGTGGAGCCATGATAGCACGACAATGGTACCAATGTCAAAGCCCCAAACTGCCGTCAAAGCGAATCGGATGGCACGCTAGCGTCCGCAAATTCAGCAACACCATGGTCCCGGTCCGTGCAAAGCTTGGCACGGCTACCAGCCGAACCGCCACCCCTCCAGACCCGGACCCAGATGCCGCCCCAGCCTCCTGGCACTCCTGGTAGCCGCCCTGCGGCCGCTGCTCCACCTGCCGAGTGGCAAACTCCGGTTGGTTACCCACAAAGTAGACATGCGGGGTGGCCTCCACGATGAAGGGGTCTCGGTCTTGGAAGGGGTAGCAGGTGAGGGTGTCAGGGGCGGTGGGTGCGATGTGGCGTGATGCCAAGGAGCGCTCCATCAGGTCCAGCCTGCGAGCATGAGGGGCGGAGTGGCGGGGCATGGTGTAGGCGCGGCGCACCCTGGTGTGCGTGGTGTGTTATGAGGCTACGTTGGTAAGACGTATGGTGGATCGGCTTAGCTTGTTCTTATCGGGCTCCTTGGCCAAGCAGCCGCAGCAAAGGACAGCTATGCCAGCAGCAGCATTGGGCTGGACCCTGTTCCGCAAAGCAAGCTGTTAGCTCGCCCCATGTGCCAACCCCAGCCCCAAAACTATCCCGAAGCCCCTACCTGTCCCGTATGGTGCAGTACTTGGCCATGTCGTCCACGTTCTGCCCGCTTGTCCCCAGCATTCGCACGCCATCCACCTCGAACTCATGCGGGTTCGTGGCGCGCACAAAGGAACCGTGTGTGCAAGCCGCCGGGAAGAGGCACCTGGGAGGAAGGAAGCATACGGTGGCAAACATGTATGGTCGTAAACCTCCTGTTAAGGGGACCCTTTGCCACCATTCCGTTTCCCCACAGCGTTTGCGTTCTATCGGTTCCCCACCATTCATTCAGGTTCGGTGCAACCCCCCCCTTACCTGTGCATGGGCTGCTGCGGCAGCGCCACGTTTGCCGGGTCCTCCGGCCCGGGCATCACGTCCACCGACATGGCCGCCGCCACCTCAGCCATCAGCAGGTCGAGGTCGCGGACCGGCTGCAGCGCCGCGCCCTGCGCCTGCCGGTTGTAGGCGTGGGAGGAGGCGCCGTTGCCGCCTGCTAAGGCCTCCAGCTGGCCGATGCAGCCGCCTGCCACCACCAGGCGTACGATCTACAAGAGGGAAACATGTCCAGTTTGGAAGGAGACGGGTATGCGTAACGGCGGAGTTTGGGTGCTGAAGCCAAACCGGGCTTGGTGATGGATGATGTTTGCACTGTAATTGCTGGACCATGGAAACCGGGAGACGCACAACATGCGGACGAAAGCGTGGACAACAGATGCGTGCCCTTTGGGGAATACGGTTGCCCGTAGAGTGTGAATAGGATGGAGCGGCCCCGACTGCAGCCAACCAATTTCATGCCGGAAACCCCCCTGCCCCTTTCCCAGTCGTGACCTCGACGGGCATGATACCGACACGCAATAACCAGCCGCTGCACAGGTTACTGGGAGCACCTAAGCCGCATTGGCACACCTGCGAGCATAGGTGCTGCTCCGTGGGGCTGCCCAGGTTGCCGGTCAGGAAGTCGAGGGCCAGCTGGGTCTGCGGCGCAAGCGGAGAAAGAGGCAATGGCTTATACGCTCCCTGTATATTGCATGTCATCTCATGGGTTCGCGGCAGCACCGTGCAAAGACCAGCACATGCCAGTGTGGGCCGAGTTCCAGCGGAATACAGGACACGCGCACTATTGGCACGCGGCAGCAGGCACACCTTATGCAGCCAATCCCCTAAAACAATCACGGGTTTCTGTCACCACAGCACGCAGCAATGAATGCAGAACAACCCCATTCGCATAGTGAGTCTTTGATTATAAGGTGGATAGGCTAGCTGGGAATAAATTGCCTTACGGTACCTTCAGCATGTCAGCTTTAGAGCCCCCAATGCTGAACCCAGATGCCAACGCAATGTACTTGTCGCTTGGCAAGGCTGCCGCCGCCGCCGCATCCGCTCCCGCCACCGCCGGAGCTTGCGCGGGGGACGGCAGCGGGTGTGGGTGCGACGCCATGCCGGGGAAGCAAACGGCGCTAACAAAGAAGTCTCCACCTGGCTCATGGACACCGCGGACTGCCAGCACAAGGCCTGAATGGGCATGAGGCATGGGCGCAATGCACGATGTATGAACGTGCTAGGCACGGTACAGGCAAAGGGATGCGCTCTCAAGGGATGCATGACGTGGCAATGCGTGCCAGTTTGAAGCATGAGGAGCGTTGCGCTTTCGCCAGCGTTGACAGGTGATCAGCTGTTGACGGTGGCAGGAGCCCGCTATAGCCCGCTCACACACCGCAACCCTCTCTCGCCTCACCCGTCACCAGCTCCTGCACATTGAGGGGCCCGACGCCTGGCTGCCCCGCCCCCGCCGCCGCTGCTGCAGCCCCATCGCCGCCACCCGCGAGCACGCTGAGCACCATACGTGCGCCCTCGTCCTCCAGCACTACGCTGTCGTCATCGCTGCAGAAACTGGTGGCCCCCAGCGCAGCTTTGAGCCCCTTATCCTTGGTGTACTCGTCCAGGATGCTGGGCTTGAGCCTACAGCGACAGTGGCGGCGGTTGCATAGTAAGAGGCCAAGAGCGGTGAAGAGTAGCGGAGCGGCGAAAGCTGGGGCAGAGGACTTCAGGCCGCCCTTGACACAGCGATGTATCGAAAGGTCGATGCAGGATTGCTAGGTCCAGTGGCGCATGGGTGTGCCTCAAGGCCTGCAAGGAGAGGAGCATCGCCCTTCCCTACGCAGCAAGGTCCAGGGTAAACATGCCATGCTTGCTGGTCTTACTTCATGTTCTTGAAAATCGTCCCGATTACCGCCACCTCCTTGCTCTCTTGTACCTCGAGGATACTGCACACTGCGGTGCACACAACGGTATGTAGTAGGCAAGAGCATGTGCACACAAAGGCTCATTGGGCACCCCGATGCCCCTGTGCGCACCTGGCACGCCGGGCCAGACCTGCTCCACACGCTTCCGCATAACTCCTTTGAGTAGCATAAGGCGGGAGAAGTAGAGCTGTGCGAACTGCCGCTCGTAGGTGCGCTTGGCAGCACGGTACCGCTCATCCTACGTGGCAGCGTTGTTGTTAACGCGGCGGTCGCGGGTTGGGCAGGTAAAGACGTGGGAAGTAGGTGTACGGGACGAAGGAGTGAAGGTGGGTATGTGCTCGAAGCTCTCTCATTTTGCGGACGCGGGCAACTGCATCCTCGATGCGGATGTAATGTGGTTTCAGGCTAAGGCAACCAAGACCCGCTCTCGCGGAGATGAACTTGTCAGTTCATAATTTATGGGTTGGAACATTCATATATACGTCAACTGCTAACACGTGGTCAGGGCACAACGAACAAGTTATATACTGGACTGTTACGCGCCAAAATGCCTCTCAGGAAAAAAATAGCCCTTGCTGACTGGAGACAAGGTTTGGCGTATTCATTCCTCACCAAGTTTGTGTAGGATGCTGAAGCCCTGTTAAAGGTATCCTCATTGTCCTTTGAGGTCGATGGAGCCAGCAGTTCGTCATACCTGCCATGAAGTCAGCAGATAGATTCTTAACATATTGATTGCTAGAGGATAATAATTTACTGCCCCCATACCTTGCGTTGGGTCTGCCTGAAACAGAAGGACCTTCTACGTCGAGCATGTTGCTATGAGGAACGTGCCGACACTAGAGCCTTTGCAAAGAGTTAAGGTACCAGCATCCAGTTGTGAGAACCTCCTCTGATAGGTTTCGTTTCCTTGATCCATGCTGTGCTATGCAAGCTGTCATGTACGACGAGTCCCGTTTGATTTTATCTGGCAGGTAACAATACTCTTCGCGTCTCTCTAGTAGCTCACGAACGTGCAAGACCGATTTTCACCTGCAGAAATAGTGGCTGGGCTTAGCCCTTGGCAACATTGTTGTGAACGCACTATCCGCAGACTGGCCGACTGGGCAGCATACTTGTAGAAGGGATCTCCAGCTTACCCCATACCATGAGCCGGTTAGGGGACAACACCCCCCGCTCGCAAGGCACCGCGGCACCAAGGGTGGCACTGGCCAGCCTAGACCGGCAACGGTAAAGCTACGCATGGGACACAGGTGAGCAGAATAGCTGCATACGTATAATGGTTGCAATTTAGCTTCCAAAAGACCTGTAAGATTGCTACTGCGAAATGGCATTTCAAGCCAGCTTTTGCATGCTGAACCCCAACCGGACTCTTGACCTGCGTCACAAATCATGGCAAACACCGTCTGATGTAAGACGGCGCCGCTTTGTTACTACAGTACGGCCACCTGCGCTTTCCTTCCTTATTAGGAGGTTAACAACTATCGTCAACGCGGAATCCTGCTGGACGCATGCAACGCTACTTTGTTCACACCTGACACAGGCACCCCCTGCGATTAAGAAACTAAACAAGCGATGAATAGGAGCACGCCAGGCCCAATCCTCCAGTACAAGCCATCTATAACAATACCTCAAATGCAGTGCGGCTCACATGCAAACAAGCGGGTCCAACCTCAACTTTCACATTGATAATATCTGTAGTTTAAGCAGTCTCACATAGATACCGCCACTATGCCAAACCCGTGTGATTCCATAATCAACTTAACGCCCCCCCCCACGATCTCTCACGCTCCTCGAACCGGGTCACTCCACTCCCTATCTTATTTGCCCGCCTTCACACCCCGCTCTTTATTTGGCAGGCCTCCAGCCGTGGTCCTCCCCTCATCATCCACTTCCTCCACTGTCTCAAACCGGCCCCTGCTCACAGCACCCATGCCCACACCTGCACCCATGCCCCTCGCAGAACCACTACTGCATTGCTGCTGCAGCGCACGAGCACCAGACGCTGAGTCGGGCGCCGAGGCGTCCGCGCCGCCGCCGCCATCACACCCTACGTCATAGCTGTCAAGCGAAGAGCAACCAAAGGAGTTGTAGCTGACCACACGGCTGCGAGTCACGTTGGATGGCTCGTTGCCAAACAGCCGGTTGCTGCTGTTGTTGCCGCCATTGCCAACGGAGATGCCCCCGTCGGACGCGGCCCCCAACATGGCCCGTGCAACCCGACCGCTGTAGCTGCCACTGTCCATGAGCGCGTAGTGCACTGTCACTGCGTGGCTGGCGGCGCTGCTGAAGAGGCCGCCATGGCGCGCGTTTTCAAGGGTCATGGTAACTTCGCCGGTGCACCCCAGCACCAGACGACCGCTGGCTGCGTCCTTCAGAAGCGTCATGTCGTACGCCTCACTGATGTGCTGCGCGTCGCGGTGCCGTGAGTTGGGGTGAGTGGCCCCCGCAACGCAGTCTGGGTCGCGAGCGGCGGCCGCGGCGGCCTCTCCGTTATCGCGGGGCCTGGGGAGAACGGACCCAGAAGAGGAATCGGGTAACATGTTGATAAGCCATAACGCCCATAAGCCCGCGAGGCCCTGGTATCAGCTGACAATTCTGGCCCCATGTGAAACACTCCACCGCCCGCACAATTTGCAGGGACTGTTCTCGTTCCCACATATCTCCATCCTTCCTAATCTAGCCCTAAGTATCCCATATTCGTTAAGCCACTTGGGCATCCCCACTCACCTGAACCCGATGGCCACCCGAGCCTGCGGCCCAGCACTGCAGAAACACCACACCACTTCGCTGTCCGGGCCCACAAGGCAGGACGTCACGTGGCTCTCACCCGGCTTCAGGCACACCTGGGGTGTCGGGGCATGCAATGGATTGTGGCGAAATTAATTGGATCGTTTGACAAGTCCGAGTGATGTCGATGTAACTTTAGGAATAGGTAAGCCGTTACTAACCCGTCTCTTTCCAGGCGGGTGCAAGGGCTAGTCTCTGCAGGCATGTCACTCTGCCCCACCCGACGTGGCTACCAGTAAATCCGGGAAGCAGTCGCTCTCACTCAGGGCCATATGAGCGATTCAACTGGCAGGGTCCTAAGGTATGAAACACCACGTGCAGGCAACAACTTCAGGCCACACACACCTGCTTGCTGGGGGAAGTGAACGCAGTGGGGCGACCATGCTTCGGCGGCATAAGGCACGTCTCCAGAAAGCCGCCAAATCTGAACCCATGAGAGCAGGGAGAGCGGAAAAGTTACGTCGGGTCGCGTAAGTTGGTAAAGGTATTAGTCAGTACGACTCTGTCAACATGCAGCAGAGTATGGGGTGGGCTAAGCGTGTTACAAGTAGCGAAGTATAATTACGGCCGTGGATCACGGACAGTATGTAGCGTCCTTCTTCACTGTAATAGTCTTGCAGCAAAATGCTGTAACCCTAGCAACCAATACGTTGATATGTTTTGATCAAATAAAAAACCTTCCCTCCATCCCTCACTTCCACTGCAACGCAACAACACAATGCACGTGTGGCCATATATCAAGTACACACCAAAAGACATGAGGCTACTGCCTGGGCTCCTCTTTAACCTCCCCTTAAGGGCCAACCAAGCCACCGTCAACGACAACCTCCCACAACCAACTACTTGTCATCAGCTTCCGAGCGATACCTCTCGGGGAGCTGCACAGGGTCGATGTATCGCAGCAGCAGCGGCCGGGACCGCTGCGGCGACGCCATTGTGAACTTGGCGCGCGTGTTCACGTCAGAGAACGTGGTGAACAGCGAGAAGAGGAACTCCATAACCACTGGGACGTTCAGGAAGAGCTTTGCGGACAGCATCTCAGGGTAGTTGTCCTGTTGCGAGGGACACGAATGTAACAAGGGACAACTCAGAAGCTTGGCTATGCCTAGGACGCCGGTACTGCAAACGCTACATGCACACCCTGCAGCTGTTACGTTGCGTCCGTACCACAATCGTAAGGCAGTCTTGTACTGCGACCGTACCTGGAACAGCTTGATGATCTCCCGCGAGGCCGTCTTCATTTGCGCGTCCATGCGGAACATGGAAGCCCCCGAGTAGTCGTGAACCTGGAGGAAGGGCGACACAAGCGAATGTTAGGCGACATACAAGGACAGACAATGCTATAGGATGAATGCAAAACGCTCCGACCCACGGGTCACGCTGGTAAGGGGCGTGTTATAGGGAGTGTGGGAGGACCCTATAACACGCTCGCCCGCCGCGCAACATCCATACCGGTGCTGCTCACCATTCCACCGCTGGCTCGCGCCATCATAACCCGTCCCCCAACTTCTCCACAGCCTACCCGGGACCCCACCCAACCACCCAGATACCGCCTGCATTGCCGTACGCTGACCTGCATGACATGCTCGATGCCGCCCTCAAATTCCAGCAGCGCCACCGCCTGCTCCATCAGCTTCACCCGCCAGCGCACGAAGGAGGCGACGCCGCCGGGGCCGCTGAGCACCGACTGCAGGTCCACATCCGTGCCGTAGTAGTTGTAGGTGACTGGGGCAGAGGTGGAGGGCAGCACGGGTGGTTGAGTTTAGGAAGGAGCAGGGCAGCAACCCAAGGGTCCATGAAGGAAGGACGACTGCCAGGTGTCATTGTTGGTCATTGGGAGGTGGTGGGGGCCAAATAGGATTGAGGAAGGCAGCAAGGAGGGTTACAGCTAATGTGCCACTGCTCCTGCGCATGCCCTTGGTCACTTTCCATGCCCGACATTGCGACCATTGCACCGGTATCCGCCCGTTCGGGTGGGAATTCTCACCCGGGTTGCCCGCCCGGTCCCTGCCCGAGAGCTGCCCCGCCGCTGCCAGCTGCTGTGGAAAGGTCTCCGAAGACAACCCAGCCACGTCAAAGTCACGACGCCACTGCGGCAGAGAGATTAGGGCGGGGTAGAAATAAGGAAAACTGACGAACTGGATGGGCGGGGTGGGGGGGGGACTGCAAGGCAGGGGTGTGTCTATCTAGCGGGATGAAGCAAGAGGTTGGTGGGCCGAAAGCGGCTAGGCGGCTGGCAAGCACGTATCCGCACTGTTTGCTGAGGGGGCAGGGCAGGAAAGCCTCAACCGCAGCGTCCACACCAGCCAATCAACCACACGACGACGAGCGACGCACCTAAGCCCCATGGCAGGCAACCCGTTACCAGTCACAAACGCCCGAACCCGCGAGTCACAAGGCTCATGATTGCGACACCGCACAGCGAACACACACACACACACACACACACAACCGCGGCCAGTTTTCTTAGCGCACCTTGAGGCAGTTGACAAGTTGAGTCAGCGCCGCCGCCACGTGCCACTGCCGCGCGCGCAGGAACTTGAGCAGCACCACCCGCTGTGCGCGGCTGGGGCCGCTACCAGCATCACCACCGCCGTTGGCTGGCGCTGCGGTTGGTGCGGGCGCAGGGGCTGCGGCTCCCCCAGCGGCTGCGGCTGCTGCATCTGTTGCTGTGTCGCTTCCCTCCTTCGGCTGCTGTGACTGCTGTGGGTGAACCAGGTCTGCTAGCGGCACGCCCCAGAGGGTCAACTGCGGAGGAGGGAATAGGGGGTGGTGGTCGGCGAGGCAAGGTAGTTATGGATAGCTGGCACAATGCAGCATGAAAAGGCATGTGGAAGTTGACACACTTAGAATGGGTTCGAATGCCATCCAAGAGTTGGATTGCCTATCGCAGACGGGCAGTGCCTAGGTGCCGTACCCCATACATGCTCCCACCAGCAACGCTGCTTGTTCCCGAGCCTTACGTGTTCGGCACTGAAAATGTCCAACGTAGCAGGCAGGCGCTTGCAAAGCTCCTTGAGAGCATTCTCTTGCGAAGGGGTCAGGCAATCAACGTAGCCATCCTTGCGCGGCGGATAGGGGAACCCTTCAGAATCGGCCATTCCAAATTATTTTAGGGAAGACCCTGAATAACCTCCTGATGGAATGCGCTCTGCTTAACGCTCCACGCCTCCTTTGTTACGCCACGTCTTCCGGTTATGACCGCCGTAAGTTTGCTGTCAAGTTGACTATCTGCACTACCAAATGACAGTAGGCGAAAGCAAAATGCCAATGTATTGATAATGCTAAGCTAGCTGGTAAGTCAGAGCGAAGAGGGTCAAAGCGAGGCGACCAGATAGGTAAAGCACTATCTATGGTTCAGCATCACTTGTTTATAGAATATTCGCCAAGGGTATGCGCGTGGTCGGCGTGGATTCCTTTCGCTTAAACGCTCAAATACTTAAAACAGTGCCGGTGCGCAATACCACAATTCTAGCCCTCTGTGCTTCCACAGTATTCGTGGTTCGGGGCTCTATGAATAAAACAATTGTATAGATAAGTTGCAAGCCGGGTTCCTGATCGGCATGCGGCTCGTACCGTACTTGACGCTAGGTTGCCAAACCCTGGTAGCACTTTACACTCTGTTTTCGCTAATACCTCTACCTGTGGTACGCACGAATACTCAAAATGCCACCTAGAAGCACCAAGTCAAGGCGTCAACAGACTATCACATACAACTTGTCCAGTGTGCACGCCCGCGACGCTTTTGAAGAGGAGCTTGATCTGGAAGATGAGGCACGACAACACCATCATGCGGTTGGCAGGCGCAGTGGGCGTGGTAGCGCAGCGTTTACGCTTTCCGCGGACCTGCCCTCGCGAATGCTGGACGGCATGCACGAGTACTCCAGCCACAAAGCTACAACAGACATGATTAACCTGATGGAGATATTTGGATCCAGTAACCTGGACCGTGAAGTCATCGAAAGCGTGTATCTTGGCTGTAACAGCAGTTTCGAGCAGGCCATGGAACAGCTGATGGAGCTCGCAGCTGCTAGCGATGCCGCTTCTACTCGTACGGGCAATGGCACAAGCGCCGTTGCTTGTGGCAAAAGTAAGGCCTGGGTGTGGTAGCTGGGAGAACCTAGCCGTCGTGGAACACAAATGCGGTCCGGGTTCCACCTCCCATCCGGACCGGACCCCGGTTAGCCCCGCATCTGTTCGTCGTGCCGTCTAGCCAGACGCTTAATTCTCATCCCTCCTTATCCTGTGCCTATCTCCAAACACCACTGCAGACGCGTCTTCGACCTCGGTTGCTGACGCAGGCAGCTCCGTGCAGCCCGCTGCGGTTGCATCCGGCTCAGGTGGTGACGCTGCCGCTGCTGCCACCATGTACGGCACCAGCTCCAGCACCACCTCGCCAGCCGCAGCTGCTGCGGACACTGCCCCGGACAACATCAGCAACATCAGCACCTGCTTTTGGGAGCTGCTGCCGGAGGACCTGAAGCGCCATGTGTTTGGCTTCCTGTCCTCTCGCGACCTGGCACGTGTGGCGCGCACATGCAAGGACTTTGCCGGCCCCGCACGCAGCATGCGCACCAACGCGCGGCAGCTGCAGATCCCCACAGGTGTGTGCGCTCACGTCTACACCCATACACCACGACATGCGCCCCACGCATTCCACCGCACCCCTTCCTCCCTCCCTACCTGCACCACCCACTCCCAACTGTGCGCTACCACTGCCCTGACCTCGCCTCATGTGCGCCCTCCGAACACCCCACCCTACCCCACACATCCCTCTCCTCTCACCCCCCCCACCCCGCGGGACATGGCACTGTGCTTCCCTCCTCCTCTCTCCGCTCTCCTCTCACCCTCCCTCAGGTCTGGGCATGCACGGTATCATGTCCATGGTAGCAGGCCACCCCAACGCGCGCGCCGTGAGCCTGCGCCAGTGGGCTGCCGCGCCGCTGTCCGACGCGGAGTTCACCTCGCTGGTGGTGGCGCTGAGCGCGGGCAGCCGCAGCGAGCGGCGCCTGGTGCCGGTGGAGGCGCTCAGCTTCAAGGGCTGCAGGTGGCTGTCGGACGGACACGTCATGACGCTGTGCGACACCATGCAGCACCTCAAGTAAGGGGGGAAGCGGGGGGGGAGTGAAGCGGGGGGAAGGAGGCGGGGAGGTAAAGAGGAAGAAACGGAGGAGCTGTATGACAAGGCTTCGCCCTGGGGTCCGAACTGCGGCAAGGGGGCACTGAGGGCAGGTGTAGGAGGATGTGCGGTGGTTCATCTGCTTGGCTCAACCCGCCCCCACCTGCTGGGGTCAGGGATGTGCGATGATGCCGCGTCCCTCTTGCTGTGCCAACCTGCGGCTGCTGCTGCTGCTGCTTGTGCTGGACGCAGGGAGGTGGACCTCACGGACTGTGTGGGCATCACGGACGCAGGTAGGTCGGGTGCTAGAGAGGCGTGCCAGGGGCAGGCTAGCGGAGTTGCCGTGGGCAGAAGACATGAACCTTGGCATATGAACGGCCCGACCTACACGTGCTTGCTTGCAGCGTCAGGCTGGTAGGAACACCGCCTCTCTCCCGCCCTGAGGTTTCTGAACACCCGTAAATGCCCAATTGCCGTACGTACGCAGCCCTGGTTGCCCTAGCCAAGTACCAGCGCCTCGCTCCGGAGGTAAGGGTAGCATTGGGGCTTGTGGGCGGAGCAAGGGATGGATGGGGCATCCCTTGGAAGGGGCCGCCTCCTAACAGAGCTTGAGCTGGTCTGCCTGGCCGGGCCGGGCTGGGGCAACCGCGCTTTGGGGTATTGGACAGCCAGCATACACATTGAAGCCCCATGCGATGTAAGGGCCCCGTGCGTCTCTGCCTGGCGCAGGGTGACGCGTCGTCCTCGGATGAAGAAGACAATGGTGATGAAGCTGCCGCCGCCGCCGCCGTTGCCGACGCGGATACTGCCGTGGCCGTCGACCGCGAAAACGAGCCGGACGAGGTGGAAAACGAAGACGAGGAGCTGCAGTTTGACTTTGAGATAAGCACCGCAGTGCCTAGGGCTGGCGCATCCTCCTCAGCGGCAGCTGCTCATCAGTCGAACCGGGCGGCTGCCATGGGCGAGGAGGGACATGTGGGGGCAGGAACAGGAGAAGACGAGGAGGCACGAGAGCTGCGCAAGAAGGAAGATGGCGCCGCAGACGCCGAGGACGTTGCGGAGGAGATCAGCGACAGCGCCGGTGACGTCAGCAGCAGCGATGATGATGATGATGATGATGATGATGATGATGATGATGAAGACGCTGCTGCTACCGATGCTACTGCTACTGCCGCGGTCAAGGAGGAGACATCCCGCAGTGCTTCTGCTGCTGGTGGTTGTTGTCATGCGGCAGCTGGTGAGTCCCCCTCATCCGCTGGCTCCCTGCTCGCCGGCGCCCTCGCGGCTGGGTTGAGCCTGGACCAAGCCTCTGCTGCCGCCGCCGCGCCTGTAGCGGGCGCAGCGCCGCCAAGGCAGCGGTACGGCAGCAGCGGCGGAGGCGGCGCTGAATGCCGTACGCTGCATGGTGAGGGGTCCATGGCGGCGACGCCGCCGGCAGCTGTTGCGTTTGCTACCGGGAGAGGGACGACTCGCACCAGCGGTGGCGGCAACGGCAGTTCGCTGTACGGCGCTTCTCCCGCTGGCGGCGGCGGTGGTGTTCTCATGGGAACGTCGTACGGCAGTGTTGGCGGCATGGGCGCCGCCGCCGTCGGCAGCTACGGCGGCGCCGCCAGAAGCGGCGCCGCAGGTGCCGGCAGCCCATGGCTAGGCGGTACAAGCCCTGCCATGGCAGGATCAGCAACCAAGAACTGGTTGTACGGCAGTAGTCCTGTGATGAGCGCAACGCCGTACTTCCGTACAGCTGGATCTGCGAACATCAGCTACAACGGCTGGCTGGCGCGGGCGGCTAGCGCTGCCACGCACCGGCACAGCGGCCGGGGCTTGATGAGTATCAACATATCGGGTGGGTGGATCAGGGGTGGATCAGGGGTTATATTCGCCTATTCCAAGTAAAGGTTAGGGCGCTAGGAGGGGGCTCTTGTTGTTCATCCAGACCCTAAAAGGGGCTATACCACACATTGTTACCTGCCCCCCTGCCACGCACCCCCTACACACAGGCTGCTCCGCCATCTCCTCTGACGGGGTTCGCTCGCTGCTCGCCGCGCCGCTGCCCAAGTCCTGCCTGTTGCAGCTGGACATATCGCGCTGCCCGCGCATTACCCGCGCCGCACTGGCCCTGCCCGCCACGGTGGGTGGGGGGGTTTGGGGGGTTGGGGTGCTGCATGGGTGCTGCTGCGGCATGCCCTCCTCTGCGCACATGCGAATGGAGGGGATGGTGGTTGGAAGGGAAGCCGTGTTGCTCTAGTCCCCTTCCTGCCTGCGCCGCCAACCCCCCTGACTCCTTTACCTGCTTGTCTGCTTCCGTCTTTCCCTCCCTGCGTCATCAACGCTCGTCTCCCGTTCCCTTCTTTCCCCCCGCCTCCCCCCGCCTCCCCCAGAGCAACTTGTGCGTCCTGCGCGCCTCCGCCTGCCACAACCTGCACGAGGTGATCATGCAGCTGCCGCTCACCTCGCCCCTCACCGAGCTGCATCTGGGCGACTGCAAGGCGCTCAGCAAGCTTCATGGTGGGGGGCCGGAAGGGGCAGGGGCGCAGGTTGCTTGGAGGGTTGGAGGGCGCATTGGGAGGGGCGGGGGCGTGGGGCATGCATTGTGTGCTTGGTGCGGTGAGGGGGGAGGGAATGAGCGCCCTTGGTCGGCGGCACGGTGGGTAGGGTGTGGCTTATACGTACCAATTGCGAAGGTTGCTGTTAACAGTCTGCCTTTCTCACGTTGTTGATTGTAGCATGTTGTACGCGCGATCACAGCCCACCCGCTCCGACCGTGTACACCCGTACCCTGCCTTGCCGGTTCCTGTTGCCTGACCCGGCGCCCTCACACGACCCCCCCCCCCGACAACACAACCTGCTGCAGTGGTTGCCCCGGCGCTGCAGCAGCTGCATGTGGGCAGCTGCCGCCACCTGACGCGCCTGCACCTGCGCTGCCCGCAACTGCGCCACCTCACCGCCAGCCTGTGCTTCAGGTCGGCCGCCTGAGTTTGCTGCTGCTGCTGCTGCTGTTGTCTGTGATTGTGCGGGCTGTGCGGAACGTGGGATTGTATGCTCTGCCCAAGCGTGCTACCGTAGTCTGGCCGCCGCTACTGTGTCACATCTCACGTGCCACCTGCCGTCATGCATCCCGGGCTGTTGCTCCCGTCTCAGCTCCCATGCTGGCGCTTTGTACGTCCTTCTAACTCTGCAGCATGCGCTGCTGCACAAAGCCCCAACCCCCAACACGCGCACGCACACATGCGCGCCTACAAGCCCACACGCCGATCGGCCCACACACGCCCTCGTGCGCTGCTGCTCGCAGGCTGATGGATATTGATCCCGAGCGCTGGGACGTGGGGCGGCTGGAGCACCTCAACCTCTTCGGCTGCCGCCACCTGGAGTGGCCCGGGCTGGCGGCGCTGCTGTCGCGCTGCGGCCCCGCGCTGCGGCATCTGGATGTGAATGGCTGTAACGCCATTGTGGCGGCGGACATCCCAGCAGGTGCGAGGGAGGGTAAGGACTAAGGAGACGGTAGGCCGGCTTTGGCAACATGGGTACCTCCCGTGCGCTAGCGCACTTGCTCCCAGGTCACGCCTGCCATCCACTCAGGCCCCCAATCAACCCAGTTAACGCTAAATCTCTGCTTGACCCCTTCCCTGAATTCCCTGCATCCCCCCCCCCAGGCTGCAGCTCCCTGCAGCACCTGGATGCCAGCGGCTGCAAGGCCCTGGTGTCCCTGCGCTGCCCCAGCCCCGCGCTGGCAGCCGTCACGCTGCGCTCCTGCCCTAGGCTGCAGGTGAGGGAACATGCGGGGGTTGCCACCGGTAACCTGAGCCACGAGGGCAGGCCGAATGTGACTGTAGGACCGATATGCGGAGGGCAGATGGAAGACGGAAGACGGTTCATGCATGAGTTCGGGCCAGGACGGATACCCGTACACGTCCTGGCTTTGTGTGTGGGGGAGGTGCAGGGTTAACCAGCTGGACCTGCTGACGGCTGTATGTATTCTACTTCCCACCCACATCTGCCTTCCACGCCGCTGCATGCACTCCCTATCTCTGCAGGAGCTGGTTCTCGAGTCCGCTGCGCTGTCACGACTGGACATCTCCAACTGCCCACAGCTGCGAATCCTCAGCATGCCCGCCCTGCACCCCCAGCAGCAACTCCCGCACCCCCAGCAGCAACACCCGCACCCCCAGCAGCAACAACAGGGAGTGGCAGGGCTGGGTCTGCCGCCGCAGCCGCCTCACCCCCACCCCCAACAGCAGCAGCCGCAGCCCCTAGCGGCGGCAGCGCTAGGCAGGAGGAGCAGCGCGGGCGGTATCTTTGCTGCTGCTGCGGCGGCCGCCTCCCCTGGCAGCGCCGCTGGGGCTGCCGCAGCTCCCAACACCAGCATCCCCGGGTGGGAGCGAGTGGGGGCGTTGCGTGCGGCGGTGGGGTCAGGCGGCGGTGGCGGGCCGGGTGGGATGATGGTGCGGATGGCAGGGTGCGACCGGCTGCCGGTGGAGGTGGCGGTGCAGCTCAGGCGGCTGAGGGAGAGGGCCAAGCAGGCCGCTGCGGCGCAGGCTGCGGCGGGGGCGGCAGGTGCGGCACCGGTGTCGACGGGGGTAGTGTGTGCGGGGCCTCGATGATTGGTGGGAGGAGCACTTAGCTGAGCTGATGTTTAATTGGGAGCTGGTTGGTAAGTCGAATGCAGCGGAGCTTTTGGCGGCGAGGGGTGAGGTGCGTGCGGTGCATTGTGGTTTGGTTGCAAAGGTGGCCCATTGGACGAGGACATTGTGGTGGGATAGGAGGCTGTTGTATGACTTGTGTGACAGGGGGTTGCATGGTGTTGGGGGTGTCTGGTAAGTAGACTTATGTTCAGGTGTGTGGTCACGGGCACCTGCGTAGGCGTGAAGGTGCCGCCTCTTGGCAGCCGCGTCATGGTAGCCTTCTGCGTGGCCGGGTTGCGCAAGCCTATGGCGGCTGATAACTGCAGTCCTGTACAGTAGGTGTTGACGCATGGTTGGCGCGTTTCCCTGGGATGGGCTGTGCTGGCTGCGCGCTGCAAAGGTCCTGAAGGTCCCGAACTTGGTTTGGACAAATCATTCGTTGCCGAAGAAGCCCTGCTTCACAAGATCGGCTGGTGCTCGACACTTACCGGTATATTGCCGCCAAACGCAGCCTTTCCTTTGGAAAGTTGGTGTTGATTGCTGGTCCGCAGAGCTGTACCACGGCATGCGGAGCCGTTTGTGTGCAGTCACCAGCAGTTGAGTCATGCAGGGCATACAACGGATTGGGTCTTTTTCCGCCGGGGCAAGTTAAATCGTGAATCTGAGCGGAGCTGTTGGTGGTTGATACCTGCTGTCATGAGACGATGAGAGTCGCCTACTGTACAGTATTCGTGCCCTGCCCAGACCCCCGTGCAGGGAGGCGCTTGCGCTGAGGGCGCATCATAACACTCCCTCCGCAAAGTTTCAAGTGCAGCCGCGTCCCTTACATCTCAGCAACACCCCTCACTTCCTTCCTCACCTCACTTCCTCTCTCACACTTCACCACTCCTCTTGCATCCGTGCGTGTCCTTCACCGAAGCACAGTCGCTTCCTACCATACAGCTCAAACCCCTTTTGAACGTTGTTTTACATTCGAACATACCTCAACAACCCCCCGCAAGCACTCTTTGGCGTCACTCAGCACTCTTTCTCCCCCTTGACCCGACCCGTCACCCTGCACCCTTTCTCCCTCTCCCTCCCTGCCTGCCTGCCTGCCCTGCACCCGCCCTCTCTCCCTCTCCCTCCCTGCCCCCCTGCCTCACGCCGCCGCACTCCTGGCCGCCAGCCGCTGCAGCAGCTGCTTCACCTGCTCCCGGCTCAGACCCGCAGCCGCCAGCCGCAGCTCGGTGGCCGCCGCGCCCAGCCGCGCCACGGCGGTGTAGCGCCCCTCTCCCTCGCTGCGGACCAGGTAGAGCTCCAGCTCGGGAGCGACACGGTGGGGGTCCTGGAGGGGGGGAAGGGAGGGAGGGAAGGGTGTGGAGCAGGAAGACCTACAAGCTCAGGCACCGCAGAGAGACCATGCATCGGATTGGATGGAAAGGGGAAGGTGCTGGGGAGCCGCCCAAGAGCCAGCACCCCCTACCAAACGTGCACCCCGTAACGCACTCCCCACATCCTCACCACCCGACAATCCAACCATCCCACTCTCTCACACACCCTACACTGCCTTTCCTATCCCCGCATCCCTTCACCCGATCCGGCCCCACCGCGCCCCCCACACCGGCCCCCTACCTGCGCGCACCGCGTCACCTCCACGCCCTCCACCCCCGGCGCCCGCCCCAGCGCCTCCACCAGCGCCTGGACCCGTGGGTCGGGGCTGGCGGCCGCCGGCTCCCAGCCCAGGTCATCCAGCGACATGCGCAGCGGGTCGGCGCTCATCTGCTTGAGGGAGAGGCTCAGGCGGCAGTTGGGCAGGTCCACCCGCAGCACCTTGGCGCGCACCTCCTGACCTGCGGGGCGGGGGTAGAGATACGGCAGGGGTGGTACGGGAGGGGCCAGGGATGATGAGCCCTGGCATTCGAGGGCATGTGTGTGCCTTGAAGCTAGATCTAAGCCACACGTCTGTGCATGTGCACAGTGTGACGCAAGAGGTAGGTAGGATAGCAGAAGTGTGATGAAGAGGGAGAAAACTGTGGGAGCGTGTGGGTTGACAAAACTAGCAGCGAGTGAGAACGTGTAATTGAGCAGAAACAAGAGCAGGCACTTGGGATAGGTTCGCATATGAACCGCGAGTAACAGAGGTAACCGAACCTGAACCGTAATTCAAAAAACTGCTTAGATAGCTGGTGCTGGATGTAAGAAGAGTGGCGGGTTGACGACGCATGTCGGTGATGCTGATGGTGTCGGAAAAACTAATTACTACCGAGTACCCAGCCCGCTGACCAACTCGACGCCGGAAGCCCCCGCTCTGGTCACGCAGACGAGACATCACAATGCTGTGCGTGCGTGCGTGCAAACGTGCATTGCGTACCTGCGAGCAAAGACTGAACTAGCAGCGAGTAGGAACGTGCGTGTATGTGCTGTATGTGTCGTACACCTGCACATACCCCCTGCCGTACTACCCCCGCCTGTTGCGCCCACCTGGCGCCAGCACCTGGTCCACCGTCATGATGCGCTCCCAGGAGATCTCGCTCTTGTGGATCATGCCAGACACCTCGGGGCTGCCCTTCACCTGCGCGTGACCAGGCAGGCGTGGGGGGGAGTGAGGTGGAGGCAGTGATGCCACGCTGTAAAGCCAATTCCCAGCCCATAAGCCATAACCGCGCACTTTGGGCGATGCGAATGGCAGGCGGTGGGCAGACGGTCCGTAGCCAGGCAGGCAGGGAAACACAACGTTATTCGGGGGAACATGAGGGTAGGCATGAGGGTAGGCAAAATTGATGGATGGCCGGCCTGTACATGTGGGCATGAGTCACGACCCTTACGGAGTCCCAACACGCACTGGGTACGCCGCCGAGTGCCGTACACCCGCCCCCCTGCACACCCGCTCCCCCACCCCCTGCCCCGCCCCACCTGCACGAAGGCGCCATAGTCCTCCACGCCCGTCACCACGCAGTCCAGCACGTCGCCCTCCCTCACGCCCCCCAGCGCCGCCACCGCTGCCACCTGCCGCTCGCTGAGCACCAGTTCCTTGCGGGAGGCGTCAACCTGGGGCCCAGGGGGGAAATGAAAGATAAGTGCAGCAACGGAGTCCCAAGCGGGGGAGGGGCAAAGAAGTAACGGACCACAGGTGAGGGCACAACGAAGGGGTTAGGAGGGTTAGGAGGCGGCAGGGTGCCACAAAAGACCGCTTGACCCGCCTCGTCCGCCCTCCTCCGCCCATCCCGCTTGACCCGCCCCTGACCCACCGAGCTGACTCGCGCCCTCAGCGGCTGCCCCAGCAGGTCACTCAGGTCGCCGCTGCCGCTGGCGCGCAGCCGGGCGGGGTCCAACTGGCTGTAAGGAATGAAGCCTGGGTGCGAAGGGACGAGGAGGAATGCGGGTGAAGGGGCATGGGAGGATGGGATTAGAGGGGGGAATGGTGTGGGTGTGAGGTGAGGGTGTGGGCGACAGGGAGCTGAGGCCGGCAAGGGTATTGGATAAACGGTTGAATGGATGGGTGGCAGGTGTGTATGGTGCGCCCAAGAGTGGTCGGATGTGAGAAACCATTCAGAAACCCTTCGCGGTATATCCTTGGCTTTTACGCGCGAGTGTACGCGATCACTGGATAGTACGGTGCAACATCCTTGAACCTCCTGAGAATGCAACCACGCATACGAAAATAAAATGAGTTTGCCATATTTCACGTAGCATGTTCCGGTCGTTCACATCGTACCTCTTACAGCTCCAAACATCACCACTAGGCCTCGCTCACTCTGCCCCACCACCTTGACGTCGACAATTTCTCCCCGCGTCTTAGCATCGCTTGCCCGTGAGAATGCCTCAGCGACTTGAGCGGCCGAAACAGGCGGTGGTGGCGCCTGCGCTTGCGCTTGCTGAGCTGTGGTCGCTGGCTTCGGTCGCACCAATCGCTTTGGGCTAGGGACCTCCGACGGAGTCTTGCTCGCCTACAGGGGCTTGCAGTTATATTGAGTTCGCGGTATTAAAACACCGCTTCAATGCTGCTTTCGCTTGGCATCGACAATCAACTTCTTGGCACCACACGCTGTTCCGCACCTGCACAGAAATCGCTCGTGGCGCCGGGCCGAGCGAAAAGTAAGGTGTTTTAAGCTTATCTGCAGCTGCTGCTTTGCATGAGTGCATACGGTTAGCGCGCAAGGATAATGAGGAAGTCGACATCCGGGCTTTAGCTCGCTAAGCAATTTCAATAAAGCGCTGGGATCGGAATAGACAACCGTTGCGTTAGCGAGCTTTCAACCGGCTTTGGCATTGCCCTTGTCCGATTTGGGTATGTGGATTCCATGGAACCAGTTGCCGTACATACGAACACCAACTGTCAAGAACCCGCCGTAGCGTTTGGCACATTAGCAACACTTCCGCGGTCAAGCCTTGCAGCCTCCACCTGGAACGTTGAAATCAGGGGCATACTAGGTAAGGGCCTGCGTCTGACTGTGCAATGAATCCAATGATGCACCACAGCACGCAGCACGTGTCTGCATGGGGGCAGATGGGGGGCCGGGAAAGGAGGGACCGCTGGCGTGCTAGGAAGGGAGGAGAGCACTGGGATGCGGGCGATGTGACTTGAGGTACGGGTAGATTGGGTGGGTGGGCGAAGGCGGAGGGTGGGCTTAGGCAGGTTAGGGGCTGACGATAGGCCAGGTCAGGTTAGGTTCTGGTGCTACGGATGGGACTGGCTGAAATAGCAAAGAAGAACCGTGCCGTGCTTTTATGACGGCGCGAGCGCTGCCATATAAGCAGCGTTTCATAAGAGAAAGTGACTTCGCATGAGGATTTGTTGGCAATGGAATACGGCAGTCAGTCCCTAGAGCAAATGGCTTTTGACCGTTTATTTTCCCCGAGCCCCTTCAGATCTGCTCTGCGCACACTAGCATCCATAGGTCCTAGAGACGGGCATGCCGCCCCGCGACCATTATGCCGTAGGTGAATGATGCACCCTGCCTTAGGGGAGAGGTCTGGTATTCCGCCGCTGTTGCAAACTTAAATCTATGACACAGGCAGGACAGCTGATGTGTACGGTAGCTTCGTTAGGTTGATGCCTGCCCCTAATACTCCAGAAGCCTGTTTTACGAGGCCCCTAAATTTCAGGCTGCTGGCAGGGGCCATGAGGGTATCTGTGGAGGATTGCCTCTGGCCACAGTGAAAGCAGGAGCAACGGTCATTTGGGCTCCGCTGATCGTTGCAAGGCGACAGGTACAGGAATGCGGTGCAGCTGGATATGCCGAGGAACAAGGCTAAGAATCATAGGAGGTACTTCGGGAAGGGAGTGATTGTCCATGACTTGTATTGCACAAGCCAGCGCTAAGATTTGCCGCTATAGCGCACGGGGAAGCGGCACATGCGCATTCCGGTGTCGCGATGCTGGGTGAAACATAGTAGGAATGACAATCACCCCCAACATTGCCGTACGCTTTGTCCACGCCGCCCAGCCTAATATGGGTGTCGCAATCAGCGGCCGCCAGGATCAGGGTAGGCAACGTTTGCCGAGTCGCTCATTTGCCTACTGTAAGGATTGCCACTGCCCGTTAGGCATTTCCAGCTTTACGTTTGTTTCGAGCAGTTTTCAAACGGTATGTTTAGCTCGGTGTGTACTGTGCGTTGCATGTGGGCAAGTGTCCTTAGACAAGCCCTATCGCAAACGTCTTAAGACACAGAAGCAATTGGTAACCTAAGGAAATGAGTGTCGCCAATACCTCTAAATAACCACCACTGACTAGGACAAGGCCACTGCTTGCATACTTGGTAGCTCACTCCGTACAGGTGTTGTACGCCGTTTGGCGGCGGGTGGGGTGTAAGTCCTCCACGGCTTACAGTGACCCCTCTTTCCCAACTGTAGGAGGTAGTAAAGCAGTGAAGGATGAGCAAGCTCTCGAGCGAAGTTCTCCGCGAGAGCGTTTCCAGTAAGTCGTCCGCAGTATATAGCCGTCAACCTAGTTGCCTAGCGTAGCTCCACATTATTGAACCTTGCTATTTTTCTCACTATGCAGCCGTGGTGGAGGGGTCTAAGGCCAAGCCCCGCAAGTTCCTGGAGACGATTGAGCTGCAGATTGGTCTGAAGAACTATGACCCCCAGAAGGATAAGCGTTTCAGCGGCACCGTCAGGCTGCCGTTCGTGCCTCGCCCGCGCATGAAGGTGTGCGTTCTCGGTGATGTGAAGCACTGCGAGCAGGCTGGCGCCATCGGCGTTGACGCTAAGGGTGTGGAGGACCTGAAGAAGCTGAACAAGAACAAGAAGCTGGTCAAGAAGCTGGGTAAGATTGTTAAAGCTGGCGCTTATTAGTGTGGCTAATGTCGGCCGGCGGCTAATGCGAAAGCTTTTTCCACCCCACAGCCCAGAGCTACCACGCTTTCCTGGCGTCGGACTCCGTCATCAAGCAGATTCCTCGTCTGCTGGGCCCCGGCCTCAACAAGGCCGGCAAGTTCCCTGCTCCTATCAACAAGAACCTGGAGGAGATGGTAGGCGAAAATGGCTAAACGTTTTGGGGAACGACTCGGCAATAGATATACACATCGGGGGTGTAACAAGTTAAGACTTCGCAACTGGTTAGGGGAAGCAGTGAGGACATGGATTACGAGGAACCCACACCGACCGGGGACTACAGGGGAAGCGTTGGAGCGCGGGTCATCTAGGGTTAAGGGGGGAGCGGGGTCACAATGCCTTGCATGGGTGTACTGGACATACCGGCACCCTTATGAGTTGATGCACGAGAGTACAACTCCAAGCTTGGGGCGGAGTGTGTATGCAAGCACAACATTGGTGTCTGGATACTAACTTTAAACACCGCCACCTCTTCCCCTCTCCAGGTGAACGAGACCAAGAGCAGCATCAAGTTCCAGCTGAAGAAGGTGCTGTGCATGGGTGTTGCCGTCGCCAACGTTGGCATGACGGAGGGCGAGATCCGCACCAACATCATGTACGCCGTCAACTTCCTGGTGTCCCTGCTGAAGAAGAACTGGCAGAACGTGCGCTGCCTGTACATCAAGTCCACCATGGGCAAGCCCATCCGCGTCTACTAAAGGCGCTGGCAGGGTGAAGTGCCTCTGGAATGGCGGTCTGATGTTTTTTCGGCTATGTGCTGCTTGCTGGGTTAAACCATGCGTGCTGGCCCCATGCACGGTCCTGCGGCGCCGTAGATCGATTGTCTCCGGAACCCACCACCACGGTTGAAAACGCTTGTCGCACGGACGTTACCAAGGGCTGCGGCTTTAAGTCGGCGGCACCTCTGGGAGCTCACTTTGTGGCTTGGTTGTTCGTTGCGCTTTGCTGCGTCTGGGATGGACCCATGTTACCTTTTGAACGAACTTTCCGATCCTTCAACGCGACGCTGGTCGCGCTGGTTATGTGTAACATCCTGCGTAGCCATGTCGGAATTGCCCTTCTTAACCAGTCATGAGGATGGTGGAAACGGTTACGGCAGCACATGGCGGAAACGATTACGGCAGCACATGGCAGCACATGGCGGAAACAGTTACGGCAGCGGTGTTACAACGGAACCCTAGGCAATCCAGTGCCTCCAGACACACATATGTACCTAAATGGCGTAACGCCTGATGACTTTGTTCACAGCTGCATTTTCGGTGACAACGCCAGAACGGTTTATACATATGTACGGAGGGAAAGAACAATCAACACTCAGTACGTCTACTCGTCACACGCACACCCGGTGCCTTGGCTTGTCAAGAAGTAGCGTCACCAACACGGCCGCACCTGTACCGTAGTCCTTGTAAGGCCCACTGGCCCCGTAGAGGAGTACTATACCCTTCATGACTACATCCCAGCCTGTCCAAGCAGAGTGCTAAACGCCACCTCAAGGCTCTTCCTATCCGGCGCTTAAACCCTCCCATCAACCCTTTCCCCGAATGCCCATGCTCTACCCTATCCATCACAACAGCCAAGTGCTCAAGCATGGCCCCCTAGCTGTCATCCATGATGCCCCTAGCCGCAAACGTGCTATAGCCTAGAGCCTACATTAATACTGCGCGAACCCGGGGCCACCGAAGCCACCCCCCATGTGAGGTGCCGCTCCAAACGGTCCTCCGAAGCCACCCGAGGGCCCTGCTGCGGCCGCATGCGGGTCCGCGTAGCCGCCGCCCGGTCCGCCCGGCCCAGCCATGTTTGGAGCGGGCAGCGCCAGGGGCATGAGGGTCGCATAGGCGTTGCGCTGAGCCTCCTGGTGGCGTTGTGCCTGGGGCCGGGAACGACACAGCAAGGGAGGGCGGATGGGGTTTCACGTTTCACACGGATGGGGTTAGGCTGGCTTTAGTGTGATGAGGATATGACAAGGCACTCGGCAAAGAGAAGCCGTTGACGGCGCCTCGGCTTCACAGGAATAGAAGCCTAACAAGCACTGGAGGGATGCCGGGTAGCCTACCCACCTGCTGCGCCTGCTCCTTCTCCTTCTGCTGCTCCTTGCGCTCGCTCATGAGCAGGTCAACCTTGCCCACGTACTCCTTCAGCATCTGCACAAGCACGCACGAAAGGGACAAGCAGGAGATGTAAACAACAGCAGAAAAAGCCAGGCGAACCTTGCACGAGCGGAAGCCCCTTAGCAAAAGCGTCTAGCAGACCAAAATTATCAGTACGACAGTAGCGTACCTGAATCATGTACGGCATGGAGAAGTCGGTTAGGCCGTTCATCCAGGACAGCTCCAGCACCACATCGGGCCGCAACAGGTCGTAGCAGGTGTAGAGGCACGCCGCGAAGCACTCCTTCTCGCCCTTGTCGATGAAGTACCTTTTGCAAGGCAAAGGGTACAAAGGAAAAAGGAAAGGTCTTCAACATGCAATTTTCCGTTGCTCGCAAAGTTATCGTATACGGGTCAGCAACAACATGCAACATCAACATGGCTGTCTGCGTGTCACGCCCCATGTAACGCATGCTCTCGTCTCCCCACTCCACCGCACTCTGCCCCCCTCTCTTCTTCTCCTCACCGCAGCAGCTCCTCCGCCAGCTCGGCGTCGCCGCTCTGCGCGGTGGTCTCCATGGCGTCGCGGAACAGCCCGTCCGCCTGCGCCAGCTCCACTGCGCGCCGCCACTTGCTGTTCTGCTTGTACACCAGCGCAGCAAGCCGCCGGAACTCGATCAGCTCGTGCTTCTCAAGCCGAGCCGCCAAGGCCAGCTGGAGGGGAAGGCAGGAGGAGAAGGGGCGCAGGCAGGCAGGGGGTTGTGTTGAGGTGGGCATGGCGCGCATGGGCGTGGAAAGGCAGGGTGGTGTTGCACGGATGGACTGAGGGTGAGTGATTATGCCTAGGAGCGTCACGACACACATGCAGCGTGGCATGGGCAGTGATGCACACTGTGTGAACGTTAGGTTGACCGGGATGACATGACCGAGGAGTGTACTAAATGTTGGCATCCATAGCTGCTTTGGCTTCATACTTGGTGGTAAGTGTTTCCTCAGGGCAGAGCCATCGGATTGTTGCAGTTAGTGTTTGCATCATAAGCCGTTGCCCCTGTCACCGCAACATGCAATGCCACAGACATGTATGGAAGCTGAGGCGCTGGGGATTGGCCTTCACACCCGATCTGCGCTGACCGGGAGCTGCATGCATGCACATCGCACAGCATGTACGATAAAGCGTACCCTCCCGCACCTGGTCAAAGTTGTCGTACGTCGAGATGGAGTGCTTGAGGCCCTCGAAGTCCTCCTCCTCGATAAGCAGCCCGTTGATGGCCTCGTTGACCTCCGCGTGGTTTGCTTTCTGAAGGGACGCAAGAAGTAAAACGGCAACCGGGGAGAGCACACCATGGTTACGACACGGTACCAACAATACGGAAAAGATACAGACGCGAATGCATCCGGCCCCCCTGGCACCGCCCGCCTGTTTGCCTTCGCCGTACCGGTATGTTCCATCTCCCTTCCCTCCCCCTTCTGCCCGCCGCCCTCCCGCCGGCCCCCCCACCTGCACCCCCAGCAGGTAGTCCTTGATGAGCGGCAGCTGCCCCGCCCGCCGCATCATGTCCACCACGCGCCCGTGGTCCAGCCGCGCCTGCAGCACCGCCAGCAGGTCGCACAGCAGCTCAGGGTGCTCGTCCAGGTAGTAGGCCAGGCCGCGGTAGTGCGTCTCGGTGGAGGAAACCTGCGGGCGGGCGGGCGGGGAGTGAAGGGGAGTGAAGGGGAGTGAAGGGGGAAGGAGGGGAGAGACATGCAGGAGGGATGGAGAGGGTTGGTGGTGCGAGAGACGGGGGAGGGTGACGCCATGTCGGTATGGCTGTGGCTTGATAGAGCCGGTCTATACGCGTCCCTCCATGCGCCGGAATCCGCGAGTCCGCACGACTGTGACCTGAGGGTTTGCCATGAGGCCCTCCCGCTCCCTATTCCCTCTTCCCCCGCCCACTGACCTTGACCGCCACATCCTTGAACTGCACGTGCTCCCACGCCACCGGCGAGTGGTTGATCATGCACAGCGCCGCGTTGTCGTACTCGTCGTACGCGATGTACAGCAGCGTGAGCTCCTTCCAGTGCTGCTGCTCGTCGCACACGCGGATGAGGCGCGGGATGTTGAGGCGGTTGCCGAAGAGCTTCAGGTGCTCCATCAGCTTCTCGGGCCTGTATCGCGCGTACAGGATGCCCAGCTCCGTGAAGATGCCCATGTGCGCGCGCTCCAGTCCGATGCCGCTCTCCATCAGCGAGATCAGCTCGTCGAAGTGGCCCTTGCGCTGGTAGGTCTCCGAAACCTGGAGAGAAGCGGTCCGGGAGGCAAGGGAAGGGAGAGGGGCGGGGCCGAGCAGGCGACACATAAGTCAGCGGGGTTATAGTGCCGGTAGGGGCAGCCGGGTCGGGCAGCGGGGGCAGGGAGAGCGCGGCACAGGGCGGAACAGCGCTACGGCGACTGCCACGACGCATGGAAGGATGCTACCGGTGGCGCAGTTTGACGAACACAGGTCTACCGGGCTCCCTGGCGAACACCCAACCCCATTCCACCAGTGCTGCACTCTTCTATTACAGGGGTTCGCACCACCCCCAATGCGCCAGTCCCCAACCCCCCACATTCCCCACCTCGTCCAGCTCGTCTGCATTCACAATGATGGCCAGGCCGCACAGCTGCGCCAGCCGGAACTCCTTCTCGTCCACACACGCGTAGCACACCTGGCGATGGAGGCGGAGGAGGGTGAGGAAGAAGGGGAAGGGGAAGAAGAGGAAGGCAGGTGAGAAGGGACTCAGGCGGGCAGACGGGAGCAGCAACCGACCGACATCTCAACCCAACTCTGCTCCGGCATGTACCGAAGCGCATGCCAAGTGCCATCACCGCTGTCAAACACAATTATCTGTCCATTCCCATCCACACCCCATCCCATCCCCCTGCCCCGCTCCTGATCTACCCCCCCTTACCTCCTTCCATGTCTTGGGGTTGTTCGCCTTGCGCGCCGCATCCACCGCCTGCTGGAACGCCCGCAGCCGCACCAGCGTGCTGGCCAGGCGGCCGTAGTTGGGCAGGTGCGCGAACAGCACGCGCGCCGCCTCGTACAGCCCCTCTTCGTAGCAGCGGTCGCCGCAGGCCTGCAGGTTGGCCTGGTGCGTGGCGGAGATGAACTCCTCCAGGGCGGCCATGTTGGAGGTCTTGGCGTACGCGTACACCAGCTCGGTGTCAACCTGGGGGGGGGCGGCAGGAGGGGAGGGGGAGGGGATTGATAGGGATACATACTCCGCATTAGGCTGGATAGTTGGGTTAGGAGGGTAGGAGGAGGGGATGGGGGTAAGGAAGAGGAAGAAAACTAACCGCGTGACAAGGATGCACCATGAGGCAGAGTGGGGAAAGGAGAGAGTCGAGGGGGAACGGGGGCTCCCTTACCTTGGCCTCCTTGACCTTCTTGCGCACCATGAGCAGGTACTTGACCAGGTCGTCGTAGCAGCCGCTGCCCTTGGCCGCCTCCGTCACCGCAACGTACCTGAGCGCAGGGCGGGGGGGGGCGGGAAAGCGGGAGTAAGTGCGGCAGTCCCCAGCCACTTCTCCCCGGTCTTTGCACCATACATCCCTCCTTTCTCATCATCCTCCCAATCCCCAGCTGCTCAGCCCTCTTCCCTGTGCTGCTGCCCCTCCCCCTCCCCTCTCTGCCCCACCTGGTGGAGTCGGCAGCCTTGAGGTAGGACGCGATGGCCTCCGCCACCTGCCCCGCGCCCAGCTGCGCGTGCGCCAGCTCGCTCCACACGGGCGCCTCGTCGCACTTGGAGGCCCACTCGGAGGCGCGACCCAGGTCCCGCAGCTGCTCCAACAGCACCTGAGGGGAGGCGTACGAATGCGGGTTAAGTAGGGAAAGGAGAATGGGCGTGGAGGGTGGCGAGGTGGGTGCGACGGCCCCAAGAACGTCTCAATTATGAAGCCTATGAACACGCGTAGACAAGCAGCAAAACCGAAACTGTACATGGATCGCGTTCGTAAGCCGGCAATGTGTCCTAAAAGCCTCCCTCCCCAAAAGACACACAAGTAATCACAGTACGTTCCGACTCGCGGCCAGTTCCTTAACACAGGCCGCTCCTCTTTTCTCCCCCCTCACCTTGACCGCCTCCACGCGCTTGTTGAACTTCTTGTAGATCTCGAACGCCTCCTCCGCCAGCCCGTGCTCGATGGCCTTCTCAGCCACCGCGGGGCCGTCGAAGTTGTCCAGGCGGTAGATGTAGCCCTGGGGGAGGGAGGAAGAGAGGAGGAGCAAGTGTGACATGGCAAGCAGGGAGCGAGCTGCGGAAGGAAGAGCGAGGGTGAGGTGAAGTGCGACGAGATGCGTTCATTTGAAGGTAGGGGAACAGATGCCCCTCCCCTCTTCCGCAGCTTTACCCCACCCACTCCTCATTGAAAGCGGGTCAGCGGTCCAACCACCACCCCTGCCTGCTCCCACCTTGACGCGCGACTTCTCCGACTTGATGGCGGTGAGGATGAGCAGGTTCTGCAGGTTGGCGTTGTTGGAGAAGGCGCTGTTCTGCAGCACAATCTTCTCCAGCAGCTCGATCAGCTCCGCCTGCAGACCCTGCGCCATGAAGGACTTGACCGTCACGCTGACCTGCAGGGCAGACCCATGGGTCAGGGGGGTGGCGTTTGTCGGTTTAGAGTGGCTCGGCAGGAAGCATACGTGGGTTGAAATAAACGGAGGAGTCGCGAGACTGGAACGATGGCGTGCAAAGGAACAAGGGACAAGGACAGACTAGGTAAAGATTTACGCTGTCACGCTTTGGAAAGACCTTCACCACGTAGCTCCTCCCTCCCTCCCTCCCTCCCTCTCCACCCCTCCTCCCTCCCTCCCACCTGCTCCGGGTTGCGGCTCTCCGGCAGCGCGGTGCCCACCACCTGCTCCACCAGCGAGGCGCGGTGCGGGTTGGACTCGTCCAGCACCTTGGCCCACAGAGCGGGGTCGGCGCGCTCCACGATGTACCTGAAGCAGCGGGGCAGCAGCAGCGGCAGCAGCCGGGGGCAGCAGCGGCAGCGAGCAGGAGGCAAGCATCAGCAGCAGCAGGGGCAGCGGGGTCAGGAGGCAAGCATCACAGGCAGCATGAAAGTGGGGTGTGTCTGTGCCACAGCTGTTTCTTTCTCCCGCAGCCGCATCCGGGCTGCAAATCCCCTCACGCCACACGTCCTGCCCTTTCCCCTTCCACCCCATCCCCGCGGCTGCAAGCCCCACCTGGCCTGCGGCTTGAACAGCGCGTTCTTGGAGGTGCACTCGATGAGGGCGTCATCGCAGGTGCCCCGCTTGTAGGCAATGACAGCCAGGTTGGGGTCGCGCTTCTCGGCGTGCCTGGGGGAGCGGGCGCGCGGGGAGAGGTACAGTTACAGAGGAAAGCAGCTAGTTGGCTGGAGGAAGGGTTGATGGTGGGAGGGAGCTATTGGTTCGCAGCTCCGGAACCAGTATGATCGCAGCTCCGGAACCAGTACGACGACTAAAGGTAGGGCAGTCCCATAAAACCCCATACCAAACCTAACGGCTGGTCATCAGAGGATCAGCCATAGACCCAAACGTTCCTACGGCCGCTGGCTAGCTACCTAGCTAACTCGCTAGCTGTCCCGGCTGCCCTCTACTCACTTGCCGACCACCAGCGAGTCGTAGAAGGGGTTGGTGGTGAGGAAGTGCTCGGGGTTGTTGTTGGTGTCGATGATGATCTTGCCTGCGCGGTGTTGCCGTACCACCAGCCGGGCGGTGGGGAAAGGCATGTGAGAGACAGGCCGGGAAGGGCCCCTCCGTACGGAAGGCCTTAACAGCTGCCCAAACAGCTAGGGCATGGCATGCCCAACAACAACCCCCACCACCCACCACCTAACGCCTTGCCCTCACATGCACGACTCCCTTCGGAACGGGTTGCCTCCCCCCTGCCCCAACCCACCCACTCCACTCCACTCCACCCATTTTCCCCCCCCCTTCACACCGGTGCCACCCACCCAGCGCGTTGTGCACATGCGGGTCCTGGCTGCCCTCGCTGATCAGGTGCTCCAGGAAGGGCGTCAGCAGCTTAAGCCGGTTGCGCCGCTCCACCGCCTCCACCAGCCCGTCCACCGGCAGCAGCGAGCGCACGGACAGGATGAGGTTGTTGATGAACTCGTCGGGCGCCTCGCAGTCCAGCAGCGCACCCACCACGGCGGGCGCCTTGGCGGGGGAGACCTTCTGCACGTAGCCCTCGATGTAGCGCAGCATGTTGTTGGCGAAGCTGCATGGGGAGCAGGGCGGGGCGGGGGTTGGGGTCCAAAGAGGGATTGGGTGGGGCGGTTGCAGAAAGGGGGAGGAACGAGCCGTGTGTGGCAAGGCGGCTGTGCCATGGGGTGCATCATGGGTGCGTGTGTTAAAATAACTGGCCGCGAAGACTGGCCGAGAAACGTACTGTGATTGCCGAAAGATGGTGCGAGTGTGGGGGGGCGGTGGGTGAGGGTGGAGGTGCAGGCATACCGATGGGTAAGACAGTTGGGGCAGTTGGGACTCACAGGAACTGCGTGAGGTCCTCCACCATGTCGAAGCGGTCGCACACGTTGATGAGCGGCCGCGCGTCCGGCAGCTTAGCCTCCATCAGGAAGGCCTTCACCTGAGGGGTGGGGGAGGTGGGGGTGGGATGAGATGGGGTGAGGTGGGGTGGGGTGGAGACATGGGCGGAGGGTTACATGCATACACGGTAGCTACATTCGGTGCATTCCTTGTGGCTCAGGTGGTAATACGCTGGTGCAAACACTAAGACGGTATGAGAGCTACACACAGGCATGAAAAGTGGAGTTCATCCTGGTGACAAAGCGCCACTGGAGGCTTAGATGGATGCCTTTTAGCTTAGAAAATAATGTAAACGACTGCGATTAGGGGCCCGACAAATGGCATACCAAGGCTGCAAGCACCGGCATACAGGTAAGCCGCATGTGGAAGTGGAGGCACAGCGCAGCCAGCTACCCGTAGTCCCGTACCTTCTCGGGCGGGTAGTGGTTGGACTCACGCGTCACCCGCTCCACCTCCTTCAGGTTGCCGGTGCGCGCAGCCGCCTCGATATACTTGAAGTGCTCCTCGGGGCTCTGGGGGTGGGGGGAAAATTATAAATAAGTGCAACAACACAGTCCCAATCCCGAATCCCGACTCATGCAGTGAGCGATTAGGAGACTCTATTATAGAAACACGCAACTCAGAGACTTGAGTTGGAGGGAGACGGAAGCGGGCGAGGAGTGGGGAGCTGGGGAGTTGGTGCTAGGAGGGAATGACAGGGTAGAGAAAGGCAGCGGTTGCAAGGTGCGGGCAGCCATCCCTCTAAATCCACCAATCCACACGCACCCGCCCGGCCAGATGGGTTTCTTCTCTTTTCACCCCACCACGCCCACGCACCCAGCGCCCGCCCACGCCGCCTCACCTCGCTGAACGCGATGCGCGCCCCCAGGTAGAAGTACAGTCCGTGGTAGGAGTTGTAGGCCTCAAACAGCTCGCACACCTTGGCGCTGGTGAGCTGCTCCGTGTACTCCTTGGCGATGTTGACCACCAGCTGCAGGTTGGCGCCCGCGTTGGCCACCAGCAGCTCGCGCAGGCACTCCAGAGCCCACTCGCTGCTCAGCGTGCCGAAGAACTCCACCAGCGCCTGGGGGGGGGAGGAGGAGGGGAGGGGCGGGCGGGCGGGGGGGGGGATGTGTGAAGAGGGAGAAGGAACTAGGTAACTAACGGTGTGACGAGGCTGCACCGCGGGCTGTATCATGGTGGGGAAAGAGGGAAGATGTGTGAATGGCAGTGCAAAGTACATGACAGAGAAGGCAATGGTTGCGCCCCCCTGCGACCGCGCGAGCCCCCCCCCCTGCACACACACCCGCCTCCGCCAGCCTACCTGCGGGTCGATGGCATGCGTGTTGATGATGCAGCGCTTGATGTCCGACAGGTCGGTGTAGTGCTGCAGCGCGCGCATGTACAGCCCCGCCTTCTCGCACAGCTGCGCCACGCGGGGGCGGTCGTAGTGGCTCAGCGTGCCGCCGGACAGGATGGCGTCCGCAACCTGCGTCAGGCAGGCAGGTAGGTAGGCAGGCAGCGGGAGGCAGTGTAGGGACGCGCGGAGTAGGGAGGGTGTAGGGAATGCTAACAACAGGTCTGTAGAGCTGCTGTAGAGCAGTGGAGAAGCGGCACTTTACCAGCCCCACGCCCCTACCATTACCGCCCGCTCCCCACCCCGCCCCAGCCGGGGAGCCCACCTGCGGGTTGGTGACCAGGTTGATCTCCAGCAGCTTGGTCTGCAGCAGCGCCTGCTCGGGCCGGTCGCCCGCCAGCGCGTCCAGCAGGAAGGCGGTGGCCTCGCGCACCATGTTGCGCTGCGGGGGCGGGGGTGGGAGGGGGAAGGGGGGAGGGAAGGGGAAAGATGAGAGAGTAAGGAGGCGAGCAGCTGAGGAGGCGAGGCAGAAACATGCAGAGGGGATGCGGAGAGAAGGAAAAGCCGAGCGCAAGGGTGCCAAGAGTCACCTCCACCCGACTGCTGCACCCCCTCCAGCCCCTCATCACACACGCACCCACCCACCTGCAGGAACAGGTCAGCCATGACGTTGACCTCGATGGGCGGCGGGGTCTGCTTGGCCACCATCTTGGCCAGCGCCACCGCGCCGCCCGGGTTGTTCATCATCAGGCTCTGCAGGCAGCAGCGGTAGCAATGCAGCGGCAGCGGCAATACAACAGCAGCGGGAATGCAGCGGCAGAGGGCAAGGCAAGGAGGAGAGTAAGGGGTGAGAATGGTAAGGGATTGTCAGGACAGGTAAGGAAACCCAGTAGCAAACAGAAACAATGAGGCAACGGCGGCCGTCAATACACCACACGTAGTGTTGGCCACGTTACACGCCACGTGGCACGCGGGTACAGACGCGACGTGGCGTGTAGTAGGCAGGTGCGCGCAGGCTGTGGTCATGCTGCCGGTACGGCACCTGCAGCAGGAACATGTAGTCCAGCTTCTGGCCGGTGGAGCCGGTGTAGGCGATGAGCGCCTGGATGTCGCCCTTCTCAGCCAGCGTGGCGATCACCTGGGGCGAGAGGAGGCAGGGGAGGAGGGGAGAGGCTTTGTAGTACCGGTATGACATCTTGAGCTAGCTAGGAGGGATGGGGGTTTTAAGATTACCGCTGGAGCAGCTTTCATTCTAGACGGGCGCATGCAACCTCACACGCGCAACATGGTATCTGCCCTTTGACCAGCACACCCTTTAACTTTCCGCCTGTCCCATCCCATCCAGATCTAAACCCTCTCCCTCACGCCTCCATCCGCCTTGCTCCCGCTCACCCCATCCCCCTAACGCCCCCCTCCCTAGTGTCAGACCAGCCCCCCCCCGTCCCTCGATGTGATGTGTACACTACCTCAAGCCTCCTTTTCATTGCGGGACCTATACTATCCTATTATCTCTGCGTTTACAGCGGGCCTACGTGCAGCTTTCATAAGCAGCACATGATCTAAGGTGACGGTGTGTACACGGATTGCCTAATCATCACAATCATAGGCCGGCTAGTAGCTAGTAGATGCAGCGGCATAGTGCAGTAGTGGGTAGTAAGTGAGCCTGGTGACAACTAAAAAAATGACGACCATAAGGATGTCGACTGTCTTAACACACCGTCACCCTAGGTCACGTGCAGCTTTTGGAAGCTGCATGTAGGCCCGCTGTAGGCCCTCGGGTTAGGCAAGATGGGTGACTACCAAGTTTGGACCCCATGGTGAAGCCTTGTCGACCAGATCGTCAGGCTGTTCCTCACTACCCCTCAGCTCCCTCACCTTGGCCCCCGCTCCGCACTGCTGGTAGACCTTGAGTGCGAAGTCCTTATCGCCCGCGGCGCTGACAGCGTCACCCAGCTCCTCACAGGCCTGCCAGGCGGGGGCAGTGGGTGGAAGGTAGTTTAAAAGGTAGTCGGTATACCGTAGGAAGATAGTAGGTAGTAGGTAGTCGGTCAAGGGCGGTTGGCGAGCACAGGGCAGCTTAAGTAGTGAGTCAACAAGGGAACTGCTTTCGGGTTACTAGCTAGCCGGGCCGGGGGATGTCCCGGTGGGTTGGGACGGGAGGCGTGCATACGTGCACTCGGACGCTGCTACTCTGCCGTACGTCCGTTTCCATGCTGGTAACTGCCCGCTGAGCCATTTCCATCGTATGCTATCTCCTCCCCTTCCATCTCGCCTCCGAAACCTCACCTCCAGCTTGCCCTCTCCCCACCAGTTGACCAGCAGCTCCTTTTTGTTCTGGCTCAACACCAGCCTGCAACGGGCGGCAGGGGGGACGAGGACGATAGGCGCCACATGATGCAACAATAGTACGACGAATGCCGCTACGGCGACGGCAGTGGGGCAGTAGGACAAGGTGAGGGGTTCCTTTCCACCTCCACCTCTCCAGTACTGCTTGTAACGCTGAAGTTGCCCAGCTTCCCACCCCCACCATCCTAGCATAGCGGAGCACAATGAAGCCCCGCCGTACCCTCCCCATGCGCCCCGCTCCCCACCCGCACACTCCGGTTACTCCCTCGCTGCCCCGCCGCCACCTTCCGCAGGCCCTCACCCGCCCCGGTCCCTCCGCTTGCAGCCCCCGGTGCCAACTTGGGCCAAACCCTCACCCATCCTTCTCCTTGTTCGTTTCCCCTTGTTATCCGCCCACCTAACCCATCCTTCCTTACCCGCTTTCCATACAGGCCTCACCCGCCCACCCACCCACCTGGCCAGCTCCCCGCTCTCCGCCGCATTCAGCTTGCCCCGCTGCAGCAGCACGCCCAGGTACACCAGGATGGGCGGCTTCTGCCCGGCGGGCGGCACCGCCGCCTTCAGCCGATCCATCACCTCGCGCGTGCGCAGCTGCCCCTGCGGCGACTCCGCGGCCACCTCCGCCGCCTCCTTGTACTGCCCCGCGCCGTAGTAGCGCTCGAACTGTTGCCCCACCAGCGCCTCCGCGCCCGGCAGGTTGCCGCGCTTGGCCATGGCCATGGCCAGGTCCAGGTTGCCCAGCTGCTGGCTGACGAAGGGAACCATGGAGGGCTCGTTCACGGTGGCCAGCAGCACCTGGCCGCGCCTGCGGGCGTTTTGTGCGTGATGGGTGGGGGCGTGGGTGGGGAGGTGGGTCAGCAATAGCAGCAGCAGCAGCGGCCGCAAGACAGGATGAAAAAGCAGCAACAGCGCCTAGAAACAGTCAGAAGCTAGCAGAGGAAAAGCCACCAGGCCAGGCTAGGGATCATGCCTAACATCACCCCTGCTGAGGCAAAACACACGCGCATACATCCATCCCAATCACAGCACGTTCTTCCTTGCGGCCACTTTAATCACCCACACACATCCCGGATGGCCAGCCGTCCCCTGCCCCCCTGCCACCCCTGCTCTCGCAGTACCTGTTCACGCAAAAGATCCCGCCCGTGGCCTCGCTGGTGCATGCAAGGAAGACGGGGTCGGTGCTGATGCGGTTGCGGTACACCGCCGTGGCCGACTCCAGGTCGTACACGAACACAAAACCCAGCTTGGACACCACGTACACCAGCCCGTACTTCTCGCTGATCTGAGAGGGTACGGAAAGGGTACGAAAAACGCGAATACGGCAGGCTAAGGACCCCCGAAATGGGAAAGATTTCGCGAAACGCAGTTTGCGTGCAGTGACGCGGGGACCCCGGTACGGGCTCCCTAATTCCTTCTTTAGTTTGTTTACAGCTTCCCGCAACCTTGGTGCCCAGTGAACAGGACAACACGGTAGTTTCGATCAAGTACTTTCGGGGAGTGGTTGTTATGTGAGTACTCGCCTGCAGGGACACGGGGAAGTCATCCGCAAAGTCCGCCGGGAAGAAGAGCTCGGCGTTGCGCTTGATGGCGCCACCGGCTGCAGCGCAAGGGCAGAGGATGAAGAGGCAGCGGCAGGGACGTGAACGTACGAGTGTGATTAAACCATGCATGCTGCACTGCCTTGAAAGACGAGCCAGCTGACGCAGGTACCTCCCAGGCTGTTGCCCTGGCCAAGTCTGTTAAATGTATAGGACATACTAATCCGTCCAAACCCGCCGCGTCCCTTGCTGCGCTCCTGGCACGTGCCTAGCGTCGCTGCTCACCCGCCGCGCCTCCCAGCTCGATGACATGCAGCTTGGAGATGATCTGCCCATCCTTGAGGGTCTTCTGGGCGAAGGAGATGACCAGGCTGGAGGTGTCACGACCCGTGAACTGCATGCGTTGTTGGTGCATGTGACATGGTGGGGATGGGGGACGTGGAGTCAGCGCGGATCAGCCGGCATGCTGCAGCCAAGACACTCCTGCGCCGCCTGTTAATCCCATGCCATGTCCGCGCACTCGCATTCCTAACCCGCCAAACTTGATTTGGGTCGATTTGGGTCAATTCAAGAACGGCCTGAAGGCTCGGCTCCCTCCCCTATACGAATAGAGCAGCAGTGCGCCGGCGCATATGCCCCGAAGACACCAAAACGCCCGTACTCTTGCGCAACCCAGACGCGCTCTAACCTTAACGTTCGCAAAGGCCGCAGCGTGTGCCTCCAGCGGCTGGCTCTTCGCCTGCTCGAAGGAGTACAGCTGCATCAGGCCCTTCGCCAGCTGCGGCCTGTGGAGCGGGTTGCCGAGGGGACGGTCATGCCTAAGGAAGTGCGTGGTTTTGGTAGCTATCCTAGACATGGACTGGAGAGGTACTCCAAGCCAGCACAGGTCCGGCGCCAGCTTCAAGGCAGCTGCCGCAACACCCCTGGCATTGCGTTGTACGGACCCTGTTCCAAGAGACTGCGTTACAGGTCCATGCCAAGCCAGAACCATACGGAAAACGTTCTAGCCCAGAGAGGCTAGAGACCAGCAGGACGCCGACTGCCCTCTGATCTGGGTCAACGCAAAACGCACCTCTCAGGGGCACCTGGCGCAATGCCAATCAGCACCGCCCACTTTCCGTCGGGGCTAGTACGGTAGCTGATAATCTGGGAGCCAGCCAGGTTGGGCGTACGGTCGAAGATCTTCGTGGGGGCGTCCGAAGCGCCCTGCAAGCGTTGATTCATGGAAAGCGCTGTGTCGCTGTGTACCCGTCAAAGCTCAACTGTCGCAGCTAACGGCTGGCATACTCCCCTTGGCTTCCCGCGGCGCTAAACAATGCCGGGAGGAGCATCTAGGGCTGAGGAGACCCTTACCTCTACGTCCCAGTGGTACACCGCTGTTGCGGTCACGAGGCCCAACATAGTGGGACTGATCCATTTCCAGAACTCCACGCTCTCAGGCATTTGGTACGCCTTAAGCTTAGTCTTTGTGTCAAGGTTAAAAACCTGCAGCGTGTCTCCCGCTGTGCCAGCTGTAACTGCCTTGAGGGCAATGACCTTCTTGTCCAGGCACATGAGCGCGCTATCCGCGCTGATTTGTCGCCGCGTGGGAGAAAGCGGATTTGACATATCCACGATAACGACAGTGTTCTGCGCTCCGGTCTCGCGAACGCAGATGAACTTGTCCGACTCCATTGTGACATTCTTGAAAGAAATGAACTCGGGCGCGACCCCAATGCTAGGAAGCTGCACGCAAAGTGCATTACGGGTCACATGGTGTCAACTTTAGCACAAGGATCTAGTATATGCTTACCAGCAGCTTCTCAAGCACGAGGATCGGCGCGGCTTGTGCCATTGCGACCGTCCCTATCCCAACCGTCCCTATGCAGTGTCAGCCCTTTACGTGTACGTATATAGATCGGGGTAGGCTGCCCCACGAAGCGTTCGCCTGAGAGCTATACCAGCGAGGTCGAGGAGTAGGATGCGAAGCCAGGGAGCTGCCGTACACCTGCTAGTGCACACGAAGACCAAGGGTGCTACACAACTTTTGCTAGCCAAAACCTGTCCTACAATACGACCCGCATATCTGTGGTTATGATGTAGGTTGCACTCTAGCTGTGTTAACCGGTTGTCCGCTCACGATCTCCAGACTTTCCTCACCACTTCACAGACCAAAACTGCCATCATCATAAGGATTCTTGCCTGTACGGTTACCAGGCAGGACTTGCACGCGCACTAAAGTGCAATGAAGTGGAATTCCACTTCTGGTGTACATAACTTATCTGTTTCGTTCGACAAAGGGAGAGGGGTATTAGTTTCTCCAGCCACAAGGCATTTTGAGTTACCATCAGTTACATCGCACTGCAGTCGGCTCCGCATCTGACCCTTTCCGAAGGCCAACCAACTATTTATGATGCGCTGATCAGCGTGGCATTGTATGGATGAACAATTTGGGCAGTTTAGTATTACTCTGCCTAAGTTTTCCTGAATCCCATCATGACCTCGTGCTTGTGCAAAAGTTCAACCCGTAAATGCTCTCCGAAGCATCGGCCAGTATGGCAATCCCTTGCCGGTTAATGCATAAGAAGAGAACATCGCGACTTAACAAGGGCCCTCATCTCAAGCCCCTGACACAAGGGCAGCCAGCCATGCATATGACAGGTCAGGAGCATACCCTGGGTGGGGAAACTTGTCGTGCGCACTACAGGAAACGCCCCCGTCCAATGCTTCCTTCAGGCTACCTGACGACCTGGCAAACGATCTTGATCTGCTCCCCTTAGGAAAGGCACTGGAAGTTACCCAAATTCCCTAAGCATGCGGACATGGTATGTACAACCCCCAAAGACAATGTCTCTACACCCTTTGAAATTAATGTCGCTCCAGACTCCCTGTTCCAGGTCACATTAATATTTACGACTGCAACACCAGCTGCGCTTGTCCAAGTTATGCAAATCATTGAAATTGCAGCATGTCACAGACATACCCATGTGTTCGCCATCTTTCTGAGCACGACTCCATGCATTACCCACCCCTTCCCCGCACAACAAGCCGGACACAGCTCAACAAAAAGTTAGAAACACCCTGCTACATGCATAGTGGTGTCTACAGCTACCACGGCCCCAAAATATGCCGGGAAGACATGCATAGGCAACCAACGTCCTCCAATACTACATATCGGTATCACAAGCACCCGTCACCCCCCTTGCCTCATCACCCCCTGCTTCATCACCCCTCACTCCTCACCTCTCCCTCCTCGCCTCTCACTCTCAGTTTCGTTCGCTATCCGTCAGGTATACAACAGCTTCTGCCTGTGCAGCCACACAATGAACAAGCCCAACAACCCAAGCGACCCAAGGGTCGATGTCAGCACCACGGCATTGAACAAACCCGCCTTCTCCTGCAGCCCACTGTTCAAATTCATTCCAAAGTAGCCACCCACGACCGTGAGCACGCCAAATGTGGTGTTCAGGGCTGTGAGCATGAGGTCAATGGTGATGAGCTGGTTTCGGTGCTGGTCCAGCTGGATGGTCACGAGGTCCTCCGTGTCCTTGATGTACTCGTCAACGGTCTGTGCGGTGGTTGGTTGGGTGCATGATGCATGAAAGCTAGGTAAAGGGGCGTGTTTTGATGTTCCGAAATCAAAACAAGGAATGCCCCGCACCCCACACTACACCCCATCTACAGGTTGTTGAAGGTGGCGGTCTGACCAACCCGTGCGTGTGGTCTGACCAACCTATCCGCACAGCGCACACATTCGCGGTCAGCCTTAATCAACAAACGTGCCCCCGCCCCCCACCCCGCCAAATGTCCCCACCAGCAATCGGTTGTATGCCTGGTCCACCAGCATGAAGTACGCCTCCAGCAACATCTCCACTGCAGCCGTCTCCGCCTCGTCGATGGAGGAATTGGAGGAGTGGGAGGAGGAGCTGTCGGAGTCAACCTCGCTAGGGGGCTGCGGGGGGATGTGAAGGGTTGAGGGGTGGGGGGAGGGGGAGGTAACGCAGTAGAGGTGAAGCACTGGAACCCGAATGCCATGGCGCGACTGGAGGGAAAGGGACAGCTTTTGACTGAGGACAGGAGGACAGGGAGAAAAAGAAAAAGCGATGATAGGATGAAGGGAACTAAACCAAGATCATGTTCCCTACCTAGGCCCTCTCCATACCTAGCCCAGCCCAGCTAACCCAGGAAGCCCAAGCATCTCACCAGCCCCGCTGACAGCCTCCCCAGGTCGGAGGGCCGCATGGACACCTGCCGCGACAGCTCCGCGCCCGTCAGGTGCAGCCGGTGCATGTCGCCGTCGTCGTTTAGCAGGCGCTCCAGGATCTCCCGCACCGACTGCACGCTCTTGGTCAGCCGCACCAGCCGGTTCTTGATGCGGCGAGCCCGCTCCAGCTTGACCGCCGTCACCTGGGAAGCGGGGCGAGGCGGGGAGGCAGCGGGCGCGAGGTGGTGATGGGGTGAGGACGACGATGGGGAGAAATGGAAAGCGGAAGTACCGGCACAGAGGTCATGGACGGTGAGGTCGCATCACGTCATGTTTACAGGCTCAGATGACTCCCCCCCCATTTCGGGCATGCGCAGCTGGCTTGCAATGGCCGTGCTGTACCTTTCGTGTGAGGTCGTCCAGGTTGGGGTAGGCGTCCGCCTCCAGCATCTTGGTGGCCTCGTCCAACTGGGCAGCGGTCTGGTGGGGGGGAGGGAAAGGAGGAGAAGGAGGGGGAGGGGTCGCACCAAGGGAACAAGTGAAGCAACACTTACCCCGTGCCATGTCCAGGCATACCTCCAGAACCCACCGTTCCCTCTGCCTGCCGGCGACATGAGCTAGCTAGTCATCGACAGACACCTAGCCTCTACCGCCCTCCTGCCGCCCTGGTCAGGGTCAGTGTTTCCGCGGCTCAGTTTATCTAATTCCCCCCCCCTGCCCGCCTCCCCCCTCACCATGTCCAGGCACACCTCCAGCACCTTGAGCTCGAAGGGCAGGTGCAGCGAGCCGTACCCCGCGCTGCCCCTCGCCAGCCCCACGTAGGAGCGCCCCCCCGTGCCCCCGGGGCCCTCCTCACCGCCGCCCCTGCCGGACTTGAGGTTGTGGTCGGCAGCCAGCTGGGGGAGAGGGAGGAAGGAACGAAGGAGGAAGGGAGAAGAGACTTTTTTTGGTAAAACCTCCTCGTATGGTTACCGGTAGCTGGCTCCTTCCTCTGGACCCCCCAGCGCCCCACCTTTGCCTTGAGCTCCGCCACGAAGGCCGCCACCAGGCTGCGCTCGTGCGGGTCGGCGGTGTCCTCGGGCGCCACCACCAGGCAGTAGTCCAGCGTAATGATGGCCTGGGGGGGGGGGCGGGGGTATAGGAGGAGAGTAGCAGACCCGTGGATATCATATATGAACCACAATGGAACAGCGGGGGCCGGTGACAGGCAGTAACGAGTCGCTACCGGTACCATCCACGGACGGAATCGGGGGCCGATTGCGATAGCTGGCAGTCATACAGGTGCACAGAGGCATAGCGCGGAGGCAGGGCGCACGCACCCTGATGTGCCACAGGTTGACGATGATGGCCTTGTCTCGGCCCAGAATTGCTGGCGGGGTGATGGAGGTGAGGTCTAGCAGCCGCAGGTCGCGAGCCTGCACACCCAGCTTGTGCATGAGCTGCGGAGTTGGAGGCGGGGAGGCGAGGGGAGGCGAAGTTGGATTTGGATCAACAATACCGGTACCAGTACGGGAGCAAGGACGCTGTAGGATTGCGCCATGCGAAGCCAAGGCCCCCAAGGGGAATCTGACACCATGCGCAAGACGCCGGGGCAGCCACGCATGTGGGCCCTGCTCCCAAGTCTACAACCCGTCACACAACACGGCATGCATGACGCAACCCAAATCCAGACCCAACCGTACCCAACCCAACCGCACACGGGTTTACCCACTCACCTTGTGCCTGTCCACCCTGATAATCGTATCCAGACCCGTGTAGTCAATCTTCAGCCAGTTGCTCGACAGCAGCGGCACCTTCTTAGGCTTCTCGGCGCGGTGCTTCCGAGGCGGCCGGACGGACGTCTCCGGCTCGCCCGCCGCTGCAGCAGCTGCCGCCGCGGCCGCTGCCGTAAAGGGCCCTGCGCCGCCTCCGCCCCCACCAGCACCCCCGCCTCCTCCCCCTCCCAAGTGCAGTCCTGCGAGCGACGCCAAGCCACCCAGTGCGCCGCCGATGCCGGCGGCGATGCTGCCTATGCTGGCCTGCTCGCCGCCTGCCGCCTCCACTTCGCCTGCCCCTCCGCCGCCTGGGCTGCCCATGCCCATGCCAAGCATCATCGCCCTGCCGCCTGCCTCCAAGTCCCCATCATCAAACATAGCGCCGCCCATCACGCTGCCATGGTTGCTACCTCCGCAGCCGCCGCCAACACCGGATCCAAGCAGGACTGCGGCGCTGCCGCGGCGGGGCAGCGCCGGCGAGAGGGGCGCAGCAGCTCCGATGGAGGGTGCACCGCCCAAGGACATCTGGCTGGGCCGAGGGTGGTGGGAGGAGGACTCCCCGGCTGGTGCCTCGGTGTCCGCGAGGAGGCCGCCATCCACCTCGTGTTCGTGGTGGGAGGAGCCGCCATGGCGATGCGGGTGCGAGTGCTGGTACGGTAGGGGGCCTTCCTCCTCGGCAATGGGGTTGTCCTGCGGCGCAAGCTGGACATCCTGTGGGGCGCAACGGGGAGTTGGCAGCAGGGGTTGGGATGGAGTAGGATTTGGGGATTGGTGCCAAGGGCACGCGCGGAAACTGCGTAGGTTTATTTCGCGTGGGGATGAGCCGGTGTGCCCGGGAGCCCTGGTTATGGCGGAGGTGGAACGCCCGCAAGCGCAGCTGCACTAAGGTGGTGTTGGCGCACTTGTATGAAGGCTCCACGTGGAACAGCTACACCATCAGCGCAGATGTTCTCCAACAGGCCAGATGCAAACTTCCCCGTTAACCCGCTTACCGTATCCGCGTTGGTGCGAACGACCTCAGCCGCGGCCTCATACTTGGAAATTAGGGCTTCATAACGGCTCCGCCGGGAAAGGCCCGGAGTCCCTGGCGTGCTTGACTCCCTGCTCATCTCCACAAGAGGACGCCAGTTTGCGGCTGGATATGAAAAGCAGCAAATCTATTGTGTCTTCTAGAAAGCGTCAGTCACGCGTATCTCCTACATCGCGGCAATCAACGTGATAAAAGAGGCAATCCAAACCGATGAGCCTAAGAAAATGGAGTCCTTCTTTAGCAACACCCTATTAAGAAAACGGAGATGACAATTTGTTGTAAAGCGAGCCACGTTGTAAGGCTCACGCTTGCTTTTCCGTTGTTCGTAAGCCATGTACGGTTAGGAACCTTTACGTATACGTCAGGAGGTGCTTCTTTATTCTGACCCACATTTATCATCTGAGGATTACAAAGCTGCACGAACTGACTATTAAGAAGCATTAGTATTAGTATTAGTTTAGTAGGCGTCGACGGCATACCGGTACACGACCGACGGATGTCTCGTTTAGCAGTACAAGTTTCTCGTTTGGGATGCGTACCATGGGCTTCTTGGGCAGCATGAGCTCGTATGCATAATACTAGCATCTGCGTAGAACAGGTCCTGACAGCTATACGCCGCAATCCAGTCTAAGCACCCTGGGGACTGACTTGTAAGTGCACATCGTTAACTGCGTCCTGGTTGGTTACCTGACGGTGGGCATGCCCACGCGTCTTTGCCCGCGGCGCCGGGTCGCTGCTTGAGTGATTCTACAAGAACGATACAAGACCTGGACATTCCAGCTACTGGAAATGTACCCAGTGTAGAGCTGCCGGAAGACGCCTGTCAAACGGGATACTTCTGTGTGCAATACCGTAAAAGCAAGGCTGCGGCAGGGCGCAGCTTCCTACCGGTATGGCCCGTCAGGCATCCCTCCCATGTATAAACTGCATCTTACAGCGATCCCCAGATCCTCTGGAGGTTCCCAACAATACCTTCAGAACCTCCCGAAGACCTCCCATAAACCTTTCTGTCGAGTAGAGCCACCTGGCCCCGAAGATGCACGAGCCACGGCTTTGCTCGTATTCTTGCGAGTGGACTGCTTGCCAACGCCACTGCTATTGCCCTTGCTGCTCGCCTTGGTAGCCCCCTTGCTATTCCCCTTGCTGCTTTTGTTCGAACCCTTTTGCTTGCCCTCATGCGGCAAACCTGCAGTCACATCAGCTGGTCCCTGCTGCACGCCAGTTGTCGTAGCTGGGCTTGTTTCGGAGCTGCTGCGGCTGCTGCTTGATCGGGCCCTCGCAGCACGGCTCTTCCCCGCAGCACCAGCGCCTCCCTCTCCTTCGTCTCCGCCACTGAGCTGCGATGCACCCGGCGGCGGGAACAGCCACTTCCGCTGCTGGCGTGGCAGCAGCAAGCCGTTGAACAAGTACGTTCTCCCGGGTGTGCACGCAACTCCTTCGGCACTGATGCCTGCAGCGAGTTTTCACAGCCGGCGTATGACGTAATGCGGCGAACAACATTGCACTTGGAGACTAGTACGACATGACACACAGCGTCACAAGCGCACGCGGCTCCGCTGTCCCAGCAAACAAAGGAGTGCCGCTTGCGGCCCTAGAGACCCAACAGCCCTTGCAGGCACTGCGCCGCACACAGAACTGCTGATAAAGCCATTGGCCCCACCCTTACCTTCATCCGTCATCGTCCCGGCCGCTGGGAGCACTGAGGTGTGCGCGGCCGATGCGTGCCTGGCCGCAGCACCCCTGCGGCGCCTGCCTGCTGCTTGGGCGCTCCAAAAGGTCCTGCCGCAATGGTCGCAACTGAGCGCCGGCTTCTGGGGATCCTGTTGCTGCTGCTGTTGCTGCTCCTGGGGCGGTTGCTGTTGCTGTTGCTGTGATGCTGAGGGGTTATCGGATGGCTGGGGAAGCCCCGTGGGTGGCTTGACCAGGGGCGGCGGAGGAAGCTGCTGCATGCCCGCTGGGGCATGGAAAGGCTGGTGGGGGTGGGTGGGGATGGGGTTGCGAAAGGTTGAATGGTGGATGTGCGCGATGTAATGAGACGAGGGGTGAGAACAACACGAGTGAGCCGTGAGGAGACGCAGCGAGCAGTACGGTATGGATGGGGGTGGGGTTCAAGAAGCGGGAATTGGCTCCACACGGGGCGACGGGGCTCGACGGTTGGCGGCTCTGTACGAGCCGACATGTGTGGGTGGGAAACGGGGAATACTGTAGGAGGGTGCCCCTTACCCTGCCTAGCCTGCCTGCATGGGTGTGTGCCCACTGCCCGGCTGCACGCCATCAGCCAGTTGCATACCTGCTTGCAAAAGCAGCACCGCAGTCCAGGCAGCGCGGCGAAGAGCCTCAGCTGCCGCAGCAGCAGCGGCGGTAGGAGCGCGTCCAGAACTGCGTAGCGGACCTGTGACCGGGTAACGACCCATGGGTCTTAGGTAGCGTGGTTGTTACGCACTTTGGAGAACAGCAGGCACACACCGCGGCAGAACGTTAAGACAGTCGCTAAACTCTTCTTCGGACCTATGCTCGTCCTAGTTGCACTCTTTCTTGCACTTGCATTCCAGACAATCCCAAAACCTCCTTCCTGCCTGCCTTCAACACCACTATCCGACCCTCCGCATCCCAGCCTCTGACACCCACCTTAGCTTCTGACATCTCGCCCTTCGCCCAGTTCGTCATGCAAGTGTTCCGTGACTTGCTGAACTCCTCAACTCCCAGCACGTCGCGAACCAGACTCGCCAGACCCAGTCGCGGCCAGCCAGCCGCACCCGCCGCAGCCTGCACGTCCAACACCTGCGTGCGGCCCGGAGGAGGAGGAAAACGCGGTTTCAGGTGGGCCTTGCGTGCCGTGTGTTGTACGTGGTCTACGGCGGCTGTGGCGTTCTTCGTTTGTCGTGCCCGTCGCTACATTGGTTGGATCCGCCGTGTGGCGTGGTAGCGATGGCGGATGTTCCCTTAGTTGGCTACCCTGTGTGTAGGTCATGCGATTTTCGTACGATGACTCAATACACATGCGGAGTGTGTGCACGCACCTGCATGTTGGGCAGGGTTCCGCCAAAGGCCCGCTCCATGCCCCCCCGGTCGCCGCTGCTCCATCCACACGCCACCCAGGTGAGGGTGGGATCTGACAGCAGCCTGTGCAGAGGGCCGCCCGGGGCTGCGGGGGACGGCGGGGTTGAGGCGGGGTTGGTTTGGCAGTTGGGGGGGGCGCGGCAGAGCACGCAGGGGGTAACGGCACGCAGCTGGGTGATGAGAGGGGACGTAGGACTGTGGACTCTAGAATGGAGAATGCGCGAGAAGCAGGGAAAGCGGGAGAGAGAAAGAGGCATTGGGGCCACGTGCTGTTGCAACGCTGTACCGAGCTACCGTCGCGCGTTGTCTGCACCCACCGGTTGCCGAGCGCCTCATCTGGGCGGTGTGCAGCAGCAGTGCGCGGGAGGGCGAGGCCAGCTGCGCAACCAGGCAGGTGGGTGGGTGGGTGGGTGGGTGGGGTATTGTAGGTTGGAACTGAGCCAGGACGAAGTACTGACACGCCAATCGGGTGGGGCGGTACATTGCACAGGCGGGCAGGCATGCAAGGGCCGAAGGCTGGCAGGCATCGATGTAGGTACGGCAGGCAGACATGCGGACAGATGGACGGACCCGGGCGGCATAGCCACAAGCCGGGTGGAAAGGGAATACGGAAGCGGGGTTGAACTACAGCAATATCAGCATTAATTCCCTTCCGCCCTTGCCTGCATCAGCGCCAGCGAGCTGGTGGTTCCCGGCTTGAAGACGGGCGGCCACTCGGTGTCAATGCCCAGCACCAAGTCGGGCGACAGGGAGGCACGCAGCCAGGAGATGGCCGGGACCAGCGAGCGGACGTCCTGTGTGCGCGTACGGCATACCACCCGGCAGCACGACAAACAACCATCTTGGCAATCATGCGATTTTGCAGGCTTGCAACTGACAAGCGAACGTGTACAAAAGGTACAACAGCTAGATCTTCATCTCTGTTGGAATGATTGGTTTGCAGCAAATGCGGTAGACAATGCGGAAAAGGCACGATGTTAGCAGAGGTAAGGAGGTTCACGCTTCCACTGTACGTACCTGTACGAGCAAGGCCTCGAAACCATCAGAGAGTGTGTATGCCGTACAGCCCGGCAACCGCTCATCGCTGCTGCTCGTCCTGCTGCTGGCTCCACCCTTCTCACGGCCGCCGTTGCTGTTGCCGTGTCCGTAGCCGTACCCAGGGAAAATGTCATCAACCTCATGAACCACGTCGTGGGAAGCTAGGCTCAATAACTCCTCCGGCAGCGGTACGACCTTCACCCTCGCGTTCTTTTCAAGCAGCTTATACGTGGGGCCAAAGTTGTACAGCAGGTGTACGGCATCCCAGGTAGTGGTAGTGCCGTTCTCACTCGCAGCTGCTGCCGTAAAGCTTGCGACTCCGGCTGGCGCGCCCGCCTTTCGAGCCGCAGCAGCATCGCCAGTAGTATTCGCGGCAGGTGGGTCCGCAGTGTGTTGCAGCGGCGGAAGCGGGACCTCCACCTGAACACCCTTGCGGACAATCCGAGCGCTTGCGGCGGCCTGAGGCAGGCGGGCAGCGGCGAAAAGGGAATACATGTGAGGGCATGCGGTCTCAGCAAAGCATTAACGGACTCCAAACCTTTCTTAAGAGCCCCATCGCAACCACAGGACAGCATAGGGGCTCTCCCCGCACCCATGACAGCCGCGTCAAAGTGGCTCGCTTTAACCACCCCGGGCCTAACGAGCTAGCCTACTGCGAGCTGCTGCGTTGCAGCAGTTGCGCACGGCTGCAGCCCTCTTTCCAAACTAAGGCAGCAACCTTACCATCGCCCGCCGAATCTCCTTTTCTGTCGGCTTGCGTGCCTCCTTTGCCGCCCCGGGGTTACCGCCCCCGGCGGCTCCAGCTGCCCCGCTCGTTGATGCAAGCAGACCCGCATACCATGCATTCCCCACACTGTCGCCTTCGCCTCTGCTACCTCCACTGTTGCTACTGCTGCCGTCGCTGTTACTGCTGCTGCTCATCCGGTGATCGCTGATACTCTCTGACACCCGTCCATAGTCGTCAAATCCTGCGCCCCCTCCACCGCCTGTCCCCGGCCATGCTCTCCAGTCATTGCCCAAGCCCCGGTCACGGGTACCCTTGCTGCCTGAACCCATGCTGTGACTGCCGCCTTCAGCCGGTGTGAGGCCCGCAGCAGCAGCGCCGGCAGCCTCCTCATCCATGTACCCTCCGCCCCAGCCACCCATGGAGTCAATCTTGGGACCCCACATGCCCAAGGACGCAGCGCCCTCGTCCGCGTTTCCGTCCTCTTCTCCAGCCTCCTCTTTCTCTTCATCCGTGCCGTCGAATAACAGGCCGAAGTAGGCGGACAGCGGCTCATCCTCTACATCCCAAAGCCCATGGTCGCTACTGTTGCCGGTTTTCCTGTGCCCCGCGGTAGTGCTGCTGTGACTGGTTTCCTGCTGACTCCTGGTGCTACTGGGCGGCAAGGACTGCTCTGACCCGTGGGTCAGCGGGATCGCCCAGTCTCCCAGCTCCAATGGGATATCCGCCCAATCCTCTTCTTCGAAGCCGCTGTGAAGGCGTTCTTCATTGAGAGGCTGCTGCGCTTGACGCTGATGGAAGATGCTGTCGCTCCCACTAGCAGCGCCCCAGTCGCCGTCCTGGCTAGATCTGTTGCTGTCCTTAGCACCCCATTCCTTCCCGCTTTTCCTTCTCCTTCTGTTAGAACTGCTGCTGCCTCTACTATTCCCACCAAACAACTCAGCGCTCTGGAAGATGGAACGACTGCCGTTGCGTCCTCTGCCGGGGTTCCTGAGCGCCTCAGCCTCAGCCTCGTTGCACCACAACAGCCAGTCTGGGTCTAGGTAAGCCGAAACGCTGCTTTCGCTGGTGCTGGGGTCCGTGCCAGCGCTGCTGGTGTTGCCCCCGTCAGGGTTGGAGCCGCTGATCTGCTGCAGGCTGTCGTACGAGGCCGTCCCGATGATGCCCGGCTGAGAGTGCAGGTGCTGGCTTTGTAAAGGTTGTGGTATTCCAGCCTGCCAGTAGGAACCCTCCGCCATCGCGGCTGTTTCCTGGAGGTAAAGAGCGGCATCGAAGTCTGCCGATTGGGGGTTCGTTGCGTGCGGGGGCACGTCAGCATTGTGGTTGTGGTAGTGGTTGCTGCTGCTACTGCTGCCGCTTGTGCAGCTGGGGCCCACATCCAAAGCGCCGCTGTCGCCTGAGTTGCTGCTGCCATGGGTCGTGTTGTTCGAGGAGTGAGGGGCAACTCTAATAGTTGCCCATCGTGTCAAACGCCGACAGGGTGCAATGCTGAGGGAAAAAGGCCGAGCTGCGACAATCCCAAGGCTCGCGTTGCAGGGCAGGTCAACGAGACCACACTTGATAGTGGTGCTGCCACATCGGACTTGGCAGCGGTAAGGCCGGAAGTGAGGCGTGGCTGCTGGGCTAAAATGGGCCGTGCAAGCAGTTCTCCCCTCCACCGCCATCACGCTCAGATTGTCGAGTGCATTAGGACGAGCCTATGTTTGCGTAACTTGATGAGGCCGATACGTGTTTGCTCTATGCAAGGTAAGCGACGGACGAATGGACAAGCTGCCCACCGCACGAAGTTAGTATCGCAAAATCTAATTCTCTATAAATTACTGTCTGAGCCATACTACGAGGGGGGCTATCGAAGACGCCGAATCGTGCCTGGAACCAACGCCTCAATTGGTACTACCGGCTTACGACTAGGCTAAACCGCTAGCTCTATGTACATGGTAAATGCTTGTAACCTAACGTCCTTGTAGTTCGTAGGGCCTTATGCTTGCACCTTAGTCAGATCTGTGCAAGCCCTACCTGGTTGGTTGAAAGGCTAGAACCAGCCTCCTTGCATCAAGCGGTGCAGATTCACCCGTACAGCCATTTCCTTAAATTTACACGTTGTAACGTTTGTGGCTTGCGCCGCTTCCAAGACATGTCAAGACCTCTCCCTCCGTGGCCCCCTCGCCATATGATTATGTTCAGTGCAGCTGAAGTCCAGTCATGCTTTCCAGAATCGTCACCATGCGCCTATCTAGCCATACAGTACCACCGGCCTATGACATTCCATGCTGCTCAACAAATTGGAGAGCCCTCAAACTTTCGGTGGCAAGGTGGCTGAAATAGGGTGGACGCGAGTGCATTGTACAGGTATTCAAAAATCTATACCGGTACGTGTCCGGTAGTAGTGATATGTGCCGCAACCTAATAACGTTGAATGTACATGTCAACCAGTTATTCATGGCCTCACGAACGGCCACCAGCATGCGGACTTGGCAATCCTGCCGACACAACACACGCCCGGATACCTGTGGGTGCACATCTGCTCCCGACTATTTTCCCTATTCTCCTCTCATATGGCCGTCTCCGTTCGAGTCCGTTAGACAACACCTGCTGGTCAGGAATGCATACTGGCAATCCAAACACCTGTCACACCACGATGTACAATTCATCTGCCCCTGACCCGCCTTCTCCGCAACCACATCCTTAAGCCGCATGCATACACATGCCACATGACCAGGGGCAGACGAGTGCATTACGCCACCCCCAGGCCCAACGCCGCCAGGGCGGCGTCCATCACTGCATCTATGTCCATCGCCCCCTCGCCCTCCTCCCGCGCCTGCGCCTGCCGGGCCGCCAGCGCTGCAGTGGTGTGCGCCCGCAGGCAGGCGGCCTCGTCCATCTTGGTGGCCAGCTGGTTGAGGTTGGCAAGCATGCAGCGCAGGGTGGCAACCTCCTCTGCAAGCGTTGGGGGAATGGGTGTTAAAGAAGGGTGGACGAAGGGAGGGACGAAGTCCTTGTCTGGGAGGATGCTACGTGATTCGGATGAGGTTTAAAGGGCTGGGGGTGGGTTGCAGGGATAACGGGTGGATGCGACGCGCTCAACCAACGGCATGTTACGCTAACCGTAAGAACTAGTCTTTAGCTGTGTGCATAGATAAGCACCCCGGAGCTTCCAGCATCCCCATCCCGCCACTCACCCACAAGCGTCTCATGCAGCTGTGGTAGCAGCTCAGCCATGGCCGGCACACCGCCCTGCTGCTGGCTGGCGCCCCGTGCCTCCGCAGCACCACCGCTGCCGCCCCCCGAGCTGCCATGCAGGAGCGACCCCAGCGCCGCCTCAGCCGACTGCAGGGAGGCCAGGCCAGTGGCCAGCGCGCGGCGGAGCTGCGGTATCGCCTGGGAGGCGTCGCCGCCGCCTGTGCCCAGAGCGGCGCCGTTGACGAGGGGCAGGCTGGTCAGCGCGTTCTGCAGCGCCGTGAGCACCTCCTGGCTGGCCGTCCCGTGGGCGTCCTGCGGCAGACGGCAGCGGCACGAGCATCAGCATCAGCAACAATGAGAGCAGCAAGGCACTAACGGCATGACACGGCAAAACCCCTACGTACGAGGACAAACTCTTAACTAGTAGCGTCACAATCCTGGCGGATGCAGCGGGCACACAGGATCGCGCGACCTTCGGAGATCCGGACTACGTGAAAGTTGAACAGAAGAGCTGACGCAGCATGATGGGAAGCTGCATGAGGGCAGCCTTGACCGGCCACTCCTTATCTCAGTCCTTGCGGTTATTGGAGCCATTTAATTACCACATACGCAGCGTGCGCCCCTCACCTGCATGTTGCGCCATTGCTCTAGCAGCGGCAGCTGGGTGCTGAGCACGTCTCGCGTGCGCTTCATGGCATTCTTGGTGGCGATTGCAGCGGCCCCAGCGGTGTTTTGCGCCATCATGTCCGCTATGAGCATGGAGACAGCACCAATCTCCCGTTGGCGCTGCGCACGGTAAACAGAGGGGATTTGGAGGACAAAATTATGTGGCTAAGTGCTCTTAGGATATGGGATCAAATTTACATGAGCGTGAGCATACCGGAGCAAGAACTGGGGTTACACAAGATCTGAACCCTCACGAAAATGATTGGTACGGCGTGCGGTACGTACCGCGTCACGTCGATGCCGGGCCGCGGCTGCAAGCTTGGCAGTGAGGCACCGCCACTGCAGCTCCTGTGCAGTGCAGCAGGCGGTGAAGCAGTTGGCAGGTAACGAGGTTGGTGGGGTCACAGGAAAGGGTACTCCGCGGAGTATGGAGATCACCGCGACCGCCCCTCAAACCTCCCATGAAAGCGGTTGCCCACGCATGACAAGCAGACTAGCAGGGCCTCACCTGTAATCGCACCATCTTGATCTGATTCTCAATGGAGCGGCCACCTGAGTAGGACCGGAAGGCGGCAAAGGCGCCCGTTAGGTTGGTTGCCCAATTACCGGTACACGCTGGTACAGCGGCCGGCGCAAACGGACGACAATGCTTCCTAATTGTTAGCATGCGGCAGTTGTGGTATCAATGAAAGCTGTGCCCCCGGTGGGTGTATTGACCCTTGCCTTTGTTAATGACTACATCATACCAGTGTCAGAGGTGCTGGCCTCCGCATGTGATGACGCCCGGCTTGCATGCCCGGCAGGCGCAGCTGGGGCCGCGGGCACAGCAGCAGGCGCTGCTGGGGGTGCTGCTGCTGCGGGGGCCGCGGACCGAGCGCTGAGCGGTTGCGCGCTACGTGCGGGTGCGGGCATGGACTGCTGCTGCTGGTTCTGCGCCTGAGGCTGCGCCGGGACTTGCTGTGATGACGGCTGGGACGGGCCGAGTCCAGGCCAGGGAACCGCGGCGCCGGGCATACCCTGCAAGGCACGACATAGGTAATGAACTAGAGAAGAAGGACGATTCAAAGAAGCGCAGGTCTCACGGGGGATGTGGACCAGGGAATTCTGTACGTGCACGTGTGACGGTATACCAGGATACATGGTGACTGTAAGGGCAACAGGCGTCAACATGGGCCCCCAGGAACTAAGCCTAGATGCCCAAAGGCTTCCTTCCTCCCGCACTCTCTCTTTCCCTCCCATCCTTCCAAGCGCTCACCCTGAGGGGGCTCTTAGTTATGCGTGAAGAGGGAGTTCTGGCAGCGGCTGGCACCAGGGCCTCCTCGGCACCATCCGCCGGCAGGGCCACCTGACATTGCGCATTGGGGATGGTGCAAAGCAGGACATCTGAGGTTCCTTAACATACCGCTCAGCTTTCAGTCGTGGCGCCTGCTGCATGCCCTACTGCCCATACTACAGCTTAGCCCGTCGAACGAGATGCAATGTTAGCATCTGCATGCCTTCATGTTCCCCAGCCTTCCCCAGCACCAGCAATTGTACCTGTGCGGCGTCCCACACTTCATCCTTTGGAAGCGGCAAGTTCATTGCCGTCTTGAGCTGCTGTTCCGCCACGCGCAGGCCGCCCGACGGCACCAACGACAAGCGCGGCACGGGCGGCGACTTGGCGGCGTTCGCAGCGGCATTGCTGGAGCGGCCGCTTACGCCCACGGCCCCGCTCGCCGAGCGCCCCATCACCTGTGGCTTCGAGCCGGCCAGTTGTCCGAGAGCGCGAGCAGACAACGGCGCCGCACCCGAGGCTCCACCCGTGTTGACGACAGTACCAATGCCGCCAACCTGGGCTCCACCTCCACTCGCACGAGCTGACGTGCCCTTACCAGCTTCCCCTCCTGCTACTGCTGCAGCTTGGGCTTGGGCAGCGGCTGCGTCGCGAAGGACTCCCAGCTTCAGAGCAGGTACCCGTGGCCCTTGGCTGCTGCCTGCTGCGGCTCCAGCACCGGCAGCCGCAGCGGAGGGAGCGCTGGGCGGCCCCATGCTGCCGGCGCCTACGGCCGCGGCGCCAGCCCGTGCCGCCTTTTCCTGCTTGTACCTACACAAGCATCCGTGTCGACAAAGGGGCGGTGAGGGTGTCTCAGCTCGGTTGCTAAGCTGGGCAAGCAACCGTGTGAAGTGCGGCTGTGTCCAGCCTCAGCTGCCCCGCCAAAAACGCCCTTTCGCAACAGAAGGAGGTCAAAGGCCTCTCTCTCCGCGGCTTGCGGCCTGGGCAACCCAACAGCTTAGCATCTCCGGCAACACTTGCGATAGAAGCGGTATCGGCCCCACCTGGCTAGTGCCTCCTTGCGGCTATCCTGAGCAGCTGTGTCGATCGCCGACAAGATGCTGCCGCGACCAGGGCTGCTACCAAACACTCCGGACTCACGTCCATGGGACATCCTGCATCGGGCACGTAAATGCATTCAGAGTTTAGGAAACAATGGTAATGCGAAGCGTGTCCCACAACCTGTGAAGTGTTAAAGGATGGCGGGTGAGGCTTTTCCAACAAGTGGGTAATATCGCTGGCAGGCGTGACTGAGAACTGACCAGCTAAGGGCCCGATTGCCCCGGTGCGATCGCACAGGCCTGCACCATGATAGTACTATACCCATTAATCCTACGTCCTGAACGATGAAAGCAGCGATGTGTTGCAATCCCGAAACAGGTTACCTACAGCTACCCACCCAAAACCTAATTGCCCATCGCGTATTGTGCAGGAATGCGGAATGGCATCAACTCCAACTGTCAATTACCTGGTGGACGGCGCCCCCTGTGTCCTCAGCGAGGATGTTAGGTTGAGGCTGCGGCCAGCATGCAGTCCCTGTGCCGGCGTGGCGGAAACAGAACCCAATCCCATGCTTGCACCGCTCCGCGCAGGGTAACTGTCACGGCTTGATACCTCATGACGCTGGTTGCTAGCGGCTGATCCGGAGGCAGCAACCGCCTGCATGTATTTAGAAGATACCTGCACGGCGCAAAGCGCATGTTCATACAGCGCTAGCCTTCAAGGCGTTCTACGAGAAATATGTACCGGTCGTATAGCGTTAGATTTTGCCGTTGTTCCCGGGCGGACGCTGGCGCCAGCGGTGCTCCCTGCATTGCGGGAGAACACATTGATAAGGCAGTGCCAAGACGTTGCCATAGTCGGCCCAAGATCATCTACCTGTAACAGAGGCCTCCATTTCCTCAGCGGCGTTCATTCGGGCAGCCTCCATGGCTGCCTAGAGGTCTTGCTGTCACCTGTCTTTGATTTGTCCTACAACTCCATGAGCTTCTAGGTTCTTAATCTGACTTCATCATACGTTTAAAACAAGACATTATACATGCATTCATCAATCACCAACAAGCACATTGGCAAAGCAGCATGTGTACGGCATTGACCCTTCCTACCTTTGGAAGGACAGGCCAGATTGCCCCTGCATGCTTTAGGAAACAGAATAAAACATTTGTAAAGTTATGTGCGAACATTTTAAGAAGAACATACTGTAAATTTCAGTGACAGCTTCCGACTCGGGACCCGCAATTTTGTTTCCATGAATTTGACAGCTAGGCATGCCTTTGATGAGAATGCAACGCCCCAATTTCGGAACGCCAAATCAGGGTTTGGTGCTGGTCTTGGCGGATTTAAGGACTCTGCTAAAGTGCAGCCATGCAAGGCGACCAGCCAGCTGAGGAGTCGGAAAGCCCTTGGAGATGTTACCAACACCCTCAGGGCCACCGCTGCGTCATCCACCAAGCCGGCCCCTTCGAAAGCCTTCCAAACTGTGCCAGAGGCTAGCATCGAGCACATGGCTGGCAAAGGCTGGCGCGCCATGGAGGAAGAGCTACAACAGCAGAAGGAAGCAGCTACTCTGAACCGCCTGAAACGCGTGGCTGAAGCGGCTAGCACGTGGACGACGGGCTATCGTTGTTTCCTCCAGGTGGGAATTTTTGCCGTGCCAGGGACTGGGACGTCACTTCGATGGAGTGATTAGATTGTGCAGGTTTAGGAAGGCATATTTATTGAGGCTTCGATGGTCATTCGTATTGTAAGTGGGTCGGCTGTCCATGCAGATGGACGTGGATGGCAGCGACGACGACAGCGACGCCCAGTCAGATTCGGGGGAGCGCTTCGAGGAGACGCCCATCGTGGTATACATGCATGCGGAGCGTCAATCGCAAGGTACGTTGCGCCAGTTACCTGCACGACTGTGAGGGTTTCCAACGGTGCTTTGGGCAGGCGCCTTTACCAGAAAGCATGCTCTAGGACTTTACCCTTCATACTCATTGGGTTCGCTGCCGTGCTGGTGAAAGAAGGAAGAGGCAGAAGTCGGGATTGTGGACGTGTTTGAAGGCAGCTTCCATGTGCATTACTCAGCCCTGAATCCTGTAGAAACAACCCATGCATGACCTTGTTGCAGACGAGGACGCATTGCGAAGGCTGCGGTCTAGCTCCCAAGACGTCTCGAGCCTCCTGCCGGACGTACCGTCGCAGCCGCTGGACCTGGACTTCTGCTGGAGCGATGACGACCTGTACTAGCCCAAAAGGCGCGACTGCTGGCTATAGCTTTGGAGACGGGACTTTTAATCGGAAGCAATGAAGACCAATAGTAACGTGGATAACGGGTTTGACGACCATTAGCAACGGCTGGAAGCTGTTCCGTGTCTGGTGTGTTATTGTACGGTACTTAAGCGGTGTATTGCATGTGCCCTGCTGGTATAAGGCGTGCTATTCTGTAAGCCGTAGTAAGAAGGTATCAGCGTTTCTAGACAGAAACATCATCATGCATGGTTGCTACCCTGTGATGAGTAGAATAGGAAATGCAGGGTGATGTGTGCGGGAATGTAGAGGCAACCTTCCTTAGCGTAACAATATAGGATGCTGCAGGTCAGATTCACCTCCCCCGGCAATGTGATTAGCACGATTGCACCCCGGCATTGTACTTAGTACGATAGCACTGCTGTGCCCAATAATCGTTGCAAATAGCTTGAGATGCGCGACTACGCGTAATATGACTACCTGAGCATATGCGTTGCATGCGTATGTAATCCTGCATGGAGAAGACCTCTCCTGGTTGCCAGTCCGTGCATTCTATCCTAATCATGTCCAACCGTACACAATACAGCAAGGCACAAGCTGCGATCCAATCCCGCATTGGCGTAGTCATGAGCCCCAAGGTTATCCTCCGAACAGAAATCGCTCAAAGGTCACTTGCGAAGTTATAATGCACGACAAGTCACCCTACAAGCACACCGCAACGTTGAAGGCTCTCTCTCAATCAGGTCATCTCGTCGGCGTCCTTAGACTGCCCTGCGACAGTCATGCTGACTTGGAGGGAGCAAACGGCTGCTGCTGCAGCGTCCGCCGCGGCAGATGCTGGTGTGTGCTTGAGTAGGTTGTTACCGTTGGCCACCGCCGGAAAGGCCATCGTCCCAGAGTCGTAGCTCCATTGCCATGTGAGGGGCCTCTTGGCGGTGCGTCGAGTGGGCGACATGAGCACGCACTCCAGGTTCTGCTTGACCTGCATTCAACCAGCAATGGAAGTGGATTTGGATGTGGGTCGGGGGGAAAGATAACATCGTCAGTGAGGGTAGCTGCTCCACGCGTCAAAACATTTGACGCAACCCTCGACGTGCATATACGACATCCTAACTGATACTACATGCTATAATACTTGCGAGCTGAAACACAGCTCCTTACCTTTGGTAGCGCCTTTGGCATCTGATCCGTCGTAGATTTGGGCTTGGTGCGGAGGACGCACGTGATGTCGACGGGCTCAAAACCGTGAAAGCCATGGGACGATGATCCACCAAACATGCTTTGGGGAGACAACGCGCTTGGAGACAGTTGGGACAAGGAGCAGACTGCGGTGTTGGAGAGCGCCCGCAAGGCGTCCGTGCTGGCCGTGGGCGATTGGACTGCTTTACAGATACTGGCACCGTGAACGGGCGATTTGGGTTCAGCGCTTCCGGTTGACGGCGACCACTGGCGGCAATCAGCGGGAGCATGTGAAGGGCCCCTGTTCTCCTCCGTTTGCATCGATGTATCCACGAAGCCGTTCATTTACAACGCAGCCTGGGGTGCGGTATGATATTTAGGACGACCGATGGCAAGCGCTGACCACGCACTGCAGGGCACAAAGAGGGCAAGCGCCATCGTAAAGGACGAAAACGCTGAAAACCAGTATAACCTATTATAGAATGTACGTAACAACAACCACAACTGTATGGCTAACTTTTCAGGAAGGCCAAGACTGTTGCTGCCGGCAAAACCGCGATGTATACGGGCCCTTACCAGCCAAACGAGGTTAGCAAAACTCCCAACGCCGTATTATTGCGGTATGGCGTTTAGGCGCTGGAGGTGCGTTCAGGTCCAGCAGGGGATGACGACTCTTGCCTAAACGCTAGAAGACTGGTGGCTAATCGCACGCGGCAAGCCTATCTGCAGGTACAGTAGCCTCTACTGAAAAGACGCAGGCGAAAGCTTCGGCAGGATAAGGGGTGAGGGTCGCGAAGCTCTCAATCAAGGGCAGGACCTAGGTAAATTCCTAAGAAACCTGTTGGGTTTATGAGTACAGAAGTGCTTAATGCTGAAATCCTTTGATAGTGGAGAAGGGGTCCACGGTTTCGCGCGCGTCGTACACCCTTCGTACATGATTCAACGTCCATGAGGTGTTCTTCTGCTTTTGTGCTTGCCATCCACAAGTCGTTGGTTACTGGCGCAAATAGCGCAATCGCGGCTGCACTTTGGTAGCTAGAAGTCGGCGAGGCCAGCGTAATTACCTCAACTCTTAAGAATGAACACAGATGGCATGTAGCTGACATTGTCGCTTGCAGCCCTTTGATTACAAAATTAAATTGGAAGGGCCCTGCAGCAATGCATGGCAGCGGGTCGCCCGATAATGCACCGCCTATGGGCCTGGAGCTGCCGGATGTGCCCCATCTTTTCGCACAGCGCATTGATGCATTACCGGAGCCTGTTATGAACGATGTGTTGAGCGCTATGGACGAGTCACCAGGGCAGAGCCATGGCTGGAATCCCTTTCTTGGCCCGGGGCGCAGCCATAACGGTGTTGGGACTAAAGCGGCTCGGAATCGTACCGACTCTGAGCTGCGCAAGCTGCTGCAACGACGCCGGCGCGATGAGCTGCCTGCTGATGCGGACACGGCGGACTATTCTAGTGAGCCGTACGACAGCATTCCCCGCCAGGTGCGCGAATCCTGGAAGGGAAGCACACGCGCGTAGAGTGCCTTCCTTGTGCTTTGCACCGTGTAGCTATCGCTGTATTCATACAAGGATCGCTCACCACCGCTGTTCCCAACCGTTGCACTCTTCGCTCCAGGTGCAACTGCAGTGGCGAGTGTTTGCCAAGTAGGTACCGCTCGATCTGGGTCACTGGGTGGGATTCCTCGTTGTCGTTAGGCCATGCTGCTAACCTGGGTGGGGTCCAACTTGGGCGCAGCTACCGTCACCGGTAATGCCTGGGGGCGTAATCGTAAGCCTTCCCGTTCCCGTCCACAGGCTTTATCCGGAAGCTGCAAGGGACCGGATAGCCACACTCTTCATGACCGCTCCCGGCTGCAGCAGCATGGAAAGCAGCAGCAGCCGCGGCCTTTCCACGTACCAGCAGCAATTACTCAACCCACATCAACAGCATCGCCAACAGCACCAACACCAACCCCTAGCCCCGGTCTCGCCAGCAGTCGAATCCGTCTGGCAACGCATGGGCCTGGCTCGCGCGATCAGCAGGGCCAGCAATGACGGTGAGGACCAGGGCAGCAGCAGCGGTGCGCTGTTCGGGGTCCTTCCGTCAGCCAGCGCGCTTCAGAAGACCCTGCAACAGCTGGTAGATTCGCCAAGTGCTGGCGGCGAGGTAACGCTACCAGCGCACTCGTCACAACGGCAATCGGAACAGCAGCATGGGGTGACGGATGGCCACCCAGGACGCCCCCAGCAGGATACCGCTGGTGCGGCTGACGTCGGCCGGGCATCCCTTCAACCCACGCAACAAGCCAACGACCGCATGCAGGCGCCCGGAGCTATGGGCGCAGCGGCAACCGGCAATAGCAGCTCTACTGTGTCTGTAACATCGACCGCAGGTGCAGTTGGCTACATGGAGGATGACCCAATAGTACGGAACCTTAGTCAGTCGTTGGACGGTTGGTACGACGTGCACTGGGAACGCTTTAGGCCTTTACGGCGAGCTCGGCGGGGTCGGTTACTGGCGGTGCGCGGTGTGCCTCTGCCGCTGGCATGGCGCAGCGGGCTGCGACTAGCAACGCCGGCATCTTCGTCAGTGTCGGTGCTAGCAATGGCGGCAGCGGCGGCTCCTCCTCCGGGGCTTACTGCAGGCGCAGGCAGCAACAATGGCGGTGGCGGTGGAGGTCATGGTGCCATGGCGGGCAGGATGTTGCGGTGGTGCTGTTCGGCAGTGGGTACGGCAGCTAGAGCCGCAGCGAGTGCGGTCGGGCTGCGCTGCCGGCCCCAGGTGTGGGAGGTGGATGTGGGGCGGGGCCAGGGGGGTCGGGGTGTTGGCTGGGAGGGGACGGGGGCAGGTGCGGTGCGTGGGAAGCCGGGTGCGGGTATGGTTAGCAGTGGTGGTGTCGGTGTGGGGACGGGTAGGCAGAGGCGGGGTGGCAGCGGTGGGAGTGTTGAGGGCGGGGGCTTAGGCGTGTCAGGCGGGGTTGATGGTGGGGTTGGCAGCGGTCTAGCAGCGGCTCAGGCGGCAGCGCAGCGGCTGAACTTTACGTTGCGGCAGACGAGCCTTGTCCGGCCGGATTGGTTGTAGATTGGAAGCGATGATCAGGAGCAAGAAGAGTACTTGTGGCAGGTGATTGTACACCGGAGTTCGGCCTTAGGAATGAGGTAATCTCATGCCGCATGATGCATTTGTCTATTGATGGCTTAGAGGAAATGACAGGTGCTGTCAAGCAACTGAACTGGATTGTTTAGGTAACCAGCGCTGCAGGATATGCAGCTGGAAAATGAAGACATGTTGATGCATAGATACGGACTTCAACTGCGTTTTGGGTTGCGGGCATGATGGGCAATGAAGCGCGGTTTCTACGGCGGCCTGCACTGATGGCCAGCTATACGAGCGAGGTCGCACGTCAGTACGAGGAGCCGATCCTTCGTTCATGTTGGTCCTCTCTTCCATGCCATTGCTTGATTGCAACGAGGCTAAATGTAGACTAATTTTGCTGTTGTCTCGTTGCACTCCTTTTGTGCAATTGTTCGCTAGGACCCACGGTTCTCGACGCGGCTATACTAGAAAGTAGAAACGGCTGCGCGCCTGGTTTGCACACAATTGTGGATTCATGGATTAATAACCATGTAATTTGTGAAATTAGGATAAGGAGAAGGACGTGTTTTGGAGGTTAGGCTGGCTTGCAGGCAAACGGTCGCGAGCCGCCTCGAATTCCTTTTGTTTCCTCCTTCACGAGCCTTACTTGTCAGCTGCAACGCTTCTTCTGCAAATCTCGCTTAATCCAGAAGCAGTACTTTTGCACTGTTTACGCATGAACTAGTTCTTCCTGGTCTCCTCCACTTCCTACAGCCTTGCGCAGCAAAAGAGCAGCCCGCAAGCCAACAAGATGGCAGGGAGAAACGGTCATCACAACGGCAGCTCCGCCCATAACAATAACAACAACAGCAACCACCACAGTTGTGTCGGCTCGGTGCCATGCGCGGTGCTCACTGTGACTCTCCTACTGGGCGTTATGTTGGCAGCCGGGCTGCTGCAAACGTGGCACGCGGGGGGCTTCTTAACAGCGGGCCTGGGTCGCCGCGCGCTGGTTCCTTCCGGTGCTGCTGCGGCTTCTGCTGCTGCCGCTAATGGCAGCGGCTGGCCAGGAGGCGGCGGCGGCCGAAGCAGTCCAGCAGCGCGTGTAGCCCAGGTTCGGAGTAGCAGCAGTAGCAAAGGCGGTGGCGGCAGCGGAACTGCTGAAGACGGGATGGAAAGTGAAGGTGGCGGCAGCGTGGGGAGCGCCCGGGCTGGCGGCGGCAGCAGCAGCAGCAGCGGGAGAGCTCCGCCGTCGCTGCCTCCGCCACTGCTGCCGCCCTGGCCCGGGGTGCCTCTGGAGGCGTCACGACAGGTGGGCGCTTGTCTCTAGATGCGCGTCCTAGGTGGGTCATGTCCACGCCACATCCACGGTTTGGGTTATGGCGCTATGACGCTAATGGGCAATGTATGAGGGGGGGATGAGGAGTAATGGCACGAGGAGTAATGCCTGGGGCCCTTTGCTGGGGGATAGTTGTTGCCGTGGCTGCAGTGCTGCAAAGGGTTGAGGGCGGGACTGGGTAAACCGGTGTGGGACCGTCCATGGATATTCCACATCACACGTTCACACCTGTTCTGACGCCTGCATCTTAGCTGCTCTTCAACCGGTCCCCCTTCACGACCACATGCCTCCTGTCAACGGTCCTTATCCCTCCGTACCCATGCCGCCGCCTCCCACCTCACCTCCCGCGCGCCTCCTCGCAGGATGCCGCCCGCCGGGTCCTGCAGCGCGCGAAGCAGCTCCGAGCCGCCGCCGCCACCTCCCCGCAACACCACTCCGCGGCGGCGGCGGCGCTCACAGCCGCACTGGCGCTGCTGCCGCCGGCGCCGCCGCCCGTGGATGTGGTGATTGAGACAACCGCTGCTGCTGCTGCAGGTGCTACTGCTGCTGCACCCTCAGCGACTTCCTCAGCATCGGGATCCCCCTCCACCTCCTCCGCCGCCGCCTCCTCCTCCTCCTCCCTGGAGCTCGCGCTGCTGCCCGCGGCGTTGGAGCTGGTGACGGTGATGCGCGCGCAGGGTCCCTCCGTGGTCTGCCACCATGACCCCACCCTGCCCGTCGCGAATGAGACCTGGTGGCAGTGGCAGCAGGAGCAGCAGCAGGGTAGGCACGGAGGGACAGGTAGGAGAGGGAGAGAACGAGGTGGGGCCAGGGCGGATGGGGAAGAGGCGGAGGAGGGGAAGGAGGAAGGGGCGGCGGTGGGCAACCGTGGGGAGGTGACCGTTGGCGACGGTTCAGTTGGCAGTTGGCCACGTGTGCTGGTGGCTGCGAATCTGCGGCAGGTGGAGCTGCTGATGCCGTTTTGGTCGTTGGAGTTGCTGCGCGGTGTGGCGATGATGACCCATGGGTCGCGCACACGTGGCCTTGTGGGCTCGAGTGAGGTTGGAAGCGGCCCTGCTAGTGCTCCTGCTCCTGCTGGGCATTTCCGTACATCTGGCGGCGACCAGCCGTCATGCTCGGTACGTGGGACGCATGAATCAACAGCAGCGAACACCGGGAGCGAGAACAGTAATAGCAGCAGCAGTGGTAGCAGCGCTAAGCTTGCAGGCGGCGTGGAGGGCAGCGTCAACGACAGCATTGCCAGTACCACTGGCAGTAAAGCTGTCCCGGGTAATGGCAGCAGCAGCAACGAAAGCAACAGAACTGCTGGCTTCGACCCTCCCTCTTCCAGCAACCTGCGGCCTCTTGAGCAAAAGCCACATCAGGCTCTGGAACTGAGCGACAACTTGTACGGCAATTTGCAGCACAGTTCGGATCCAGCGGTGGCAGTTTCCATTTACGAGTCCGGCAGCAAGGACGCCACTCCAATCTGGTTGGACGTACTGGCGTGTTTACTAGACGTGCTGGGTGTGCCCCACAAGGTCGTGACCCGTGGGTCGCTGCGGCGGGCCGCGGGGCAGCATCGCATTGACTTCTTGGCGTCGCTTCGGAACCAGATTCTGGACCAGGCGCTGCTGCAAGGCGTCCGGAGGATGACGGTGGCGACCCATGGGTCACTTTCGGAACCTGCTACCGTTCCTACAGCAGCAAGCACAAACGGCAGTACGATCAACGGCACGACGCGCTCCAACACCCCGCAGTACACGACCATGCAGTTCCGGCCCGATCGCATCCTCTTCCTAAATGACGTGTACGCCTGCGCTCCTGACCTGCTGAGGCTGCTGCAGCTGGGGCAGCAGCTGGGCGCCGACATGGCATGCGGCTTTGACTTTGACCGCGTCGGCGACCGGCGAATGCGAATGCGCCGCCGCCGTTTCAGCAGCCAGCGGCGGAGACAGCGAAGCCTTCAGCAAGCAGGTGAAAGTGACGAAGGTGGCGGCGGTGGTGGTGGCGGGGGTGGCGAGGTGTTGGAGGAATTGGGGTTGGGATTCGAGGGTGGGTTGGAAGGCTTGGAGGTGGAGGCAGATGCCGGCGATGTGAGGGACGTTTGGGACGAGGAGGAGGACGGCGGCGGCAGGGGGCCAGAGGTGAGGACTCGGCGCAATGAGGTAAAGGAGGATGAGGAGGATGAGGATGAGGAGCAGCGTCAGGCGGCAGCGCTGCGTGCCTGGCTACGGTTCCGGGACAACCAGGCACAACGGCAACAGCAGCAACAACAACAAGAACAACGACTACAGTCGCCTCTTCATTATTTTCACCGACGCCAGCAGCAGCAGCAGCAGCAACAACAACAACAATGGGCCGAACCGCGTCCGGAGCACCCCCTACAACAATTGGCAGCGCAGCTACACAGTCAAGCGCGATCGTTGCGGCTGGCGCAGGGAAACGCAACGTCGGTCCCTCCTCCCTCCGCAACCGCAGTTACCCCAAACCCCCCCACTGGCTCCGATGACGATGGAAGGGCCCCTGAAGGGCAGAAGGCGGCGGAGGAGGCTGCTGGGGAGACGGAGGCGGAGGACCACAGTACTGCCGTACCTGGTGTTGCCGCACGACAAGATGTCGTAGCCGTACATTCGGCTGCCGTACACTCAGCTCACTCGGCCCTGGTGGACGTGTTGGCGGCGCAGCAGATGGCGGCGGCGGGGCGGAGATGGGATGGATCGCGGCCGTACGAATTCTACGATATCTGGTAATTAGATGAAGAAGAAGGAGAGCACGTAGAGCAGGAGGGGGACTACGATGTTAGGGTACACTACTCGGGGTGTCATGATCAGGATGTGAAGAGGCGCCGAGGCGCATGTGCCCGGAGGCACCCAGCTAGCTAGTACAAGAATTATCGCAAGCTCGGCCCGCCTTGCCGTGCTGACGTGTGCCACGCTCTGCCATCCTAAGTCACCTAACTGCTGCTGCCCCTCCTGCCCCTGTCAGGGTGGCCCGGGACGTGGGAGGCCGACGGGTGAGTAACGGTTTTCACGACCTTTGTGCCACCGGCGTTATCGGTACGGTAACCAGCCGGCCAAGCTTGCCTTCCCTGGATGTATCGGTCCGCTGTTTCGGAGGAGCAGGACTGCATGTCATACACACAGCGGATCCTTCCGTGTTTCAACCTTGTCAGACACGCGCCACCACTATACCGCCCACCGATTCAGTCAATTTGCGTTTTCCTGTACCGTAACCGAAACATATCTCCTCGCTTCCCAACCTCCCCAATTCCCAACCGAATCCCACCGGCACCCAACTGCTCCCGCAGTTCGACAAGAACCCCCCATTCGCCTTCAACCACGGCCCCACCGCCCTCCGCCTCGCCCTGGGTCTCCCCTCCGCCGCCTACTGCTGCTGGAACGGAGCAACCGTGCTCAATGCAGCAATCTTCATACCACCACCACCACCACCATCGCCACCATTACCATTGCAGCTCCCGACTGCTTCAACAGCACCAGAGAAGGGTGCGGCGACATTCGCAGGAACACCAGCTTGCCACGAAAACTCTTCTCCATCATCAACATCATCATCTTCTTCGACAGCTGCTGCTGCTGCTGCTGCTGTTGCAGCCACGCCAACTGGCACGACTCCTAATGCTGCTTCCACTACCGTTAATACTCATCCTGCTTCAGGCATGCAGGAGGCTGCAGGCAGCAGTGCTGCCAGCAGCAGCGGTGCCACCTACCCGCAGCTCCGCTTCCGCCGCGGGCAGCCCGGCGAGTGCGACGCCAGCGAGTGCTCGCTGCTGTGTGATGACATGCACCGGCTGGGGTACGACAAGGTCCTGCTGGATCCCTCCGTACGGCTGTCGTACGTGCCGTACCACGACACGGGACTGCACACGGAGTGGTTCTTCGGGGCGCCCATGCTGCCCTGGGCGCAGCTGGAGGCGACGGCGGCGGGGGGTGGTTCGGGGGGTGGTTCGGGGTCGGGAGGGAGGGTGACAGTGGTGACAGGACCATTGGGGGCGGCAGCAGTGGGAGGATCAGGGGCAGCGGCGTCGGCAGCAAAGGCGGGCGATGCGTTTGCTGGACGGAGCGGAGTTAGCGTCCGGAGTGCTCAACAGGTGCGTGTTTAGGAAACTGGCCGGAGTAGGAACGTACTGGATTACCGGAACAGCTGTGTGTGGTGTATGCGGCATGTGGTGAGCACGTGCGAGTAGAGGGACGAGGTTCGTAGCCATATCTCCTCGCCGTCCCTGCCTGTGCCCTTCAAGCACCCCCCGCCCCCACATGCCGCCTGCTGGACAAGCGACCCACTTGACAGCGGTTAGCACGGCAGGGTGACGCACTGAGCCCCTCCCCCTCCGCCCCATACACACACACTGCACCCCTCCCCCCTCCCTCCCCCCAGCTGGCCTCCCTGAAGGTCTCCCTGGGTCGGCTGTGGTGGCAGGCGGCGCTGGCGGGGGTGATGCCGCCGGACGTGGAGGCGGCGCTGGCGGCGGGTGGGTGTGTATTTGGCGGGGGGGGGGTGGCGGTTGCGACTTATAGAGGGCGCCGCCGCCGTTGTCGTCGCTGCTGCCGTTGTTGCACCATGCATGCGCACACCCTGGCATCAGCGCTTTGCTAGGGTTGCGCTCCAAAGCCGCTGCTATCCCCCCAAACCCGGCCCACATGCACCTCCTCCACGGAGGTTCACCCAGCCCCTCCTTCTCTTCCCACCACACACGTTGCCACCTACCTTGCAGGTCCCGCATCCCGAGTAGGGTGCCTCGACGACCCAAGCCCGCCGCCGCCTCCACCTCCCTCCAACATCTCCTCCCCTGCCTCCACCACCACCACCCCTCCTCCACCGCCTCCTCCTCTCAGCGGCCTGAGGAGCTGTCTGCAGGGCGAGTGGCGAGCCCTGGCCCACCGAGTGCGCACACCGCCCTCGCCGCTGCCACCGGCCACTGCACCCACCCCCCAGCGGCCGCCGCCGCCACCAGCTGCTGCTGCTGCTGCTGCGGGGGAAAAGGCGCCTGCTGCTGCAACCTCAGCCGCCTCAGCCCCCCCATCAACATCCGCTTCAGCCGCCTCAGCTACCTCACCAGCTTCCTCTCCTTCATCCCCCTCGGCAGTGGGCTCCCCCTCCTCCTCCTCCCCTTCCTCCCCCACTACCACGCCGGGGGGCGCCTCTCCCGGATCGGGCCGGGTGCCGAGTGTGATCGTGTCGTACGTAAGCGGCGGAGCGGGCTGGCCCTCCACCTACCCGCCGCACATGCAGGTGGGGTGCGGTGGGGCAGAGAGAGGCAGCGGGTTGCACGGGGCGAGAGGCGCGTGGGAGACGAGAGGGACCTTGTGTTCGGCCTTCGGCGGGGGTAGGGTGCGGTGGTGGTGGTGGTGGTGGCGGTAGTGGTGGATTAGATACACTGGTGGTGGTGCGTGATGGTGGTGGGGCGGCCCTGTCCGGTTGGCGAGTCCCCAGCAATGTCCTCATCCACCAAGCACTGTCCAGCACTCCCCTGCTCCCCTGCTCCCCTGCTTCCAGGTGGAGTGCATCAACCTGTATCCCGCCTCCGATGTGGCCAACTTCGCTGGAGGGCAGCTGGTGAACCTGGCCGCACCCAACTTCACACACACCTACCTACGCCAGGTGGGGGCGAGGGAGGGGCTACGGGGCTGCGGGGGGAGGCCGCTTGGGGGGGGCCTGAGGGAGGGGCGGGTGAGGCGGGAGAAGACGAAGAGGGACTTGAGCAGAGGGGTTGAGGTCTGTGGGGCCATGTGGGTTAGGAACAAGCTCAAAGAAGCAATCCTCATACTTTTTAGTATTCTTGTGTTTGCCGTTTTGGTAGCTCGGCGCACGGGTCTAAAACCACTCCCCTGAAAACGACCACCCCCCGCGCCTTCCCTTTCCCTTTCGCAGCGCAAATGGCCGCCGTTGCCGCCACCGGCTCAACCGGTGCCGTAACCGCCAGCGCTTGCGCTCGACATTTTCGACAAGGGCCGGCCCCGGTCCGCAGTGCCAGTGAGCAGTCAATGCCACGGTCACTGTCTCCTCGCTGTCCGTTTTTGGTTTTAAGACAACACTGTGTCACTCAGCCGCGGGGCTGGGCGCTGTTGGTTGCTGTGTGAGTGGCCACGGCGGGCTTGTGAGACGTCGGGGGCAGGGGGGCTAGAGTGCGGCGTGGATTTGCTGCAGGCAGGCGATCAGAATGGATTGTCGCATGGGGGGTATTGTTTCATGAGGTGGGGTTGTTGGAGAGGGAAGCAACTGGCTCGGGCTGGGCGCCATCTCGAAGGCAGATAGCTGGTGCATGAACTCCGCCCTGATGTTGACGTCATGAATTGGAAAACCGAACGAGCCGTTGGGGCTGACGTGCAACAGTCCAGGGTTGCATGTCGCCTTGTAGTCATGGAGCAAACCCATCATGCAGGGTGCATGACTCATTTGCTTGCATTGCATGGCCCCCGTGCATAGGATTGCATTGCATTGCAGGAACGGGAACGGAGGCGCGTGCACGTGAAATAAGGCAGGCCCCGCTCGACAAGGGGCACACGGTATTGCGTTGACACACTCTCGGCTGTGTTGACACTTCAGCCCCGCTTCACACTCACACGTCGGCTCCCACGCGTGCTGACCGGCAACACAGCCTTGTAAGCGCCGACGCCCACCAATGATACCTCTCTCATGCGTGACGCATGTCTTGGTGTTGGCGCTGCAACCTCCTTTGAGGTAGGACGGCAGCCTGTTATCTTCATGGTGGGCGGAACGGGCCAAAACTCCTGGCGTTGCATTGGGAAGGTCTACGGTGTGATGTGCGTGTGTAGGGCATATACGATACACCAGCTGCGCGCGATGTGCCACACGTGTTGGTGTACGGTGCGGTACACGTGGGTTGCGTACATTATGGAGTCACAACGAAGGGGTACAAGTCGTGTGTAATAGAGGTGCAACGGCACCAAGACTTGGTGGCACGACTACAGTACAGGACTGAGTCGTGCTGGCCTTTCCACGACCAGTGTCAGTCGGCAGGAATTAGGACTCCCTCCGGTACTGCAGTCGTGCAGATCGATCCGTGCATCGATTCGTCCGTCTACTCGAGGAATCACCTGTCGGAAGGGTCATATCACATCGTAGTTCGTATGCCATGTGTCAGACCGGGAACTTCCCAGTTGGAAACGAGCGTTACAACAAGATGAGTAGCAGTTGGAATTTCAAGCAAGGGTGACGTGTAGCCCTCGCGCCGAAAAACAGTACGGCACACGGAAACGCGCACCGCTCGTACACCAGCTGTCCAAGCTCCAATGTGGGCCCCATTCCTCCGAATGCGCCTCGCCAAGAGACCAACCTGCCAGCCGCACGCACAAGTGTCGCAGACGCCGCCGCCACTCCCCCTTCCCACGCCAGATCCTTACTGCTACCGGCCTTGCCTGTAGTCTCCCACTGTCCTTCCCCAGTTCAACCCCGTGCTCCTCTGCATTCCAACCAGCTCCTCCTCACCTCTTAGTCCTCCCCCATACCTCCTCCTCCTGGCCCCCCCGCCCCCATTCACCCCTTTCCCTCCACATCCACCCCCCTTCCTCAACAGCACCACCCGCCCCCTCCCCCTTCCTCCACTGCTTCGCAACAACTACCCCCCCAACCATCTTAAGCCACACCTCTCTCCTTCCCTCCTCCTTCCCTCCCCTCCTTCCCTCTCCTCCTCCTCCCTCTACCTCTCCAGCAGCATCACCGCCTCCACATGCGAGGTGTGCGGGAACAGGTCCACCGCAACCGCCTTCACAGGCCGGAAGGGAGTGTACGGCACGAAGGGCGCCTGCGCCTCCTCCCGCTGGTAGCTGTAGCCGCCCTTGGCACCCGCGCCGCGAGCCACGTACGTGCCGCCCTTCTCCCGGCCGCTGCGGTTGTCGGGCGGGTAGCAGAGTGCCGAGATGTTGGCCACAAGGTTATCCGGGTTGCAGCTCACAAACACCAGCCGACGGATTTTCTCGCAGCCCAGCAGGGCGCGGATGACGGAGCGGTGCAGACCCGCACGCGGCGGGTCACACACCGCCACCACGTTGTCGTACGGAGCCGAGGTAGTGGAAGCAGCAGCAGCAGATGACCCATGGGTCGCGCCCTTGCCGGCGTTGTCGACGTATGTTGCTAGGATGCCCGGTAGCGCGTCCTCGGCCTTGCCGGTGACAAAGGTGGCGTTGGTGATGCCGTTGAGCGCGGCGTTGACGCGCGCGTCCTCCACCGCCGAGGCCACGGAGTCCACCCCTACCACCTTGGCGACCTGGTGGGAGGCGGGATGGGGGTGAGGGAGGGTGAGAGGGGGTGAGGGGGGGTGAGAGGGGGTGAGGGAGATAGGGAGGAAGGGGGGAAGAAGTGCTTGAAGGGGGGAAACAGGTGTCAGGTGTCAGACAGGTGGGAGCAGGGCGCAGGGCGAAAGAGAGGGAGGGCCAGCAGCATAGGGCTGCAGGAAATGCACCCCTCAGCAAACCCAATACGGTACGGATGAAACTCCCACAAGACAAGGAACTCCCCCCTGATGCTCCCGCCCCGCCTCTCCCTCCCTCTCCCCCCCCTCTCACCCGGCCTGCCATGGTGAGGCCGATAGTCCCCGTTCCGCAGCAGATGTCGAGCAGCAGGGTGGCGGGGGAGGGAGCCGCCCACTCGCCCACCACCTTGTACAACACACACGTGGCGGGGGAGTTGACCTAGGGGGGCGGGGGCGGGGGGAAGGGTGAAGGGGTAGTGGAAAGGAGGAGGAGGGTGAGGATGGGCTCTGTATGGGGGTAGACCAAGCAAAGAGCTGCAAGGCGGGTACTCAATGCAGTGCACGGAGCAGCTCTTCCCTGCTTCCCGTTCCCGCCCCATCACGGTACATCATGTACTACCGGTATAGGTTTTCCCTGCTGCCTGCCCTCACCTGGAAGAAGGCGGTGGGTGAGATGCGGAACTTGAGCTCACACAGCGAGTCGTGGATGAAGCCCGGACCCGAGGCCGCCACCACCGCCGCCTCCACCTCACCAGCCTCCTCCGCCACCTCCTTCTTCTCCCCCTCCTCCTTGCCCTTGCCCTTGCTAGCTGCGGCCGCAACCGCCTCAGCCGAGGGGACCTCCGTGATGGGTGCGTCGTACGGCGCCGCGTTGCTGACCCCCGCGTGGTACTGCACCCGCACCGTAGTGAGAGGCAGGCCGGCGGCGGAGGCGGCGGAGCGCAGGGCGGCGGTCATGGCGCGCAGCTCGCGGGCGGCGGCAGCGGGGTCGGACTGGGCGCGAGGGAACTGGGGGTTCACCTGTGGGGATGCGGGGAAGGGGGATGAGGCGAGGGAAGGGGGGGAGGAGCAGGCGGAGCAGACAGGGCCAGGAGACGGGCCGATTGGAGGGAGGCGTTTAGTTACATGGAGGGTGGTAAGCAGGCGCTGTCGTAGTCGCCTCAAAGCCCTCCTTTCACACAGCCGCAACAGTTGATGGCCCACCTCGACCGACCCACGGGTCACCCGCACCTGCAGCATCACCATGACCTCATCCGGCGGGGGCTGCTCCGCCTCCGCCTCCGACACCTGAGACACGTGCATGCCGGCAGCACCGCCGCTGCCGCCCTCAGCCGCCGCCGCTGCTGCCTCCTCCATCACCTCCTCTTTCACCGCCCCCTCCTCAGCCGCCGCCGCTGCTGCTCCCGCCTCCTGCGCTGCTGCTGCTTCTGCCGCCGGCTGCTGCTGCGGCTCAAAGGTGACGAGGTAGGTGAAGGGGTCCAAGCTGGCAAAGGTGGGGTTCTCCAGCACCGGGCCAGCAGCAGCAGCAGCAGCCGACTCCTCAGCTGCGGGCGCGGGCGCGGGTGCTGGCTGCGGCACTGGCAGGAAGGTCTTGTTGCTGCCCTCGCGAACTGGGGGAACCGAGGAAGGAGGCAGGCGGTGGAGGGACGGGGCGGGGAGGAGGCACGGAGCAGATGTTAGCAGAGCAGAAGGAAGGGACGGGAGAAGGGAGGCGCGAGGTTGCATCCTAGCAGCTCCAGGCTGCTGCCCTTCTACCGGTACTCTTCCCCACCCCTCCCGCGCCCCCTCCCCCTCCCCCAGCCCCCACCTAGCACCAGGCGCCAGTAGCCCTCGTGCCGCCGCTTGTCGTACACAGGGAAGGCGGAGGCGCCCCGAATGTACTCCGCGGCGGCGGCGGCCAGCGCGACGGCTGCGCGGCTGGTGTGGCGGGTGGCGGCGGGGCTGCCCACGCAGGTGATGCCGTCCTGGGGGTGGGGGGAGGTGGTGGTAAACAAGGGGTGGAGTAAGGTAGAGCATGACCCATGGGTCGTTACCGAGCTTCAGGCGGGGTTGCATGGCTCGTGGTATCCTTAACGCCTCCTCTTACACCTCCTACTCTTATCCTCTGCCCTCGCCGAATCACACTGCCCTCGCCGCAGCGCCCCCCGCCCACCGCCCCCACCATTGGATATTATTCTTTCCCCCCGCCCCCACCTGGAATGCGCCCCTCAGGAAGCCCACACTGGGCTGCTCCGCCTCGTCCAGCCCCGCAGTGAACTCGCTCTTGTTGCGGTAGCGCTCGATGGCGGGGGCGCGCAGGATGCCCAGCAGCGGGCAGCACAGACCCGAGGCAACACCGCCGTTGGGGTTGACGCTGCCACCGCTGCCGCCCTTGTTGCCGCCCCTGCTGCTGGCCCCGCCCTTATCACCCGCACCCCCAGCAGCGGAGTCGGCCTTGCCGCGAGCCGCGCGCACCCACTCGGGCTTGGCTGCTCCGTACGTCCTGCGGTCCACCTCCGCCGTGATCTGCCGCAGAGCCAGCACGATGCGCTGGTGCTTGTCGGAGAGCTGGCGCGGGTAGGGAACCCGCCACCAGGGGCACACCGCCTCGCACACGTCGGGGACGGAGCGGGGGGCCTAGGGGGGATGGAGGGAGGGGGGGAGGGTTGGGTTCGGTGGGATTGTCACGCGGACGCCGGGCTTGGATAGGCCTGGTGTCAGTCCTGGACTGATGACGTGTGTCCCAACCCGCAGCCAGCACACCAGCCGACCCGCATCCCACACCTGGGGACCCACATGGTTGCTGTCCAGCCTGGGACGGTGCTCCCGCCCACCCACCCCCCGGGCACCCGCCCGCACCTCCTCCCCACCCCCCTGCCATCCCCCGCCTGCACCTACCTTGGGTCCCCGGCTGGCCCCCACCACCCCCCTGCCGCCGCCACCCGCAGCAGCAGCAGCACCGCCCGCAGCCGCCTCCTCCTCGCCCTCCCGGCCCCGCTTGCGAGATTGCTGAGAGGGGGGGGGGAGTGTACAGCGCGAGGGCGGGGAGCATGCAGCAGGAGGAGATCAGCAGCTTCAAGGGAGTGTGGTCAGGAGGGCTGGGAGCTAACGGGGTGCAAGCGGGTTGGGCAGGCGAATGCAAAGTCAGCTGTGACACCCTTGCCCCACACTTTCCCGCTTCATTCCTCTTCTTCACCCTTCCCTCCCTCGCCGCCCCCACCTTGTTCGCGTACTCGGGCGCCAGGCCCTTCTCCACGGTGACGGTGGTGCCGCGCACCGGGGGCTCCGCGGTGGCGAGCAGGTCGGCAGCGGTGCTGGGGGGAGGCGGGGGGGTATTGCAGGCATGGGAGGAGAGCATGCCGATCTGGAAGGGAAGCAGAAAGGGTGAACATGCACCCTACTCCACTCTGCACTCTAGCCTCCGTCCTCCCTCTGCCCCGCCCCTCCGCCCTCCTCTGCCCCTTCCCTCCACATATCTCGACTGCATGAGTCGGGATATGGGATTGGGATTTGTTGTTTCACTTTTATATAATTTTTTCCCTCCCCCCTAAACCCCACCTGCACTCCGCCTCACTGGCGAACCGCACCACCCCCACATCCAGCGCCACCTCCTTGGCCGTGTACTTGATGCTGCGCTGCGCCAGCCCGCGGCTCTGCAGCCACTTCTTGAGCGCGCGCCAGTCCCAATCACCGCCGGTGGGCAGACCGCGCAGGGTCAGCTCGGTCTCCTGGGAGGGGGCGGGAGGAGCGGGGAAGGGTGTCAGAGGGGTGGGGGTTGGAAGGAGGTAGGGGTGAAAGGGTGCAGGGGACGTGCGGAAAGAGTAAGCGGGTTGGACCTGCGGGGAGGGCTCGCAAGGGCTGCGAGTAGGGGAGGTGGAAGTGGGAGACAGGATACCGGTATGCTAAGAAGGCCCGGATGACGACGGGCTTTGGGATATTCTTCCTATGTTGAGGCTTACCCCCTTTTGCATGTTGCGCTTCGTTTCTTCCGCAGCGCGCGCCGCCACCCTCGCGGCGGCATTGGCTGCAGCCATCATTTCGTCAACGCTGCGGCCTGATTTAAGGAGCGATTTTACGAACTCTAGCTCGCGCCTGTGGCAGGAGGGGTGGTCTGAGCTGAAGTCCTGATACTCGCTTGCAGGTAGCACCCATTTCGCACCTCAGCGCGGCTGCAGCCGGGGGAGCTGCAGTTTCCGCCATTGTTATGAGTTTTATCGTCCTCCTTAGTTAACGGTTTTGATAACGTTGCTTCTAGGGGTGCAAGCCCCGGTTCAGATGTTGCCACGCCCAAACCAATAGCATGTAGGTTAAATGCGAGCGACTGAGAATATGCAAAACGTTAACTAATGAAACGTTGGGTGGCCTTTCTGGCTTCTGCTAGGGACTGCTGCACGGCATTGTTGGACGAGTCACATCGCTAGTCCTCTTGCAAAAGGACTGCAAACACGTTTACAGGGAATCCTGTTCATCCGCAATAGCCTAGATCTAATTATCGCCCTCCTCTAATTGATAAAACACTTGGAAATTTGACAGGTCGTTGCAGCTATCACGTACCATACTGCCCTGCTTTCCTGCGCATCTAATATTATATGTTGTTAACTTCACGATAAGCCCACATTAAGCAAAACACTGTGCTTTGCGGCCATATCTCTGCCAAACCCTTTTAAAGACTTTGCATTACGTACGCTGAGCTGAACCTGACCGTCACGGACGCGGCGAGAGGAGGGCACCATGGGTGCCCTCATGTCCACGTTGTGGGCGATGTGGTTCGGCGCTAAGGAGTACAAAATAGTTATGGTGCGATGGGTCTGCGTGCAGCTGCTCTCTTGTGTGTCGCCTTTGTCGCATTGTTTCCAAGCCCGCGGCCCCTGCGGAGGTACATTAATGTTAGTCCGCGGCTCCTACCGCATTCCGGCCGATATGACGTGGACCGGCCCTCATCCCTAAACGACAGGTTGGCCTCGACAACGCCGGCAAGACCACAATCCTTTACAAACTCCACTTAGGCGAGGTAGTACAGGCAACCGCGACGGTTGGGAGCAACGTCGAGCTCATCCGATTCAAAAACATCCAATTAGAGGTGAGAAGCTTACCCCAGCCTCGGACCCCCAGCTCCCTCATGCGCCCCAACTTGCATGGCACTGCGCCCGCTGAGGCTCTATGGACCACTAGTGGAGAAGTAAGGCCCACCCAGACAGTGGCCGTCTGCGGCTAACGCCATCTCAAGCTCATAGCTGCATATGAGCACAGTAGCCCGTCAAGCGGAGTGCAGCTAGACCCACACCACCACCCTTGCGGCGGCGTGTTCCCCCCTCCTAAGGCAAGCCCTCACCAGCTCTCATTAGCCACAAGTCAGTCTTCGCAGCGGGACCGGCCGCGGGTCCACAGCCACCCACTGTGTCCCATGGGTCACACCTCATGCGGGCATCACGGCTTCGGAGGAGCTGAAAGCCGCCAGCTTGCCTTGAACGGCACACATCATTCTTTCAATGTGACCTCTCCCCACCTTCCATCCAGCATTGTATCCACCGACGGCCCCGGCAGCCCAGCACCAGTCCCACAGCACCACTTGCATTCCCCCTCCGCTGTGTTCCCAAGTGAGCGCCCCGTAACCCGCTGGCTGCCCCAACCATCCATCCATCCATGCCCACAGATCTGGGACTTGGGGGGGCAACAGAACTTGCGACCCTTCTGGGCCACCTACTTCAAAAACACGGACGCGGTGATCATGGTGGTCGACTCCACGGACCGAGCCAGAGTGGGCGTCACCAAGGTAAGGGGGCCCCTGTGATGCCGTCGTGTTGCTGACGGCACAGGTGTTGCTGACCCGGGTGATGCCATGTTGTTGGCCCGAGCAAGCGGGGTGGCCCATGGGTCGTTCTTGTTCAGAGTCGTCGGGGTCCTTTAACCACACGCCTCGTTGACCCAAGGGTCGCTACTGATCCAGCCGCTAGTGATGGCCCACGCAGCCGCACTGCCCTTGCTGCTCGCCCACGCTGCCCGGGCTTGCATTGGCTCCATGCCTCCTTGCACTCATGTCTACACCCCTCACCCTGCCCCCCACGCCGCCTCACCCACCCTGCCCCCCACGCTGCCGTGCTGCCGGCCAGTCGGAGCTGTTCAACCTGTTGGAGAGCGAGGAGCTGGCGCAGACACCCATCCTGGTGTACGCAAACAAGCAGGTGTGTGCCTGGGGGAGGGGAGAGAAGGAGGAGGAGGGGTCGGGCAGTGGGGTGGGAGGGGGACACAAGGATAAGGGACGGGGGAGGTATGCGCATGGTGGGTGAGCAGGGAGCATCAGCAGGTTGGTAGCGGCAATGCTGCCTCGCTCATACCCTCCTCTCTCTCCCATCTCCTCCCCCCCACCACCCCCTCAGGACCTGCGTGACGCCATGAGTGTGGAGGAGCTCACCTCGGCGCTGCAGCTGCACAGCATCCGCAACCACGACTGGCACATCCAGGCCTGCTGCGCGCTGACGGGCGAGGGGCTGCTGGAGGGCGTCAACTGGGTCTACCAGCGGACTAAGGGCAACGCGGCGTAGCGGCAGGAGGGGGGGAAGGAGGAGGAGAGTAGAGGGGGATGTGGAGTAGCAGCAGCGGCGGTGGCAGGAGGAAGAGGGAGGGGAGGCCGGCTTAACAGGGGCGAAGCTAGGCGGGCATCGGAGCGGTGGCGGGGGCGGAGCAGCAGCAGCAGCAGCAGCGGGAGTCCCGACCGGAGCTTGGTGGGTAGGGGAGGGAAGGGAAGGGGAGGGAAGGTGGACGAGGCATGCATGCAGTGCAATGCGAGGTCGTAGTGATTGTGATGGTGGGCGTGGTGGAGGAGAAGGAGGAGGAAGTCGACGGAGGTCCTTGTGGTTGGGGGCGTGCTTTCATTCGGTTGCGGCTGTCGTTCTGGGTCGGACCTCTTGCTGGTGGTGCCCGCTGCTGGTGCGCCTTCCTCACAGCAGCTCAGTTTGTGGGGAAGATGAAGAATGAAGCCATGACCCGTGGGTCAGGGTCTTTGAGAAGCAGTTATCCCTCTATGCTGGAAGAACCTTTCGACTTCCGAGCCACTATTGGGGGCAGGGCGTGCATGTTAATGAAGATTGAGTGAATGCACTTATGAGGATGTTACGCCCAAGTTTGGGCGCTAGGACGGTGCTAGGACAAGGAGGTAAAGCACTCAGTTCCCTGGTGGCTCCTTGGTGGCGGATGTTGGCAGTGCTGCTGTTGGTGCGTGGTGATGGGGCAGGTGGTGGTGATTCCGCCCAGGGAACACTGCTGCATCCTGCGTGCCGTGCCGTACTCCCCTGGGACTGCCCCCCCCGCTAGGTGGCCCATGGGTCGGTTTGGTCACCTTCCGCAGCAGTGCAGAAGAAGTAAGCAGAAGAAGTACCGTAAGCAGGCGTTGCTGAAGAGGCATGTAGGTCACACGCCGCGTATGAGTGGCGTGCGATGCGGACCATGACCCTTTGTGAAGCGTGTGTGCGTGTTCTGTACCGTTGGAAAGGAGGCTAATGCGTGGACCGTAGAGCAAAGCCCCGGTTTCCAAGTTTTGGAAGCACGGGATACGACTCTCGACGAGCCATGTATACCGCACTGCACGCTTTGCTTTTCTGGCAATAGGAGCAGGCCAGGCCACCGACATTACACCGGCAATACCGCACACCGACTGGAGCCGTACACCAGCACCGCGCTCGCAGACTCTGCTGGGCCCTCCAGCCAGGGCGCCCCGCCCGCAGCTGCTCGCAATGCTGCTGGTAACACCGCTGCTGTAGCACCGCGCCGCTGCAAGCGCGAGGGGCCAGCAACGCTACACTCAAACCAGGACGAACATACCTCCTCTATAGCCCCTGCTGCGATCCTGGCAATGGAGGACATGGATTGCAAATTGCAAACCGGGAAAGGAGCAAGGAAAGGCGGCCCATTGGTATGGGCTGCCCAGCTGCCGGTGCGGATATACCAGTAATGCTGGTAGGTTGCCCACCCGGCAAGGCCCGAATCCCTCAGCCACCATCACCCTTCAGTACCGGTAACATCCATTGCGACCCAAGGTGGGCATAAGTGTAGCCGCCAAGTGCCCAACAACTGACCCATGGGCCGCGGCCGTGTGGCGTACCTCATTGGGACCATTCACAGCCCACAGCAGCAACCTAGCAGCAGCAGCAGCAATGACCGTGATAAGAAGACCAACACATCACCATCAGCAACACCGATGCATGCATGAAGCAGATGCGTTTAACGCTCACAATGCTTGCCGAGTTCATAATTCAACCTTTAACCAAGATGCCCCTCACATGCATTGCAACCCACGCGGGCAGTTTTGCTTTGTCCTGCAACCAAGGCGAGGTAACAACTACTTGGAACAGCACGATGTGCTCACCCAAGCACACCAGGACCCTCCCATCCAACATGCCTCCCATGTGCAACCGCTGTCTTTCTCTAAACCCCAGAGTTTGCATGCATCGCACACGCGTCAACCGCCCCCACCATGCGTCAACCCCCCAAACCACCATGCGTCAACCACTCTCACACGCACTTCCACCGCCACGGCCAGACTCCACTCCAGCCCGCCCCCTCACGGTACGCAACCCCCCGCGCTGACATCCAACCCCCTCTCCTCCTCGGCTCCTCCCGCCTGTCCCTTCCTCCTTTCTCCTTACTCCTCCTTCCGCTTCCCCTCCGCTCCTACAACCTCCTCCTTACCATCCGCCGTCTCACCCTCCTCCTCCTCCTCCTCCTCCTCATCGTCCTCCTCCTGCACCATGTCCTGTATGCGGCTCTGCACCTCCCCCCACTGCGCCCTGTCGGGCAGCCCCTGGGACTCCTTGAGCCGCTGCAGCAGCGTCCCGCCCACCTCCAGGCATACCTGCGTTCAGGCAGCAGCAGCAGCAGAGGAGGAGGGAGCCGGAGGCTGTTGTAGCATGCCACATCTAATGTTATTGTGGATGCGCAAGTAGCGTAAACCGCGACGGAACGGGGAGAGGAAGCGCTGGAACGCCATGAGATACCGGTACCAGTAGTTAGGGGAGCCCCTAGGGGCCCCTCCCTACTGCAACTGTCTTCTCTTGCACGGCTCTCGTACCCAGATCGGGTTAGTGTCCCCCCTCTCCCCCTCTCCTCCACGCCACACCTGCACCGTGTACGACCCCAGCACGCTGCCGCTGGCGGCCCATGCAAGGTTGGTGGCGCCGCTGATCAGCGCCGAGGTGGCGAGCGATATGCCGTACACCACCCGCTCCTCCGCGCAGGGGGGCGCCTCCGCAGCAGCAGCCAGCAGGATCACCTGGGCGGAGGAGCATGTACGGCAGGGGGAGGATGGCAGCTTGCAATGGCAGGTGGGACTAAGAGGAGAAGAAAAAATGCAAAAGGCCAAGGTACGGAACCGGTACGGTAATGGGGGTTGAGGCGGGTGGGGTGGGGTGTGGGAGGTGCATGAGGCCATGTGTCAAGACTGTCATTCACATAGCCGGCCCCCACGTACCTTTGACTTGTCCGGTTTTCCCTTTGCATCATTGCCGTGCTGCTCCTTTGTTTCCTCCCCAGCACCTGCCTCTTCGTCCACCCAATCAAGCTGCTTCACCGCTAGACGAGTGAAGCGCGCAGCCCGGGAGGCCGCGGTGGTGGATATGCCCACCTGAAGGGAGGGCGATGGAGGAGAGGGAAGCAAGGTAAGGGGTGAGCCGGGGTAGAGGGAGTGACCCATGGGTCAGGTCAGGGCGGGGTTTCGATTCTGCGCATGTAGTGGCAGGGCATGGTAGGGGCTGGCGTGGGCTCTGCACGCCGTGTCCTAGGCGGCTAAACCTCTCGCGTTAAAACCACTGGAAAAATACATTTTAGGATGTGGGCTTGGAAGATGCTTGTACCACTACCAGCACAGCCCAAATGGCGACAGCAGGGATGGAAAGCAACTGAGCACTCTGGAATGAGCGCTCTCCCGCCTACCTGTACGACACACAGTGTGGCCGCCGCCAGCCAGCTAGGGGTGTCCGGGGTCAGCAGCTTGAAGACCTGTACGGCAATGCAGCCGGGCACGCTTGCAGGTTGCCTCATGTGCGCTTGTGTACCGGAGCTGCAGCGCACCCGCCCCCACCGCGACCCAATCGCTTCCAACCCTACCCACCGGTCCCCCAACCCAGTCAGCATAGCAGTAGACCGGTAGCAACATGTTCCCCTGCTGCTACCCACCTTTGCCCAGCAGACTGCTGCTACCCACCTTTGCCCAGTAGAAGGGGTTGTTGACGTCCGTGGCCCCCGTCAGAAGCCCCTGGTACCACCCCGTGAGGAGGGCACCTGGCGGGGGAAGCAGCAGCAGGGGGGGGGGAGCCAGCAGGGATGGTAAAGAGGAAACAACTAACGGCAGGGAGGGGGTCCAGGCAGGGAGGGGGTCCAGGCAGGGGGAGGGGGTTGGTGGCGCTCGCCGCACTGCTATCCTCCTGTCACTGGACCCAGCGCAACACATACAGCGGCTGCACAGGCTCTTCCTCCCCGCACCCACCCAGGTAGGCCCGCGCGAAGAGCTCCCGAGAGGCTGCCACGGCGCATGCGGAGGCGAGCAGGTAGGTGGTGGAGGGCAGGTCAAAGTACTCAAACCTGCCGGTAGGATAGGGGCGAGGGCGGGGGCGAAGGAGTCGAAGGTGGAGGATAAGTAACGAGAATAAGCAATGTTACCGTCAGGGCTCCTCCGCAGGGAGCGCCCTGGGAGCAGGCGGCCAGCCAGCATGCCCCCCATGCACCGGCATGTACCGGGATGCAGGTTGGGCAGTTGCGTACGGCGGGGAGATAGGTAGCACCGCTTGCCTTGGTTGCATTGCAGGGATGCAGCCCGTTCCCTGCCCGGCACCCGTAGCCCGGAGCCGCCCCTCGCCATTACCATCTGACCACGTGTGAATAATGTCTAATGCATTCCTTTCTGTGCTTTTTGGTGCAGCTCCTCCTCCTCCTATCCGCCAACCCCACTCAACGGTTAAGGAGCCGTACCATGGCTTGATCGACTGCATCTGGTGCAGCCAGAGGCCCCGCTGGAGGGACGCGGGGGTGAGGGCGGGCTGCGCGGAGGAGGGGAAGGAGGGTGGAGGAGGAGGTTGCTGCGGAGCGAGTTGGTGTGCGGCGGGTGTCGTCGGTGCACAGGAAGCTATAATGTGGAGATGAAGCATGGGCGAAGTACGGAGATCCCCATGAAAACCTTCCCAAGCTAACCCCACCCTTATCGTACCTGGCAGCCCGACAACAATACCAGCAACAACTGCAGGGGCAGGAGCTACGACAGCCCTGGCAACGGCAGCGATTAACGATCACACAAGCACACACACACACGCTGATTGTGTTGTTGTTAGAGAGGTACTGACCTCTGGTTGGAGGTTGCGAGCTGCTGTTGCGGGTGCTGCTTCGTCCTCGATCCCGAGTATGGGCAACACCTGCACCTCCTCTTCCACGTCCAATTGGGCCACCCTAAAGAGCTGCTCCGTGCTAAGGCCCAAATCCAGGGAGGGCAGCAACAGCAGCCCCGTAACCGCAAGAGGCAAGGCCGCAGCCATGGCGCCAATTGTGAAAGGTGTGCCGTCGCCCCAGTCTAGTGTTGCTGTGACGTCCACGCCTGAGAGGCTGGCAAGGAAAAGGGTTAAGCCGTACACGATGGTGGCGCCTAGGACCCGCTCGAGGAATGTGTTCGCTACAGAAAACTCTTGTGCTGTGATGCCCATGGATTGAAGTTCATCGGCGGCGAGTGAGGAATTGCTGGTAGCGCCGGCCTTGCGGGCATCGCTCTTGCTGCTGCTGCTGCTGAAGATGGCTGGTTCTGTGGTCGACGTGTCGACCTTTGTAGGTTGAGACACGGCATCTTTATCTGGCGCTTGTCCTGCATATATAGCTCCGGCGCGGCGCCCTGGGCAGCGCTGCAAGCAGCAGAGTCGGCAGCGAAAACCGATGATGACATCGCTTGCAAAGGGTTGGCTCTTGGCCGCGCGACGCGAACAGGAATTCTTTGCTTCATAGATTAGCACGTCGCCGTTTAGTCGCCTCATCGCACCGTGTTTGTGGAAATGCAAGCCCAGCCGTAGACCCGACGAAGCAAGCCGCTTTCAAGGATCGGCCTAATAGTCTGCGTGCATCTACTATCATTGACGCATGGGTAGCTTTGTCGCGCTTGTAACCGCAGCGTCTGGGCCATGACGCATGGGTCGAGGAATTACGAAGGCCCTAAGAGAAGCAATCCAAAACGCAGCCAGAAAGGCGAAAGACTACAAGCGATTTCTGACTATGTTATTTTGCCATTTGCACTGCCTTGCAAGCTCCAATAGGTTTCGGAGCCATCAGGGACGAATGCCGACAGGCGACAGGGCTTAAGGCTGCTGCCGGTCCTTCAATTCTGTGAAGGCTAGACCAAGCAACGTATCAATGCCTCCTGCTTCTGGTTCCGGTAAGGATCCAATTTCTTGATCCATTATCCAGCTGTCATGCGGCCTTGCACGTTCCAGTCGGTTGCAAAGCCAAACATCATGCCACAACTTTGCCCAAATTTAGTCCTTGTTCAGGAAGGCTAGTGGCCCAGATGAATTGTCGATAGCGTTTCGTGTCGTGCCTTCCTCCAGGCCTCCTTGGCACCAGGAAGGCCGGCACCCATGCGCTTTCCTCATCCTGCGTGTAACTTGCCGCCATGCCAGCAGCAATCCTTGCTAATTCGCCCGAACTGCATTGCACTGTACTTTTTAATTTCCTACTTAAATTTGAGCCTTGGAAATGGGCCGTTGGGTTTTTACACCAGTACGCCCTCTGTTGGTTAATACGAACATTTAGGTTGCTGTTAGCCTGGACACATACCGACAAAGATTACGAATTAATAGCATTCTCTGCTATGAACATCTGCCTGAAGTCCATCCCATGCCTGAAATGACCCTGGGTCGGCAAAGCAGCACGTCCGCCATCCTGTTCCTACGCTATACTGTGCCTTCAAGGACATTCCCTTTGCAACACACGCGTGCCGTGCTGGCAGCACAAGTACGCTGCCGTAATGCGCGCTGGAACCAGAGTCCCATTCCTCCTCAGCAGCTCAGAGCCGCGTTGCCATTAAGCCAGCCAGAGTATCATCATTTGATACAAGTATCGTCCTCGGGACCACAAAAACATATTGTCAATTCTCGTATCGGTACCTTCGCTTCAACTGTAGGGCAGGTCTTCTAGTACATGTGCAGGGAAGTGGTTCCACCAGACCCACCGCAACATCTCACGGCGAATGCATTCACCAATACCTGCATGCATTAGCTGGCACACATGTGCACGGCCAGATTTCTTAAATCATATGCGCATGGACCTGACACACACCGACCAAAATGCACAGGCGCCGCCAGCCTTTCAGGCTCACATAAAACATATGCACGCTAACCTACGCAGCTTACACTATACTGCGTGCTTCGGTCGTGGCGCAGGGCCGCTGAGCACCTCCGCCTTAATTTGCCGTACGACCGTTGCAGTGTGGCCAATGATGTTGGTGATGGCCTCCTTGTGGGCTATGAGCATCTTACTGGCCGCCTTGAGGTCGCCTTCCAACCGGGCAAGCTCGGCCTCCGCATCCCTGCATGAAGCAAAGAAGCAGGTAAAAGAAAATTTAAGGGGATGTTCGCGAGTGCGCTCGCTGGCGGACCTACTTCATGGCAGCTTTGCCTAAGGTGGTACTGGTACACTCGCACACTAGGAGCTGCTCAAGCGTGTCACCGTATCATGGTGCCCAACTTACCGCTTGGCTTGCTCGTAAGCAGCCTGCGCCCGCGCTAGCTTCTCCTCCATGTGCTCCGTCCGGTTGGAGGCAGCGCCACGAAGGTCCTCGACCTGAGCCTTGATGGCGTCAGTCTGGGTAAGCGGGGGGCACAGCATGCGCGGTCAGCCTGGTCGCTTGTTACAGTACGGGGGATCCTGCTTGTACGGATTGGAGCCGTAGCTGTTGTATGCATGAGGGGCAGCCAAAGCCCTAACACGAAAGGATATCATAGCAGTAAGAGAGGTGGCATGGAGAGACCTACCTGTGCGACTAACCGCCGGCACTTCTCCTCGAGTGCTTCCTTGGCTGACTGTAGCTGCGACTCAAGCTTGGCAGCCTGCAACGGGGCAGGTTGGCCAGACCGGGGTTGGTCAGTGCCGCTGCATAGCATTAAACGCAGTGCATGTTGCATGCTGCACGACCACGCGACAGTCCATATGCAGCAGTGCATTGAACCCCAGAGCCATGGGCTGGACTAGCTGACATGCGTGCAACCCACCTCCGCCTCTAGTGAGGCATTCTCCTCCTCCTTCTCTGCGTTAGCCTCCTGGCGCACCACGCACTCCTCGCGGAGACTGACCAGGTCCTGACTTAGCTGGCTGGCACGCGTCCGGTAGTTGTCATGCAAGCTTTCCAAACCCGGCTTGATCACGCCTTTCAGGTCCAGGTTCGAGAACTCCGCCTGCAAAGCAACGTTGACGTGTTAGGATTGCACGCGCAACACACAGCCTTTCCATTCATACAACGTAAGTTGCACACGGTCACGAGCAACCTATGCCTTGCCTGTGTTGATGCATCCCGGTTGATGCGCAGCTCATAGTTCTTCCCATCCGCGCGCTTGGAGGTGGCGGGGACGAGCTTCAGGCGGTGCGCCAGCTTGTTGTAGCGCTCCACGGTGGACTCCAGCGCGGTCAGGCCCCGAACGATCTGCGGGTTGGTTTGGAGGGACCAGGTAGGAGGGGTAAACTCGAACGCGCTTCTTGTGCAGTGGACGACTTGCGTAGCGAACCCCGTTTAGCGATTGTGAACGCGCTCTCGACGCAAGGGCGCCGCTGAGCCACGGTTCGCCTGTCCTCACCTGCACCTCCTGCTCATGCACTTTGCGCTCCATCTCCTCGCATTTGGCCTGTTCAGACTGGAGGGCCTCCGCTTGCTTCTTGCTGCAACGGGCACAGGAAGGGTGGGTACGTTGAATGGGCCCATGCGGCATCAAAACATGCAGCCCTCCCGCAGGTTCTACAGCTTACCGCTCCATAATCATGCGCTTGACATCTGCCTTGTTGACCGTCTGGCTGGCGACCCGCTGCCGCAGCTGCTCGACCTCCGCCATTGCCGCTGCCACCTGGTCCTGCCTGGCCTGAAAGTCCGACTTCCGCTCCGACAACTTGCGGGTGAGCGACTGCTTCATGCCCTGCATAGTGGGTGCAGTCGGGACCATGATACAGCACAATCCGCCATCATGATAAGGCCGAGCTAAGGTTCTTGGCATGAAGGTATGCGGTGACACCATGGCCACAGATACAGCGTTGTGGCTCTTCTATCCGTTGTCAAGCATGTTCAAGCCTTGCTAACCCTTTCAGTGTTAAATACACTATGAGGGCCTACCTCCTACCCAACCAACCGCAGGCGCATACCCTTCCCAGAGGGACCCAGATGGCAACAGCTCGCAGCGGGTGCGCCTCGTACCTGCAGCTGCTGGATGAGCGACTCGAACTTCTCGTTGTCGGCGACCTGCTCCGCGCGCCGCTGCTGCGCCTCCTCCACGGGGTCGGGCAGCGCACGCAGCCGCTCCAGCTCCGCAAGCACCTCGGCGTTGGCCTGAAGGCATGGATGACGGGGGAAGCAGGATAAGAGGTATGAAGGGAATAGGATGGGGAAGGTGAGGCATTAGGGAAGGTGAGGCGCCACGGATTTGGGCCCTTACGGATCTGAGTCGACTAGGATGGCAGAGTAGGGCCTTGTGAATCGAGGTCAACCAGGGGCTACGTCAAGAAGAACACAGGGTCTAGGTAGAGGAACTGGGTCACGAAGAGCCAAAAGGAACTGTCATGTAGTGGCGTCCCAGGGGTCCTAAGCAGTCAGTCCTGACTCGTTCCCCAGCAGGCCGCGGCATACTTGCAGCTGTTAGGCCCCACTGCAGCCCCACGTACCTTCCTGAGCTTCTCACAGCGTGCGTCCAGGTCGCCCTCTTGGGCTGTAATTTTAACCGCTATTTCATCGTCCAGCTGCTGGCAGCGGTCGTCATTGCCGCTCATGAACGCGGTGTAGCCCTCTGCGAGGTACTTCAGAAGGTCCTCCTCCATCTGCGAGGGTAGGTGGTACCAGGTTACGGGTGATGGTGTTTCACATCCCTTCATCTTCCCCACCCAAACCTGAATACCTTGTTGTCGGCATCAAAGGCTGCGTTCGTGCCCTCCTGTGCCTTTTCCGTGTAGTTGAGCAGCTCCACCAGCCATGCCAGCGCTGCTAGCACCGCTGGCCAAGAGTGCGGGCTGCCAACAGCAAAGAGTGCGCTCTTGCTGATAGGGAAGGGATAGTTGAGCCGCTTAAACATTTGTGGAACCTCGTCTTCCACCTTCCCTTGTAGCCGGAATGTAGGATCAATCTGCTGGAATAAGAAGCCGACGATGGTGAAGAAGTCCTTGCCGGTAGGGCTTAAAAGCGTCTTTTGCGCCACTTCAGTCTTAAATCCGTGTGATGCAAGATACTCAATGACTGTGCGGGCGCAATTGCTCTGGAAGTCCTTGCTGTTCAGCGGGCGCGGGTCGTGCTTCGGACCGCCGGACGGCTTGGCACCAAACGCGCTTGAACGCCGGTCCAGGCCTGGAGCATTTGCTATTGATTTATCCATGATGACGCCGACAGCCATGCTCTTCCTGGCCTTGGAGGGCAGCCCTGTGCCATCCTTGGCGGAACGGCCAGGCCCTCCGTTAGCGCCTGACTTGTTCAGCTGGGATGGGCTCAGCCCAGCAAGCGTTTGCCTTCGATTCATTAAGTATTACAGCGACCGAAAATTGCTTAGCTTAGCGGGTTACTATAACAGTGGGGCCCCCGTCTGTCACAACAGCTTCGATATGCAACTGGTGTAAAATGTATTTAATTTCCTGCATAACGGTATCATGCGTCTAGGCACTGACAACTGCCGTCCTTCGCTGCAAAACAATAGGCCTTGGATCTTGCAGTACAAACCGCTTACATGTTAATCTTCGAAACCACTCTTAAGGCTCTCGCAGTTTGTCCATTGGTGTCTTTTATGTGTATTTTGGATGTCCATATGGTGCATCAGACACCAACATACAGCCTGCAAGATGTCCTACGTGCTCACGTGTTAACGATATGGAATTAGCGCTCGGTATGCTGATACGGCGCATGTTATTTATCGGACGTCCACCACGTTCATATAGGGCCACATTGCTGGAATGACGACTGTCCCAGATGCACGTCCCAGCAAGGTTTGTGCCACAGCCGAGACAGAGCGAGCAAGTTCGGACGTCCAAACCAAATTCAGTATAACAGTTCAATGGCATGCCCTATAGTATGTCGCCTTCTTACGTAACCAGACGACCGCAAGTACCAGGGACCGCATGTCAGGTCATCTAGCGCCCCGCCTCCCATCAGCACATACAGACTGCATACACGCCTTTATCCAACAACGTTCGGGCTTATCCAAGAAGGCGCAGCCCAGCGCCAATCATAATCCTGCCAAGGTAAACTACGGTAACCAAGGACGATTGATCCACAGCAGCAACACCAACTTCTAAGTTTGGGGTCTATGCTCCCCAACCAACTTATTGAATTGGTGGTCCCTTGAGCAGCGACGAGGTGAGCAAGAATCTGTCTGTACTGCACAGTTATATACCGGTAACCCACGGCAACCACAACATGGCCTCAACCCAAAGCCCATCAACCTGGAAGGTATCTCCCCCAAGCCATAGCCAGAGAGGCCAATGCATGCGCCCGGTAAGCTTGCCGCGCAAGTAACCAAGCGTCATTGCCCCATACTGCAACACGAAGAAAGGCAAGTTTCGGTACTGCCCGGCAAGACCATCTACCACATAGGTTATGGAGGCAAAAGCGGCACGGGAAAACGAGCCGGCACAATGCGGGATGTTTGTACACCACTACGTCAAACATACATGAAGACCCGTTTCCTACATAATTACTGGTACATTACACCACGCCATCACACAAGGCAAACGAGCGGCACCTTTCCCTTCCAGCCAGATTTCAAGATTCCTTGGACTTGGTGCCCCATCACACGATACTGGTAGCAGCACCCCACATTCGCCACACCCACATATTCGTGACTTTGTTCCTTGTTCATACCACCCCGCATCCGTCCGCACTGCACCTACTTCAGCAGCTGCTCCACACGCTTGGTCGCAATGGTGCTGACCACCTGCGCCCGCGAAACCGTCTCTCCAAACGTGCCCTGTAGTACAGACGCGGGTGCCGGCGCCCCGGTCCGGGCCACATGAATACCAAACCATAAGTGGGTGCAAGACGAAGGGAATAGGAGGCGGCAGGGTGCGCCGGTGCGGGTCTCTCAAGGGGTTCGGCATACGCCAAGCGGGAGGATTGCTGGTTAGCTCGTGAGCCTCGTAAGCAGGTGCACCGCCCAACAAGACCAGCATGCTCCTCCTTAGACCGTACACCCCTGCCGCGCGCATGCCACCAATCAGGGTAATCACACACCCCAACAGCCCAAACCTTTCCGGACCGCAATGCCGTACTTCCCATGGGGGGCCCACATGGCTAACGCCTAACGATACGGCAGGGCCTCCCTCACCTCACCTGCATTTCACGAACCTCCGGCAGCCGCGTCCCGAAGGACACCGACAGCAGCGCGTAGATGAGCGCCGTGGCCCCGAAGCCCGCCAGCAGCGCCGGCGCCAGGCCGAACAACGCCAGCCCGATCACTATGACGGAGGTGAGCTCGGGGTTGGCGTTGACCCAACCCAGCACGGTGGTCACGAACGTCGCCGACTCCTGGCGTACAAGTGAGCAGCAGGGCGCGCCGCATCCGCGGGACGGAACGGGTCGGCGTGAGGGAATGGTGATGGTGAGGCTGGGTGGGTGGGATGGGGGACGCGTGCTAAGCGCGGACCGGGGCGCCGGTTACAGTACGTCATTGATCCCACTGCGGAAGAGGACGTGCAGACCAGATCGTACATGACACCACTTTCTGCCGTACCCATACAGCCGTTTTGCAGCGGGGCCCATGCCACGTGTGCAGGTGGGAGGGCACCCTCAATGCATCATGACTTTGTGAGAACCTTACCAGGGTTTGGCATGTCAAGAACCTCTCAGGAATGGGTGGAGTGGCGCTCACCTGGGGGTTCTCCAGGGAGTAGAAGGCTACCAGTGCGATGAGGATGGGCGCCGCCAGGTAGCGCAAGAAGGCCTGGTGGGGGTGGGGAGGGGATTGGGTTACAGGGTTTTAGACAGCGTGTAGGGTCTCGTGGGTGCCTGTGTGGCCGAAATGCATGCAACCCAGCGTGCATGCTACCCTGCGTAGGGCTGGAACTGGATGCCAGATCTCCGCAACTTCTTAGCAATCGGCGGGCTGCGTATGGGGACATGCACGCAGGAGCTTGCTGCTCCTCCAAACCATGAAAGCCCGCAGAGATTCACACGCTTCATGACATCCCCTTCCCCTGTCAGATTCTTGTGCTTGCGCAACGAGCGTGCACTAGCCGTCCCACCTCGACAAGCTTGGGCACCAAGAACAGGGCCAAGACCGAAACGGAAAAGGATGCCACAGGGTGCTCCAAAATAAACTCGGACGCATCCCGAATTGATAGACTTGGCAGCAAAGTCGTAGCGTCAACTTTGGTCAGGGCGGTTGCAACCTCCACAACCTCGCTCGCGGCATGGGCAGCGACGACTGGTGCCTTGAACCGGCCTGTCCGCGCTCCCGTGCGCAATACCATTCGCGGCTTACTCGAGTTAAAGAGTATGCCATTGCGGTTGGTGGCCAGGCTAGCCATAGTTCAAGATTAAACGGGCACCAAGGTTACCGCGCAACAGTTACCGCTCGCACGGTTGAATACCGGATTGAATATTTCTTGCCTAGCTTACATCCAAGCCTGTCAAGGCGCTATGGAAAGATCTTGCAATAGAAAGTTAGATGAGAGGAAATGGGGACCATTACAGTTTGATGGTCCACTGCCGTACGTTGTTTCCCCTTCCAAAGCCCAACAAGGCTATGGAGCGCGTTTCCCGGCGCAAACACAGCCAAGGAACACTTGTCGAAAACTGTTGAGGGCCAGGGGTTTGCGTCTTTCCGCCGTACGGCATTGCGTTGCCTTTCTTCAGGCTCTTTCAGCAAAGCGGGTGTCCTTTTCACCACGCTTACAGTGTACCACCCATAGGCGCAACTTTACACTTGATCTTTTCATTTGCACGCAATTCCTCCTAAATAGAAGGCGGCGGCTTCGATCTCGACTTGTATCTTTAATACAGTCTTCTGCTGCAGCTCCAAAAATGTCTAAGTCTAAGCCTCAGCTTCGGGAGCAGGTGGGAGCTGGAGAGCATCGTCTTTGTCGACTGGCGCAGCTATGCTGTCATGCCCAACCTCTGGTACTCTGTACCCCGGCCCTTGCAGAACCTAGAAACTCTAGATGCGGCGAAGCTTACGCCTTTGTCTCCGGAGGTTATTAGCCGTCAGGCCACTATCAACATCGGTGAGCACAGTCTTTTGTAATTGTAATCGGGTGCAAAGGAAAAAGCAATTTTGCAGCAATTCATCGGGGTGTATCTGTCGCCTCGATACATTCTTTCGTCTTGGCAAAGGGGCCATCGGGGTGTTCGGGTGTTGGCTGGACCCCGTTTGGGGTTCCCCGCTGTGTTTACGTCAGCCTAGTGCTGGTTCCCCGCCGCCGCTGACACCAGAGCGACTCGTGCGATAGGGATTGACGTGCTGCAGTGTCTTGTCACGGGTTACTACCTGGTCGTATTGTGCCCTTCATTCTACTGCCGCCCACACACACCTCTACGGGGCACCGGGGAAAGTCTCTCATTGCTTGGGGATTGATTTGATATTAATCCCTCCCTCTTCGTCTACCCCCTTCGGCTGTCCTAGTATACGCATAACTTCTCCCGTACATGGCCGACCGCATGCTCCAACTCGCAGGCACCATCGGCCACGTGGCCCACGGTAAATCCACGGTGGTGAAGGCCATCTCCGGCGTGCAGACCGTGCGCTTTAAGAATGAGCTGGAGCGCAACATTACCATCAAGCTGGGTTACGCGAACGCCAAGATCTACAAGTGCAGCAACCCGGGGTGCGAGCGGCCAGCATGCTACCGCGCTTACGGCTCGGCCAAGGAGGTAGGGAGGTAGCGCGAGGATTTGGGGAAGCCCCGCGAGCGAAGCCGGGACAGGGGTGGCAGGCTAGCGACGCAGGGCTTATCCCCCAACCGTACCCTTCCGAACCCCAACCCATCTGCCTTTAAACCCTATCAACAACTCCCACCCCACCATAGGACAACCCGCCCTGCGAGATGTGCGGTCAATCCATGGAGCTGATTCGCCACGTCTCCTTCGTGGATTGCCCCGGCCACGATATTCTGATGGCTACCATGCTCAACGGCGCGGCGGTCATGGACGGCGCGCTGCTGCTGATCGCCGCCAACGAGACCTGCCCGCAGCCGCAGACCAGCGAGCACTTGGCGGCAGTGGAGATCATGCGGCTCAAGGATATCATCATCCTGCAGGTGCGGGAGGGTTGTGGGGGTTGTTGGTACGGGGACGGGTGCGTGGCTACGGGGGCGCTGCATGCGTTTTGGAATCCCCGCCAAGGGGTTGCGGGGGTGTTGGGTGTTGAGTGTTGAGTGCACGGGGGAAGCATGAAAGCGAAGCGGACCTTGAGCTGCCGGGCGCTGCAACAACAGCACAGCCTGTTTTGGCGGCAAGCTAGCAGCAGCCGGCAGCTAACCTGGCTAGCCTTGCCAAGCGTATATATCCACCCGCGCGGGATCCCAGGGACTCCCTCAGTGGACGGCCCAAGCTTTGTTCTCCTCGCATTAGTCCAGCTAGTTCGGTAGTTACCACCGTACCACCGCCCTACTCCTACTGCTGCCCCCCACAGAACAAGATCGACCTGATCACGGAGCCCAACGCCATCAACCAGCATGAAACCATCAAGAAGTTCATCCAGGGCACCATTGCGGACGGGGCGCCCGTGGTGCCCATCTCGGCGCAGCTCAAGTACAACGTGGACGTGGTGTGCGAGTACATCGTCAAGAAGATCCCGGTGCCAGTGCGGTGAGTTGAAGGGACGAAGCTCCCTAGGCGGCAGTGACCGTCCCCACAAACCACCCCACCCCACCGCCCACCCGTGAGGCTGTGTGACCGCTCACATGCCCACCTGCCTCCCTCCATCCCGGGTATGTCACCCCTCGCTCACCCGCCCCCTCCGCAGCGACTTCACGTCGCCGCCCCAGATGATCGTCATCCGCTCTTTCGACGTCAACAAGCCCGGATCCGAGGTGGACGAGCTGAAGGGAGGTGTGGCGGGAGGCTCCATCCTGCAGGTGCGCGTCCGCCCGCCCGCACGCACGCCTGACCCGCGCGCATCCTGGCTGGGAAACGGGTTGGGAGTTCAGCAGCATAGTGATGCTGACGGATGGAGGGAAAAGAAGTAGGGAAAGTGATGGAGGGAAGAGAAGTAACGTTCTAGGAGCGTTGTTTACTCAGGAGTTTGCAATGACACGGATGCCCTGCAGTGTCATTCAGCTCCAGTTGGGATGTTCAGCTCATGCCGTACGCTTGGTATAGTTGGCAACACCGTGGCGGATGCCACCGGGCACGTTTTCACGGCATCCCGCCTACCGCGACCCCTGTGCGCCCCCTGCAGGGTGTGCTGCGCATGGGTCAGGAGATCGAGGTGCGCCCCGGCATCATCACCAAGGACGCGGAGGGCCGCGTCAAGTGCATCCCCATTTTCTCACGCATCGTGTCGCTGTTTGCGGAGCAAAATGAGCTGCAGTTCGCCGTACCGGGCGGCCTCATCGGTGTGGGCCTCACGGTGAGTCGAAGGCAACATGCAGGAAACCCCCGGGGGGCTTCACGAGGGGTGGGATGGCTGGAAGTCACTAAACAACCGCAACCGGCTTATCAGCGGCAACCGCTGTGCACCATGCGACCCCTTTCCTGCATGTCTCCCTCCTCCCCTCCTTTCCCCCTCCCTTCCCAACCCCAGGTGGACCCCACGCTCACTCGCGCGGATCGCCTGGTGGGTCAGGTGCTGGGCCAGGTGGGCGCGCTGCCGGACGTGTACTCGGAGCTGGAGATCAACTTCTTCCTGCTGCGCCGCCTGCTGGGCGTGCGGTCCAAGGAGGGGGAGAAGCAGGGCAAGGTAGGGCTGCTGCAGGGGAGGCATGGGCGGGCGGGAGGGTGTGTTGGGTGCGGATGTTTTGGTTCGGGCGTTGGATATGGTTGTGCGGCCTGGGTTGCGGTTGTGTACTAGGAGCTATCCCTAGTAGGCTGAGGGAGCTAACATGGGAACACCAATCATAGAGTTAGTGAGGGTTGCACTACGCACCTTGAGCGCGCAACGTTTGGCCAATGACCACGGCTCTCAATGTACAGCACCCACGGTTCCCCCCCCACTCCCGACGCTAGGGTTGCTCTCCCCACCCGCTGTCCCTTCCCACCTGCTTGGGGCGCCAGTGCTTCACTTCTCAACCACTATGTTCCCCACCCTCTCCCTCCACCCGCCCGCCCGCAGGTGACCAAGATGAGCAAGGGCGAGGTGCTGATGCTCAACATCGGCTCCATGTGCACGGGCGCACGTGTGCTGGCCGTCAAGGGGGATCTGGCGAAGCTGCAGCTCACCAGCCCCGTGTGCACCAAGGAGGGAGAGAAGGTGGCGCTCAGTCGGCGTGTGGAGAAGCACTGGCGCCTCATTGGGTGGGGGCAGATCCAAAAGGGTCTCAAAATGGACCTGCCCACCCGCACGGCGTAAGTGGGAGAGCCCAGCAGCAACAGGGGCAGCAGCGGTGTAGGAGCAGGGGCGGTTGCCGAGGGGTACCGTTGAGCTCTTGTGCTTGTTGTCGCGGCGGATGTGCTTAGGATGTGCTATTGGTGCTGGTGGGTGGGGAGTGTAGGGGTGGGGAGTGTGTGGAGGGTGAGTGTGTTGTGACCTGGACCCTGGGAGGGGGCTTGTCGTAATTGGGGCATGTGACGCCGGGAGGGCCCGTGGATTGCGGGGGAAACAGGGGTGGCAGCTGGGTTTGGTGGGGGTTGCGGTGGCGAGGACAGATGCACGATGGAAGCCCGTGGCGTGGTCGCAACAGCACTAGCCGTGTGGCCCGGGAGGCAGGTATAGCTGAGATACGAGCCTTGCGAGTGTCACAGGACACGACTGATGCCAGGGCGGCTGGAGGGCTGAGGGAGGTAGGCGACTCACGGCACGATGCACTTGACAGAGCCCGCAGGTTAGCGCTGTGCGTCTCGGTCTCGCGAGGACGGTGGCCATGCGCTGTACGGTAGTTTTGCTTTGCTGGCGGGAAGTGGGCAGCAGCAGGATGTGTACAGAATTGTTGGAAGGGTTTTGACACAATGCTCTAGGTCGAGGGCCCTCAAGTCTCCGCATTACTGTGTTATGTTTTTAAGGAAGGCGGCGGACGTGTTTTACAACGGCGACAGACGGCGCGCAGTTGCCCACATGTTTAAAGTTGCCTACGCTAGCCTTAGGGCAAGGCTAGCTCGGGGTTTGGGTGAGCTATTGCGAACGCACAACTAAGGAGTCGTGTTAACCTTGCATTTTGTAAGCGCATTCGATGCTCTTGGAAAGTGCAATCATTCCTACATTCGTAGCAAGGATGTGGGGCCCTGGACAGTTAGGCGTTGGGATAGGAAACCTCAGGCGCGTGATACGGTTCCAGGACTGCGTCGGTGCGTTACATTATACGGAGGCATGGCACAACTCGCACAGGGGATGTTTACCAGTGCAAAGCTGTTAGCACAAGGCGAAAAAGATGGGCGTGTGGACTTCAGTGCATGCGTACATGGGACCGGCTGTAGCAAGGCTGTTGCTTCCTTGTAGACGAGCTTTGCGCTGGAGTGAAGTGAGGCGTTGGCTAAGGAACGAGTACAGTCGGGTTGCAACACGTATTTTGTGCAAATGAAGCCAGCGTCCTTTGTTGACTGGGTACACGTCGAGCTGAAATTTCCGAGTTCGGGATGCACACTTTAACGCTATTGCATACTATTCAATAACCAAACGACCAGGTCCTGGCTGCAATAACCCTAGCCCAGCTCCCCAGCATCATTTCGGTGCACCTTGTACGGACAGGACGAAGCCAGCTACCGCGGCTCTTCGACTTTCTTTGCACAGAAATTATACACAGCTATAAGGTGAAGCTTCAAAACTGAATAACTTCTACATACTGTCATTGATAGGTTGTGCAACTCCTCCTTAACCCTGTTAAATTCGCGGCCTCGGTTTTGTTGCAAGCGCCTTTAGTTTTACGTATTAACAATTGGTGAAAGGTTAGGGGCCAAACGCAATTTGAGTTGATAGGTTCATGTCTATAGCTGGTGAAAAGCCTTGCTTACAAGCCATGCGCTGACGACTATGACGGAGGGAGCGCTGCCGAAAGATAAGCTCCTGGCATCTGGGCGAGAAGCCTCGGCGCCAGCTGCTAAGCGGGATGCAAAACGTCAAAATCCTCTCGCATTGTCAAGGCATCGCCTTGCAGCGTACTGCGCTCACGCCCCGGAGCCGTATGCTGCGATGGCAAGCCGTGGTGACTGGAGTACAAAGCTATGGGACATCTTCGGGCAGCCGGGCGGGGCCAATATGTGCTGTGAGTTAAGGGTGTATTCCGTGTGCCTTGGCGAGTATGCTAAACTACTTTCGCGCGTGTGTTTGAGACAAGCGAAACACCCTTTTCTTAAACGCCTTTGCCACCAGGCTAGTATTCCTCATCTGTTACTCCTTGCCCGTTCAGGTTGCACTGCTGCAGCCGCCCCTGTCCCATGCGTCCCACGTTAGCTGCGCCTTGGACTCCATGTTATGATCCCCGCTATTGACCAGGACGCTGACCCTCTGTGATTGGTCCGCAGGTTTGTCCTTATGGTGTCCATGCATCCAGTACGGGCTCATTTTGGAGCAACTCCCGCCGGTGAGGAATAGTGCGGACGTGACACTGCCGCATCTGAGGGATGCAGACGAGGGGCATGGGACCCGTTTCAGCAACAGTTGGCCCCAGCCTGCAGAAATCCCACCGACATGAGCATTGGAAGACGTTGTCTCACTCCTTGCGCCGGTTGGCGTGCACTGCGCCTGTTGTTCCATTCCATTCTCATTCCGTATTTGGCCTTAACCTTCGCCTCCGCCGCTGCTGCTGACACCATAACCTCCAGGGCTCAGTGACATGTGCTGGCAGCGTCGCGGGGGGCTGCGCGCTGTTCTGCGCGTTGTGGCTGCTGGGAGACGTGTTGGGTACGGCACTGCTGACCAAGTACGTCATGCTGCCCTGCTCGGCGCTCGTGCACTGCCAGACACGCGGCTTCATTCGCCGCAAGTACGGCATTCAGGTACGACACGGGACAGCAGGGGGCCTAATTATCCTAGTATGTGACCATGGGAGCCTGATGCGGATGGCTATGCCCTAAGGGTTCGCTGGTCGTTGGGTCAACAATCGCCCTGCGCCATATTGTGCTTTGCAGCAGGGGGCAACAGCAATCCGATATGTGATAGCTAGCTGCTGGGCTTAACTGCTCCGGCAGCTTTTTCTTTCACGTCAAAGTCATATGAAACCATGCAAACCCTGCCTCCGCGCCGGCCTGCCGTCTTGTCCCCGCCCGCAGTCCCACCCACTGCATGACTTCTTCATTACATGGTGCTGCATGCCGTGCGCGCTGTGCCAGGAGGCCCGCGAAATAGTCGTACGAGAAGCAGCGGAGCGGGAAGGTACGCACGACGCATGGGTCACGGGTCGAGACGAATTTGCGGGACGGGACAAGATAGCGGCTTCATGCGAGCAGCTGGCTGCAGGGCGACGGCTTCTACTGATCTACTGATGAGTGGCAACAACCCACCCTGCAGGTACCTCGCCTTCTTCCCGCGCCCTGGGCCCAGCACGCAACGGCTCCCTTCATGCTGGGGACCGCCACAGCAAGGCCGGCACGGGAGGCAAGGCGGCGGGGGCGGCGGGGGCGCCAGCAGGAGCGGCGGGGAGCCCAGCTGCTGGGAGTCCGGGACCAGGTATGGAGCTGGTTTCGAGAGGGCCGCTGCCGGGAGGAGCCGGGGGAGCGGGGGCGGAGGCAGCGGCACTGGTGCAGGCGACGGTGGCCGCAGGTGGGGGCGAGGAGGCGAGATAGGAATGAATGCCTACATATGCCTATGTAGAGGTTATCAGGTACCCATTCGATGAGCAGGATGGGATGGGTGCCCCCGTTCCTTCGTAGTTTGAAAGGGTAGTCCTGGCCCAGCCTTGCTAAACCGCAACCCTTGTTGTCTGCTTGCCTCGCAGGTCACCCGCATATATCCACCTTGAGCCTGGGGGCGGGGGTAGCGGTGGTGCATACACACACGCTGCCTCCAGAGGCACGCGCCGCCAACTCATGTGCAACGGTCACGCCCAGCGGTAGCCCCGGACCCGCAGGGTTGTTGCCCGGGGCTGGGGTGCACGCAGCCTGCACCGTGACGGGTGCCGCGGGGGCGGGTGGGACTGTGGATGAGCGGGAGACAGTGAAGACGACCAAGTCCTGATGCATGCGCATGTGGAGGTGTGATGGGCGGGGATGGAGGCTCTGGCTGGTACCGGATCGCGTGTGTGGGGGATGTGACTGTGCCGCATGTGAGAGGCGCATGTGAGGCAACGTGTGAGCAGGCAAGAATAGTCGTACGTAGGATGACGTGTTTGGTAGCATGATGTACGGCAACGCACATGAGGTTGGCTGCAGCCCAGATTTATAGTGTAGGTGTAGGGATGTCATGAGGCACAGTGGCAGGCTTACAGTGGCGAATGTTGGCGTGCTTTGGGCGGCAGAACATCGAGATAGAAGTTAGGAGCAAGGTCGACGTTGTAGGGAAAGGGGAAATGGACGGCAGTAGATACATAGGGTCCGAGAAATAGTCATACACAGTTTAAGTGGGGCAGATGTGATCCAAATTCGAAGGTAGGTACGCCGGACGCAGTGCGCAGTACCGGCATTGCGGATAGCAAACGCATGAGGCGATATGGGTGGGGGCTTCGGTCGCTGCAGTGCCCCTTGGGTGCGAGTGCTGTAGCGGCTGAACTACATTGACATGGCCCAGGGCGAGATACAGTGTGGCAAATGTGGTGTGGGGGACACAAATTCTTATATGTTGGCGCGGAGCCAACTACCGTAGTGTGCAAATGGCCTTTGGCTCTTGAAGCTTGTAAGGTACCAGATAGCCCGAGCGGGTGTTAACGTGCAGGGTATCGCTAACACTCAGCCCGGTGGCCCATGGGTCGAACCGAACTCACAGAGTCAGACATTGCAAATTCAGACGACCCTGGCACCCATGCATGTTGCCAAAGCGGCAAAAGTCGTGAAGCTCCATCGGCCCACCAGCATGCGTTACATCGCTTACATGCAACCTCAAAGCGGTGTACATCCGGTACACGTATCTTGTCCTGGCGAATGAGAGCACTTGCACACAACGACTTGCTGACAACGAAGCCAGGCATTGGCGGTATCACTTGTAATCACGATGAACCACAATATTATTTCACCGATAGATAGGGCAGGGCGTCAGTCACACAAGAGGGATCAGGTTTCACGTACAAGAAAGATTGGCGGGGGCCAAGGGCTGGTAGGGGGCAACCCAAGCATTTTCTTGTTCCACCCAGGCTCAACCATTGCCAACAGGGCTACCGCGGACGTCAAGTATAAGGCAACAGGCGCCCCTTCTCGACCTCGACCTGACTAATAGAGCGCACAATGGCCAAACTGCAACTCCAAGCTGATGAACATGCAACATTAACCTTCCAGATGGGAGGGAAAAAACAGCAGATGATCACTGTCAATCTTAACACGCAGAGAGCTAGTGATAGCAAGCAGCACCCCGTCACATCGTGAGCAACCCAACGACAGCAACACAATTAGCCCTGCAGTGCAGTATACCCCCGTTGCATGCGCCCAGCATTCCTGCAGCACACCTTGCCGTTTACAGCCACACGCAAACACCCCTGCATGAAGTCGCTTGACATTACCTCCACAGCATGCCACCATGCATTGCCTCACTCGAGGAGTGTGCCTGCCGTCCTGCGGCAACCCAGTTCCTGCCATGATATGATCCTAAACATCAGCAACATAGAGCCGTGACAGACCTCGATACACGAACATGCAGTGATCACACGAGCCCAAAACAATGCATTCTTTCATACATGCCCCAGAGGCATCCAGCGATGGGTGAATGCAATACAATGTGGTTCCCTACCTTCCGGTGCAGCCGTCTAGGACCTCAATCCACCCATCCCTGCTCGTGCCCACCATTCCAGGGCCCGCCACCGCCACCTCCCTCCCTCACTGCAGCCCGAATCCCTCCGAGTTGTTGATCGCCAGCCGCAGCAGCGCGCCCAGCTTCTCCCTGCTGCTGTACTCGGGCAGCAGCAGCGTGTTGAAGCAGGTGTGCGAGGTGGGCAGCTTGGCGCAGTCGGGGCCGTCGCGCTGCAGCACGGGGCGCAGCGAGCCCAGCCCGCCGATGGGGCTGCGGTCGCTGCCGGTGAAGAACTTGAGGAAGGCGCGCTGGTCCTGCACAGCAGGGGAGGAGGGGAACGGGGTGAGAAGGGCTGCATATTCGGTGTGAAAGGGAACAAGGTCAGAAGGCCACACGCCTGCGCAGCTGTAGCTTAGTACCGGTACCGTAGCCCCGCTGCTGCTGTTCGCCCCCACCGCACCGCACCTCCTGGCTGAGTTCGTTGATGACAATGTCCCACAGCCACCGCACGACGGCGCTGTCCCGGCTGAAGCCGCCCTCGTAGCGAGCCGCGTCGCGCAGGGCGGCGAAGTCCAGCCGGGGGTTGCCGCACACCAGCCGCTCCAACTCCTGCAGGCGGGGAAGGAGGAGGAGGCGGGGGCGGCGGGGGCGGGGGAGAGGGAGGCGAGCATGAGGCGGGGGGACTACCGGTATTGCATGTAGGGCTGCATGGGAAGGGCCTTGCACATATATGGCGCATGTCGGCATGCACACCCGTCCCCTCTCTCCTCCCACCTGTGCATTGAAGAGCGACATGGCTGGCCCCTGGCACAGCACCCTGAAGCCCGCGGCAAAGGCCTCAAACTGCTCCGCCACCGCGCCCTCCATGTGCCAGGCCGCCAGCAGCGACACGTACTCGGCGCGGTTGTCCTCCGTCACCGGCAGCGACTCGCCGCCTGGGGGAGGGGCGGGGGCGGGGTGAGTGGGGACATGGTGGGGGAGGGATTAATGAAGTAACGTTGAGATAGCGGCAAGATTGTGGCGGGGCAAAGGGACGGAGCGAAGGCGGAGGTGACCGCAGACGGTATTCCTGTGTTCAGAAGGAAGAGGGAACACCCAGCCCCGCTCCTTCCTCCGAAGCAAACGAGGAAGCCGTACACAGACAATCCCGCCGTGCTACCTGGCTTCAGAGGTAGGGACTCCATGCGACCGAAGCGGTCCACGTCCACAGAGAAGGTCAGACCAAACACATCCGCCATGGGATCAGGTCCGTCGTACTGCCGTACAAGGACGTCCGCACATTCACAGCGCGGGAGGGAGAGGAGGCGGGGGGCAGTGGGCGTGAGAAACAATTGCGAAGAGGTCTTGGGGTTTGAGCCAGAGAGTGACACGGGAAAGTAGCACCCTACGTTGCTGCTTAACAAGCCTATAAATCATGCCGGTATTAGAAACACGCACAAAGCGTATTCCAGAGCACCTCACACCCTCCTTCCCCTCACCTCCAGCAGCGCCCTGAGCCCCCTGGCCAGCTCCGGCTGCCAGCCCTCCAGGTCCCTCAGCCCCAGCTCCCTGCCCCCCCGCAGCTTCTGGAAGAGCAGCAGCGGCGCGCGCAGGTCCAGCAGCACCCGGTTGTACACCGCCAGACCCACCACCAGGCCCAGCAGGAGGTAGCTGGAGGGGGGCTCCAGGGAGGAGGGGTGGAACCTGGGGGGACGGGCGGAGGGATGGGAGGGGCAAACGGAGGGTTTAAGGAGGGTGGAATCGGGAAAGGACGCGCGATCGGCCCCTCATCAATCCTCCTTCCTATCCTCCCATCCGCCAGCCACAGCACCTCCCCCGCCAGGTCCTCACTTCCCCACATCCCTTGAGGTGCACAAGCAGCACCTCAGTCCAATCCAGGTGCATACCCCCCTCCTCAAACCCCCATGCCGCCCGCCACCCCCTACTGCGGCCCAGTCACAACACCCCCTACCTCACCCCCCCTACCAGTATGTCCTGGTTGTTTCATCGTAGGCCATCATGCCGTAGTCCGGGCTGAGCAGCCGCTCCAGCAGCAGCGCGAAGAACTCCTTCTTCACTCCACCCGCGTCAATACCCTCCTCGCCGATAAAGTGAACCCTGGGAGGACAAACACGGCATTGGTGGTGGGAGGAGGAGCAGGGTGCGGAGAGGGGGAGGGAGAAACGGGGAATAGGGGGTTGGTCGTAGGTGGAACGCGCCTACAGACAAGCGACCCTTTTGCCTGTCGGCATCCCTCCCTGTTCCTCCCTCCCTTCCTCACCACCCTCTTTACCATGCAGCCTATGCTGGGCCTTGCCACGTCGCCTTGTCACCCAACCTCTCCCACCCGTCGACATACTGCCAACGCAGCACAATTTTCTCCCGCCCAGTGCAGAGCATCCATCTTCTCCTCTGACCTCAGTATCCCCAGTACCCCACCCTTACCCCAAGGGCTGCTTTCCCTGACCCCCCCTCCTCCACGGGGTCAGGAGAGAACCCACGGGGAAGCCTCGTCATACAGCTCGTCAGTTTCTTCTTTTCACCCTCCCCCCCACCTGAGCGGCTTGAGCAGGTCCCTCCGCGTCTGCCGGCCCACCTCCGCCAGCGCGTCCTCCACCAAGTGGGTCCGCCGCACACGCAGGATGCACATGTCGCTGTGCACACCCGGCATGGGGCACTCGGAGGGGCTGGGGAGCTGCGCAGGTGCATGGCAAGGGAGGGGGTACGGGGTTACGGGTATGCGCTACGGGCAGAGGTAAACGCTGCAGGATAGTAGAGGAGCGAGGAGGAGGGAGGGCAGCGGGGGCGGAACGGAGGCAGGAGGGAAGAGGGAAGAATGGCCAAGGAGCAATGTCCAGTGAGCCCCAGTGCGCCAGGGACGACCTTCCTGCCATGGCAGGGGCGAGGCCCAACCTGCCTCCACCTCCACTCTCAGCCCTAACTCCTCCAAGGGGCCCTCACCTCCAGAGTAGCTCCTCGTGATCGCGACCTAGCTCCCTCCGCCTGCCGCTGCTGCGCTGCAACCTGTGCGCCACCGCTGCTGCTCGCCCTACCGGCACCACCACCGCTCGTACCCCGACCAGCACCTGAGGGCGTGACAGCAGCAGCAACAGCAGAACCGGGGACACCGGCGCTGCCGGCTCCGCCTGCACCGCCGCTGGCACTGTTCCGGCGGCGAGGCCGCAGCAGCATACCGAACAGGCTGCGAAGGGAAGTCCCCATCACACTACTGCTGCCGCTGCTGGTTCCAGGGGTCGCACTGCCGCTACTGCTGCCACTACTTGCGCCACTGCTGCTGGTAATTGCGCTGGAGGAGGGGGAACAGGTCGAGGAGGAGGGGGAAACGGAGGAGGGGGATGCGCCTGCAAAAGAGCCCCGACGGGCCATGCGGGCGCCCGAGGTCGCCCTGCTACCAGAATTGCTGGCCCTGCCGCTTCCTGCGCTGCTCCTGTCCCCACCGCTGCTGTTGTTGCTGCCGGAGGCATCGCCAGGTGTCTTGACGAGCACTGGGCCCTCCTCGGCACGCCTCCTGGCGGCCGCACTGCCGCCGTACAGCTGCACCTCCATGCGGGCATGCGCCACACTCTGGGGAGGGAGAGGGGCAAAGTAGATGGAGAGGGTCTAGATATGGATAAGTTCGGGCATGTGTTCGGTCAGCCTTGTGAACCGGACTCCCATGACGTAGGCACGGCTTGAGATAGATTTAGGTAAAAACGCAGTAGCGTAAACAAGCAATCGCTATTTGGCTTACCGGTATCTCCAACGGCGCCCGTTTCCGTGCCCATACCCACAAACCTCCTTCACGTCTTCGCACCCGCTTTCGCAAACCCCTCCCACGCCCTGCATGGCCCCGCGCCCGCCCCCTCCCCACCTGCTCCATTTGGAACCTGGCCTCCAGGTGCAGCAGGTGCGACTTGGCCCGCGCGTTGAGCAGGAAGGGGTAGCTGCAGAAGGAGAAGGGAGCCTCCTTGGGCGGGTCGCGACCCGCAGCGAGCTCCTGGGGGAAGCAGAGAGGGGGAGTGGTAAGCTATCGTGATGGATTACCAAGCTAGCTCTGCCAGTGACATGCTTGCAAGAGGGTCCAAGCCCCCTCCATCTCTGCCTTCAGTACACCGGTACACCCCCGCACCTGCCCCTGCCTCCACGCCGTGTAGTGGTCCTGCACGTCCAGCTTCTCGCTGATGAGGGTGTTGTAAAAGGCCTCGGGCGGCAGCGAGCGGCTCAGGCTGGCAGCCTCCTCCACGCGAGCCAGCACCTTGATCACGTTCATGACGGGGGTCTGCATGGGGGACGGGAAAGAGGGGGCGGGCAGGGGAGGGGAGGGGACCAGAGGATGGGAAGGAAGCAAGGTAAGCAGGGGTGGGCTGGGTGGAGGCTGGGTGGAAACCGAGTTGAATTGAAAGCAAGCACGTGGGAGCGAGGGATTCGGTGAAGTGAGCAGGTAGTGAGCCCTCCTTCCTTCCCTTCCTCTCCCTGTCCCACCGTCAGCTTCTTGGTTGCCCCCAGCTCCCGGGTGAGGAAGGCCTGCAGCGGCTGCACCACACGGCTCTCAAGCAGGGGGCCTGAGGGTGGGGGGGTGGGGAGGCGAGAAGAGAGCCAAGGCTGGGGGTATTGTCGCGGAGTGGTGCGGAAGAGGAAGCCAGCCCCGGCAGTTTGTGGCCTTTGCCCATCCCTTCAAACCCCTGCCCGCGCCAGTGGACATGGCAAACCAACGGCCTCCGCATGCCCGTGACAACTGCATCCTTAAGTCCCTCACTCGCCCCTCCCTGCCCGCCTCCTGCCGCTCCCCACCTGGGTACTCTGCCCACCAGCGCACCAGCCAGCTGCGCACCAGGGGCGGGGCGGCCATGACGGTGGCAGCCAGCCGCGGCAGCAGCTGCCGGGCGCAGGCGGGCTCGGACAGCAGCGGGTGCTGCAGCGCGGCCAGCAGGACCTGGGGGCAGAGCGGGTAAGAGGGGGGACAAGGGTTGCGGGGGAAGAGAAGAGGAGTGGCTTACAAGCGGGATGCAGCAGCGGGTTTCACATCATTGAGGTAGAAGGCTATGCAAAGGATTGGTCCTCCCATTCGCTCCTCCTAGTTTCGTCACCCCCACCTGCGCCCTCTCCGGTGTCCCCAGCAGCCTGGCATGCGCCGCCAGGTCCTCCACCAGCGCCGCCGCCGCCTCCTGCAGCGCCCCCACCACACTGTACCGGTGCAGCTCAGCCACCACGTGGGCGGTGGCGGAGGAGGAGGAGGAGCCGCGGGAGCTGGAGTCGTCGCTGGGCCTACAGGGGTGCAGAGGTGCAGAGGCGGGGGGATATAGCTAGGTAGGAGAACGGTAGGGTTGGGAGGGTGAGGGGGAATGCGCGAGCCCTCGGGAGACATACATGCGGGATTGGATTTGAAGGAGCAAACACGTATGATTTGTGGCTGGCGAATTGTACAAGAATCGTGGCCGAGCTACCAGCATGCAGACCTTCTCTCTCCACACCAACAATGGCACGGTAGCCCCCACCTTGTTGCAAAGAGCGCGCTGACGTTGCTCAGCACCTCCTCCAGCAGCGGCCCGTCCAGCCCCATGCCGCTGCGACGACCGAAGGCGGCGCTGATGGCGGCAGGGCTGCTCAGAACCAGCTGGACACCTGGGGGCGACATCCGAGCAGGAGAGAAAAGGTCATTGCTTCCGTTTACGCTTGGCTGTTGGTATTTGCTTGAAAACGCAGTCCTGCCGCTGCCCCCGCCCTGCCTTGCCCTCACCCGCAGTGACCGCCCGGAGGCTGGCTGACAGGGTGGCCGGGTCCACTCCGGCTGCCCGGGCCTGCGCGGCGCACTCAATGGAAGTGCGCAGCCGGGCGAGCAGCTGCGGAGTGGAGGGGTCCAGGGCCTGCGGGGCAGCGAAAGGAATGCACAGATGAAGCATGCTAGATGAAGCTGACAGAACACGCTTGAGGGAGAGGAGTAGGGGAGGAGTTGCCGAGGTCTGCATGGGAGACGTGGCGCCTTTTCCATGTTCGGCCTTTCTTCTTTCTTGCATAGTTCACCACTTTTTCCCGGTCGTTGCTCACCTGCGGCAGCTCCTGGGGGCTGCACATGAGCAGTGCGCTGCTGCCGCCCCGAGCCACCACATCAAACACCATCGGCGCAACAACACCCCTGCCTCCGCCTCCGTCCCCACCACCGCCCCTGCTGCTGCTGCCAGCAGTGCCAGCGCCACCGCTTCCGCCGCCGCAGCCCTCACGGCTACGAGCCGCAGCGGCTGCTGGCGCGATGCCGAGGCGGATGCCTGCTGGGGACAGCAGACCGGCACAAGGAACGCTAATGTGGCGGTTGCATGCTAATGACAGACCGAAATGACAGCTCAAGGGGTAGGAAATTGGTAGATCAGGAGTAGGCAGCTATGGAACGGCGTAGTTGAGTAACGGTTTAGGAAGGGGAAACGACCTACCCGTCTTAGTGCCGGTACTTGCGGAACCCAAAGGCAGCGCTGTTAGGTCAAGCAGCCGGGGCACGGTGGAGAAGGCAGCACGACCACCGGCCCCATCGCTGCCGCCACCATGCACGCCGCCAGCGCCAACTCCATGGCCGTTTAGTGAGACCTCGTGGTCCGTTCCCCGCTTCCCCGAGGAGGAAGGCATACCGCCCATCGTGCTGCCGCGCCGCAGGTACAGGCTGTTGCTAGCGATGCCTGGGCCGTTGCCGCCACCAGCGACGGCAGCAGCAGCCTCTCCACTGCTGTTGCCGCTGCCAAAACCATGGCCGTAGCTCATGGTTCCGCACCAGAACACGCTTCCGTCCTGCGCAAGAAACAGTGTATGCTGCGAACCGCATGCCACCCGTTGGATGGCTACCGTGCCGCAGGGATCGCTGCCACCGTCGCCGCCGCTGGCCGCAGCAGTTCCTACACGTCCCTGTCCTGCACCTGCGGCTTCTGCGCTGTTGCCCAGCCGGGAGCGCACATACGCCTGCCCTTGCTGCCCATGACCATGGGCCCCCATGTGTCGCGAGATGGCACCCCCGCGCGTATTCGGCAGCCCTGATCCCGCAGGTCCTGGCTGCATTGTTGCTGTCGCTGCTGCCGCTGAAGGCCTGTGGTCAGATGCTCCGTCCAGACTGCCCAAGATGCCGGACCCCAGAAAGATGTCCACCTTGCAGGGCATGTCGCGGTCCTCGCAGTCCCCCAGCCCCAGCGCCCCCGAGGAGCCATCGCCCCAGGAGTACACGCCGCCATCGGTGACGGCGACCGTGTGGCGAGCACCGGCGGCTAGCTGCCGTACACCCTGCGGGTGGAGAAGTCATACACAAAAGGGGTTTCACCACGGGTACATGTAACACAAGTCACAGGACACGGGTTACCTCTCCCACACGCTGTGTCTGAACTGGGTCGACTCCATCCTACCCCAAGAGATGCAATCTGGGCGTATCTTGGGAATGGAGTACACCCTTATAGGCTGCTCCTTTTCGCACTGTACCCACCTTGAGCGGCACACGACGCGGCTCAAGCACTACCAAGTCGTCTTCACTCCATGTGAGCTCCTCAGAGGCCCACGTGCCAGCCGTGTTGCCGGCACCTGCGGCCATGACATCGCTGTGGGTCCCTGCATGCCCCGCAGAGCCGCCGGGCCCCTCGCTGCCCCCCTCCTCGTCTGAGGGCTCCTCCAGCAGAGCGGAGCGGTCCGCGGCGAAGAGCCACTCCGTGGCAACTGGACGAGGGGTTAACAATGTTAGGCAGCGTTAGCGGCGGTCGCCACCAAACAGATGGGTGTTTCAGAGGGTAGGTGCTAGGCGGAGCAGATGTAGGAAAGCTGGCTGGGATTCGAAGGTAGGGTTGCAACACAGATGATCGGGAATGATCCCTTGCGCCGTTCAGCGCAACAACATATCCACCCCATCCGCCCACCTTCCACGCCCGCGTTGCCGGTTTCCTCCAAAGCGATCTGCGAGGGTACAAGGCACAAACGTCACCGGGCGCTCCTCAGACCCACGAGCGCTACATTGTTGGGGTGGCCGCCATGTCGTGTTCACCGCACTCAAAGACTTCAAAGATGCGTCACCTTGCGTCGTCGAGAATGCCAACAAGCCGTGGTCAAGCGCACTCCTTGCCGTCTGTCTGCGTGTGTGGTCCCCTGCCCCTACCTGCGCCTGCCTTCCACTTACCTGTGCGTGTCTGCGCGGGATGCCCATCTCTACCATGGCCAGCAGCCACTGCGGGTTGGGCCGCCCGATGACGCCATTGCTGCGCCTGTGGGTAGACAGGAAGGCTACTTCAGAAGCAGGATCCGGACCAGGGGTCAGAACCGCAAGCTAGCGCCATTCAGGCTTGACTGCTTGCCCTTCCCTACGAGAGGGCCCGGTTCCACACTGGTCCCGACCCACACAATGCCCTCCTTCCCAACGCACCGCATAGCAGCCCGCCGTATCGACGCAGGTGACCGCGGCGTGCCCACCCCGGAACACGGTGTGCGAGGCGACCCGGACATCCCACGCGAATGCGGGAAGCCATGGCGCCCGTGCTGCTGCTGTGGCACTGTGCTTGGGTGTCGCTGCGAGCCGCCATGCATGCGGCCCACCATAGCCGTAGCCCCCATGACGCCCCCGTAATCACCGCCGCCTGCACTGCCTCCGCTACCAGAGGGCTCCTGGTGCTGTTCCACCCACGGCTCCGGCAGCAACCCCAGCTGGCCATGATAGTTGCTGCCCCACACGAATGCATGGCCGCTACTTGTCACTGCCGCGGAATGGGAGTCCCCAGCTGCAATCTGCACCACAGGCAACGCCCAAAGCCCCTCCACGCCCACCGGAACGCTGCGAGCACGGCGGTCTCCCAGGCCCAACTGCCCGGAACCGCCGCACCCCCACACCAGAACTTGTGAGGCTCCGGTGAGCGCCAACGAATGCGCCTTACCGGCCGCCAGCTGACACACCGGCACCCGCTGCAGCGCCGAAACCAATGTCGGTTTCCAAATGGTACCAGGCGCATCCTCGCCCAGGCCGCACTGCCCCAGGCGGTTGCAACCCCATGCCAGGACCCCCATGGTGGTAACCGCGAGTGTGTGCTCACCGCCGCAAGCCACCGCGCGCACACGGACGTGCCCGCTGGAAGGAGGAGCCGTCGGCCTGGCGGATAGCAAGGCTCGGGGCAGTGCGTTCAGGCGCACAGGTTGGGGCGTGCGGGAGCCACTGGCGGGCTCGGTGGATCGGCCGGTTTGGCCGCGGTGGTTGCGGCCCCACGTGAAGAGCTCTCCCCGGGCGGTGATGCCGGCAGCGTGGCTATCGCCCAGGCTGAGGGCGGCCCACCGCCCGGCTGGGCCAAGGAGTGGAGCCCCAGTGCCGCCGGGGGCTGCTGGTGGAGGAAGAGGTTCACAGGGTGCAGCCTCGGCGGTAACGGTGACAGTTATTGAGGTCGATGTGGTAAGGCCAGCGGAGGGCAGGTCTTGTGCGGCAGAGGCGGCTGAGCTGGGGTCCGCGGGAAGAGAGGTGCCGGAAGGAGGGCGTCCGGCTTCGCGTGAGGGGCCGGACGTGTCTTGTGCGTTGGAAGTGGTGCGCGGGGCAATGCAGACCAGGTCTCCTGGGAAGTGGGGATTCCGTTTGTGGGGGATCTTAAAAACTGGGATTTGCTTTGAGAAGGCAGCGGGGTTTAGGACTGCTATGTCTTGTAGGTAGCATTGCCGATGCGAGCATCTGTGAAGCCGGTCTTGCTTGCGCTGGCCTAGGACAGCTCACCCCACACAAAGGCGTTGTCCTGCAGTTTAGACACCAGGAGCGGTGCGCTCGGAGACACCGCGTAGGTATCGTCGGTGAGCTGCTTGGCGATGTTGGTGGCAGTTCCCTGCATCGGGACAGTTCGCAGCGCAGTGGTGCTTACTCCGCGGCTGGCCAAAACCAGCGAGGACCCAAAACAGGGCTGACGCACCACATCGGTAATTGGTGCAGGCGCAACCTTCACACGCCTTGGGAAAGGGGGCAGCTGCAGCCGCGGGTCTGCTGGTGTGGGAGCCATGTCCGTTGCCTCGAACTCTTCGCCAACAGTTTCCCCTTCCTGCTTTCTTCCAACTATGCAAAGACGATCAATAGATGAGATAGAGCTAGTCCTGCTTAAGTTTTGTGTTGTCGCTTAGGGTAGGGCTGTCATTTGTAGTCACGACAGCTGGAGGACTCGGCTGGTTATAAAACTACTGGCATGCCCCGCTTTTAAGCACAAAACTTTAAATGGGTGGATTATGCGTAGGCAAGTAAAAGATAGGGCGTATGCTGCCGCTGCAGCGCTGCTTGGAGCTGCTTGCGACGTGAAGTAAATTTGTAGTACAGTTCGCGTTTGAAAAGAAACGCCTCGGCCAGGCACGTAGTCTGCGTAACCCTATGGTGCACACATTATCTCCTGCTTACTACTCTCTTGACAAAATCAACAATTTGCAATAGTCAGAGCCTACCCTTTTACAGGACATTTCTTTTCTAGACTTGCCTACAGTTGCCACCAGAAATGTCCGACTATGCTGGTAAAGCTGATGATTATAGGAAGCAAGCCGAGAAGAAACTGAAGAGCTTGCTTGGGGGTTGGTTTGGGAACAAGCACGAAGATGCCGCAGACCTCTTGGAGAAGGCAGCCAACAACTACAAGCTTGCGAAGATGTGGAATGAGTGCTCAGATATGTATGAGAAGCTGGCCGGCTGCTACCTGAAAATGGATAGCAAGCATGAAGCTGCTACCTCGTACGTGGAGGCGGCAAAGGCTGTGGCGAGGCTGGACACAAACCGGTCGCAAGCCTTGCTACGCCAGGCGGTCGCCCTGTACACGGATATGGGAAGGCTGAACCAGGCAGCGCGGCAGCTAAAGGAGATCGCGGAGCAGAACGAGAAGAGCGGCCAGAAGGAGGACGCCATCCAATTCTACGAACAGGCAGCAGAGCTCTTTGAAATGGAGAACTCAAATTCGGACGCCACCAAGTGCAGGCTGAAAATCGCCGAATTCTCGGCGGAGATGGGCCGGTACTCGAAGGCCGTGGAGATTTTCGAGGAGGCCGCCAAGCGCGCTGTGGAGAACAACTTGCTAAAGTTCAGCGCGCGGGGCTACCTGCTGCAGGCGGGTATCTGCTGCCTGTGCTACCTGCGGCCTGATGACATCGCCAACAAGCTGGACAAGTATCGCGGCATTGACCTGCAGTTCGATGGGTCGCGAGAGGCCAACCTCCTTGACGGCCTCCTTGAGGCCCGCCGGGAGCTGGACGAGTCCAAGTTCGCCACGCTGCTTGCTGAGTTTGACTCCATCACACGGCTGGACGCCTGGAAGGTGAAAATCCTGCGTGAGGCAAAGCAGAAAATCCTAGACGAGCAGCTCGGAGTAGGGGCAGGCTCTGGGGGCCATGACGAGGACCACGAGGACGAGGACGAGCTCATGTAAGGGCCATGCTGGGGGAAAGGGTCATGGGTTTGGGGGACACTGGTACGGCCAAGCGAGGGGTGGTTACGAGGTTGGCTTAGAAACGACCATGAGAGGGGGGAAGAACGATTATGTGCATATATGATGTGTTGTCAAGGGATGATGGGTTTGGGTTGGTTGTTCGGCTGTTTTCATGCATATGGTGCTAGCTGCTGGGGGGCACCGGTGTGTTGGAGGTGGCAGCCGACGGGCTCTTGAAGTGGCTTCCTGAAGTCCTGTATTCTCATGCTCATATAGTTGTTTGGTTGACCATTTATAAACATACGCAACAGACCGCACTGCGGCCAGGGAAAAGCTGTGCGTGGACTGGCTAACATATATACATTGTACGGCTTACTGACTTCTTGACGCAACATGTTTTCGCCTGTAAGAAGCCGCGAGATGCGGTTAGTGCGTATTGTGCATGGTGCCTCTTCGGCTTCAGCTTTGAGTGAATTGTATGCTGCTGTAAGCCCGCCACCCTTTGTTCCTGTATCGCAAAAGCGTGGGTAACGGTACGGTAACGTTGCTGTGGGAATGGGTCGAGTTTGCCTAGTGCAGGCTTGACGTACGGTGGCCATGTCCGCACTCATTTCTCCTAACCCGTCGCATGGGGTGTAAGCGCATTTAGCGCGTGATGTCAATGCCACCTATGTATCCTGTACTGTCTGTTTCCTGGCTCCCTGGTGTCATTGGTTAGGAGCATCAGCAGCTTATGGCTACGGTACGCCTCGTGATTGTCACGAATTCTACCGACAAAGGCACGTTTACACCAGTGCCTGCAGAATAGCGTGCATCATCAATGGGTTCCTAATTTGTCGCATTCGCTGCCGCCGAAACGTCTGTTGCAGCTCCCTAACTGCTTCTGACTGTCCCAGACCAGACGCGTGGCATATGGACATCTACCTACCTAGCAACGCGCCATCAACTACCTGCCTACGTCACTCGTTACTCGTCCCTACAAGTCATCCTCGAAATCCAACTCGAACTCATTCATTCCGCCTCCCGCACCGCCCTCGATCGCCTCCTGCTCCGCGCCCATTCCCTCGTCCGCCCCTTCCACATCCAAACCCTCCTCGTCTTGCCCGGTCCCCCTCCCCCCTGCCCTGGCCGCTGCTTGCGCAACCCTCCCTGCCTGCGGCCCCGTTCCCTCCTGCTTCCGCGCCCCTGACGCCGCCGCCGCCCGCTGCTCGGCAGCAGCAGCAGCCGCACTCGCCTCACGACCAGCGCGTACCGTCAAAGCCGCCCCCGGCCCTGACCCCGCTCCTGTGGACGCCCGTCCCGACGTCCCGGGCCCCTCTTCACTCGTCTGCTGCTGCAGACCCAAACCTTGACCCTGACCTGCAAGGTGACCCATGGGTCCAGCGGCCGCTCCTGCAGGACCTCCATCCTCCGTCTTGACTGGACCGGCAGGGGGCGCAGCAACCGGCAGCGGAGCGCTTGCGGCCACTACGCCTGTGGAACCGCCTAGGGAGGGCTCCTGCTTGAGGGCTCCCGCAGGGGTAGATGAGGGCAGTGGAGGCGGTGGCGGCAGGGACTCGGACTTCACTAGATTGGCTGCGGGGTTGGCTGCAGCTGCTGCGGCGGCGGCTTCTTGCGCCCTATGGAGCTGCAGCAGCCGCTGCAGCATGTTGCGGACCTGCGAGGGAAGGGAGGAGAGCAGGGCTACGGATTAGGAACCTTCACTGTAAGGAAGCATGCTACTCCCATCCCCTGGCACCCGCCCACCCACCTACCGGTAGCAGCGGCACCCAGACCCCCTTCCCCGCTACCGCACACACCCCACGCGCACCCCACCCAACCCACCTACCCAACCACACCCTCATCCACCCTCCCCGCAACCCCGCACCTGATGCGTGATGATCACGTTTGCAAGGTGCGGCTGCCCCGGCGCCGGGCTCAGCACATACGCCGCCAGCCGGGCTCCCGAGGGCAGCGGCAGTTGGCAGCCGGGCGGCAGACCCATGCGCCCCGCCTGCTGCCGGGCCGCCTCCGCCGCCGCCGGACCCAGCAGCGTCACCTCCAGCACCGCCTCGGGCAGCTGCAGGCCAGGCGTGGTGGCGGGGGTGGTGGCGGTGGTTGGGAAGAGTGGGGAAGGGTTTGTGGTCAGGAGGAGTTGGGAGAGCTCTAGGCCGCAAACGTCCTCTAACAGGAGGATAGGTAGGTACCGGTAGGTGGGTAGGAATGGTGGGTACCGGTGTGCCGGTACATGGTAGATAGGGCAGGCCGGCGTCGGCGCGTGTGCGATACTGAGACTGAAAAGGTGGGGCAGGTGGCAGCGGGGCCTCCCAAGCCCTTCCATGCTACCCCCCTGTACCGGTACCTGCAGCAGGGGTGTGTACGCGTCCGAGCGCATGTGGTCCGCGCACAGCAGGAAGCCGCGCCACTGGTCGCGGTCCGTCCAGATCTGCTTGGCGACCAGCCGCTCCAGCAGCTGGGCCACGTCGGAGCGCAGGCGGGGGGCGGCCTTGAGGGCCTGCGGGCGTAGGAGGAAGGAAAGGGGGAGGGAAGGGGGGGGAGGTTAACAAGCCATGCAAGAGGGGGCAGGAGAACGGCGGGTGCTCCCCTCTTCAGCTCTTGGTGGTCTGATGTGTCGTACCCCGTGTTAACTCCCCCCACCCCTTTCTTTCCTAATGCCGGCACTTCATGTAGCTCTCGCCCGTTCCTTCCTCTTTCCCTCCCCCTTGCCCCTGCACATACGGCGCATACCCCCGCCCGCCCGCCCTCCCTGCCGCACCTGGATGACGGTGCGCATGAACATGCGGGGCAGCGGCAGCAGCCCCTCCATGGCGCGAATGGCGGACAGCATCACCTGCCCGGGGAGGGGGTGGGGGAGGGTGAGGCGGTGGAGGGGGGGAAAGGGGGCTGAGCGTGCAGAGGAGGGAGCTCGGGGGTTGCCGGTACCTGAGCCACCCAGGCAGCAGCGGACAGCACCGCCACTGTGCCGGCCCCTCCCGCCGTCTACCTAGCACCGTCCGACCCTCCCCAACCCGGCTGCTGCTGCTGCTCCCGCGCCTCACCGGTTGCGGGAATATGTCGGGCGAGTGCAGCGCCAGGTCCACCGCCGCCATCAGGGACTGCAATAGGGGCGGGGGAGAAGGGGTAAAGAGCAAACAACGAACTGACCGCGTGATAAGGCATCATCATGGTTTGCAACATGTGAGCCAGCCCGACCCGCCCAGCCCGAAATAGCCAAGCCAGTACGTTTAATGGGGGAGGGGAGGGAGAATACCGGTACCCAATCAAGGGGGAGGGTAATGGATGAGGAGTGAAGCAACCTGCGTCACTCTCCCTCTGCCACCCTCTGCCTGCGCTATCCTACCATCAATCAAAAGCGGGATATGTAACCCTATTACTCCGCGGCTCAGTTTATCTAATCCCCCCCATCCCCATCTCCCATTTGGGACTCGTTCTTTCACATGTTTCATCCCCCCCACCTTGAGCGGCACGCAGTCCCTGCTGGGGTCCATGTCCCGGTGCAGCACCAGCAGCAGCTCGGAGGCGGAGAACAGCGGCTCCACTGGGGGGAGAAGGTGAGGGGAGGAGAGGAGGGAGGGGGAAGAGCAACCATGTTGTGGGGAATGACAAGTGGGGTACGAGGCAAGAAGTGCCCCAGGTGAATGGAGCCGCGTTAGTCGTGACTACCGGTAACGCTCGGAGGCAGGGAGAGGGGAGGGGCTTGGATTGGGGGAAGGACGGCGGGACGAAACATTGGCTGTGCTGACCACCACCACCATCACCACCACCACGACAGCTTCATACTGCACACGCACTCGGGGCTGAGATGCGTTACCACCCGTGCAAACACACACCGCACGACCTGTTACGACGCCTGACACCACACGCACGCACCATCTCCATGCTTGCTGGCCAGCGAGCGGTAGAGCTTCTTCAGCGCGGGCGGCTGCAGCGAGCGCAGCATCACCGGCAGCAGCGAGATCACCTCGCGGCGGCTGAGGGTGAAGGCGACGGGGACCATGACCCGTGGGTCGCCGCTGGCTGCGTACCAGGCCTTGCATGCGTCCACCAGGCGACCCGGCGGCAGGTCCTTCTCCGTAAGGGCCTGGGGGTTGACGAGTGGGGTAAAGAGCGGGGGAGGGTTTGAGGGAGAATCAAGGTAAAGAGCGCGCATTCACACTCACAACTCCCCTGCATCCGCCGTCACCGCCATCCCAACCGCACTCCCCTTCCCTCCCGCTCCCCTCCCTCCTGCCGCTCACATGCAGCATGGTCAGCAGCAGCTCCTCGCTCCCCACCACCGGCGCCCGCAGCTGAGCCAGCAGGGCGGGGTGCGAGGGCCCCAGCGCCCCCGCCAGCGGCCCCGCGTGGCTGCCCAGCGCCGCCCGCAGGTGAGGCCCGCCGGCCGCGTAGGCTGCCACCAGGCCCGGCAGCAGGTCCGGCTGGCGGGCCACGAGGGCGGTGTAGAGGGCGACGCGGCGGGTGCAGTCCGCGACAGAGGGCTCGGGGGCGGAGGGGGCGGGAGGGGGTGCGGTGGGGGCGGTGGCGTCTTCGGAGGAGGGGGCGGAGGAGGCGGGAGGCATGGTCATGAGGGCTGAGAGGCGCAGGGCTGCGGTGGTGACGATGGCGGGTCGCAGGTGCGGGCGCGGGTAGAGCTTGGAGGTGAGCAGGCGCACGGCGGCGGAGCGGACCTCCTCGTGGGGGTCTGGGAGGGGAGGAGAGGGAGGGTGGGTGGGAGGGATTATTAGGGAAACCCGCATTAGGCTGGATGGTAGGGTTAGCGATAGGAGGGGGAAGGGAGGTACAGGACGGGGAGAGGGTTGACAAGCGAGGAGGAGGAGGAGGAGGAGTACGCGAACGCCATAGCGCGCTGCTGGACTCTGCCAACTTCGACGATGCGGCCTGATGCGGCAGTACGCAGCCCTTGGCACATGCCTCCCCCTTCTTCCTCTCTCCGACCGTGTCCCTTCACAACGTCTGGCCCATGTCGCCTTGCCCCTCATCCTATCCTCCCCTCTTCCCTTCCATCCCCCTCCTAGTTGCTCCACTTATCAATTATTTCCCCCCCTCCCCCTCCCCCTCCTCACCCTCCGCCGCCTCCAGCACCAGCTCCAGCAGCGCCCCCCGCGCCGGCGGCCGCGCCTCGATGCCGTCCCACGCGCAGCTGAGCGCCAGGGTGGGCCACCGCCCGCCCCCACCCAGCAGGTCGCGCAGGAAGGAGCACACGCCGGGCAGCGGCAGGCTGGGGGCGGCCTGGGGGGGAGTAAAACATAGACCGGTGGGAGGAGGAGGAGCAGGAGCACAGGGGAGGAGAGCAGAAGGCGTGGGAGGGAAGGAGCAGGCGGAGAGGAAGAGGGACCCAACACACATCTCCCCTCCCGTTCTTCATATATGCCCCCCCCCCCCCGCCCCCCCCCCGCCCCCCCTGCCGCCACCCCACCCCCCCTGCCGCCACCCACCCTCAGCAGCTCCTTCACCTCCAGCCCCACCACCGGCCGGGGGGGCTGCGGGGGCGGCGGCGCAGGCGGCAGCGGCTGCCCCGCCTCCAGCTGCCACTGCCGCAGCTGCATCTGAAGGGGGACACGCACACGGACGGCAGAGCGAGGGCGTGTGAGGGTCGTGGGCAGCACGCGTGGGTCGGGGGGGTGCTGTCGTGCTCTCTCGGTTTGCCTACGTCGCATGGTCGTATGTGCTTTCGTAGTCGACGTCCTTTGAGCGGACAACTCGGACCTCAGCCCTTGGACTTCGTACAACCGCCCGCAGCTGCCCCTCCCGTTCATCATCCCCCTTCCAGCCTCCCTGACTCCCCCTCCTCCCTCCCTACCATGGACTCCTGCACTGACGCCTGCAGCCCCTCCACCTCCGCCACCACCTCATCCGCCAGCTCCGGAACCGCCCGCAGCAGCAACTCCTCCTCGCCGCCCCCCTCGCCCTCCTCCTCGCCAGTCCCCGCCCCTCCAGCTGCTGCTAGGTCTAGGGCCGCCGCCTCGCCTTGCAGCCAGGCGCCTTGAGCAGCGGCCCAGGCCACATTGGCCTGCGCGGAGGGGGGGGGGGGAAAGATGGAGGGGGGGGGGGTTGTGTGGAAGCTGAAAAGGGAAGGAGGTTGCGTGCCGGTGGTGTGGACAGCGGTATTACGCACGGCAGCGGTACCGCACATAACTTACCGCACATAATACCGTATAAGAAGCGGTGAGGTCATCACGGTTGCTACCAAACTATCATGTCTTGCAGCGGCAACCGCACGGTGCATGGGCGTGGAACAGGCAACACAGCAGCGAGTGAAATTGCCGTACGTACCGGTATATACCGGTATGCACCGGCTGACCCACATGAAGCCATGAACTCGGCACCCAACCACCCCCCTACCTGTAGCTGCCGTGACGCCGCCATAAGGCCCTCCAGCCCGCCAGCCAACCGGGCGGCGGGTGGCTGCACCCCCTGCAGCTGCGCCCGCTGCTGCTGCAGCGCCGCCGCCGCCTCCCGCAGGCCCCGGCTGTAGCGACGGAGCTGCCGCGCGTGCCAGGTGACCGCATGCTGCCTGGGAGGCGGGGAAATAGGAGGCGGGGGAAAGCGAAGTAAGGGTGAGGCGGTTGTAAAGGAGGAATTGTAAAGGGTGTGCTGACGCGCGCGGCTTTCGGTAATGGCTAGTGCGGGAAAGGGGGAGGGGGTCGAGGCCCGCCAATGCCAGGAAACCATTTAGTGCATGGCCGCAGGTTCATAAGGACAGCATATTAGAATGGTGTCGTACTAAAGAAGTACGAAAGTATGTCGTGTCGCGTGTGCCATGCCGTCAATACCCTTGTAGGCCTAGTAGGGTGTGCATGCGACGGGGTCCACAACGCAGCACTTGGCCTAGTACCTCCAACCCCACCCTATTCCTCCCCCAATGGCCGGGCTACTCCTTCCCCCTTCCCCAGCCACTCTTACCTCGCCCGCTCCAGTAACGCCAGCAGTACGGTCTCGTACGCCGTACCACTCAGATCCGGAGGCTCAGCAGTGGCTGCTGCTGCTGCCGCCCCCGCGCCTGCTGTTCCCGCATCCCCGGTCCCCGGTGCCTCTGCCTCCACTGCCCCTGCCATGACTGTATCCTCGCCACCGCCGCTGCCAGCGCCACTGTGCGATGCAGCAGCTGCTGCCTGCTCGCCTGCTCCTTCGCCGCCTTGTAGGCTGCCATCCCCAACCGCCCCAGCCTGCGGCCCCGATTCCGCTTCCATCGCCTCCGCCCCTGCATCCGCCGCTGCTCCACTCTCCTCCGCAGGCAAACCCGGCTTCCCAAAATCCCCATCCTCAGCCCCTGCAACCTTCTGCTCCTTCTTCTTCTCCTCATCCTTCCCCTCGTCCTCATCCATCATCTCCGCACCCTCCATGCTACCCCTAGGTCCCACGTCGGCAGCAGCAGCACCACCAGCACCCTCCGCGGCGGCGGCCCTTCTTGCTGCCGCCGTCGCCGCCGCCACCACTTCCGGCGGCATGGGACAGCCCTGTACGAACAGCGCATGCAACCATGCGAGCGCCAGCTCCGACCCCCCCTCATGGTAGTGCCGTAGGATGTACGACAGCAGCTGTTCGGCGGTTGCGCCGCCGGGGGGGATTCGCGCTCCGAAACGCGCTAGAACCGCCTGGGGGCGGACAAGAAAGTGAGGAAAGAGGGTAAGAAGAGGGGCATTTACGGTAGGAGCTGGGGGTGGGGGGGAGGAGTTTGCGGGCGTTTAAGAGCCCTTCTCATCCTGCATCCCACTTGCACCCCTGCCCAGCATGCGCATGCATGTTGCCAGTCAGCCACCCAGCGGAGTGTCCATCACCACACAAGGCATTCAGCCACAGGCCCGCTGAGCCATATCAATCCCATCCATCCTCGCCCTCTACCCGCCCTACCCGCACCCCAGCCGCCAAGCACCCCACCCACCCACCTGCCGCATCTGCCGGCCCGGCGCGGCGCACGGCGGTAGCGCCATCAGCCGCTTCAGCGCCCCCTGCCGCATCGCCGTCGCCTGCGTCGCCGTCAGCGCAGCGGGCCGCAGCGGAGGAACCGCCGGCGGCGGCAGTGGAGCTCCCGCCGCCCCGCCACCTCCGCCAGCGGCCCCACCGGGCCCGGTAATGAGCGAAAAGTGCGTTGGCTTGAGCTCCGGAGGGCGAGCAGGGCCCGCCAGCGGAGGCAGCGGACCGCGGCTGCGACGACCTGGCGGTGCAGCCGCAGGCGGCGCAGCCGCCGCCGCCGCTGGCTGCGGCGGCATTTGTAGCGCAGGAGGCGGCTGCTGTTGTGCCAGCACGGCTCCGTACGGCTGCTGCTGCTGCAACATCACAGCCGCAGGCGCTTGCGGCGCTACCGCCGCCGCCGCTGCAAGCGCTGGAGGTGGCGTGGGTGTACGCGCTGGACCAGCCCTGCCGACGGCGCCAAATGCCGCTTGCTGCTGCTCCTGTACGGCAGCTGGGAACTGCTGGACAGGGGCAGGAAGCGCGGTCGTCGGAAAGGACATGGTCGCATCGGGAGCGACGGCGGCTACCGCCGCCGCGGCGGCAGCGGCAGCGGCCGCTGCCGCGGCTGCTGCAGCCGCCGCCGCTGCCTCTGTCTGCGTGGGCGGCCAGAACTGCGGCGGCAGGCTGGGCGGCAGCAGCGGCAGGTGTGCCAGCACTAGGTCAGCCAGCAGCACGGGCTGCCCCTGGACCAGACCCGTGAGCAGCGACTCCATGAGCGACTCGTCCTGGCACCGTACGGCGGCGTCCACGTACTGCAGCATCTAAGGGGCCGTACATGTATGGTACGGTACGACAGGGACCCACACAACAGTGAGGAGCATGTCAAAGGCACGTTACACAAGGTACCACCTCACACCGTCCAACCCAACCAACCCAACCCAGCCCAACTAACCCAAGGCCCTCCCCCCACGAATGCGCTCACTGCATGAGTCGGGATATGGGATTGGGACTCGTTGTTTCACTTATATAATTCCCCCCCCACCTGTTCCAGGTCCGCGGCCTCCGAGGGCGGCGCAATCACCCGGGGCAGCCCCGCCGCCACCTGTGCTGCGGCAGTCACGATGGCCGCCGCCTGGGCCGCCGCCTGCTGCTGCAGCTGCTGCTGGTGCGGGTCCATCACAGGGACCTGCTCAGCCGGTTGCTGGGGGTGCGGTTGAGGTAGGGGTTGTTGCAAGGTCGCAACGCCCGGGGGTGCTAACAGAACCTGCGGTTGTGGTTGTGCTTGTGCCTGCGGCGCCTGCACGACGAAACCGTACGGCTGCTGACTTCCAAACCCCGCCCCGGGGCCTCCCGCCTGGTGGCCTCCGTACTGCGGTACGGCAGTCATGGGCTGCGGCAGCGTCGCGGGACCGTTGGGTTGCGGGTACGGGAGCACCGCCGCCGCCGGCGGTGTCAGACGGGCGCCGCTGCCGCCGTCAGCGACGGCTGGGGCAGCGTACGGCCCCATTGCGGGTCCTGCCGCGGGCGGCTCTGCCTTCACGAGGGCGCCGGGCGCACTGCCGCTGCTGCCGGTGCCGCTGCCGGGCGGGAGGGAGTGGGTCTTCTTGGCATCGCTGCCGGCGAGGAGGTCGTCCGCGGGGCGCTTCTCACGTTGCGCCCTGCAGCAGGGGAGGGAAAAGACGAAGCAGGGGAAGGGAGGGGGGGCAGCGCAAGAGTCAGGACTATGGTGGGTTAGGGGAGGTGGCCGTGGCAGCATGACCGGCCCAACGCCAAGCCCTCCCCCCGCGGGTACAGCAACCATCACCACCACCACCACCACATGCGCACCCAACCCCGCCCCCTCCTCACCTGCGCTCCTTCCACTCCTGCCGCTCAATGTACTTGATCATGTTGGCTGCCGTGTCGCCCGCCCCCAGGCTGCGCAGCGCCCCCACGATGCGGTCCCGCCAGGGGGTGGAGGAGGGCAGCCGACTGCGCAGCACCGCAGCCAGGCCGCCCCGCAGCGCGTTGCCCACACTCACGTCGCCGCCGCTGCGGCCAGCAGCGTCTGGGGCGTTGCTGGCTAGGAAGCCGCCCTGAGGGGGTGGGTGGGTTGGGGAGAGGGGAGGAGGGGAGGAGGGGGACAGCGGGGTTGAGGGCAGGAGGCCTTCGCTCGCCTCCTTCATGTACCGGTATTCCACCTCAGGCGCCCCTCGGACAGGCAGTCATGTGCTTTGCCCCTTGCCATCGCGGTTTCACTGCCCTTGTCATGACAACCACCACCAGCACCCCTCTTGCGCCATTCCTCTTCACCACCTCCCTCCCCACCACCCTCGTGTCCTCCCAATCCGCCCCTGCCCCCTGCCCCCACCCCCACCTCCCAGCCCCCTGCCGTACCTCCTTTGCTAGCGCCATCAGCACCGGCAGCAGCTTGCCCATGAGGTTGGGTCGCGCGATGGCGATGCCCCAGGCCGCGGAGATGTGTGCGATGAGGCGCGAGGGCGGCTGGTCCAGCGCCAGGGCGGGGCGCAGCGGCTCCTGCAGCCACCGCAGCAGCGCGTCCGCCTCGGTGGCGAGGCGGGAGGCGTCGGGCAGGCGGAGTTTATTGACCAGGGTCTCGGGAACACCTGGGAGAGGGAGGAGGGGAGGAAGGGGGAGGAGGTGTGGTGTCGGGAAGGAGAGGTGAGGTGGAGTAGGAAGAAGCATGGTTGGGTGTATGAGGTGGTGATGAGAGGTGGAGGGTGCGAGGTAGGGAGAGCCGGGGAGGCAGCGGTGTGTAGGAGGGCGGGCGGCGGGGGCTTCGTTGAGGTGGTGGTTGCGTGGCGTGAGGGCCCATGCAGGGGAGCGCTGCCCCGTCTTGCTTGCCCCCTGCCGTACACCGCTGCCTCCCCCCGGGCTCAATTGGCAACCCGAGCAGGGTCTGCATGCCGTCAGAGGGTGATGTGTGAGGAGTGTGATGCGATAACAGTGAAGAATGGGCACATGGGGGAGACAAGCTTTGCTACATGCTTGGAACGGCGCCCGCAGCGGTCGACTGCAGTGGTGGTGGTGGTACGTAGGCTTGGGATGGACGCAGTAAGAAAGACTACAGAATGCACCAACAACCCATGAAAAAAGGACAACAGAAAGCCAAACCAACCAGGGCCTTTCAACTAGGCACTCGAACAACAGCCAGGCGTGTGCTGCAGGTGCTTTCAACTTAGTAAGGCCCTTGCATGCACATCCGGCCACATCCAAGTCCTCGACTAAGCAAGATGACTCCGCACCATGCCACGTAAATGCATGGAGCATTCTGCATGTCCGTTTGTCGGCACGCATGGCAACGGCGCCCAAGCGAAGATAGGCGCGGCTGAGGTGGGCATTCACTAACGGTAACAACCCGCGGGCCAACCGGCTGCTGTGCATGCCCGATTTTCCTAAACAGAGTCCGTAAGTGTCCATCAAAAGCACTCGCCCCATGCCCTCCCAAACATGAAAAAGATGTACGCCTACAGTAAGCTCCGTGACCCATGGGTCGCAAATCAACGAAGATCAATACCAACGCTATGACGCCACTGCTTCATCCATGCCCCTTGCAACCACCCGCTGATGCGTGATGTCTCCTAACAATTCCAGGGGATAGCGGTTGACGCCGTTAGGAGGAAACTGTAGCGCTTGGACTGAACCAGCGTTCGGCATGTTGCCGTACTGTTTTGAGAACCCCCTATACAGCCAACATTGCTATACCTTATCCGGCAATCAGGGCGTTTGGAGGAGGCTATACGCTCGAATTGACCTAGGCGGTCCGTTACATGGCATGAGACTGCTGCTTCTAGCTCCTGCTGATAAAGAAGAAGCTTGCCCCCACCACTCAATTCCTGCTCCCGCTCATGTCTTTCGCCTCGCCTCCAACAAGGGTCACTGCCCAGGTCCCATCCTTGTACACTGTCTGCGGACATGCCCGGCACCTCAGCGGCAACTACAGCAGCAGCATGGCTGTTCGGAACACGGCCGCACCTCAGATCGAGCCTGCACCTAGGCCCCAGCCACTCCTCACAGCCACTGACATCTGCCCAAGCCGCCAAAGCCCCACTCAACGCGCAACCCTTACACGACACATTACCCAGTGCGAAACCCCAGCTCCTTACATCTACCCCTCCCCATGAAGCTGCCACCCCTCCCCAAACCGTTACCCATGCATCACATGCAAGTGCACCAGCAGTGACAGCCACAGCCGTGCTTGCTAGGGCTGCGCGTGCATGAGAGCTGCGTTGGGCCCCATGCATCATCCATGCACTTGACAGTCGCGCCTGCTTGGGCGTGACCTCCTTACCAGGTATGCTAGGCGCTGCATCATGCGTGAACAGCAGCACAATGTGCTCTGCCAGCTTGGCTGCGGCCACCCTCACGCAGTTGCTCTGGTGGTTCTGGCTGACGCCCACCACGTCCGCCTGCAGCCGGCGAACGGTGTCCCACATGTCCCGAACGTCCGGCTGCGTTGGCTGCGGGCCAGAGTGGGGGAGGAAGAGGAAACAAGGGGGAGGAAGGTGGGGGCGCGCACAACGCACGGCGGGTGAAGCGGTTAATTAATTGGACTAGGTGAGAGTTGAGGCTCCCGGGCATGGAGCACGTGAAATGCATGCGGGCTGGGCTGAGGAGGCACCGCGCGTGCTGCTAGCAAAGGATTGCCCGGAGGAGCCCAGGACGAAATGGGCACTGGTGCTCATGTGTTGAGAGCGATGCTGGTGTCAACCGGAATGTATTACGGATATTGAGATTCAGCCAAGTCCCGGGCAGCGCCATGATGTCCCCCCCCCTGTTGTGCAAGTCCCGCTGGTGCAGCCCCCTTGCAAAGTACAGCGCCGTGACACCTTGACTTCCCAGCTCGACCCCAGATGTGTTAGCGGCATACCGCTCGCTGCAAGCCGCATGCAAGGCGCCTTCTCGTGCCCACCCACACCACAATCCATCCCAGCTCTGGCGCCACCGCAACCCTCACCTTTAAAGAGACCAACGCAAGCGAGGCCCGAAGCACGCATGCAAACGCCAGCACCGCCTCCTTGACGACCCCTGGAGACACATCCTGCAGTAGTACTGCTAGACACGCCGTACAGTGCATCAGCCCCTGCACGCCTGTGTGGTTGAGGGCGACCTGGCTGGTGAAGGCTGCCAAGAACCGCCTGACGTCCGAGGAACTTGATGCCTGCGAGGCGGGGATGGGCAGGATTGTTAGGAGGGGCCGTGCTTTGAAAGTTCCTGGAAGACCTGGAAAGCAAGGTAGCTGTGGGCATAGTGTTTTCACCGACAGCCCCGTGGTTTGGTTCCAGATACGAAGCACTGACACGACTACTACCGAAGTCTTTGTGCGTCAGATAATACCTGCAAATATTGCAGCACGCTGGGAAGCCAGCTGGCAACGAAGTCGTCGGCGCAGGGTGTCCCCTCATTGTTAGAAGGCTCCAACGCTTGACGCAACGCCGAAAGCGCAGCAACCTGAAAGTGTTTGGGCATGTGATCCAGAACTGGTCGCACGACCACGGGCATCTTCGCTAATCCGTGCATGGGCTCCTGGCAAAGTCCCGAACCTGAGCATCCTCTCCAACAGCAGAACGTAGCCGTTCTATAAGCGGAGGAAGCTTGACATGCAGAGCCGCCATCACAGGCGTGGAAAGGAGCTAGTCGTCGCACTCCAATAGCATCTGCCGGCAGGAAACAAACAATGCCCTGCTTCGAACAGTCGGGCCTCTACAGTGGCATCTCAGTCATGGGAAACGCTAAAGAGTAGTCGGTGCTCAAGGCCCTCGATCGCATTGTAATACTGGGGCCCCAGCCTTATTCATTCCCGGGTGAAGGAACTGTATGTGTAGGCAAAATTGTATAGGCAAAAGGTGTCAACATTATCAATTGACTGTTGACGCATACTGCATTGCCGGGGTGTGCGACATGGATGCACGGCTGATCCTGAACAGTGAAGAATCCACACATGTGTTGACAGGCAGGGCAAACTGGCGTAGCTCAGTGGTAACATAAGGGCTCAGAATTATGAGGTTACTTGCTGGAAACCAGCTTTGCCACACCCCTTGTGGACATGCAAGCTGGTGGCTACGAGTCGGTGTCAGGTGCCGGCCTGGCAGTATCAAAGGAACTTCTTATCGGCGTTGTGTTAGGCACAGCCATGACCCTAAAACAGAGTCGGCGGACAAGCAAGCTTTATGGCCAACTAAGCCGGTCGCAACGACGGATGGAGGGGATGAGGCTTTTCCATCCCACCCAACGCTCTCTCCGGTTACAGCCGTGGTTGTCACCATCCAGTGCGTATGCTATAACACCGTTGCGGGTCTCTCTGCTGCGCCGCTGGTGTGCTCTATAGGCGCCGGGTGTGATGTTCCTGGCACTATGACGGTGGTCACTGCTGGCGCTACGCTCCTTCTAGCCGCGGCGTCGCAAACAGCTGGCACCTGGGCTTTGGTCCAATATGAAATCACTGCGGTCAACAAATCGTGGCGGCAGCAGCAGCAACAGGTACAACCTCGAGTCGCCGTTACCGAGACACGCAGCCCTCTCGACATGCTACACACCCTGGGGTTCAAACCATCGTTCCAATCCTTGGTGCTCGGTAGCATCACAGCCGCTGTCGCGGTCTTGGCCGTCGCAGCATGCAACACAATCCTTGCCGCTGCCCTGTCATCGGATCCAACAGCTGGTGGCACCACGCAGACGCTCAAGCACATCCTAGAAGCCACCGCCTCCGGAGCCGCTTCTAGTGCTGCTTCCAACACCCAACTGTCTCTTAGCACCAGAATGTTTGTCACCTGCCTAGTTCTTTCGGAGTGCCTTCTTGCACCGCTGGCGGAGGAGGTGATCTTTCGTGGGGTGTTGCTGCAGGCCCTGGCAAGGCCGTCCAATGATGCAAGGTTGGCCAGGGGGGCAGGGGGGCAGGGCGCTGATGTCAGGCAGGATGATGTGCGTAGCCAGGAGTCCCCCGGGCGTGACAATGCTAGGATGGTTGAAAGTTTGGACGGGCTGTGGCTGGGACCGCTCTTGTGTCAGGCAGTGGCATTTGCCTGCTATCATTTGAACGCAACGGAGTGGCCTGCGCAGTTTTCGCTAGGGATGGTGCTGGGGGCGGGATACCTATGGAGTGGGCGGAATCTGGCTGTGAGCGTCATTGCACATGCACTGTATAATACTACTGTGGTCTTGTTGCTACTGCTGCAAGGGTGAGCCCGTTGGTCTTGTGAGACGCGGCGAGGGATACAGCTTACAAGGGTTACAACCTGTAACCCCAAGGTCATTGGGAGCTCAACCTCCCTTGCCTGGCCATATCTATATGCATCCAACCTGCATCATTCATGGAAAGGCGCTTTAGCCGAACCGCCCTCAGCGCCGTTGGCTATCGGTAGTTAACGTCGTCCTTCTGTGGCTTGCAATTGCTTAGGGGTCACACTGGAAACAGTTGCTAGTGGATTACAATTACGCGCCTGCCCATTGGCGGTTTACTGGGACAGTCCAGAAAACGTGGCTGCGGGGTCAAGTTTGCGTACGCAAGGTGGCTGCGAAGTTCCCTAAAGTGGCCATACCATTGCCATCGTACGCGTAGCCCCTCGCAAAGAATGACTGCGGACACCAACTTTAAGCGGATTTACACAGCGAAGACCAAGTGAGAAATTTGTAAGCTCTTCGGCCAAATGATTCTGGTGGTTGTACGACTAAATCCAACTGATGAAATTTGCATCAACCCTCCTAGCGCATACGAAGCCGGTAAGGGCTGCTGTAGATGCAACAGGGCGGTCTATACGGTAACTTGTGAGCATTCCTTGCAACTGGGTCGCCTGGATACCTATATCAGTTGGTGCCATTATTGAGGATGCGTCGTCAGACGCTTGCCAATGTTACACCGTTGCACGTCAACAAAGTTCTCGACAAGTCTGGTGCCGCGGGACCGTCTGGAACGTGCGCCAAGAATGGGTCAGTTCTACGCCCAGGCAGGCAGAGCTTGGCCGTGGGTTCTATGGCTGCAGCTACATCCTTCAGCGTTCAGAAGCGTGTGAGCACTAAACCGGGTGGTGCGAAGGGCAATCGCCCACTGGCCAGCAAGGAGTTCGAGACCACATGTATCAGCAACATTTCGGGTTACCTCTCAGACCACCACTTCAGCATCAACGGCATTGTAGTTCCATCAAAGACATCTTCCAAAACATTGGCCCAGATATTGTCAAGCCCGACGGGAAAGGACTTCAACGCCATCGCAACATTCCTTCTCCGGCAGTTCGGTTCCTCGGATATGTTCCAGGGCAAGGTGGAGGACGAAGTTCCTCTCTTTTTTAAACGCCTTGGATATCCCATCACCTTGAGCAAGAGCGCAGTTTATCCTGTGGTTGTCCCGCATACCTGGCCTGCGGTGCTAGCAGCGCTGTCGTGGCTAGTGGATTTGCTCAGGTACCAAGAGCAAGCTTGCACTCCAAGCTCAAATGCTCTTGCCGATGAAAAGGTAAAGTGTCACGGGCGCTCCCAAGGGCAGGTAATACTGTTGCCCTCCCTTGTCTGTCACGTTGCCGCTATCATGTCCAGGATGTCAATGGCAACCCGAACAACCCCCGAACACTAACCAAACCTACATCCTCCGGCCCTTACTTAACAGCATGCGCAGGGCGTCGCGTACCTCGGGGACTGCTATGCAGCGTATATGGCACATGACGACGAGGAGGTTTCCAGGCTTGACCAGAAGCACCAAGCCAAGCTCCTTGCCCAGCAAGAGCGACTGGATGCGAGCTGCGAGAAGCTCCGACAGGTAGCATAGCAACCGAGTTGCGCGTGCCAGACACCGCAAACCAAGTATGAACGACATGGTGTCCTGTTGGTCCCTCCTCTTGCAGTATGAGGACGCATGCACCACCTTCGTCCCCTCCAACCCATAACCCGAACGTCATCTTTTGTGCCCGTCGATCATTTGGCATCTCCCTGCTTCACCAGAGCTTCACCTGTATATCCCGGTGCTTCTTATCCTGCTTCCCCCGTCATCCATGTCTTCAGGCCAACGCCGAGTTGCTTGCGGAGCTGGAGCGGCTGCGTGCGCTGCCCGACCCCGTGGAGGAGGCACAGCAGCGGCGCGCGGAGCAGGTCGCCGACAACGAGAAGTTCGAGTCGCTCATCCAGCAGCTGCAGGTACGAGGCGCACCCGCTGCGAGCTGTTGCCATCTGGGTCGGCGCCTAATCGCCTAATCGCCGCCGTCTAGAGCACTGCCGTAGTGCCCCGCAACGCTCATTTGGCATGGAGGGCCAACCTGCCAGACGACCCATTTCCTTCTTCCCTCATTTGCACTTGCATATGCAGGCCCAGAAGGAGTCGTACATCCAGAAGGTCTCGGGACGCAAGGCGGACGTGAAGGCCAGGCTGGCGCAGGTGGCTGCCGCGGAGAGCGAGTTGGAGCAGCTGCAGCAGCAGGTTGCAAGCCAGACGGTTACCAAGGCGGACGTCAATCGCATGGTCATTGACATGTGAGTACTGAAGGTTGGCGTCTGCGGAGCACGGGTAAGGGGTCTGTGCCCGCCTGGCAGATCCAGTTGGCATGCTTAACAGTGGTTCTCGGTCCAGGTGCTACCAGTAACATCAGATTGGTGCCTTGCTTACAGGAGCAAGCACTGGGACGTCTTCCAGTCAGAGGAGGAGAGGTGCGAGGAGATGCAGCTAAAGGTACAAGAGCAGGAGACGCAGGTGAGGGCTGCGAAGGGGGCCGCAAACTCGGGAGGGTTACGCAGCGCCCTGGCCTCATGGGTGGCCTTGCAGTAAAGCCCAACGAGCCGCACCCCTTGGAAACGTCCCCTTCCGCCACTCCCTCCTACCTCCGCTACCTGGTCCCTCCAAACCAACCCGCAGATCGTTCGGGGCCTGACTGCGCTGGAGTCCACCGTGGAGCGCTACAACAAGCTGGCGCACCGCCTGAAGCTCGTCCCCGCCACCTCCAAGCGCGCGGATGGGAAGAACTATGAGCTGCGCATCAACCGGGATGCATCAACACAGGCAAGGCATAGGTTGCTCCTGACCGTGTGGAACTTATGTTGTATGAATGGAAAGGCTGTGTGTTGACCTGCGCATGCAATCCTAACACGTCAACGTTGCTTTGCAGGCGGAGTTCTCGAACCTGGACCTGAAAGGCGTGATCAAGCCGGGTTTGGAAAGCTTGCATGACAACTACCGGACGCGCGCCAGCCAGCTAAGTCAGGACCTGGCCAGTCTCCGCGAGCAGTGCGTGGTGCGGCAGGAGGCTAACGCAGAGAAGGAGGAGGAGAATGCGGCACTGGAGGCGGAGGTGGGTCGTGGTTGTACGCTTGTACCACATCCTTGTGTGGACACGTAACTACCCGTACGTAACTAACATCCTAGTCCGTGGAACACGCTCAGCGACGTTTCCCAGCAAGGTACCTGGCCGTATTCCCTTCGTCTTTCCGCAGATTGCCAAGCTCGAGCGCCAGCTGCAGACGGCTAAGGACATGAGAGATGACGCGTGCAAGCAGCTGGCCGAGCAGGTGCGCTTTCTTCATCTGTGCTCACCCGCGCATCAGGCCATGGGCTCCCCGTCATGGCTTTCATGCACCTGCTACAGTGCTTCTACGAATGCCGTTGATGCGACGAAACTGTGTCCGTCCGACACGGATGACCCCTAACCTGAGCACGCAGGCCATGCCACCGCAGCGCCATGTAATCACCGCCATTTCACAAGTTCTGCAGTCCACTCCTGATAAACTGTCCATCCTCGTGCCAAATGACATGGAATTCCTTCACCTGTCGATCTATTGTGTAGGCCCACGCCATCAAGACGGAGATCGCTGAGCTGAGCAGTGCCGCCAGCAACCGGGAGGAGGAGGTGGAGCAGCGGGTCCAGGTTGCCAAGGCCCAATACGAGCAGGCCACGCGGTAAGCGGCATGCTCGGCGTGCTGTAGTTCGGCGCGCTTGCTACAGGGAAGGCGGCTTCCGCACATGCTAATTACGGGTTTCCATGCTTACATGCGCAGGGACGCCGAGGCGGAGATCAATCGGGTGATGGGCGACATGAAGAGGGCCTTTCAGATGTTCAAAGAGCACAAGGAGGCGGTGACCGCCATGATCAACCACGCCGCAAATGCCGTACGGCAGGAGAAAGTGGGTCTCTGGGAAGTGACCCACGGGTCAGCGTGTGAGGAGGTGGGAATGTGAAAGACGGCATAGGTCGTGTGTGTTTAGCACGTGTCACCAAAGAGCGATTTTGTTGCAAAATGGGTTAGCAGAGTGCTGCAAACGCAGGGCTCTACTTCGGTTAACTGTATACAACATACGTGTCGTACAAGGCTTATGAATGCGTTTGCAGCACCCTGCTTCCCCAGCTGTTGGAGCTCTTGCAGCTGTAAGTATCAAGATATCGAAGCCATTTATACGTATTACTCTATTCTACCCAGCAATTTGGGTGGCCCTCATTGGGATGTACAGGCGATGCAGACGTGTTATATGTCAGCCTGTAGGGATGTGCAGGCGACGCAGGCGGGCGGATGCAAGCAAAGGTGTTTATAGCAGGTGGTGTAAGCCTATGGTTCTTTGCTATGTTTTGCCGTAGAAACCTACGATAAGGAGCCAGATGATTGTGATGAATTCGCATTGCGTATGGGGTACATGCATCATCCGTGCAACATTCGTGCCTTAGAGCAAGCTGACAATCATACATAGGATATATAGTTGCATTATGTTTCACTGCCGTGGCGTGTCATTGTATGTGCGTATAGAGAGTCTGTATGGTTTGGCTTATGGCGGAGATTCCTTACGTCCGTTGGGCACGTGCGTAGGCTGGTACCGGTATGATGAGTACAGTAGCTATTCGGTGGACCCATTATACCGGTAGTTCGTTATTACACCTGGCTGCCCGTTTGGGCGCTTGCCTTAAGTATGTTGGTTCAACAATCACGCCGTATGGGTTGACCGTAGATGGCATGTGGCTTTGCACTACAACTGTCCTGTGTCGTACACCTTCATAGCCGCAGTTTAGTACATTTTTGAAACATCATACCCATGTACAGTGTGCATCGGTCGACGCACATACTCAATTGCTCTTCACACATAAAACTCAATATCCATCCTGCATGCATGATCTCTTCAGCAACTTCACGATGCACGACGCTTTTACCCAACTCCACCCTACAGCGACTTAAATCAGCAAACTATATACCAGCACGCTACGAAAGCTCGAAACCCAAGATGCACCTCCCTCCAACCTGCTAACCACCTTTGCAAGGGCGCCTTACTAATTGGTGCCCCCCGGGGTGCGCGCGTTTTAGGCGGCCGCGCTCCTCGCCTTCTTGGTCATCTCCACAATCGCATCCTGCAACAAGTACGGCATCACGTGATGTCACAGCTCGTGCTAATTGTACGGCAACAGGCCATACGTTTGTTGTTTTGGCGGTTAACCCCTTCCATCTTCTGGACGCAGTGTGTGATGCTGTTATACCGATTCGGATGTAGCAAAATGTAAGTTGCAGGATAGCGCAGGAGAGGGCAGGAGAGGGCGGTAGCCTGACGTCGATAAATGGTTCCTCTGCAACCGCACCTTGATTGACTTGCGGTCCTCAGCAGGGTGCGGAAACGGCAGACGCAGCTGCAAAACCACACGTATGCACGAGGAAGGCAGGGAAACAAGGAAACTGTTACTTTCACTGACCCGTGGGTCGGTCGGCCAACGCTTCACCGGAGTATAAGCTCCAAGCAGGCAAATGCTGGGAAGCTGCCGACCACTTGTACGTCAAGAAAGAACGGCGTTTCTAGCCTTAACGGTACAGCAAAGTATACAGTGCTGCACGGAGCACCTCCGCATCAATGTTGACATGTTGACATCCCACCTTGAAGGTCTGCCCCCGCCGGGTTACGCAGCAGTTGACCCCAAGGCGGTCCAGGTCCAGCATGCGCACGGAGTCCACCTCCAGCCCGCAGTAGTGCTTGATCATCATCTTGCTGTCCTGTGGGGCCGTACGACAGTGCATTGGGAGCGCATGTGCGTGGGTCGAAAACGCACTGGCCGCGACTGGGAACGTACGTTGCGTACTGTGTGCTGCAGAACGCCGAGAAGGACACCCACATGCCGGGTGCAAACATGCGGTGGTAAACCAGATGCGATTACATGTCAGATAGAACAGGACGGGGCGCGGGGACCGGCCTCCCGCCGTCCCACCTCCTGGTGGTCCGCGTTCATGTGGCCGCACACGGGCCCCGAGAAGGGGTACACGGGGTCGGGGCGGGCAGCCAGGTACTCCTCAACCGTCAGCTGGGGGCGGGGGGCGGGGAGTGGGAGCGGGGAGTGGGGGCGGATAAGCGATGAAGCGAACGCCCATGAGCAGCACGGAGACGATGTTAGCCAGGGGGGATGCACCGGCTAGGCACTCCAGCTACCATTAGCTAATACCGATGAAGAAGAGGCCAAGAAGGGGACGGGGTTGGGATGCCTGGACTCCGAGTGCATACGGCTGCAGGTGTTAAGGTCTGCGCTAAGGCCCATGGCGTTGTGGTGCGGGGTTGGGAGGTGCGCCAAGGGTGTCACGTCAAAGGCTCATGGCACCCAGCATGCACCGAGCCTTTGCCCTCCTTGTCCTCCACTTGGGAGCAGGTCAGTGTCCTGCCCTCCCCCCTTCCTGCTGCCCTCACCCGAGGTGCCCCCCCTTCCTGCCCCCCTCACCCGAGGTGCCCGCCCTTCCTGCCCCCCTCACCCGAGGTGCCCGCCCGAAGCCCCCGTTGAAGCGCGCTGCCACCAGCTGCTCCAAGCGAAACCACTGGAAGTCACCAAAGTCCACGTAAAAGGCCTGCAGGCAGGGGAGAAGGCAGGCGAGCAGGCAGGCGGGTAGAGGTGAGCAAGTCAAACACGGCTGTCGACAGCGCTGCAACTGCAACACAACACCCGGATTGCCCAACCCTGGCAGGGGCATGCTGACCCGGCACGCAGCTGTTGTGCCGTACTGGGTACCGGGTAGCTAACTGCACCGCGCAGCCCCCTGATGCTGCATTCCCCGCAGCCACCTCGCAGTCATCCTCCCCCGCTCCTTGCAACGCCTTCCACATGCCCTCCTCCGCCCCACAGCCCCAACCCCCAGCCCCTTACACCACGGGGCCACCACCCCCGCCTCCCCCTGCCTTTCCACGTAGCCCCCGAACCCCTCACCGAGGGGTACTTCTTCAGGAACACCTCCCGCAGTCGCGGCTTCTCCTCCTCGCCCACCGGCGCCACTACACCCTGCAGCGTCAGCCGCCCGCAATCCATGCCCTGCATGCGGCATGTGGCGGGGAGCGGGTCGCGGGAAGCAGGAAGCCCTCCCCCATTCCTCGCTCTGTCTCACCCCATGCGCTGCATGCGTGCATGCCCACTGTCCTTCCCACCATATGCGCGCATGTACCGGTATCCCATGTACGGCACTCCTCATCATCATCTCGCCCAGTACGGCAACGCAGTACGCAGCCAGGCGGGGAGCGCTGGCCTAGTTTGCCCAATCACACCTGGAAGGAAGGCGACTTGACGGTGAGCGACACGCGCCCGTCTGCCAGCATGTCTCGGGTGTGTGGCGACAGCGAGGAGGTGGCAAAGAGGGGGCGGCCGGTGCCGTCGCATGCGAACTGCACCACACTGGATGCGGGGAAGCCGGCGGTGTCGGGGGAGGTGCTCAGGGTGCACAGCACACCGTGTCTGGCAGGCGGGGGGTGGGGGAGAGGGAGGAAGGGAGGGAGGGACGAGGAGGAAAGGCGGATGGCGGGGGCGAGAGGGATGTGTGGGTATGAGGGTGAGGGTGAGGGTAGGGGTGAGGGTAGGGGTGAGGGAAGGGTTGAGGGTAGGGTTGAGGGTAGGGTTGAGGGTAGGGGTGAGGGTAGGGGTGAGGGAAGGGTTGAGGGTAGGGTTGAGGGTAGGGTTGAGGGTAGGGGTGAGGGTAGGGGTGAGGGTAGGGGTGAGGGTAGGGGTGAGGGAAGGGGTGAGGGAAGGGGTGAGGGTAGGGGTGAGGGTAGGGGTGAGGGTGCAAACAGCGTGTGGTCCACGGCGGGCCAGCGGGAGGGGGCCACGGCAGAAGAGGAGTTCGTGTGTTGGGGAGTTGTATCGCGCTTATGCGGTAGGTACGGGTAGGCCCAAGGCAAGGAGGGAGGGGAGGTACCGCAGGGCCCCACCCCACCCCCCGGGGCACGGCACTCACTTGCCCTGGTCCAGCACGGTCCGCGCCTCCTCCGCGGCGCTGGGTCGCGGCGCGGCCTGCTGCTGCCGCTGGAATGCGGCCATCTCGGGGTCGTCCTGGCCGCCCTGCTCCAGGTAGGGGCTGGGGACCGCGGTGGAGGCAGCTGGGGAGGAGGGAGGGAGGAATGGGGGGGCGCCGGGAAGGCGAGGGAAGGGGCATGGGCTATGGCCCGTAAGGTGTTGGGTGGGGCATGGGGTTGGGAGCAGCAGCAGGCTGTGTAGGTGCGGATCACGTTGTGGGTGGTTCGCGCTGCGGGGAAGGCTTTGCTAGGCTTCATAAGGTTGAGGTGAGGTGGGGTTCGCGCACCCACCCGGGGAGATGGAGGCGGGCGGCTGCGACAAGGGGCGGGTACGGCGGCCGGCGGGCAGCCCGGAGCGAGGAGGGACTGCAGAGGGCGGTGGAAGGTGTCGTTGGGGAGGAAGGGGAAGAAGGGGGGATGAGTGGCAGCTGGTGGGTCGAACGTGCGATACTTTTAGTGCCGGAAGGGAAGATATAGTTGTGGAAGGGAAAGCGTTCTGGAGGTTGAACGGGCGTAACCCTCTGCACTCCTCTAGCGCAAGTACAAGTGCGGGCTAGGATGTGCTGCATACGGCGGCCATCGCAATGTACACAGCTGCCGGTGCAATTGCAAAGTTTGAAGCTTCTGCGGAGAGGGCAACAGCCACGGCAGTACGGTAGACGGATCCAACAAAGCTTCGAATTGGCGTTGCAAGGCCGAAAACGATCTTGCGACATGAAAAGCAGAAGTGTTGGGGCAGGGTGTATCCTTGCATGGAGCTGACGACGCACAACATCCTTGTTTGACAACATCCTTGTTTGTGATGCGAAGTGGGGCGGAAAGCAGAGTCTTACCCGGCACGGAAGCAAGGGGCATCACCGCACGCCTATGTTGACGCATCTGGGCAGGAAGGGTGTGCGTTGTTAAGGGACCGAACGAACCGCCCAGCGCGAAGGAGCTTGCCGAACCACCAGTCTTCTAAGGGTGATCACGTGATCCTGCTATCCGTGAAGTGATTGCCGCATGAAAACATCCACGGTCCTACCACGTAACGGTTCTAGGTGCAACACGCACATGGTTTGCATGCATGGCGATTGGCCAAGGCCGGGCCTGTACCTACCTGACCAGGGCGCATTGCCTTGCCACAGGAGATTGTCATGCTGAGCGCCATACTGCTCGTGCTATACTGTCGAGCTATCGGTTTAATAATTGCGGTTTGTCGCCGTTAACTATGCGATCCCCGTTAACGGGAGGGAAAGATCATGCCAAATAACAAGGATGTAGGTCATGTAACTTGTGTCTGCGTGCGCTAGTCGTTAGTGTCGTGCGCTAGTCGTCAGTGTGACGAGTGAACGACATTGGTTTCATCTCACGGCGCATCCGGGTCTGCGTTGTTGCAAGCTTTCTACAAGCTTTAACCTAAAGCGGAAGTCTTTCGTTACATATTAGTAGCTATCTTGAATAAATAGCAGCTAGCAGGATACGCTAGTCGCGAACGCCAGGGTGCTCTCATTACAACACGTCATCCCACGTCCTCATCACAGCCGCAATTTTGCACAGGGAGGCACCTTTACGCACTTCTGGCCCGTCGAGCGACGTGGACGGGGCCATGGCGCATGCAAGCGCGGATGATTGGCGGTGCCCTGTGTGCATGGACCTATTGTACAAGCCATGCGTTAATAACTGCGGTCACGCGTTCTGCTTCTGGTAAGGGGTTCAACTCTTAGACTCTTCGCCTTCCCTCCCTCGCGCCCATGTATACCAGTACCGCGTTCTGTCCCATGCTATTCCCTTCACCCTTGCTCCCCGCCTTCCCGGCCCTCAGGTGCATGCATCACGCAATGAATCCCTTCAGGCCGTCGCAGTGCCCGCTCTGCCGCAGCGCCTACACACATTTCCCGAGGGTAAGGCCTTGGAAGGACGCGCGTTGTGGAAGGAAGCAGGAGCAAGCACGCGACGTATTTGCTATGTGGACTGCCACAACTTGATGCCAACACACGCCTAGCGCGCTGCGCGCATGCTACCCTCCCTGGTCGTTGTCCGTTACGCCCCTTGCATCACATCCCCCAGCATGCATCATATCCCTCCCTGTCTGTACGGCACCCCGCAGATCTGCCTACCGCTACACCGCTTCCTGGAATCCACCTTTCCAGCGCAGTACGCCGAGCGGGAGCGGGAGAATAAAGGTGTGCAACCAGGGTGCAACCCCGGGAGACCGACGACAACAAGCGGACCGGAACCTTGCAGCTTAAACTTGCAATATGGTAGACCACGTTGCAAAACTTGCAATAGCCGTGGGCACCGGCTGGGGTGCGTCGTTTCTGTGCGAAGGGTGAACAACAAGGATAGGGAGCTTATAGAGCTGTTGCTGAAACCTTATACCGGTATGCCCCCTCGCATACCCTCGCATACCCACCACAGAAGTGGAAGCCAAGCAGGGAGTGGAGTCCCCTGAAATTCCGCATGAAGCGCCTGAAGCGCCTGAAGCGCCTGAAGCGCCTGAAGCGCCTGAAGGAGCCGGCAGCGATGAAGGAGCCGCTCCTGCGCCACCTGCCGCTGAGGAGGGAGCGGATGAGGATGCTGCTCCTTGTGCAGTTCCTGGCGCTGTTCCTGTTACGGACGCAGCGGGAGAAGCAGCAGCAGCAGCAGCAGCAGCTCCTGCGGAATCTGCTGCAGCAGCAACAGCAGCGGCAGGAGTGGCAGGGTCGGGGTCTGCTGCGGACGGCGCCTCCAGCGCTCCAGCGGCCCTCTCCGGCAGCCTCCAGACCCCTAGCAGCTCACATACACCGTCACCGCCGTCACCTCCTGCCTCTTCTTCCCCGTTGCATGCGGTGGCTGAGGCTGACAATCAGGCAGCAGCAGCAGCGGCCACAGCAGCAACCCCTGCCCAAACCCCAGCAACCACACCTACTACCACCAACAACAACAGCACTAACAACAATAACGGTCAGCAGTCCCCCCAAGTGGCTTCTCCGTACCGATGCCGGCACCCCTCCTGCGGCCGCCTGGCTTGCCAGCCCTCAGTGCTCAGCTGCGGGTGCCTGGTGAGACGGATGGGGGGCTGATGTGGAAAGGAGGGTGAAGGGGTGAAGCGACTATGCAAGACATCGGGTGAATGCGTCGTCAATTACCGGTACCCGTCGTTTGCGACTCATTCCAACGCGCCCTCACCTGCCCTCCCTCCATCAGGTCTGCAACCCCAGCTGCTTGCCCCGTCCGTCCGCCCCTGAGGCAGGAGCCCGGCAGCAGCAGCAGCAGCTGGCATGCCCCTGCTGTGGTTTGGCCTGCCTGCCTGACCCACGGGTCTGTCAGATGGTGGGTCTTACAGGGCTGCTGGGTAACGGGTATTACACAGGACATGGCGTGTTTGTTGGTACAACAGGTAGACTGGAGTGAGTATGAGGGGACGCTGCCGGTTGGTGTTCTTGTTAGGCGACTGGTACCTGACACCGACCATCAACATGCAACGGGGGGAGAAGGAGGAGGAAGAACACTAAGAGCTCTGGATCCGGTACGATAGCCAAAAGAGAGTGTAACACAGCCGCTCCCCAACCCGACTAGCTCGTCATCACGCCCTCATAGCTATTCTGCAAACCCACGCCCGTTCCTGCTGCACTCCTCCTCCACCGCCGCAGCTGGAGGACGCACTGCGGCACCTCTACCCCGGCCCCTACCAGCGGCGCATGAGCGAGGTCACAACGGCTGCCGCTGCTGCTGCCGCTGCCGCTGTCAGGGCGCAGGGGCTGCAGGCGGGAGGTGGCAGCGTCGCTAGCGGGACCGGCGGAGGAGACGGCCAGGGAGAGGGAGGCGCTGTCCTGGGGTCAGGTGTCGCCTCTTCCCCCTCCCCTTCTCCTCCCCATCCTCACCGAGCAGCCTCCAAGCTACCACGTATCGACGCCCTCCTGGCCGCTGCCCGCAACGCCTCCACCTCCACCTCTTCCGCCGCCGTCGCCCCTCCCAGCATGTCGGACATCCTAGCGGCCCTCCGAGAGGAGCTGGACGCCGCCGCCGACACCGCTTTCACCTGGTACACCATAGGCTGCGACGACTGCGGCATGTACCCCATCACGGGGCGGAGGTACAGGTGCGGGGGAGGGGGCGGGACTGCGGGGGCGGGGGCGGGGGGGGGTGGACTGGGCACGAGGAGGAGATCTGGAGGATGAGGAGGAGAGGGAGGAGGAGGAGGAGGAGGAACGCTCGGGCGCGTGTCCGTAGTGCTGCAGAGCTCCTCCTGTCCTGTCCACTGAAGGTCTGACCCCCCTTGCGACCTCGCCTCTTCAAACTGCTCAGAAGTGCTCAACTGCTCAGAAAAAAGTCATGCTCGGGACAGCAGTGGTTGCCATTGTCGTGCACACCACTGCCTTACATGCCTCCTGCTGCCGTACACTACCGGTATACCCACCCACGCACCCACTCCCCCACGCATGCAGGTGCCGCGACTGTCCCGAGTCCATCGGCTACGACCTCTGCGGTGCCTGCTACGACCGCGGTACGGCAGGCCGGGGGCGCTTCAACCAGGCGCACCGGCCCGACCACCGGCTGGACAAGATCTCGCACCGGCCCCCCGCCGCTGTTGCTGCTGCTGCTGCCTCCGCCAGCAGACGGATCATGCGGCAGGCGCCCGCCTCACAACAGACTCCTCGGGCTGGGGCGCAGGGGACGTCACTGCCGCGGGAGCAGCCGCGGGAGCAAATGTCAGCGGTGTCAGAGGCGGAGGCTGGAAGCCACGCATCCGAAGCAGCTGCTTCTAGTACCGGAGCAGCAGCAGCAGCAGTTCCGGAGGAGGTAGCAGCAAGGGGTGGTGCTGGTGTTGCGGAGAGGGGTGGAGAAGCTGCTGGCGGGGGCAGCAACGCGGCAGGCGGCGAGGGTGGCGCCGCCGGTAGCGGTGATGAGGGCAACAGCGATGGTGATGGTGGTGATGGTGGTGATGATGAGGAGGATGAGGGTATGGATATTGGAAGTGTGGAGATGCTGACGCTGATGAACTACCTCGAGGTAAGACCGCAAGTGTTCTTTTACTTACCGGTAGCTAAGCCCACCTTCACAGGCCGGAGTATTGCCCATGCACAGGCGTGCATGGAACGTGACGTAGTCGGGTTCACTCACACGCAACCCCAGTAGTGTAGTTGCGCGGCTCGGTAGCATGCGTACCTAACCTCCTGCCCACCCCTCCCTGCTGCCTGCATCCCCCCCTCCACACGCCTGCATGTACGGCAGGTGCTGAACCCCGAGCTCTCCGTGGAGCACGCCACTGCGCTGCTGCTGGGGGGCAGCCAGCTGCCGCTGCGGGGCAGGCAGCAGCCGCAGGGGGACCCGCCGCCGCCGCCGCCGCAGCAGCAGCCGCTGCCTCAAGGGGGGCAGCTAGAGCCTGCAGGGGGCAACCAGGAGGGTCAACCCGCAGGAGGGTTGCCGGGGCCATCAGAGGGCCGGGCAGCGGTTGGTCCGGCAGGAGGAGGAGTGACGGAGGCGGCGGGGCCGGTTTTGTCAGCTGCCACTGCGGCAGGCGAACAGTCGCGAGGCGGCATGAGGGTGCGGCGGGCGGCAGCGGTGGTGGCGGTGGTGGCTGCAGTAGGGGCGGCGGTGGTGGCGGTTGCTGCGTTGAGTGGGAGTCGGGTCAGGCGGGTGTGAAGCAGTGTAGTTTGTGTTGCTGAAGCGGTCTTGCGCCTGGTGGTGTAGGGGTTTGCGGGGCACGAACTGGTCGGGCCTTCCTCCGTTTGCTGTCCTACCTGGGAGCAGCTGTTGGCATCGTGCTGCCTGGGGTTGCTTGCTGTCTTCTGCTCTGGTGGCCGGTTCTTTCCATGCATGCGTGCGTGCACGTCTGTGATCTTGTCGTGCATAGAGTGTGGACAGCAGTATCAGGAGGTAACGTGGCAGTGGCCAATACGGCAGAGTGTGCCCGCAGTGTGCGCGATCAATAGGATATAGGTCTCACAGCTCCAATGAGTCAGATCCCGCGTCTGCAGTCAGCCTGCATCATGGCCCCACAGGAGCCCCAGCGGCGCTCCGTGCGCATCAGCAGCCCCCCTACACCCCTGTCAGGACCCCAAGCCCAGGCACCGGGCACAGGGCGCCTTCGCTTCAACGCAGCCAACAACTCCCCGCCACTCGTCGTCAGGGACCTTATACGGTATATTCGCCAATATGAATACCGCAGCTCACTGGGTCACTGCTGTTGCCCTCTATGGCCGCACCAGCCACCCTCACTGCTGCTACTGCCGCTTCCACTGCTACTAAATCTGCTCATCCTGCTACCGCAACCGAACTACCACGTCTGCTGCTGGTGCTGGTGCTGGTGCTGTTGCTGCCGATGCCGTACTGCCACGCCTCCTGCCGCTCGTGCTGCTGCTGCTGCTACCGCTCCTGCTGCATCTCCATCACCCCCGCCATCAGCACCTCCAGCTTCTCAACCTCCAGCTCCAGCGGACCCAAGGTGGCCTGCAGGGGGGGGGAGGGGCAAGGACAGACCAAACCAGGATACGTTGGCCGGGGGCACACTCCGAAATGCGCTGCTGCAGCAAATGCGCTCTAGTTCTAGCTCGCAGGACCAGCACAACTCACGAGCCAGCTGCCACAAAGCAAGTGCTAGACGCACCTGTAGCAGCTCCCTCCTCTGCCGTACCGCCTCCGCCTGCCGTGACAGCTCCGTCACCTTGCCGCCCTGCTGCCCCAGCTGCTCGCGAACCAGCTCCAGCTCCGCTTGTACGGCAGCCAGCCTGCATGCGGGAGGCCGCAAGCAGCGGCATGTTCGTAAACCCCTGCCACCGCATCCCACCTCCACCGCCGCCGCATGACCCCCCTCCCGCACTCCGCTGCCCCCCGGGCCCTCCCCCACCCCAACCCCCGGTGAAGTCCCGTCATGCAGCTCGTTACTTTCTTCTTTTCACCACTCGCCCGCACGCCCACCTGCGCAGGACTTGCTGCTCCTCCTCCTGCAGGTGCCCCACCACCGCCGCAGCGGCCGCCACCCGCCCGCCCAGCGCCTCCTCCTCCGCGGCCGTGTCGGACAACTCGTTTCGCAGCACCCGCATGCGCGTCGCGGCTCGCTCGTACTGCCGCCGCACTCTGCAGGGGGTAAAAGAAGAAAGCGTGGGTTTAAGGGGTGAGTATGACGTAAGCGGCTTCGTACACACGCCCTAACGCGCCCATCGGGTTGAGAGCGCATCCGAACGCATGGAAGTGCGTCACAGGCTCACGGCGCGTGTGGAGGGCACGCAGCACCATCCGGTAGCAACGAAATGTAGGATAAAGAAAGATGCCGCGAGTGATAGGGATCTGAGAATGGTGTGTTGGTGGCATCGGGCATGCATGCATACATACAACAATCCACAATCCAGTACATTATTACTCGCAGCCAGTTTCTTAACATACATACATCTGGCATACATACATCTGACATACATGCATGCATGTCCACCTAAGTCGCACCTATCCGCGCTGCTTCCCGGCTCCGCTGCGTCTACTGCCAGCAGCGCCTCAGCGCCGGCCGCCTCGAGTGACCCACGGGTCAGTTGCCCGGGTCCCGACCCAGGCGAGAGCGGGCCGCCTGCTCTCCCTGCGGATTCCTTCTTCGCCACCACCTGCTGTATGAGCTGCTGCAAGCTGTAGTTGGGGGCCTGGGGAAGGGATAGCAAGAGGCGAGCCGAGATGCGTCAATCAGGGAAAGAAGCCAAGGTAGGATGATGGAGTCCAGGCACCAGTGCACATTGGGCTAAATCCAAACCCTGGATCCACCTCATCACGTACTCCAATCCAATGCGCTTCACCTACCCACCCTGGACTCAATCTTCTTGCGGCAAATGGGGCACTGCGTCTTCTTGTTGCGGTCGATGTGCTGCTCCAAGCAGCGCCCGCAGAAGGTGTGGCCTGGGAGCGCAGGGAGCAGGGTGCAGGAGTGCAGGAGGTGGGGGCTGTGGGCGAGGCGCAGCAACAGCCATGGCGGAAGGCAGGACATCAGCAGAACAGCCATACCTGCATGAAGGGCTATGCGCACCCAGGGAAGTGCACATGGCAGGCGACCCAAGCCCAATCCTCAGCCACCTGTCGTCGTCAAGACCATACCCCCGCCATGCCTGTCACCACCACCACCACTAACCACCACCACCAAGGGCCCGCCACAGGCCCGCCACCCCGCCCCAACACCCCTCACCGCATGGGAACAGCATGACCGGCGCGTGTTGCGGGGGCACCATGAGCTCGTAGCAGACGGGGCAGGTGTTCTGGCTCTCCAGCTCGTGCACCAGGAAGGAGTCCAGCGCGCCCTGCTTGGCGGCCAGGCTCTCACTCTCGCGCTGTGAGGGGGGCAGGAGGAAGGGGGAAGGGAGGGAAGCAGTAAAACACATGGTTAGAGCTGTCGGCCCGTACAACAGTGGGTGTCGTATTGTCGTTGTGTCGTACCTGCAACTCGACCTTGAGTTCGCTTCTTAACCGATCCGTGATCCGCTCCGTGAGTCGGTCAATGACCTCCTCCGGCTTAACGCCGCTCACACCGCCCAGGGTGGCAGGCAGCACACCGCCCAGACCAGCTGCGCCTCCACCACCACCACCACCACCACCGCCGCCGCCTCCCATAGCGGCGCTGCTGCCCATGCTTCCGAGGTTGACGGAGGCGGTCAGAGGCGGCAGCGTCACGATGGATGTACCCGATGGTGCGCCGGTGGCGGCTGTGGCAAGGGGGATGTCAGGGTGAAGACTGTGATGCGGCGTGATGAGGTGTGGTACCGGTATGCAAGGAGTGTCAAGCGGCAGGATGCGAAGGCGGGGGCTAGGGGCCGCAGCAACGACCACACAGGCTTTTTGAGGTAAGCAATTGACAGCTCAGGAATGGGAAAGAGCAGCTGTAACGGTCATCCGTGTTGCATGTGACTTTGGAAAAGCAGTGGAGCTTGCCTCTCCGCTGTTGCGGCTGCGGGCTGCTGCCATGTTGCTGCTGCAGCTCGGCAACCACCTGTTGCCGGTCAATTTCTGCTTGCCGCTCGCGTAGCCATCGGTTCTGCCTGGAAGGGCCAAGAAAGCTTCCTTGAGGAAGAGACGCGGCAAACATATTCGCCACGCTCGTTGATGGGTTAGTAAGACATCGGCAACGTAACTGTAGTCGCCGCCTATAGATGCCAAACGCGAAGTGCTGCATGCAATATACGTGCACATGATGCCTTTCCTACCGATCACGAATTTCCTGCAGCCGTGCATTTCGGTCCATCGTCCCGCTGCTGCTTCCACTAGCCCAATGGGTCTAGTTTTCCTTAGCCGGTTGGATGACACTCGTCACGACAAAGACCTCGCCTAATCCTATAGCGGCTTCGGCGGTTGTCGCTTCGTTAAGAAGCGATGTTGCAATGAGTACCGGTACTGCATTGTATGAAATCGTCAAGCTACCTGTAGTAAGTTAAAAGCATCATGGACAATGAAGCGTTTAAATCGACGTCGGGTGCTCTGGTCGACGCGCAAGCTTAAGGCAAACTCGCAAAGTTTCGGGGTAACTGAAAATGAGATCTGCACGGTTGCAAAAGTCAGTGTGTAAGCATGGGTGATACTACTGTTATGTAAGCGGGAACGGTTCACAGTCATCTTCGTCCAGACGTACGGCTGCTATACCTCCGACTTATCCTTGCAAAGTTAATGTAGTGCTTTCATAAGCATACCAAAAAACAGTATGCCGTTCACGTCATTGCCTAGTACCATACCTCGCGCCCCGCTGGGCTTGGCTGCCGAACCAACCTCCCTCGTACCTTGCCACCGCGCCCGCGGTCGCATTCCCTTTCCGGCAAGGAGGCGCGGCATCCGCGCTGCAGCCTCCACAGTGGAAAGCCTGCCGGCCAAGACGGCGCCAGCACGCCCCCTCTATCTTGGCCTGGATTTTGGCACTTCGGGTGCTCGGGCGGCTGTCATCGATGGTGCGGCTCCAAATCCCTCCTCCCGCTTAGGGACGCCTACGTGGATACCTAGCAAGCAGCCTCCCTTTTCAGCTAAAAGCAGCACGTTACTCGTAGGAGAAGGGCCCGTAGTAGCCCCTTCCTGGACCTCTGCTGAATCTCGGTTGGACCCCCGTCACCCGCCCTTGCTGCTGCTGCTGCTGCTGCCGCTGCCGCAGATGACGGCCGACTGGTTCAGGATGTCAAGTGTGGCTACGGAGAAGGGGCAGATGCGGACTGGCCGGCAGCCTGGAAAAGGCACGGCATCACTCTGCCCGCAATGTCGCCATGAGCCCGTGCAGCTCAGCAGTCTAGTCCACAGCCCGGGCATGCGCACACTGTCTAGGGGGGCCATGACAGCAGCATGTGGGCAGTTTCTCCCCGTGGCTTGGCGGGGTTGGCGCATGCACGAAGACACCCGGCATCCTTCCTTTCCCATGCCCCGCCACCCTCCGTGCCCCCATGCAGCCATACGGCCCTCCTCGGGCCTTGACCCCCACTACAGCCACACTAGGGGCTATGGCAGATTGCTCAGAACCCGGACCGCAAATCCTCTCCCAAACCCGTACCATTCAGGGTGCTCTTCGAGTTAATTGGCTCGCTGGACCCGGACATTCGCTCCGAGGTGGTGTCACTGGCCTTTGACGGCACCTCCGGCACCGCGCTGCTTGTCGACCCACGGGACGGTGCCCCGCTGGCGCCGCCCAAGCTGTATAACGAGGCGCAGGAGGGGCGGGCGGTGGAGGCGGCCAAGGTACACCGGGTGCACTGGTGCACACCGGGAATGCACCAGTTGCTAACTTGCAGTGGTTAGTACCGTGCTAGTGCTGCCGCACACGATAGGCTTTGACATGGCGATAACCAGCTGTTTTACTTGAGAGGTCTTAGGTGCTTGGTTGGGTCTCGTTTCGTCGCATGCAACGTCTTGACAAAGATGGTAGCCAACTTACCAAGTACCAACCACTCAGCGAACCCCAGTCCGGGTTTCCAGGATACCGACCACTTCTCCATGCAGGCAATTGCTCCCGCCGCCCACACCGCCACAGCACCCTCCTCCACCCTCTGCAAGCTGCTGTCCTGGTGGCTGGAGGAGGAAAGCAACGAGGACTGTGAAGAAGTTCATAACTTAGCAGCATTTAAAGGCGGAAGCGGCGGTGAAGGTGGCGGCGGATGCAGGGGTGGAGGTAGTAGCGGTTGGCGCCGTACGGCTGCATCCCGTGGCTTAACCACCCTGGGCCCAACTGTTAACGACAGTGATAGAAGCAATCGCAGCAGCAACCAGGGCGGTAGTGCGGCAGGCAGCGGTTGCAAGGGCGGCGAGGGTACCGACCCACGGGTCTTGGCGACGACAGGCCGCGGCCCTTATCCGCTGCTGCTCCACCAGGCGGACTGGCTGGCAGGGCTGTTGTACGGCATGTGTGATCCGTACGGCAATGCCGGCGTGTCAGACTGGAACAATGCGCTGAAGCTGGGTTACGACCCGGCGTCTGAATCCTATCCTGGATGGCTGGCGACTCAGGTAAACGAGAGTTGGCGTGCGGTTCGGCTTGCGGTTGGTGTGAGACTAACAGACCCATCGGGTCAGGCCGGTCAGCAGGAGGAAATATGTAGGCGTACTTACAAGAACGATATACTTAACAGACTCCGTGAAGCCCTCTTCCTACGAAAAACAGAACCCCTTGCATCCCCACCTCCCCACTACCTCCCCACTACCTCCCCACTACGCGTGGATTTCCTTACTTTCCCCGCTCCTCCCCCGCCAGCCCTTCTCCCCCCTGCTGCCGCCCCGGGTGGTGTCCCCCGGCGCCCCGGTGGCCCCGCTGGCCCCCTCCGCCGCCGCCCGCTGCGGCCTGCGCCCCGACTGCCTGGTGTGCGGGGGCACCACCGACAGCATCGCGGCCTTCCTAGCAGCCGGGGTGACGCAGGTGGGCGGTATCACGGCATCTTACCGTACACGCATGTGCTAATGCTGCTTCGGTCGCCTTGGGAGCCCTGGTGTTGCCTAGATAGGAGCCTGTCTCGGACCCTCGCCCACCCGGATCGGCCCCTCCGTGCCGCTTGCAGGCAGGTCAGGCGGTCACCAGCCTGGGGTCCACGCTGGCGGTCAAGCTGCTGAGTACGACACGGGTGGATGACGCGGCGTACGGCGTGTACAGCCACCGCCTGGGTAGGTGGCTGGGTGGATTTAGAAGACTGGCCGTTTTCTGCATACCTCAACCTCGGCCCTGTCCGTTACCCAGGCGATGTGTGGTTGGTGGGCGGCGCCAGCAACTCCGGTGGCGCCGTGCTGCGTCGCTTCTTCACAGACCAGCAATTGCGAGACCTAACGCCCGCGCTAAACCCCGACCGACCCACGGGTCTCGATTACTACCCGCTGCCTGGCCCCGGCGAGCGCTTCCCCGTGGCTGATACCGGGCTGCAGCCGCGCATGAGCCCGCGACCCAAGGATGATGCGGTTTTCTTGCAGGGTGAGAGGTTGGGGTTGGGGATGGGGGTGGGTAAGGACGGAGGAACGGAGGTAGCTAAGAGAGTCTGATACCGGATGCCTGATCGTGAGCCATCCAACCGTGGCCAAAGGCCTAGCACCGTACTACTCACGACTAGGATTGGATTGGATTGAATTGGGGTAAGCATGCAGATTGGAGTAGTAGCCTGTCGGGAAGCCTCTGACGAGGCAATACAAGTTAGCCAAGCGAAACTTACCATGGCCGAACACATAAATGGCTCGGGGTTAGTGCCCTTGCTGCCGATGTGTCAACCACCGATACAACCTTGACAGCCTCAGTCGCATCCTCAGTGCTTGCCCCAGCAACATCCTGTCTGCTATTTGCGTGCTTCCGCTTTCGCCGTCCTCCCTCAGGTTTGTTGGAGGGAATCGCTCAGATAGAGTCTGACGCCTACCACCGCCTCGCACAGCTAGGGGCTTCCCCACTCAAGGAGGTACGTACGGCTCGGCCGTTTGTCGTATAACATCGTACCATGCCGCATAGGTGTCAGGGCCAATGGCTGTCGCTGTCCTAATAGTGCGGCCTAATAGTGTGGCAAAACGTCTGGGGGAAGGCTGAGGGAGTGTATACTACCTCTAATGATCAGGCAAAGCAAAGGCAATCGCCCTAGTGTGGCCCAGACCACACAGTGTTGTAGCGCAACTGTATCAGATCAACTAGCCATATGTGTTACAACTCGGATCATACCTCAAAGCGCGGGCATGTCATCTCTTGGATCGGGCACAGATTGCCACGAACTCACTCCCAGCAGAATAGGGATGCAGATACTCAATAAAGATATCAACCTGTTCACGAACTGTTAGACTGCGCAGGCCACGTTAGGGGCAACTGGACGCAAGTATACTCGATGGATGCGCAGGCCACTTCTGGGCGCGTTCACGCAATACCTGATATTGGAATCCTGTTAGTATTGTTGATGATCTATCATGAGCCTCTACACAACCGCAACCGCACGGTAGTGCCAAAAGGTGCGCTGCGCCGCACCTCCTCAGCATAAGAGCAAGGCGGGAAACGTAAGTACAGGGCCCACATGGCACCCGATGACACCAGATACGCGCCAAGATACCCAACCAACGGCATTCATCCAAATACCAGACCAGATAACCGATATAACATAAACCAACCTTGACGAAACCAAGCCTTAACGGCAGCTAGAAAGGCCGAGAGAGCCCTAACGAACCCTAACCGCTAACGAACCGACGGCAAATCCACCTAGACGGCAACCAGACCTGACATAGGACTCATCACTGTGCCGCACAAATCCCTCCTCTAGCAATTTCTCTTCCATTACAGCGTGTATTCAGACCGCATTCATGACCTGCGCCACGTCATGGAGTACGGCACACCGACCGGGATGCACGCATGCTGTGTTGGTTTGCCCAGGATTAGCTTCGCCTACATGGCATTGTTTGCCACCGTGCCCGAACTTACACGGCTGCAATGATCTTATACGAGTGTGAGGGCGGAGGCCGCGCCGCTCTCGCATACACGGTGCAGTCTGACCCATGGGTCTTTACTCCTCGCTCGCTCTCAACATGCCGGTGCTCTGCGCAGGTGCTGACGGCGGGTGGGGGCGCGGCGAATCCCAAGTGGAGTCTCATACGGCAGCGACTGCTGGGGGTGCCGCTGCGGGCAGCAGAGTACGGTGAGACAGACGGGGAATGGACGGGGGTTACAGAGAGGATAGGGATCATTGTAACGGTCATTCATGCAACTAAGCTGGCAAAGCACCGCCATGGCTACACCGTTACGATATTCATGGCCCCACCGAGCCCACCCCGTGTGGAGGGCCCGTCAGCATACATACGGCGTGTCTAGGGCACGCTCCTTGTTTCATTTGCTTTGCTTTAAGTAAGCCCTAGCTGGTTCGGGTACGTGTACGGATACCGGTAAGTTGCCAAACTTGCCATGCCCTTATGGCCTGTAGGTCTTCGTGCGTGGAGTGTGCTAAGGTGTGCGAAACATGGAAGATACGTGTGTTAAGAAAACTGGCCGCGAGTAGGAACGTACTGAGTAGACACGTGTGTGTGCGCATTTTATTGTGTCATCGTTGTGGTGGGGTCAATGCTTACCCGTTACCCCGATACTGCCCTTCCTTCCACTTGCTCATGTGACAGGTGAGGCCTGCTATGGCACGGCGCTGCTGGCACGGCAAGGCGCAAGGAAGGCGGCAAGTGAGTCGCTACCACGAGGGCAGTAGGAGACGGCAGTAGCAACAGGCAGCACCATAAGGGGACATGGAGATATATGGGTAGAATGAAGCACGCCGAGTGCTTCATACAAGCTCATACCAGGCGAGCTTGCAAGGCAGTAGCAACAGAGGATAGAACTGAGACATGGTCGGGCGATGGGTGTACGATGTCATCTACAATGCCTTGTAAGATATGCGGGCACCGTCTCTTGGACCGGGCACAGCTGGCCTCGAACTCAATCCCAGCGGATTAGGAGACGCGCATTAAGATATCAACGTCAACGTCAACGGTGTCCGATAACTGGTCTATAGCGCAGGCCATTTGCTGGACAACAATGCCGGCATTACGAAGGCATTGCGGACTTAAGGAACGGAGAACTCCAGGCATACCACGGGGCCGAAACGACTTGGGACTTACAGCGAGCCCCCCCCCCTCGACTAATCCTGGGTGTGTCAGCGGGGGCGGTGAATTCTTCCCCCCCTGACGAAGTGCTGGGCACCCGCACGCTGGCCAGTTATTAACGATGCTTGCTTCTATACGTCTATGCTTAGGGCAAAGAACAGCAGTAGTAAGGAAGGCAAGCGCTGCTGTTCCTCGGAAATCCACCGGTTGCCTTTTCGCCGTGTGGCGTAGTTATGCCGGCCCCAGTGCAAAAAACGTACATGGCCCGCCCCCCCGCCCTTACACTGAGCATACGCCTATCGAATGGTGTATATGCAGCAAGAACAGCAACGTTATGAATGCGCAATTGATGCTGTTCCCTTTTGATGGACAGCAGAAACGGGTGTCCATCCATCAACCGTGCACAACTACACGTGCCGAGGTAACGTACCCGTTACGTGGTGGTGGTCTTCTCCCACGGTAGCGCACGTTGCGATTATCGCTGATCGGCTCATGTGCATCAACAACAGCCACTGTGCATGCTTAATCAATGTTGTTCCCTTTTTGGTGGGCAGGAGCAACGGGTGGCCATCCATCAAACGTGCACGTTTACAAGTGGCAAGGTCTCCCACGGTAGCCGCACGTTGTGATTATCGCTCCTCGGCCCATGTGCGCCAAGAACACACGCATTGCACATGTGCAACTACTGCTGCTCCGTTCTCCATTGCGAGTCAGGTAACTAGCTTGCGTAACGAAAGCACTGCTTCATAGCGGCTTGTCAGATATCGCAGTGAAAGGAGAAGGGGTTGCACCAGAGTTCAACGTTAGCAACTCTAGGTTGGGTCGCACTGTTCGATATTCATTGGCGGCGTACGGTGCCCTGGGCGTGCGCACATAACTGGTCAGATCTTGGCACTGCAGGTACACCCAAGGATAGCGTGCCAAGATAACCTGATCGGGTGAAGTGACGGGTCCTTGATATATGCATTCATCTGTTGAACGTTTGTTGCAGTAGCGTGTGCTGTCCGGCGTTGCGTTGCGGAGGGGAAGCTCTGATACTGTTGTGGGCCGCCCTTAAGGCTATATGCGGATGGTGCAGAATGATGTGCCCTATTGCAGATGTGAATGAATGACCGTTACAATGGTGCCCTAAAAGGGAACACGGGTGATGAACCCAACCCTACATTGCAAAAGAAACGGAACAAACCGTAGAGACAGCACCACAAGGGGCCAACAAGATGGGAGACACAGCCCTAAAAGAAACCACAGGAGGTAAACAAGAGGGTAGAAGCCAAAAAGAGCCCCTCAGCAAACCTCGACAAATCTCATCTAGGGCAGAAGACAACCCAAACCGGAAGATGTGTCCATGCATGCCGAGGTCTTTGCGGAAAGTCTTGAGTCGAATACATGTGCAATTTAGTAGCATGAATGAGAAGCTGTTCGCTAGGTACGCTGAAGCATCAAATAATTTAGCCTCTCATCTTACCTAATCAACATGATGACTCCAGCTACAGCCTAACCCTAAGCAACAAAGACACCCTCAACCGTACCAAGAAATTGCTGAAGGAGGTCGGCAGCACACAGCAAACCGAACAATCCTTCCGTCTATTTAAGGCGACGGCACCCTGGTACCTAACAAACCATGAAATCGGAAACCATGTACAGCAGCAACAGTATTATTGATTCAGGGATGATGAGAGCTGTTCGCCGCCATCCTTCTCCTGCAGCTGTATCCAAATCCTGCAACTATAGCACCAAACGCTGCTGGGTTATTTAGCGCGTAACAACCGTCTGCCGCTTACTCCAACTCTGGCGGTCATGCAGGCAGTGCGGTCCGCTGCCGTTGTGTACTTCTGGGTACAGTCTCCGCAGTCCCACTCGCGGCCGAAATAGGCTGGGTTAGTGACGCAGGAGAAGCAAAAAGCCCGGGCCGTCGCGGCGTCCGCAACAGCGTTTGCAACCTTCAAGGCGGGTTGGGTGAGGATTGACAATGTCAGCTATACCAGGCAGTGACTTCAGGCGCAAGTCGGACCCCACAAGCAACAGCTTGCACCCCGGCTCCCAAGTTCCTAGGCACCTGGCCTCTCCCGCACCCACCTGCATGCAGTTCTGACAGCCCCATGGGTTGGATGCGCCCTTCAAGCAGGTCCCGCATTGTCGGGAGCGTGTGGGGTCGTTTGCCACAAGTGATGGATCCGCACAGTATTGGTCGCAGGCCCAGTCGGCACCTGCAGGAGCAGCAACCAGGTATGACATAAGGACATTTACATTTACATTTTTGCATGGGAGTGGATACCGGTACCAAATTCAAGGTAGTAGGTACTGATAGCGAACCGGTTATCCTTACAAGCGAAGCGTTAATGTTGTTTAAAGGTTTGAGAACTACTTTGTGAACGGTCTTTGTGGGCCGAGCGCTGAGGCCTAGGTAGGCCAACCAGACCACCCTGAGCCCGGCTTCTTCCTCACCTTTAGCCGCGGTTGCGGGCACGCATTCGCCTAGGCAGACGCTCTGCATGGACGAGTTGGAGATGGGGAAGGGACCGTTGGCGCATGTGAAGCAGCGCCAGGCGTCCTGGCCGATGCTGCGCATGGAGGAGACACATGTACGGCAGCTGATAGCTGCGGTAATGTACGACTTGGAGCACTCTTGGCAGGCGGAGTCGCTTGGATCACAGGTGGACGATAGTGGTGAGGGTGGAGGCGAAGGTTTGGGTGATGGCGAGGGTGGCGGTGAGGGCTTGGGAGAGGGTGATGGGGGCGGACTAGGAGGCCGTGGAGGGGAAGGCGTGGGCGGAGGCGAGGGCCTAGGAGAAGGCGGCGAAGGGGTTGGCGGAGGTGAAGGCTTGGGTGAAGGCGGTGGAGGGGTTGGAGGAGACGAAGGTTTGGGAGAAGGCGGCGGAGGGGGTTTGGGAGACGGGGATGGGGATGGTGGCGGGAATGGCCTGGGAGAAGGCGCCGGGGGCGGGGGTGGGAAGGGCTTGGGTGATGGCGCGGGTGGTGGCGAAGGTGGGGAGCTGGCAGTCGAGCACGCCATGGCGCAATAGTTGGTCCAGGAACATCCCGCCGCCTGAAGCCCCTGCTCCAAACCTGTGAGGCCCTGCGCGCACGGGACATGCGAGGGGCCCAAGGATGAGAGGAGCGAGCTTCGAAACCTCTGCTAGAGTCGCCGCACTGTAATAGGACAGCGCTCACACTCCATCACATCACACCGCTTCTGCCACAGCCGAAACACAACTTCAGCATAACCAAACTGCGCGCCATTTTTCATCAATCCTTACCGCTAGCGCCGCCGTGAATCCCGCGTTGAAGTCGAGCGCTACCTCGTTTTTCATGTAGTCACGCCGGTTGTCGGTGTAGCTATCGTCCCTGGCCGGGCCGCCCACCAGCGCCCCCGCCAGCACGCTGGGGTTGGGCCCCGACAGGTCCAGGGCCGTCCAGTCGCACGTCACACTGTAGTTGGGGCTGCAGCTGGAGCTGCGGTGGTGCGGCTTCTGGGGGGCGTTGTGCTGCGCAGTGGGCTTGAAGCCAACCACGTAGGACTGGCTCCGGCTGTTGTCGCCGAGCATGTACGACAACTGCTTCTTGGCCCAGCAATGACGCGACACACGGGCAGCCGGGGTCAGCGCCAGACCCGCACCGCTACCGTTTCTTGCGGAGGCGAGTGCGGCCATTGCCACGTTGGCCGTGTAGCGGTTGCTGCCCCAGTCGTTGTACCAGACCAGGCCGCCGTTGGTGAGGCATGGAACATTCCCCGTAGAGCACGACGGCACGGAGGTCCACTTGGTCATGAGCCGGTTGATGAAGTCGTCATAACTGGCGATGTACGTGGCGCCGCCCGCACCCGTGTCTCGCAGCAGCAGAGCGGCCGGACCCGCCATGTTGTCCCACGACACATCCAGGCTGCCGTACTTGGCAGCGTCCCAGTACGGCAGTGCGGCAGCGCAGTACGTGCTGCTACCCACGGACACGCCCGCGTCCACGTCAGCCCTGCAGGCAGGAAGGGGGCTGCTGTGTTAGGAAAGGCCGCATGCGCCCACATGGGGTACCGGCACTCGCCGCTCACCTGCACAGCCATGCTGCCGCCCAGGCCATGTCGTCGTTGTAGCTGCTGCTCGGGTAGGCGTTGGAGCCGGACGGAGGGGCCCACCTGGGATAGCAGGTGCAGGCGAGCAGGAGAGAGAGGCGTCAATGGACCATGCAAGCAAGCAAGGACCATGTCTCCATGCCCCACAGTCCATGCGCCACCGCAGCAGCCACTCACGTGTTCGGCACAGTCTTGGCAAATGCGAACAGCTGTCGCGCACGGGTCAGCAGTGTCTGCGCTTTGGTAGGGTTTGAGTAGGCGCCCGCACGCTTCAGCAGCAGAGCCGCACCGGTCAGTGTGGCCACAGCCTGCGAGCAGAAGAGCAGCAAGACGGGGCGACATGAAAGTGAGGCACATAACAAAGTAAGGCATTATAGATACAGGACGACAAAAGGTGGGCCTCCATCCAGCACCCACCTCTCCCACAATGTCTGCTCCCTTGCCTCCCGCCGATGTGATCACGTGGACTGGGCGCCAGCCCGCAGAGCCCTGGGATCCCCCCTGCGGCTGCTGCTCCGGACGGCCCCACCAGGTGTTGTGGTCCGTGTCAACGTTGCCAACCTGGCCCACAAAGGCGTTGGAGGTGGGCGTGTCGCTGGCTTGGTAGTGGCACTTTGTCATGTAGGTCGCTACCCAGTCGAGGTTGCGCACTGCGATGTCCCACTGTCCGGCTCTCCTGTAGGCACTCTCCCAGGTTAGCGCGCTGTAAGCCAGCAGGCTGGCGGAAACCCCCAGGGGCAGGTGCAGCTTGAGGTGGTCTGAAGAATTGGAAGGGATGCGGAACAAGTACAGTATTGGACTCCCATCGCAGCCGGAAACATCCTATTGCGTTCTGTTTACCTCCAGCATCATACCAGCCGCCGGAGAGGTCCACATTTATGCCGCTAGGCCCAGTACCGTCTTGCATGTGACTTCGGTTGCGCCATCCACCAGTTGCTTGCGACGCGCGAGACCATGTTGGTACATCGCCGGACATCTGTGCCTCATAAAATCTGTTTATAACAATTACAAACCGAGATCAGATAGTGTAACAAATCGAACTGGTTTAAATTCAGCCTTTTAACACCGTTAAAAGACAACCCCTCTCTTACAATTTCAGCAGGAATGCACATCTACATTCTTCACGCTGCCAAGTCCTCACCTGAAGCTCAGGGAGAGGACTTGGGAATAGTTGAGCTGAAGCTGTCCTGCGGCTTGTAGGACGCCAGCATAAAACAATACAAGTGTGACGAGTAAACATTTATCGCGCATTGCTTGTAGCGCGATGCCTATGGTGCAGCGGAAACTATGCGATGGCAAGCCAGAGGTGCATATATAGTGGTACTTGGGTAACTATCGGCGAACGTCATGGAAGGCACTTTTATATTATGTAGATTGCCCTCACGGTGTGCCGGGACTTCACCAGCGCTTCCAAGAGACTTCATCCGTACATCACAAAGGGTTCTTGCAGCCGTAACCGGTCCCTTGGCACAGTAATGCTTAGTCAATCTCTATCCTCTGTTAGCTCTTACGCACCTCACAGCGTTGGATGTGATATGAACAACGGGCACCTGAACGGGCGCCCGAACGGGCACTAACGACAGAGTTACGGTAGAAACATTTAGAAACCCACCACGGGGCCGAAACGACTTGGGACTTACAGCGAGCCCCCCCCCCTCAACTAATCCTGGGTGTGTCAGCGGGGGCGGTGAATTCTTTCCCCCCTGACGAAGTGCTGGGCACCCGCACGCTGGCCAGTTGTTAACGATGCTTGCTTCTATACGTCTATGCTTAGGGCAAAGAACAGCAGTAGTAAGGAAGGCAAGCGCTGCTGTTCCTCGGAAATCCACCGGTTGCCTTTATGGCGTAGTTATGCCGGCCCCAGTGCAAAAAACGTACATGGCCCGCCCCCCCGCCCTTACACTGAGCATACGCCTATCGAATGGTGTATATGCAGCAAGAACAGCAACGTTATGACTGCGCAATTGATGCTGTTCCCTTTTGATGGACAGCAGAAACGGGTGTCCATCCATCAACCGTGCACAACTACACGTGGCGAGGTAACGTACCCGTTACGTGGTGGTGGTCTTCTCCCACGGTAGCGCACGTTGCGATTATCGCTGATCGGCTCATGTGCATCAACAACAGCCACTGTGCATGCTTAATCAATGTTGTTCCCTTTTTGGTGGGCAGGAGCAACGGGTGGCCATCCATCAAACGTGCACGTTTACAAGTGGCAAGGTCTCCCACGGTAGCCGCACGTTGTGATTATCGCTCCTCGGCCCATGTGCGCCAAGAACACACGCATTGCACATGTGCAACTACTGCTGCTCCGTTCTCCATTGCGAGTCAGGTAACTAGCTTGCGTAACGAAAGCACTGCTTCATAGCGGCTTGTCAGATATCGCAGTGAAAGGAGAAGGGGTTGCACCAGAGTTCAACGTTAGCAACTCTAGGTTGGGTCGCACATGTGTTGTTCGCGCGTCTCACCACTTGTTGTGTACTGATTACAGTTCTTTATTGAAGAGCATTCTGTTAAAGTGCCTTCGCGTCCGCGTGTGTCTGCAATACTTTTCCCAGACACCAACGAACAACAAACTTGGTTCGCTTTTCAAAACGAACAACAAACTTGGTTCGCTTTTCAAGTATGCATGCTTTCCTTGCGCATGCGTATGCCGATTAATAAAGCTGTGTTGAATTTGTCCTTAGATAGGCGCATCGCAGCATGCAAATGCAGTTCACATTGCGCTGAAAGTCGTGACGACAATATTCCTGGGTCACAAAATCACGTGCAGTACAATAACACTAGAGGCTTTGCTTATAGAAGTACTCTTTTGAAGGAACTGTTGGCTTGGGGACAGCAATGTTGGACGCGCACTATGCCAAATCAGGAACTGGTAGCTCAGACCCTCTCTGGTCCAGCTCCACCAGCTCCACCAGCTCCACCGGCTTCACGCCTCAGGATCGGAACCTGCATTGTGCGTAAAATCCTGCCAAAGTTGCAGGTAGGTAAAACTCCGACACCCGCAAGCTAGCAAACGGATCCAGGCTGCCGGACGATTACGATTACATGGTACGGTGTAGGGCCCTCCCGCCCTACCGCACAACCTCACGAACCATTCCGGTCAAGAGGTGCAATAACAAACAGAAGTTCGCGGGGAGACAGAACGTTGTAGAAGGTGGTCACCTATTAAGCGCGACTGGACCTACACGCATAAATAACATGTAGAAGGCTCGCCAATTTAGCAACATCAAAACTCCACATAATATTAGCCATATCTGCATCGGTGGGGTGCGGCAAATCAGGAAAGCCAACGGCCGCTCTCAAAGGAGCGTAACATACGCATTCCATCAGGACATGGAACTCATCCTCCACGACGTCCGTATCACAAAAACGGCATAAACGCTGCTCTCTAGCTACGCGCTGTGCCCCGTTACCAGGGCGATTCACCGCAATATCCCAGCAGCCAATGCGAAAACGCATAAGGGAAGACAGGTGATGCCTGGGGATATACGCCTTGGCATAAAGGGGCCAACTCATCATGCTGAAGGGAGATCCCATCCGATCTGCCGGACATCTTGCTTGCCGTACGTATGTCGAATAGATATTATATTCATGAAATTCCGTCCCGAACATCCTCCTATGGCAGAATGGCCGAGTGGTCTAAGGCGCTGTGTTTAGGAATTTAAACCCCGCAGTCCGAAAGGGCGCAGGTTCGAACCCTGCTTCTGTCAAACGTTTTATGCCTCTTCGCCGTTTCGCTAAGTAGTAGTCAGGTGCATAACTTCGAGGAAAGTCTTACTTTCAGATTAAAGCATGACGTGCCATCACCTGTTTATCCGTTGGGGAGCTACTGCGTGTTACCTCGTCCCACCATTGCGGCAACCCTAGAAGCGCTGCACACTTCGCTTTGCCAGGCTTGGTAGAAGTGAGACCCGCTCCCAGCCCAGTGACATGCAAAAGTTGGATGTTAGTAGCTATCGCCGTGCTGCTTTCAGCTTCGCAGACGGCCGGGACACTTCTGCCGCAGTGTATTACAGCCGCGCGTCCATTACCGTAATCACATGCATGTGCGTTAGGGGTCTTGTCTGCTCCCAAGCTCCTGTACGTACATCGTGGTAGGTACGGCAAAACACGGCAACAGCGGACTGGCTGGTCCCCGTACGCAACTTTAATCATTCTTTTGTGTTCTTTGAGGAGCTTAATTGGTATAACGGCTGCATGTCCGCAGTCTGTTGCTCTTCAAAGGCGTATGCTAAGTAGCAAGGACCCGTGGCAATAGGCCGGTTATTGTGATCAGTAGGAGAGCTTTTACCGTCATTTAGTTTTCTCGCCAGAGTACATTTATATGCCTCGCGAAAGGAACTAAGTCTGTCACGACAACCTTGCATCGTGAAGGATAGGCTTCTTGGTCAACGCATTCAACGGATAGCAGAATGAGCGGCGTCATAACTTTGTATGCTGTGGTCTTGTTAGGATGTCTGGGTAAGCAATTCGGTATCTGGCAACCATACCCGAACATAACAAAAATGATGTGCTGCGGTAAACAAGGAAGGATTGGGAATCGACATGCTTAACTTGATCACTGTTGTCAAATGCGTATTTGTGGGGTCACCACGGGGGACGCAAGCAAATAAGCAAACCATGCAAGCAAAAATGATGTGCATACCCTTGGTCTTCGCGTAGCAGGGTGGGAAGGGTTGTTCATCCCAATAATAGTGCTTCGACGAGCCACACAATTGTTTGCCAAGAACCCTTTGGACTTTCTCAACCGCCACCCCATGCCTAACACTACTTTGCACCTTTTCCTCGCAGGGGCGCTACCCGGACACATCGCGGCTGTAAGGACGTTGCAAGATGGGGCCACAATGGACTTGCCCAAGCGGGAAATCTGCACGAACACTTGCAGCAAGGTGGGCCCAACGCGTGCACCTCTCCCCTCCCCTCTCCCTCCCCTCCCACTCCTAGTTGACTCGGCTGGGGACAGGGGCGCATGCCACTGAGCCCACGGCCTCCAGAGCACTGTCTCACTACTGGTGCATGGCTTGGGATTCTGCGCACTGAGGTCGTCATCTTGGCTACCGCTTCCTTTTTATGCTTTCCATGTATTAAGAATGTGACGTCTCACACACGTGCAACAACTCTTCCAAGGAGCATGGCGTGTGCAGGGCAGGATTCCGTAGCAGGACTACACGCAGGATGCTGACATTCCGTACTCGCTGTGTTACCCCAAACTCACGCCCACCCCGTAGGCTAGAAACGGCGTTTGCGAGGAGGGTCGGCCGGGTCGGGCTCAGGTCAATGCGCCGTACCTCATGGCCTACTGCGACCTAGGGTGGGTATTGGGGTGTGGCGGTGTGGTTGCTGTTTGCAGTTGGGTGTACGGTTGCTGCATGGGCCGGGAAACTGCAAGTGGGGCAACCCTTGGTGCGAGGGCGCTATACTTTCCATCCTTATTCACTCATCGTCCACTGTCTTTTCCGGCCGTGCAAATGGCCCTGCCATCCGTCACACGTCTCCTTTCGCCCTGCTGGCCTCCCCGTCCTCCTCACGACGCAAACACCTCTCCAACACCCCCGCCTACCCCCCCTCGCTGCGCAACGCAGGACGGACTGCGAGGACTGCGGCCCATGGGTCACTACCGCCACCAAGGTGCCATGGTGAGCAGCCAGCCGGCTGGGCGGGCACTTGGGCAATCACCGGTGCATGCGCCTAACCTGCGTGACAAGGCCGTACCTCCTTGTCCCCGCAACATTTGTTCGTCCTCGCCCTCGCCCCATCATTCTGCACCCTATGCCTGACCTTACTTCTCGCACCTTCCGTAGGGAGGATCCAGCACGTGTGGGCCCTGTGCGGCTGCTGCAGAGCAAGGACGTGCAGGTGCGTGGGGAGGGGGGGGGGGTCCCGTAGGAGGGGTTGCAGACTGACAAGGACAGAGGTAGGGGGAGACGAGTACACCCGCACAGACATCAGCAGGAGACCCTGCCGTACAGCATCATTGCTTGCACGGGGCCACGGCATTGCCCGTGTTCAGTGGTCGACCGGGAAGAAGGTTCAGGAGATGGGGTCGGGAGCGCTCCGGCACGTGTGCCGTCCCCTGTGCTTACACTGCTGCTGCCATCGCGTGATACGGCCCATTACCTTCCTGTCGCCACACTGCTTGCTCGCTCGCAGCTCGAACCCTGTTGCTGTCCCCTGCCTTCACAACTCTTCTTCGCACTCCTTCCTTCCCCCTCCTTCCCGCGCAGGTCCGCGTACGAGCTGCTGCCGTACCGCCCGCCATTGGCTTCAACTTCGCCTACACGGACCCCAAGGCCGACTACGACGTGTCGTACCACATGGACACGGCGGGCATGGTGGAGGCGGGGATCACAGCGGTCAGTGAGGGCTGAGGGGAGCTACGTAGTTATAAAAACTGGCTGCTGGGGCTGTGTATAGTTGAGTAGGACAAGAGCAAGCAATTGGGAGAGGTTCGCATGTGAACCGCGAGTACAGGCAAAACAGAGGTGACCAAACCTGAACCTGCTGGGGCTGTGTATGTGGGGCAAGGGGAGGGTAGAGCTTTGGGGGCCATCATAGGTCATGTGTGCAGTATAGCGGTGAAGGACTCGGTAATGCAGGTGCAATTAGATCAGGGCATGGGGTTTCCCTGCTCCCTGCTTACTCATCCTGCTTCACTCCCCCATGTCTCCCCAGTTGATGCACTTCTCATCTATTTTTCCCCACGTCTCCCCCTGCCCCGCCCCCCGCTCCCGCTCCTCCCCTGCCCCCACTCGCCCTCCCCCCAGATCGCCTACAAGCTGCTGGAGGGGCGCTGCAACCGCGCGGACGGGCGCAGGGAGCTGTTCGTGGACGTGGGGGCAAACTTCGGCTGGTTCGCCATCCTTGCTGCTAAACTGGGGTGCAGGTGGGGAAGGGGGAGGGGAGCGGCGGGGTGGCCGGTCTAAGAACGTGATAGGGGCGTCTCGAGGACAGTGATCACAGCCGAATGGCGTGCTCCTTCGTTCACGTCTTCGCTGTAATCTTTTCTGTTTCCACTCGCGCCCCAGTCTCCTCCTGACATCACCCTGTCTGGCAGCTTCCGTACGCCGCATGCGGCTGGTCTGCCGCGTACACCCCATCCGGCTTCATCGCACCCATAACCCTGCACCTGTTCTCTCCCCTCTCCCCGCACCCGCACCCCTTGCCATCATCCTCCAAAACGCTCCGTATGTGTCTCAGCTCTCAGCTAGCGGCCCACACCCTGTCACCCCCCCGCTCCTCCTGCCCCCAACCAGGGTGGTGGCCTACGAGCCGGTTCCGCTGTTCCACGCGTTCTTCGAGTACAGCGTGCACCTGAACGACCTGACCAGCCTCATCGACATACGGCCCCTGGTGGTGGGTGTGGGGACTGCAGGGGGCATGTGGTTGGGTGCGATGCGCTCCTTACCTCCATCTCCTACGCCCCTTACCCCTGTCCTCCATTTACTCCTCCCTCTCTTGCTGTGCCCTCGGCTCCTTACCCCGCTGGCTCGGATCTCCATGTCCTCCTCTTTCGGATTTGTGCCCTCTCCCTCCCTCCCTTCTCCTCCTCACCCCCCTGCCCCCCCTCCCCTTTCGCCCTCAGGTGAGCCACGAGTCCGGCAAGACGCTCAAGATGGTGGTGCCCGCACGCGGCATCTGGGGCACCGCAGGCATTGACGGACTCAACATTGACCCCGCCATCCAGAGTGAGCGGGGCTGAGAGCTGGGAGGGAGCGATGCTGGGTCTCCCCCTGGAGGGGTGGCGGGCGAACGGGCTTTGACGCATGGGGACCCGGCTGGCTGGATACGGAAGTCTGGGGGGCGTGGATGGGGTCCATTTGAAACCATGGGTCGTTCTGGCTCACCCTCACCAGCCTACCCTATTCAGACCTAGACTGCAATGACTGCGGCGTGGAGAAGCGCGCTGATAGTACCTCACCATTTTTTGTGCGCTCTCCTCGCCAACTCTCCCTCCCGGCACACACACCCTTCACCCATTGCATTTGCCCCTTTCCCCTGCTCTCACCCCCCACACCCCTCACATTGGGACTCCTTCTTTCCCCCACACCCCTCCCGCCAGGCACCCAAGAGAGCATCGAGGTGGCCAGTGTGCGGCTGGAGGACGAGGTGAAGGAGGACGTGCTGCTGCTCAAGGTGGGTGGCGGAGGGGGAGGCGGGGGGGGGGGCTGGAAGGGAGGGCAGAGGGGGAAGGGGCGCCGGGTGGGGCCTAGGCGGGTGGGGCCTAGGCGGGTGGCTCACATGGTTGAGAGATTGCCGAGGGGTCCTCACGGCCCAGGCGGCTGAGGTTGTACTCCCCTTGCCGGCGGCAGCGTAGTAGGGTTTTTGGCGTGTGGGCGTTGAAATCTGAAAGCTGGGGCCCTGCCCTCTCCGGCACCTGTCCTTGCCGGCACTCTGCACACCATGGTACGCTACGCATTCCGCTACCCGCTTCATACCCATCTTGCGGCCTTATTCTCCATGAAGTTCCCCCCCCTCCTGCGCCGCTTTTTCCCCGTGTGCCCGCTGCAGGTTGACGTGGAGGGCTGGGAGTGGGCTGTCATGCGGGGTGCAGCGGGGCTGCTCAAGAAGTACCAGGTGGAGAACGTGGTCATGGAGTACTCGCCAGGTGGGTCAGATACCGGTGGAACAACTGAGGCAGGTTGGGGGGGCTAAGGGTGTACCTGACCAGGGCTAGAGCCTGCGGTGGGGGCATGGGGCACCTGGGAGGGGGAGGCGAACAGGAAGGTGGGAGGCGTGGTCTGCCTGGCTGGCCTGGTTCCGTGGTTCGGTGTCATGCCGCTTCCCTCTTCAAATCGTCTTTGCCCCCATGGGTCTCCCTCTACACCTCCTCTTGATGGACCCACCTCCCCATAACGAGTATAACCCTATACACATCACCACCCTCGCACGCACGTGTCCCTCACACCTCCCCCCCCCCTCTTGTGGCGCCCTGCCAATTCCTACCCCCATTGCTTTGCCCTAACTTGTGGTCTCCTATGGTTTGGTATGGTCTTTGACCCCCCCCCGCTGCGATCAGGTGTCCCCGAGCGTCACTTCAAGTTCGACGACATGGCAGCCACTCCCACCATGCTGGCGGACCTCATCTCGCTGTACGGCTTCCGCATCGGCCACATCGGGGACGCGGGCAAGCACAACAACGGCGGCTGGGAGGCGGATCTGCCGGTGCTGCCGGAGGTACGTACGACGGTGTTTGGTTGTTGGGGAAGCGGGAGTGGAAGGATGCGGGATGAGGGGAAGTGGAAACAGAGCGAGACCAAAGGAACAGAGGGACTGGGTCGTGGCCCCACGCGGCACGACGATGTCCACGGCGGCTGTCTCGCCACTTTGAAACATGCCGATACGTTTGCTTTTCACGGTGATGTTCACTACTGTTCCTTTCGCTGGGTCTTACGAGTACCCAACGGTACCGTACTTGGGAGTTAACGGCTAACGGACGTGTCCCCGCAGATAAAGCTGGACAACCTCAAGTACGACATTGAGGATGTGAAGCGCTGGAGGGTACGACATGCGCCCGGGTCACCTGTGATGTGCTGCGTCCGTGTCTGGGGATTGAAGTGTTGGATGGAACCAAGGGTACCCATGCAGCGGCTGGTGCTCAGAACACTTAAAAACAACACTCATCTCCCAGCCCTATGGCTTTGCTCCTCTCACCCCCCTCCCCCACCCGCTCTGCCCACTCCCTCCCGCCCCGCACCCCGCAGGAGGCCACGCTGGCCTGTCCGGTGCCCCAGGAGCTGCAGTCCTACCCCATGTGGGCGGTGTGCGGCGGGGTGCCCGAGGGACTCAACCCGCGCAGCCTCAGGTACGCCGCGTGTGCAGCCTGCGTTGGGGTTCCCCTCGCGTGTGCCCGGGGAAGTGGGGGGTGTTAACAAGCTGAAGGAGGTACTCTCACACCAGTTGCGTGTTCCTCCGTGCGCATGTGCAACCCTGTCTCTGCTGACATGTGCCGCTGTGCCGCTACCTGCTGCCCGCGCTCATGATGGCCCTGGTGGGTGCGGCCCAGGTCTGAGATCGGCCACAACACCAACATCTGGGCCAGCAAGGGCAAGGGCCTGTCGGAGGGATTCCTCAAGGTGCAGGGCGTGGCGGGCATCCTGGAGCCCAGCGACCCCGCCACCAAGTACTTCCGTGAGTCAGGGCGGAGCGAGGGGGGTGTGCAGGGCTACCGTATTTGAGGGGGGGGGTCTAGGGGTGCCCAAGTCACGCGAGTCAGGAGTTACTAGGTTAAGTCCTATCGGTTTGCAACGAAGTCGCAGGGTCACTGTGTTTGCATGTGGACCCCACTGGACATGATGAGCCGCTGCTAACGTCGCGGCTGTCACTTGCCCTGCCTGTTCTACGCTGATGTGCCGCAGAGACCAACGCCAACAACTTCGGAATGGGCAGCCGGCCATGCAGCTTGCTGGAGCCTTTGGTGCAGGTGAGCCCGCGTTGTACGGTAGCCGGGTGCGTAAGCAAGTGCTAATAAGCACACGCGTCGTGGGGGCAATGACGTGTCATCTGCCTACCTGCGGTCTGACAGGGTCCGCAAAAGCCGTGCCGGCCCCGCGGCCTGGCGCGTTGTGACATGACCAGATAGGACTGAGGGGTACAACTTAGGACTTCTAGTCATACATGGCTGGCATGTGCTGTGCGCAGGTCAAGCATCGCTGCAAGTGCACCAACCCGAAAATTTGCGGGGAGGAGGAGGCTCTCGCGCTCAAGCTCTCCAACGAGGGCAAGCTTCCGCAGAACTACGTGCTGCCCTGAGAGATGTCTAGGCGTAAGCGCGCGACTGATAGGAAGTAGTGATCACCTCATCGTGGCGCGGCAGCTCGTACCTGTGACACCCACATCGCTATGCTTTTGCTTGCATGCTTAGGCACCTGCTGTCTTGTAGGTCTGTTTATTGCTATTGCTGGGTCTTGCCTACGACGGGAACATCCGACGGTATGTACGACACAAACCTGTATATGGGTACATGAGGTACTAAAGGCGGCACTTTGGTGAATTGCCGGGGGGGAACACGGGCTAATTGGTATGGTCACAAGAGTTACATGGTTGCCATGGCACGGCATGATACAAGTAGCATAATGCTAGTAAGGACGTAGCAGCATGGCAACTGGCACACGTACGCGCAGCGGCAAGTTAGGTAGGATTGCTGTCAGGTGTGGCTGGCTTTAGTGGTAGTGCAGTGGATGTAGCGCCGGGTTGCTCATGGTAGTAGCTCATGTCGCGGGGCTACGTGCAAGGGAGTGAATGTGAACGCCCATAGCACACGAGAACCCCGGCGGCCATGCAACGCATGAAGGTTTGCAGCCGTTCACACACGGCGTGTTGTAGAGAGAAGTTGTAACAATGAGCGGCCATACCTGGGCCACAGCAGAAGTTCAAGCAGACACAAAACGCAAAGGATCACTAATTATTTGCAAAGGTATCCTAATACGGTAGTCCGCTCGCGTAAGCCGTCAACGTCCAGGCAACAGGCTGGCAGCGTTGCACTACTGCAGCCCGCACAGCAAGGCCACAAACAACCTTAACATGCGGTCAGTTCACCACAGAATTACGCTCTTTGTAGACGTAAATGATATCTCACGCTCCGGTTAAGAGTCACTTCGGTATCGCGTCAATGCATGCCATGTTTCAGGTACCTTGACTACACACGCCGTGCATGCACAGCCGCACGCAGAGTCGCACGCACACACGCCTCCGCTCAGTGCACTCCTCCGTTTTTATACCTACACCAGCACTTGTCCAACGATGAATCCCGCTACCCGCAAATACAGAGGGCTAAAACGCCAAGCTCCTCACCCAAACCTTTTACCCCACTGGCAACTCCAGTCCGGGGCCTGCACCTCACACCGACAAGAACAGCGACAGCCCCGCCAGCACCCAGCTGTCCTGCTCCTCCGGCCCGCTCACGGGCAGCTGCACCCGCGCCAGCAGCTTGCTGCGCTCGCTAGTCATGTACAGCGGCGCCTCCATGTAGCTGCTGTACGCGAACGGCGCGTCCTTGGGCAGCCACGCCAGGCACATGGGCGGAATGGAGCGGAATGCCGGCGCCTCCGCCGTCACGGGGCTCAACCGGCTGCCATCAAAGGTGGCGCCCTGCATGATCATGCCGCCCAGCAGCACCACCGGGGCCGCACCCGCAGCGGCACGCAGCTTGGCGGCGTCCCAGCTGGTCACCGGCTTCAGCGTGTCCATGGAGCAGCCCAGCGAGCGCGCCGACTGCTGCCGCAGCGCGTTGAGGAAGGTGCCAGGGTGGAACACGGAGCTCAGCTCCAGGGGACCCGCGCCGCCACTGCCGTCCAGCAGCCCGCCGCCTCCGGGCTGCTGGCAGCGCTGCCAGTGGCCCTCGATGGCCAGTGCCTTGCCCACCACCGCGCGGCAGTAGTCCATGGGCGCCTCGGGGCCCTCCCAGGCCGAGTCCCAGGCGCCGGGGACGGTATCCGCCAGCAGCGCCGCGCCGTTGGCCTGCACGCCGGAGGACAGCGTGTCAGTGCCCTTGAGCACGCGCGCAATGGAGCCCAGCGTGCGGTCGATGAGGGCCACCAGGCTCGCGCCCTTGAAGCGCTCCAGCGCGATGAAGTTCTCCACGGGCGAGCCGCCGCGGTCCGAGGTGCCGCGTGCGCGGATCTCCTTCATGGCCGCCTTGAGCGGGCCAGCCCCCGCCATGAGCTGGTCCCACAGCCGCAGCAGCGGACCCAGCTGCGCCTGCCACTGAGCGCGGTTGAAGCCGCCGGCCGCATCGGCGCGCAGGCTCATGGCCTTGAGCTGCGAAATGACGCGGCTAGAGTTAACCTGCTGCGCCGTACGGTCAATGTTGTCCGGCATGCAGAACAGCCCGGGCGTGTCGACGTCGGGCAGCGCGGAGATGATGGAGACGTAGTCGCCGCGGTGGTTGGTGGTTGGCACCATGACCTTGCTGCCGGGCAGCGGCCGCACCTTGCCGCCCGCCGCCCCCACGGTGTCGGGGCTGAAGAGGCGGCGCAGGAAGGTGAGCAGCAGCTGCTGGTCGAAGGGGTTGTCCAGGCGACCGCCGTAGATGGCGTCGTCCAGCAGGCCCAGCAGCAGCTGCCACTGCGGCGCGGTGCCGTTGCGGGTGGCCAGCGCGATGACGTCCATGCCAGAGCGCAGGTCGGCGAAGGAGAACTCGTAGAACTTGGTCCAGCCCTGAGGGAAGAGAGGAACAGCAACGAGGATGTGGAGGACAGGGATGCGAGTTTTAGGAAGCGTGGGGGGCAACGGTAAAGGGGCGAGAAGAGAGCGTGGGCCAGACATCCTAACAGTCGCCGAGGGGCCACAGCTAGGGAACATCGAAAACCTGAACCTTCGCACCAATCTGCGTATCTAACCTCCATGTACTACGCGGTCTACGACCCAAATGCCGTAAGGCACGGGCAGCACCCCACCTGCGGGATGTAGGTGCGGCGCTCCTGCACCACCGCGTGGAACCACGCCAGCACGAACAGCAGCTGCGCGCGGATGGGCGGGCCCGAGGAGAGGTACTCGGCGGACCAGGCCTCGTAGGTGCGCTGCAGGTTCTTCTTCATGCCTGGAGGCGCCTCGAAAGTGATCTGGCGGGGAGGTGGGTTGGTCGAGGAGGACGCGGAGGCGTCGTGGCCAGTGATTAGAAGTGGAAGGCACAACGAAGTTGAGGGCATCAATTTTATCTAAGACAGACCCTACAACACGAAGCTGGCCTGTGTGCTGGCAAGCTCATGTTGCTCATCCCTTGCTCGCCTCTTTCCCCGACAACAAGTTGCCCCAACTTTACCAACCCCCGCCACCCACCTTGAGGCTCATCTCCAGCAGCGTGGACGGGAACTTCGGGTGCGGCTCCGAGGTGAGGAACAACCGGAAGTCGGCGTGCTTCTGCAGCATGAGCAGCTCCTTCTCCAGGGCGGGCAGCCAGGACACCGCCAGGTGCACGTTCTTCAGCACCAGCCAGCCGCCCGACTTGGCGCACTCGCGCAGCAGCGCCACCGCCTTCTCCGCCTGGCCCTGACCCATAGCAACCTCAAAATACCTGCAAGAGGAGAAGAACGCGGGGTTGGATGTAAGCATAATGGGAGGCGTGCAAAGTATACGAACACCGCCGTGTCGTACATCCAACACCATGCACCAATGTGTCCAGGTTCCTCACCTCTCCTTGCCCATGGTGGCCGCTGCGTACTCCGACAGCTCCTGCGAGGGGTCCGCACCCGGCGTGGTGATGAACAGGATGGGCTCCTCCGCGCGGCTCTCCGACTCGATCAGCGCCTTGAGCGAGAAGGGCGGCGGCGACACGGACTTGATGTTGAGCGTGCCGCAGATGAAGGACGACATGGCGGACTGCAGCCTGTCCGGCCGGAAGGCCTTCACCAGCAGCAGCTGCTGGAAGGCGTTCACCCGCCCGCCCGTGACCTTGCTGGGCAGCGAGTCCGTAGCCCCGCTGGCCCACTGCGCCCACAGTCCCGAATCCGCCAGCTCCGCTGCGGACACCAGCTGCGGGAAGGCCGCAGCCAGGGAGGAGAAGGCCACCGCCTGCTCCTCACGCACCCAGGAGGGCTTGGGCGGCGGCGAGGCGGCATCCGGCACGGGCTTGCCCAGGAAGAACGACCACTGCGAGTCCTGGAACAGCGCGGGCTGCAGGTGGCGCGCCATGTGCATGCCAAAGGTCAGCCGGTCGGCGTTAAACAGCGAGCGGCTGACGTAGGAGAACACCAACTCCAGCAGCGACTCCGCCAGCACCGCGATGCGGGCGGTGACGTCGCCGCCTGGCGGCGTGTCGCGCTGCAGCGCCTTGCGGAACAGCCCCAGGAAGACGGAGAGGCTGAAGGTGTACATCTGGTTGAGCGCCTGCAGGTCGCCCAGCAGGAAGTACATGACGGAGCCGCGCGCGGCGATGGGGCGGTACACCTCGCGCTGCTGGTCCAGGCTGGCCTGCAGCGTCTTGGATTCGCTGAGCGCCTTCTCCACGGTTGCGGACTTGGTCTTGGTCTCGTTGAGCTTGTCCAGCAGGTCCTTGTTCTCCAAGATGTTGCCGGTGGAGGTGGCCAGCGTCTGCAGCAGGTTGCGCTCCAGGTCCGCTAGGGCCATCTGCGGGAGGCGGGGAAGGGGAAGGAGGGGTGAAGTGGAGAGGTTGGAGGAGGGTGGAGGGGAGGAGAGGAAGCTATGGTAGGATAGGAAGCAGGGACATCCGCTTGTTACGTCCGACACGCGCGCGGGGGCCTCAAGTCAGCGACAAGGGGCCCACGCGCACGCGCATGGCAGCACCTCAACTCAACGACTCCCCCACTTCTTCCCTGCGCTTTCCAGTCTTCCCCACCCACCTTGCACTCGTCTTCCTGCCGCAGCAGCGTGCTCTTCTGCTCCTCCAGCTCCGGCCGCTCCTTCTGCAGCGTCAGCCCCAGCAGCTGCCCCTCCAGCCCACTGCGGGTCACCGTGAAGTTGGTCACCGCCAGCAGCGAGCGCGCGTCGGGCGGCAGGTAGGGGTCGGGGTTGCGCGTCACCAGGAACAGTCGGAACGTCTCGTTGTAGTCGGTGGCCTTGTCGCCAATCTAGGGGGGAGGATGGGCAGGAGGGAATGGGCGTTCAAGCAGAGCTATCATGGTGGGTTAAGTGATGATGATAAGGTAATAGTGGCGCCTGCATGCCGCAAGTTTCACATGCCACATGACCTCCCCGCACTGCTAGCCGAGCCCCCACCTCACACCCTGGCCCCGTCCCCCACCCTCCATCTCTCCGAAACCTCTGCCTACCTGCACCACGAACCGCGGCCCCTGCCTGTCGAGGTCCATGCGCAGCAGCGGGTACAGGATGGGCTCCACGCGGTCCACCTCCGCCACCACCAGCGTCTTGCCGAACCGCACCGCCAGCTCCAGGGTGGTGGTGAAGCGCTGGTCGGCCATGGTGGTCACCTGCAGGAGGTTGCAGGAGCAGGCGCAGGAGGGTGCATGAGGGCCCCGACAGTTGAGGGTTCATGATGCCTAGCTCGTGAAGGGAGTACCAAAGCCTGTTGCACATTGGTACTGGGGGTGCTAGTCGGCTAAACATGGTGACGTGTACAAGACCTAACAAAGCCCCGGCCTGGTTTAATTGGGAATCCACAGCGTTCAAAAAGGAGGCGCGTGCCTGCACCCTCTGCCCCATCCGCATGCCCGCGTACGTCAATGTTTGCTCCCGACAGCTTCAGGTGCGCGTTGAGCCACTCCGAGGCCTGCGTGGAGGGGTCGATGATGAGCGGCGAGCGCGAGGTGGAGTTCAGGATGACCACCGCGTTCTGCGCCGACAGTCCGTCCGCAGGCAGCCCCTCCGCCTTCCACTTGAGCATCTCGGACTCGGAGCTCAGGAAGCGGCACACGTCGAACTCGCCCACGCCCAGGTAGCTAGTCCAGTCCTGCAGGTGGAGAGAGGCAACCGTAGAAGCAAGGCAAAGGAACGGTGAGCGGGTAGAGAAACAGCATGGGGCACCGAGTATCGGGTATCGTTGCCGTGTTGCCTATCCAGCCGTGTATCATTGTACGTATCCTGGCATGCCGTTCTGCCTCCATGCATGGCAAACGCCGGAACCTGTGCTCGAACCACAGCTCGGTACACATCAGTGTTGCCAATCAAGCCAACCCGGCGGCCAGCACCCGCCCCCTCTCTCCCACCTTGAGCACGCGCTGGCGGTGCTCCTCGGGGTGCGCAGGCAGGTAGGTGATGAAGGCGGCGGCCAACAGCGACGACAGCGGCAGCTCCTTCAGCTGCTCGCCCAGGGTGCCCACCTGGGGGGGGGGGGGAGGGGAGGAAGCAGAAGGCGCATAGCAGCATAAGATGGCGTCATCGCACGGCTATTAGGGCGGAGCTTACAACACTGGGGAACGGTGGATATCATATCGGGACGTTAAATCCAATAGCATTTGTGCTGAAGGAGAGGCCCGCCCTACCGCAGTGTCGCCCTTTTTCCTTGTCCTCCACACCTCGACATCCCTGCCTCCTTACCTGCGTCTCCCAGCGCACTTTCTCTCCCCTCAATCCGTCCAGCAGCTGCCGTGCTGCCGACAGCGTGGCCTCCGCCTTGTCCACACTCATCTTGAGGCTTTCTGCCTCGCTGGTCTTCTTGCTGAAGTCCGTCTTGAGCTGGGACACCTGTGATCCAAGAAACCAGCGAAGCGCGCGCGAGTAGGACGCGAGTGAAGCACCCTCGACTCCGCGTTCTACACGAAACACAGCTGATCATCTTTACCGGTAATAGCCATACACCGATCGATCGCTTCCGAATCCAGACCCATCATGCCCATACCCACTTCCCCTCACTCCCTCTCCTCCTGTACCTGCCTCCATGCCACCACCCCCTATCCCCTCACCGCCCCCTCACCGCGCCGTCCAGCTGCACCAGCTCCTCCTCGTACTGCTGGATCAGCCGCTGGCTCTCCTCCAGGGAGGACTGCAGCCGCGACAGCTCCGCCTCCAGCGGCGACACGCGCTGCAGCACCTTGCTGAACTCCGTGTTGGCCTTCACCCACTGCGCCATGGGCGCCGCAGCCACACTCACGCGGCGGATGACGGCGTCCTCGAAGGAGTTGCCCTTGGCGGCCAGCAGCTTGTCAACCTGGGTGGTGTGGCGGTGGCGGTGGATGAGAGGAGGAGGGAAGGCGGGAAGGAAGAGGGGGGCGGTTAAGATGGCCCGAAGCTGTAGCGGTAACGCGTACGTGACAAGATGGAGAGGCCACAGGATATGGATATGGTTGGCAGGAGCAAACAAAGCAAGGTTCACGATTGAAAGACATGCCTTCCACCACGTTGGCAGCACCAACGCACCATCCATTCCCACTGCGCAAGCAGAGCCCTCCCACCCACCCTGGCACGAATCTCGGGCGTGATCTTGTGCGCATCGTAGTTGATGATGTCATCCTTGACACTGGATTTGCCCAGGAAGGTCTTCATGTTGTTCCAGGAGGTGTCCTGCTGGCCCAGGATCATGAGCACGCCCTCCAGCACGTCGCGGATGGCGTCGGGCGGCATCTTGAGCGAGCGGATCTCCGAGATGTTGTCCTTCTTGATGTTGCCCACCGCCTTGCGAGCGGCGTCGATCAGCGGCTGCACCTCCGACAGCTCCTCCTCCACCTGCGCAGGTCGGGGGTGAGGACACACGGGGAGAGAGGGAGAGAGAGTCGCAAGGGTGATGGGGCCGCGGGCACATCCCGGCGCGGCTTGCGTGTAGTACGGCAAAAGGCTGGCGGATACCTAGGTGTACGTGAGCCAAACCGTTTCCCGGTCTGGGAAAGCCCCGAACAGTTCATCAGTGTTCCCTCTCAAGTGAGCAAGGCCTCCGCCTCCGCGCCCACCTTGACGCGGCGCTGCTTCATCTCCACCTCCTCCACCGCGGTGCGCTTCTTCAGCACCTCCACCTCCTTGCGCCGATCAGCGGCCTGCAGGGCGGTGCGCAGGAGCATCCCGGTAAAGGTTACCGAAAGGTAATAAGAGACACATGCGTAAGGCGCTTCTTAGCCCATGCATCCCGCACCATGCGTGGCAGGGGGGAAGTGGGGTCCGTCCGGGGACCTAAATACAAGCCGCACAACCCCGCAACGCACCTTGAGCATGGAGTTCTGGATGTGCACCAGCGCCTCATCCGCCTCCGCCTGCTTGGCCTTGAGCACCACCCGCTGCTTCTCCGCCTCCACACTCAGCGTGTCCACCGTCTTGGCGGCCTCGGCCAGCTTGCCCAAACCGCCCTTGAGGAAGTTCTGCTGCTCCATCACCTGTGCGACGGGTCATGCAGGAGGGAGGGGGGAGGGGTAGGAGGCAGGGAGCGCTTGGGAAGGATGCATAAGGTAGGATGGATCATAGCGTCACTGTCTAGGCATGGCATAATGGTGTGAAGTTTGAATAGGGGGGATGGTGGCGTAGGGGGCGGTGACGTAACACATGTATGCAACGGAAGGAGAAGGCACGCCGTGGGTGAACGCTATTAAGGGGATGCTCCCCTCCCTACCTGCGTGCGCTTGCGCGTGTAGATCTGGCCGTACAGGGCCACCAGGGCCAGGTACTCGCGGGTGGTGGTGCTGCCGCTGTTGATCTGCGTTCGGGGTAGGATAAGGGCTTGTAAGCACCCCCAACAAGGTTTCAATTTCAACACGTCGGTGACCTTGGCATTGAGACGGAGAACAAAAAGTAATTCTGACGTGTGTCCCCTGCCTTCGATGACAAAGGACACGCCCCTTCACCCATCTCCTCACCCACACCCTCCTATTGTGATTCTCCCCTCCCCAAGGTCCGTGACAATCCTGCGGCAAATTGACTAAACACCCCCCAGTCCTCACATGCAGGTGCACCATGTGGCCGATCAGCTTCTCTGCGCCCAGCTTGGCCAGCTCCTTGCTGTTGGTGATCAGCTCCTGGAGCCGCGAGCCTGCATGCCGCGGCCATGCATGAGGGGAAGGCAGTTACGGAAGGGTAAAAGAGCCGACAACGCTTCCAAGAGGCCACGGTCTGGCGCATCCAGGCATCATGCCTTTGCTTCATCCAACAAACCGTCCAGTTCCAACGCCATGCCAGCCAGAGCAGTGCCACCCTCTCAGGCATCAAGCCCGCGTCCGCACCTGCTATCTGCTGCAGACCCTTGATGCTCCAGGACTCGATCCACTGCACGCTACAGCGTGTGAACAGCGCGGGGTTGGCTTCGCAGCGCGCGCGGAACTGGTCGTTGGCGGGATCCATGGACACCACGATGTGCAGGTTGCGGCGGATGCGGTAGTTGAAGTAGGCGTAGGAGCTGGAGGGACCTGTGTACAGCGGGTCCTCGTCGCGCGCCCTGTCCAACGGTGCCAGCTCCTGAGGAGGGAGCGAGGGAAATGGACACGTTGGAACCAAAGCGGGCATACCGTATGCTGAGACGCAAGCAGAAAGCACGCATGACGGCGCATACTCTTTCGACGCAGAGTGCGCACGACGACAGCGGACCAGGGAAACCCCTTCGGGGCCGCAGCCGTTCCACAGGCAACCCCACCTTTGCCAGCTCCTCTGGCGTGAACAGCCCCGGCACCTCGCCGCCCGACAGCAGCGAGTTGACCAGCTCCAGGAAGGCCCCCGACACCAGCTGGTGGTCCTCCAGGAACAGCATGACGGGCTTGCCCTCCACGCCGGAGCGCCGCAGCACCTCCTTCAGGTCGTTGCGGAAGGACTTGAGGTCGTAGTTCCTGTTGGAGGGGGGCGCAGGGCAAGAGAACGCATTTGAGGGCAGCAGCGGTCAGGATGGGAAGGAAAAGGAGCGGTGTGCTAAAGGCTTAGACGCACAAAGGCTAAGGGGGAAACAGGCGCGACTGCGAATTGAGGATCCAGGAAACCCAGCAAACACAGTCCAACCCACTTGGTCATCTTGGGCGTGTAGAAGTCCATGTTGTGCATGTAAGCCAGCAGCAGCATGAGCGAGCGGCGGCCCACACCCGAGTTGCCGCACAGCAGCAGCGAGCCGCCCGGCTGGCTCAGCACGCGGTCGAAGCGCGCCACGCGCTCCAGCACCTCGGGGAACAACAGCAGCTTGAGCTCCTTGTGCTCGCGCTCGTAGCCCTAAAGGACATGAGAGGAGGGGATACAGAATGGGTACAAAAGCAATGTAGCATTCTGCATTCAGTGTGAAAAGGAGAACCCGGCTGCCCCGCTGTGGTACTGCTGTAGCTGGCTCCGGGAGCGCTAAACCATCGCACGCATTCTCAGCACGCACTACATCTCCATTTAATTGTACCGATTTATAGGTGTTCCCCCCATTCCATACTTGACCCAACCGGTAAACCCCCCAGCCCCTCCCGCGCCCCCCCTTAACATTTTCCCCCCCTCACACACACATATCTTCCGACAATCACAGTACGTTCCGACTCGCAGCCAGGTTTCTTAACACACAACCTTTAGCTTCTCCGCCACCAGCTCCGCAAACGTGTCCTGCTCCCAGCGCAGCATCTTGATCTTGTTGAGGTCGCCGCTGATGCGCTCCTCCGCCGAGGCGCCCAGCGTGCTGGCGTACCAGGCCGTGGCGTCGGGCTTGTAGCCGAGCAGCGACTGCAGCGTGCTGTGCAGCAGGGAGGTGAAGGTGTCCTGGTGGTCGCCCACCAGCCGGTCGCGGAACACGCGGGTGCCCTCGTAGGCGATGGCCTGCAGGCATCAGCGGGGGAGAGAGCGGGATGTGAGCTCAGGGGCTAACGGTATCCATACCCAGGATCGAGTTGGGTAGTCAAGAGACTACCGGAATTGTGCCACAGCGGTCTCCTTCTGCATAATGCGGCTGCTTGGATGCAGGGCTCTGGAAAGAAGCGCGCTTCGAAGAGCACATGTGTAGTGATTGATAAAGGGTCCTGCATGCATAGCGCGCACCTGCAGCAGCGTGAGGCCGCCCTCCATGCTGTAGCGCTGCAGCCCGGTCATCCAGTCCGTCAGCTCGCGCGCGTTGAACTCGTAGTGCGGGTAGTCGCTGGTGGTGAAGCGCTCGCGCACCGCGCTGTACACCTCCAGCATGGCCTTGGACATGGCGGCGGGGCTGATGCTGCTGGCGGACTTGAAGCTGGACAGCACCTGCGGACCGCAGACGGGCAGGGAGGAGGGGGAGGAGGGGGAGGAGGGGGATTGGGATAGGATAGGGATGCATATGCCGCATTAGGCTGGATAGTCGGGTTAGGACAGGGAGGAGAGGGAGGGGATGCGGAAGAGGAGGTTATGAGGATGGGCTCAGAGCGCGCCGTCGAGGTCGGCGTTTTGCCCTCTTGCTGACAAATATGCAGTGCTGCAAATCAACAAGTCCCACAAACCCTAGCAGTCCACCGTGGACAGGACTAAGAGCCCGTTGGACTATTTAACACGCCTCCCCAACACACGCTTAAACCATCCACCCAACTAAGACACCCACGCCCCCCAAACGAACTTACGTTTTGCGCCATGTTGGTGTAGATGGTGTTGAGGTTCTCGCGGTCTGGGTAGCCCAGCGTGATGATGCGCACCAGCGCCGTGAAGCGTGTCGACAGCGCATGACGGCCCACGGAGCCCGGCGGCGTCATGCTGCCCACGATCTGCACCCTCTCCACGCGGATAAAGTCCAGGTGCTCATCATAATAGCCCTGGTGGGTGATGAGCTGCTGCAGGAAGGAGATGAGCTGGCAGGTGTTGTACTTGTCGGGGCGCGGCAGGTTGAGGTCCTTGAGGTACAGGATCACGCGCGTGTTGTCGGGCGGGCGCAGCGCCTTGCCGTTGGTGGTTGTGACGGGCTTGCCGCACACCTGGACCAGCTTCTGCACCACGTTGGTGGCGCTGGTCTGCGCGCTGCAGTTGACAATGGCCACCTGAACGCCCATGATGCGCTTGAAGCAGTAGTCCAGCAGCGCGCCCTTGCCGCAGCCCTCGGGGCCCACCACCAGGAAGGGATCGCGGTTCTTGAGCCAGGGCGCCAGGATGAGCAGGTTCTGAGTCACCTCGGCTGCGGGCAACAAGTGGGCGCAATCTCACGTTAGCACGTCAGGTTGAACAATTGGTATGCAGTAGAGATGGTTTCCGGGCTTCTGTATGTGTGATACGACGTGCCAAGCACTGCCACAACGGCCCACAGCAGGCCTACTGTGCACATGCTCGTGGCTTACGTGTGATGACCAAGCCCCCGTCAGCCTCGTCCAGCGGGCGCTCTCGCAGCTCGTCGCCCAACAAGGCCAGAGGGTCTCCGCCCACGCCCACATCCATGATGCCGCCCTCGCCGGATATGCTGCATGGTTTCGGAGGCAAGGAGTAACGCACACAAGGTTGGTGATAATGGCAAGGCATACGGGTGGCAAGTTATGTGATTAAGCTACAAGACACTTCACACCTTCGCCAGCGCCTCCTTTGGAATTCCAGACCCCGACTCCGACCCCCACATTAGCCAGGAACCACCAAACCGTCCTACCAGACCGCTACACTTCTACCCCAGCCCTTCCCTCCCTAACCACCCACCGGGCCATGTCCGTGTAGAACTGGTTGCGCACATCGGGGTTCATGTTAGAGCCCAGGCCGCGACACAAGCCCGCCATGTACTCCAGCTTGGAGCCGGGGCCCAGCTTCAGGTGGCTCAGCGCGCTGTCCAGGATGCCGCCCTTGGTGGTCTCCACCGCACGCGGGTGCGACAACGCCCATTGGAAGGCCTGGAAAGGGGGTCAAGGCACATGGGAAGCGGCTAAGGAACTGCAAAACGCAAAGGGCGGCAAGCAAGGACTACATGGGAAGAGCGCGATGTATTGCATGAGCAAACTGTGGACAGATGTTGCGGGTGCATGAGGAGGAGGTTTAGGAGACACAACGGGCGGCTAGATGCAATTCAGATGAGCGGTAGGAGTTCCTTATACCAAGCTTGGCTCACCTTTCCAAAGTAGTCGTTGAACCAGGAGGCCATCTGGGAGGAGGCCTCGCCGCCCTCGCCCGTGTGCATCTTGAGCCAGCGCTGAATCATGCGGTCCACCTCCATGGCCTCATCGGACATGAACAGCATGCCGCAGCGAGACACGGTGGCCGGCGATGCGAACTCCAGCGAGTGGCACTCAAAGATGAAGTTGACGTTGTTGGCGAACTGGATACGCTCGCCGTTGGGCATGGTGAGCAGGCGGTTGTCATCCAGCACGGAGTTGAGCGACTCGATCCACTCCGGATCCACGTCGCCATCGCAGATGATCCAGCTGCGCTGCTCCAGCGGCTCCTTCACAACCTTGCGTGCGGCAGCCGTGAGCACACCGTCGCTCCACTCGCGGGTATCCATGTTCATGGAGCCCAGCAGCTGCTGACGCGGCATGGCCTTGGGGTTCATCTTGTACACGATGGGCTTGCGGCCCAGACGCTCGTACGCGCGCTCCAGCAGCTCCCACAGCGTGCTCTTGCCGCTGCCGGAGGGACCCACGATGATGACACCGATGCGCTGCTCGCACGCCAGGTGAAGCTGCGGTGCGGTGGATTTTATGGGGAAATGGATATTTTGTTGGTCACCAGGAAATGAACCGGACACACGCGTGTGAAGATATTGACAGACGACGCTAGGCTTTAAAAGTCAGGGCATGGGATTAAGGCCTGGGCTGGGGGTGCGATGGAAGGGAAACGGAGTTCAATGCTTTGAAACCCAGCCCACCTGCAGCATGCGGTCGATCTGCTGCTGCGTGAGCTCCATCTTGCAGGCCGCCGCAGCCTCCGCCAGCGCCTTCTCCAGCGCCTCGTTGCGTGCGTCCGTCAGCTTGGCGCCGGGGAACAGGTCGGTAATGAGGGCCCTGGCGAAGAGGAGGAAAGGAGGAAGAGGCAAGGTTTAAAAGGGAGAAAAGGGCGGAGCCGTGGGGACATGCCGCATGCGGGCGGCAAGGCCCCTGTAGGCAGGCGGCGATCCCAGGCTTGTATCGCAAGTTGCAAATGCCGGCATGCTTACTTGAACCGTGAGTTGTCGTCGAACGTGAGGGTAGGCAGCTTGGTGGCGGCGACGGAGCGAATAATGATCTCCGCCTCGATCTCCGCGTTGACGGACTGCCCCGATTTGCGGGCGTCACGCAGCTCGCGGCCAGCAATACCCAGCACAGTTTTCAGTGCACTGCAATGCAAGGGATTAGGGTCCGCGCGGGGACGGGTGGAAGGTAACGGACCTCAGTACCGTTGTTACAGAAATCAAAGCTTGCAACAAGGAAGCCAAGGTTGGAATGCAGATGTTATGGATATCCCTTCACTTCATCTAGGCTGCAAACAATGGCACAAACAGTGGCACGAAAACATCCGATGCTCACCGCAGACCCCAATCGTAGTGCTGCTGCGGTGACAGCAGCTCGCGGCTGAGGCTAAACAGCGACACCAGCTTGCGCGCCAGGTCCTTGGCGAAGTTGAAGCCCTCGGACAGCAGCAACACCTCGGCAATCAGCTCGTTGTTGGGAACCGTCATGGCAATGGACCTGAGGGTTTGGAGGGAAGCAACACGCAGCGCAGGTGCTTGGCATGCTTCCGGACGACCGGGGATGGTGCGTTGCCGAACCCTTGCCGCACCTGAACAGCTGCTTGAGGTTGTCAGGCAGCTTAGAGCGACCACCGTAGCCCTTGCCCGCGGGGTTCAGCGTCACGAAGATACCCGCGTTCTTGTCCACCTCCACCGTCTTGTCCATGAACATCATGGTCTTGGCGCCCTCCTTGAGCGCGAGCTGCGAATCAGAAGAGACAGGTTAATGTGATGAGGAGAGGCACATACGGCCATGATGCATGTGAGGGCATGACGTCCTAAAGGACGATCGCATCAACTTCTCAAGTGCTCTCCATTGGCCTGCATGCGCATCCTGTACTCGCAACCGCTCAAACAGCCGCCTAGCCACATTGCAAACCGCACGTCACGCACCCAACGACGAGCCCACGCATGCATGCAGCGCGCAGCAGCCTCATCATGTGTATACGGGCACGTTTGGGGCGCACCTGGATTGTCTGAATCTGCTGACTGACGGCGGACAGCACCTCCTCATCCAGGCGGTTAAACTCGTCAAAGCAGCCCCATGCACCGCACTTGACAAGGCCCACGAAGATGCGGCCCATGGACTTGAAATCGAACTCCTCGTCGCAATTGAACACCAACACCTGCCGCGCCAGCGCCTGGCCCAGCGCCTTCACGGACTCCGTCTTACCCGTACCGGCCGGGCCGTAGGGGTTGCCACCGTAGCCGAGGGCCATACCCTGCGGTTGCAGAAATAGGGGGTGCCGTGGGCGTTGAAGCGCAAGGAACACTAGAGCTTCCAAGACAGAAAACGCTTCGTGGTGTGTGAAACGGAAATAACGGACATGCCTGGTGCCGTTCACGGCCCATTCGTTTACACACAATGGGCAGGATGATGAGGACAAGCGTCTGGGTAGTGGGTACTGCCTGCGGTGCATGCGCACTGCCCAAAAGCCAAGCAAACCGCCCACCTGCGTGAGTGTGAGGTAGCACTTGTCCGTCAGCGGCGTGTACACAAGCTTGGCAGCATTGCCCTGGTACTCCCAGGTGTAGTCGAACGTGGCCTCCGCCATGGACACCTGCACACCGCCCGGTTGGGAATAGCCAGGACCCAGGTAAGAGAGGTTGGCTTCAGCCATACGGCAAGCACAGCATGGAAGCATCAGCCGAAAGCAACTTGCGCTGTCTGCTACATCCTGGGTGTTACGAGGAGGATGCTGGCGACCTCCATTTACCTTGACGGAGCCCTCCGCGCGGTGGTAGTAGCGTAGCTGGCGCGTCCAGCCCCACTCGGTGACGCCCGCCACCTTCTCCTTTGCCAGGTACTCGGCCACATCGCAGTAGTGGATGAAGTCCAGCACCTGCGGGATGGAGGTGGTGAGTTGGAAGGGAGCAAAATGGGGGTTGGACAGCTGAGAGCGGTAAACATGGCTAACAAAGCTACTCGAAGACGCTTCTTTGCCTGAGGCACAGGAACCCTGTGTGACGCACCCTGAGGGCATCAGACAATGGGTATTAAGCCGTGGGAGCGTAAATGGACCTGGTAACCGCATGCATCAAACGGGCATAGTTCGTTACCCCAAAGCTCGCATGACCAGGACACAGGCCTCCCCAACTCCCAACCCACCAGCGCCTGCTTCTTCAGCTGGAGCAGGTGATGGCCGGTGAAGTCCGAGCTGGTCAGCTTGTGCAGCTGCGCGCGCATGTCAGTCACCAGCTTGCCCAACCCGGCGGCGCCCGCCTTCAGCGCCACCTCCGCCCTGCAGGTCAGCAAACGTTCGTCCAGCCTTAACTACCTTGGTAACGGGGAAGGCCGGCGGTAGGACACGACACAAAGGTCACAAACCCAACCCCACAAACCCAGTTGCGCATGTAGCATTTCTTCATGCAACCCGAGATCCGGCTGCCAGCCCGAGCCCAACTCAAACCCCGCCTTACTTCTCCGTAAACGCGACGGCCTCCTTGAGCTGCAGGTTCTGGCTGGATGCCGCGCGGAACTCGTCGTTCATGCGGCCGGCGCACAGAACCTCGTTCTGCTGCTGCAGCGTGTTGCGCATGGAGCGTGTGAGGTCGCCCAGCCACGTCTCGATCTGCTCGGTGATGCGCACCGTGGGCGCCAGGTCTACCACCTCACCCTCCATGCTCTGCATGGCCTGGATGGTGCTCTGGTCCTGGCTGAACTTAACCTGCAGGGCGGGTCAGGGTGAAGTCGATGATAAGGGTTTAAGATATACCGGTACCAGGAGGACAAGACAAGCGTCGGAATGGCAAGAGGACAAGACAGGCGTCGGAACGGCCTAGCTGCTCAACACCAGGATCCATCCAGAACTCAAAGTGGGAGTCTAGAGCCCGCCTCCGCACCTTTTGGATACCCGCAAAGAGCTTCTTGAGGTGCGACTGGATGACGGCGGGGTTGCGCGCCTGGCCCAGGATCTCCAGCAGGTCGTCATCACCCAGGAAGTAGAAGCGCGGGAACTGCGAGCGCTTCTCCTCCAGGAAGTCCGCCAGCGCGCGCTGGCACACGTCCAGCTGCTGCGCCATCTGCGGCAGCTTCTCACGAATGCCCGGAATGTCGGCGAAGCTCACCACCTGTAAGAGGGAACAGCACACGGGGCGCCACTCGGGATTCGTGACCGGTTCGTGACGGTGGTGCAGGATCAGGTTGGAAAGGAATACAGACATGTCACGCTGCCATGCGTCCACAGCCCTAGGCGTTGAGCACGACATTGCCCTGCGTCCCATGTGGGCCACGTGCCTTACCTTTTTGGTGGCCTCCAGGCTGGTCATGGTGCGGCGGAACTCCTCATCCACATTGCGGAAGCGCTGTTGCTGCGACGGCAGCGCGCCGCGCCCAAAGATGGGCTCCAGGTACACCCACTTGCGCTGGATCTGGTTGAGCAGCGCGAGACCCTCCTGGAGGAAGGACAGCTTGTTCTCCCAGCTTGACACCTGGCGTGGGGTAGGAGAAGTGCAGCCATTGGATGATGGGGTCCCCGAGACCCGGAAGGTGTCGGAGCATGCAAGGCTCACAAGGCATGAAGCATGGATACGGTAGCTTCAGGGACGATTATTCACAGGTACAGGACGACGCCACTCCAATCCAACAGACGCCATGCGAGCGCTTTGCCAGGTGTCGTACCTCATCCTTAAACATGTTGTAGTAGCCGCTCTGCTTCAGCGACGCCACCAGCGACTGGTTGTCGCCCACCTCGGTCATCGCATCGCGCCACTCTTTGATCAGTGGCGTACGGCGCTGGCGACCGGCAACCTGGGAATGGTGGTAGGGTGGGGGCGGGCGACAAGGTGTAAGGTCCTCCGCGCAGCTCAGCAACGCGCTAAAATCCTCATCATGCTGGAAATAAAACAATCCAACTGCTTGCGGAACAACTCCTAATGGTCAAACACAAAGCGCCTCATAGTGACATACAAACAGAGGAAATGAGGGTCGCGACTGCGAAACTCACACTCTGCGTGCTTTCCGTGAAGGTAAACTCGCGCGCCATGCCCCACATCTTGAGCTCCGACAGGGCCTTGCGGATCACCGCCTCGCCCTGCGCCTGCGCGTCCAGAGCCTTAATGGCATCTGCGTGCTTGACGACCTGCATGAAGGTAACCATATGAAATACGGTCATCTATTAGTAGCATGCGCAGGGAACGAGGGAGACAACGTGGCCAAGGGGAAGCGCCTACCATGGAATGGGAATGCAGGAGTTCCACTACACCACTATTCCAGTTGCGAGCTATTGAAGCTTCCCAATATCGTGTAGGGTTGGGTACCCAACCCCATGCCTCAAACGACGCTTCTCTTCGGTTTTAATTCCCCTTGGTCAACGCACCAAGTCTGCCTTCTCCAGGAAGTGTGTCAGGGTAACGGTCTCCTTGCTAACGGCGGCGGGGCCGGTGGTCTTGATGCCCAGCATGCCGAACAGCTGGCTCCAGTGGCTGTCTTCCCAGCCGGCACCGCGCAGGCAGGACTTGAGGTGCGGTAGGCACAGCGAGTAGTTGTCGATTTCGTTGACCAGGATGACAGCGATGGGGTCCTCGGTGCCCTTGCCCGCAGTGGCCTTGGTCCACTTGGCCAGGAAGTCCTCAATCTTCCAGACCTGCGGAACACAACATGGGGCACGGAGGGTGAAGGTAGGCATCAACATGCCCCGCCTATACGCAGAAGGGCTCGGCTACAGGCGCAACCAGCTAGCCACAGCAAACCCCCCATGGCCCTTAGAAGCACGCATGGCAAGGCATTCCTCCTGCCCATCCACATCAGCGCACCTGGTCGCGCATGGACAGCCAGTCGCGGTTGGCCATCTCATCACGCTCCTTAAGGAAGTCCGCGTAGCGATCCCAGTGCGACTTGGTGGTCGTCACGTCCGCATCCAGCTCGTTCAGCAGGTCAAAGTCCGGCACGTCGATCTTGAACGCCTCCGCCTGGCGCGACACAATGACAGGGTTGGTGCAATGTCAATGGTGCACACTATCTTGGTACAGACCAGCGACGCTAGCGGGCTCGCTAAGTAGCCATGCGAACCGCAGGACCTTCTAAACAATTCAACCGATTACCGGTAAGCAGTGCTGTCCCAGGCATGGCAAAATCTATTACCCGACATCACACAGCATCCATTCGTCAACGAAACTTCCTTAATCCTGCCCAACTGCCGTACCTCCTTGTACAGCTTGGCGCTCTCCTCGCGCAGCTCCTTGATGGAGTTGGCGTACTCCTGGATCTTGGCCAGCACCACGGCGGGGTTGCCGCTGGGGCCGCCCTTGGGCTTGAGCTCGTGCCAGCGGCTGTTCATGCCCGTCACCTTGCCCTTGAACTCCTCCAGCTGGCGCGCAATCTGTTGGCATGTAAGGCGGCGGGCAGGTGTGCAGCGGATGTGAGCCGTCTGAAAGCCGATACGTGGAATGCCCCACACATTGTGCCCAAGCAGAGGTAAGCGCTCAAATCACTAGCAGGTGGACCCACTAGGACTACCGGCACGTGGCCCTAGTTGCCATCTCGCCCACAAACTCGTCCACTGCTCCTCCCGCCACCAACCCACCTGCACCGCCAGCTGGTTCTTTTGCTCCTCCAGGTGCGCATCGAACTGCTGCAGCTGGTTGGTGAACGCGTCCCAGCTGTTGTTCACCTCCGTCAGGTCGACCACCGCAAACGCCGCGTCGCGGCCGCCGCCCGCCATCTGCCGCAGCAGCTTGTTCTTCTCGTCGATGCGGCGGCGCGCGTCCTGCACCTCCACCAGCTTGGTCGTGAGGGCCTTGGCCTCCTGGCCGGCGTTGCCAATGTCTTCCACGGTGTTGGCCTGGCGGGTGAAGAGCTCCCGGCCGTTCTTCATAAAGTCCTCGATCTGGTCCTTCTCAGCGATTGTCTGAAGTGCAGAAAATGTGACAAGGAAAGGAGCAGGAAGGAAGAATTTAGATGAGAAGGTGCGGATAGTAGCAGACGGGAATGTGTGCGCAGGACGGAGGTGTGAGGAGAGGTCACCGATGTTGGCGCAAATGCATTGGAAAGCGCACCAGCCATCGACTCGCAAGCTTGAAGCCACTCGTCCTTCCTTTTCGCCCTGCTCACCTTGCGGCGCAGGCTGGCCACCAACGCCTCCTGCAGCTTCTTCATGTGCTCGTCAATGGAACCCTTGACAGGCGCCAGGGATACCTTGTAGCACTCGATACGGACCTGGAACAAACAAAAACCGGGTATACCGGTAGCTTTAGAGATCACCCAGCAATGCAACGGACACACATGATAACGAAGGATGGCGCTCCCCTATGACGACCATGCAATCCTATTCCTGCACATCCGCACCTCCAGCGGCGCTGCCAACTACTGCATACATACCAGCAATCGCACGTGGTCCCGTATACCCAACCTCCAAACCCACGACCAACCTCATTTGGCAGCTTCTCCGCGTCCCTGCTGGCCGCCTTGAGCATGCGGAAGTTGAGCTCCCAGTCCGACACCTCCACCAGGTTGGCGTCCACGAACTCGTCCAGGTCCACCGTGCCCAGCACCATCCAGTCCTGAGGGGGCAACGCGTAAGCGAGTCAGTACACCCGTCTGTTATGGGAATCCTGATGTGCCATGATGCGGCTCGGGAATGGATGTCCAAGCGCCTAGCGTCCTAGCGCTCCAAACAGCAAGCCCTCGAACAGGTGGGTAGCTGAGCGAGAGGCTTGGTCAACAACGACAGCCGTCTACAGCTGTAGTTCTCTTGCGCACATGTAGGCAGGCCCGCCTTCACAACTCCCTATTCCCCCATCACCTGGTACTTCTTGAGCTCCTCCGCCAGCTGTGCGAACAGCGCCTCCGCAGCCGCGTACACGCGCGCGATGCCGGCGGGGTTGGCGTCCACGATGGGGCGGAAGAAGCCCGGCCGCTCCGAAAGGTCGCTCACACCCTATACGGGTAGAAGTAGACAACACTTGACTAATACATGTGTACGCGATACAATGCCATTGTCGTCCTTTCAATAAAGCTTTATGGTGTAGGATTGGTCCGCCGCTAGCCGCCATTCACCTTCTCCCACATGCTCAACAACCAACATACAGTAACCAACACCCCTTTGACCTCCTTTCCCGTTAGCATCCCTCGTTCCCTCCATACCCATATCACAAACCAACACTACCCTCACACCTCAAAACCCCCATCCCACCACACCCGCCCACCACCCACACCCGCCCCCCCGCACCCACCTTCATGCGCAGCGGCAGGCCCAGGAAGGTGTTGAGCAGGTCCTTCACGTGGCGGATGCGCAGCTCCTCCAGCGGCGGGTCATACTGCAGGCGGTGCTGGCGGAACACCATCTTGACCTCCACCTCGGGCAGCGTCTTGTTGATCATCTCCAGACCCGACAGGTACTGCACCTCCAGCGCCTTGTACAGCTGGAAGTCCCAGTGCTGCCGCCACACCTGTGCACGCCATTGTCGCCGTGCCATGTGTTGGTACGTTAGGACGTTGTGTTTAAAGTATGAACATGGCCGCCGGCAATATGAGCAGAAGGAATACGGGGTGAAGACAGGAAGGAAGGAAGGAAGGACAGCACAGCCATTGCGCGACCAACGATAGGCGGCCCTGGGGCGCGCAAACGCCTCTAGCCCTTTCCCTGGAGTTGCACCTGCTGGGTCTCCCGGGAGTAGCCCTCCGACTCCAGGCGGCCAAACACGTCGCGCATCTCCTTGACGCCCGCCGCCCACTTGTCCTTGCTGCGCACCAGGTCAGTGCCCGCCAGCGTAACGACCTACAGGGTGAGAAGTGTTCGCAACAACCCTAAGCATGACAATTGTGTATCAGCGACAGCCATTCCCCATATTGAAAGCTCGGCTAAGTGGAGGGTAAGACAGGCCCACCGCATGCTTTGTTGTTGGTGACTGCATGGCGCCCCTGGCGTTGCGCAGCAACCTGAAAAGCGTTTATAGCACCCCCTTGAAGTCTCGCCCGGCCCTCCCGCCCTGCCTCCCCCCTACCTTCTCCGCCAGCACCGAATGCCACTTGCGCAGCGTGCGGTTCTTCTCGGCCAAACGGTCCGCGACCTCATTCAGCCGGCGCACGTAGCCGTCCAGCGCGGCCGCGTTGCGCCAGGTGATCTCCTTGCCCTGCGCGTCCTTGGGGTTCATCAGCACCTTCTCAAAGTCCACCGCGTCCTTGAGCATCATGGGCTTCTGGCAGGGCACCATCTCCGTCGCGATGTTGTTGTAGAAGTTGGCGCGCTGCTTCAAAACCATGCCGTACCTGCACAGCAAAGGGCGAGGAAACGCGTGTGCGGCATGCGCACAGCTCTGTCAAGCATAAGGGTCAGTCAAAAGGATTGCAGGCATGGCAACTAGGTGCTCACAAGTCCCAATGTCCCACCCTCCCCTTCATCAACTGGCCGTACTGTCCCACCGGTAGAACTTGTTGGCGACCTCCACCTCGTTCAGGATTTCCTTGCGCACCGGAAAGCCCAGGCTCTGCAGCTGCCGTACCTCCCGCAGCAGCAGCACCAGCTGGTCGTTGAAGTGCGTCTTGACGTGGCTGCTCTGGCTGTCGAACGTCATGAGCTTGCTGTTCTTCCAGCTGGCCATGTCGCTCAGCTCCTCCGACATCCAGTCCTGTGTAGGGCGAGAGGCGACAAGGGGTTGGAGGTGGAAGTGAGACAACGGTGGCAAGCAAAGATGGACCAGCGATATTTGAAGATTTCAATGGGTTGTAGGTTCGAATGCCTGTTGCCCTGATGACATCTGGAGAAAGCGCCTTGCGTTTGTAGCTTTTATGCTATAAACACCGCGCAGTGGTCGCAGGCTACGGGTTATCGGCGTGTGCGTACCTGCCACGCCGTGTGCTGCTCCTTGCGGAAGCTGTCGACCTCCTTGATGAGCTCCGAAACCACTCCCAGGGTGTTGCGCAGGGCCACACCGCCCGAGCCCTCATCGCTGGCGCCGTCGCGGAGCATGTGCTTCAGCACCTCCCGCACCTGAAAGGTGAGAGGTTGCAATGCACATGCGTTACACAGCACGTAGGAAGCGTGTGGAAGAAGAAGCTAACAGAACCAGCAACCTCCGTACCTTGCCCAGCTTCTGCGACGTCTGCATGCACCACATGATGCGCTCCACAATGGCTGCGGTCACACGACCCACAGCAGCGACCTTAGAACCGCCGGATGCTGAGTCACGGTGTGTGTCGAACTCCGACTGTGGGCAGGGCAAGGGACAACAGACGTGGGTACCCAAAGTCGACGGATGGGAGACTGTGCAGCAGCGCAGTGCAGTGCGTGTCTGGTGCGGACATGAGGACGACACAGAACGCCAGTGCCTCTCTGTCATGCGACCAACGCTACCCATCCTGAATGCAGCACGGACATACCTGCACACTGTCCAGATGGCGATCGACCTGCTTAGCCAGCAGCTCCTTTTCAGACTGTTAGGGGCACAGACGGCAATTATGGCGGGATAGCACTCAGGAGAGACGAAGGCACCAGTATTGTCCCGGGGTAGCAAGTGTGGAATGTTAATAAGCGAACTCAGTCCCAAGGTTGACAAGACCAGTAAACGGCAACCCCTCCAGAGCACGTACCTGCAGCGCTGACGCAATGTTGGGGCGCCCCATTAGGTTGCTGTACCGTTTGATCTCCGCAAAGACCTGCTGTGGCTGGATGAGGGAGCTGCCAGTCGCCCCGCGGTCACCGCCGCGCCCGGGTCCGATAGCGCTGGTGAGGCTGGGGATGATCACGGATCCTGCGTGAGGGCACACATTGAGGCCTCAGTGAATGCAATGGTGCAAGGTTTGGGGCCGTCTCTTCCAGTAGCAGACTGGGACAATGAGCAGCTCTTATAATCCTGCGTGGTGGGGTGTTTGGACGGAGCTGCGTCCAGCCCGCGACAGTGAGGAAGAAGCAAACTTGCCTAACCAGCCGTTTTCCTTTCCAGGACTTACCAAACAGCTCTTTCAGCTTCTGGCTGATCCGCTGCTCGATGGGGATCATGCGGCGCTCAAAGTCCTCAAGAGCCGCCTTCCACACATGTGAGGTGTACTCGCTGACCTGCAGCCCAATACAGGGTGCAGCGACATTCAGCTTTAGCGACTGCTACCCCCAACATGAAAAGCGCTCCCGTCCACGTTTGCCAAATGGATCGAATCAGCCCCGACGTGCCCCGTCCGCACCTGAAGCGCTTGTAAACCCTGGAAGGGCGTGAAGACCTGCTGCACCCCCAGCGCACCCGCCTCCTCGCGGCCAAGCAGCTTAGCAAGCTCATCCACCATCTCACGTACGTTGTAAATCTACATGCAAGAGGAACCCAACGTGTTTGTGGACAAGCTGAGTTTATAAGTTTCAAGAGGTGCAGACAACCTTGCCTTTTACCTAAGCTGGCAAGGTATGAACAAGGCAGGCGCACTGCACAGCGACCGGCCCAACCCAGCCCAATCCTGCCCGACCCAGATCGACCCACCTCCTCCAGCCGGTCGCGGAACGAGCGCACGTAGCTGTCCTCGAACGCCGCGCCCTCCCACCTGCGGCTCGCGTCCTCCCCAAACTCCTGCACCATCGCCAGGCTCTCCTGCACCCACCGCGTCATCAGCCCGCTGGCACCAACCAACAGCGCGCGAACCTCAGAGAACGGCATGCTCCAAAGGTCGCCCGTGCCAATCGCGGACATTTGCGACACACGGCGCTGCACGTAGGACGCCAGCGCCGCACCCACGACGCGAAGAAAGTTGGCGGCCCGCTTCTCTCCCATGGCCCAGCCGCCAATGGGCAGCCTCACGGGCCAAGCCGTGCGCACCGCCGTGGTGGTGAGGTCCACCACCTCCTTGGCGTCCTCCCAGCCCATGCCGCCCTCGCCCTCAGGTGCGTCGCTGCCAAGCTGCTCGTACGCTTGGCGCAGGGGCTCCAGTGCACAGTTGACCTGCGGCGAGGGATGGAAGATGTACGTGCGCGCAGATAACGACAGGCGACAATGAAGCATGGGACTGGCAACTTTGGGCAACCATTGAGTACTTGGTCACGAGCTCCCTGCCAGGTGCAGCAAGCGATGATGCTTCCGGGACGTGTTTGCGGAGGCCACGTACGCGCTACTCGTGTAAGAGAGGTTCAGGCCTTACCTGCAACGCTGCGCTCTTGATAGGCCCTGCATTAGGACTGTTGGTAAGCTCCGCCCAGAAGTTGACCTCATCCAGGGGCGTCACGATTTCCTGCAGCGGCGCCTGGTTGGGGTCCGAGACCTCCTGTGCGCTGGCCTGTACATAAGGGAGTGAAGGCGCGGCAGTAAAGGATTTGGGTCGGCAGAATGGGGAGCGAGCCCCGAAGTAGGGGAAGATATGGGTCAATCGCGTCTTTTATGCTGGGACAGGGCTGCAACATGTAAAGGGGCATCCAGACAGTGCGAAGGAAAGTATGTTTGTGACCGGGCAACCCAAATCGTATTTTTGCTGTTTTGGCCTCAGTGTGATGTGGGTCGGCGTGCATTGCGGTGCCTGACCCCGCCTTGCTTTAGTGTTGCTGGAACCCCCTGCTTACCGGAGTGCCCTTGCGTACGGCAGTTCCGAGGCCGGCCTGCACCTGCGCAAGCAGCTCCCGGAGGCGCTTGTCCAGCACGACCTCGGACGATTGCGACTGGATGAGCGGGCTGTACACGTCTTTAAGCGCGTGGTACAAGCTGCTGAGAGGGGAGTGGGCCACGGTGGATACCGCCACGCCGCCAGGGACATCCTCGGGGCGCAGGGGACCGGAGCGAAGCTTGGAGAGGACCACCTGGGTTGCAGCGTGTGACCCAAGGGCAGATGTGGCGTGATGTTAGCCCTGGTTAGCCCTCCACGGCTCCGCTCAGAGCTCGAGATGAAACCAAACATGAACAACAATGAAAACCTACTTGCTAGCTCGTTTCCTCCCCTTAAACCGTGTGACTTCTTACCGAGAACTCGCATCCGTCGGGGAACTCAGCTGTGTTGGAGAGCTTAAGCTGCAGCTGTCCCGTGCCTAAGCCAGAAACAGCAGCCTACATCACGTGTTTTCGGGCGAAAGCGCAACGTCAAGAGGCCAACGGTAACGATCCGTAAGGGTCAAGGCGAAAGGTTCATATCCCACATCAACCCTAACACCTGGCATGTGGAAGCAACATGCAATGGGAGACCAGCTTAGCGGTGGCTTACCTGCAACGTGCTATTTGTGGAGTCCAAGAAAGCAGCGATGGCCCCGCTGTCATCTTGCCCCAAATAAGCGGCGTATTGGTCCTGGTGAACGAAAAAGCCGTTTGCAAACATCTCGGGTGCCGCGGCAAGACCCAAACGTGGTTCCCACCTGTTGCCCAGCAGGTGCAATAGCACAAGCAATAGTGGTGACCACGAAGGTCTTGCGAGCATCGTTCGACATCTTGCCCGGCGCCCGGGCAGGGCCCCCGCGTTTAACGACGCCTTATATGTACACAGATATGGAGTAAGATCACTTAATGAATATGTAGGGTAATATCGCTTGGGCCCTAAGGCTCAGCCAAGGGGAAGTTGACGCGAAGGAAAAGCAGCCTAATATATAGGTGTCCTATGCAAACCTGCTCACTGCTCATAGCAACCCCAACACCTCTGCGGAGGCTAAGGTACATGGAATGGAGCATACCTACTCTTGAATGTACGATTAACAAGGAAAACTTCATACATGCTAATTCAAGACGTGTATAATACGGGATTATAAGCAGCATGCCTTCATAAGGGAAACTGTTGTAAGCAGAAAGGTTCTTTCACTAGAAGTTAAAGACTTGCGTCTTCCGCCTGTGCCGCTTCGGCAACCGGGCACCTATACCAACACTCTTGCAATCCTCCTGGTAATTTGTTTGTTGGAACAGCGCTATAGCGCGTTGGGCATACAAAGCGACCGTCGGTCGACGGGGTTGGTTAATAGAGTGTTGTCCTGAAGAGCCAATTAAGCTGTGGCTCTTCCATACAAGACAGAAATGGCATGGACGTTTCTACATTATAACTGGGCCACGGCGTGGCTACCGCGAACACTCGGAGACCATTGGGTTCGGGGTTATAATCTAGTCGGTGGGGCATACAGCCTCCACATGCAGACTTAGCTCTTTGTTTGCACCAAAGGCATACCAACGGGAGCACATTTCGCAGTCTCAAATGGTTTATACTGGTGAAAGCAGCCACGAATGTGCCCTTGATTATGACCCAGGCCTTTACAAGCACTAGTAAGGATGCCATGCGCTAGACGCCTAGCTACGAATCCTAAAGTCTTGCAGCAAACCAAACAAGGCTTGCTGCAGGAGACCAGAGGCGACGAAGCCGTACAACGATGACGCGAAGCGACACCATCTGGGTCCTGTGAACGCTGCTGACGCGGCAACACAGGACACTCGGCCACAGTCAGTCCAACAATTATCTGCTTAACCTTTAGCTCCCAAAGCATCCGCAACTGCAATAGGACAAGTCTTCGAAGCTTTGTTTCGAATTTTGTCGAAGCCTTTCGCTGCAAGGAGTTGCGCGCGCGATCACAGTCCCGGAGCGCACTTAGGCACCCGTTTCATCCCTACATACCTCTTCGTCCTTAGGGGGTAGCCTACGATGCCGCTTGGTCTCAATTACTCTTGAACCTCGTAGACGGTCCACTCCAGTTCGCTTCTCGCCGCACTAGTCGGGCTTTCTCTTTATTTCTGAACAACCTCAACTGACAACATTTGCAGCAACAACTATGGCCTCACCAATGTCCCAAAGCAGCACAATTGGCCTTTCGCGCCGGTTGAACCCGACACCTCACCGCAGCGGCATCGGCAGCAACACCCTACTCCTCCTCCATTCCAGCCACCGCCCGCGCCCCTTCCCAGGCCGCCTTCGCAACCGTCCTTTGCCCATCTACACACTTCCAGCTGCATCATCCGCACCCGCAACATCAACAGCTGCCGCGGCGTCTTCTGCCGTACACTGCAATGCCATCCCCGCAACGCTGGTTGCTGCTGCCGGCACCAGTCCCACCCCACTCATCGCACCGGGGGCAGTGGCAGGCGCATGCAGCAGCAGATACGGGTGTAGGTGGGGAGCCGCGCGCAGGTATGGCTGCGTGCACGGATGGGGCGGCGGGCGGCGGTTGCAAGTGGTGGCTGCGCGCGGGAGACCGGAGGAAGGGGAGACGGCGGCTGCAGGTGACGGCAGCGGCGAGGGAGTGCGGGAGCGTGCGGGCATCACGGCAGATGCGGGGGCGGGGACAGGAGTAGGCGGCGGCAGCCATGACAGCGGGGTCGCTGGTGGCGGCGGGCGGGCCATGGACGCAGAACAGCTACTGACATTGGCCGAGGAATATGTGTGAGTTTAGAAGAAAGCAGAGAGAACATAATGGTGAAACGGATACCGGTTGGAGCAGATAGCGCTAGGGACGCAATGGGCGAGCGGGCCATCATGGGACGTCGGGAGGGGAATAGGGGCATACGACATGCAGGGGAATTGAGTACCAGAGAGTCGTATAATTTCCCACCACCCCCTTCTCGTCTTATTTATGTACCCTCGCTCCTCCCTGGCTTCATCCCTCCCTCAGTGACGCCTGGTGGCGAGGAGTAGCCCGCGGGGCGGATGCGGTGGCTGAGGCGCTCCGGGAGCTGGTGGTGCAGCCAGGGGAGGGGGCGCTCGCACCGGGGCCGACCCACGGGTCACTTGGCGAGCGAGCACCGCACCAGGCAGCAACCGCAGCGTCGACAACCCACACCAGCAGCCGAAGGGATGAGCATCATGCGGAGAAGATGAAGGCGGCGACGTCTCCGCTGGGGGCTGCTCAAGGGCCCGGGGGTGCCGCAGTGGCTGCTGGGGGTGCAGCTTCAAGGGGAGCGGGGTCGGGGGTAGCGGCGCAAGAGGCAGCAGCGGCGAAGGAGAAGGCAGAGGGCGTTGCTTCGAAGCGGGAGGCGAGGCCAGCTGGGCAGGCAGGGACTGGGGAGGGATTGCCAAAGGATGGCGGAGAGGGGGTCGCGTCCAAGGGTGGAGTGGCTGCAGCTGGGGAGGCGAAGAAGGCGGAGGAGAAGGGGCTGCGGAGGGAGGGGGAGAGGGAAAGGGAGGACGTCGAGGCGGCTGCGGCTGCGGGGGAGGGGGCTGCAGGCATCCATATCAGTGGTGGTGGCGGCGGCGGTGGGGAGGTGGAGCTGGTGCCTGATGGCGTGCTGCACAAGCGGCCCCTGAGGGTGAGGGCTGGAGGAGGGGAAGAAGGGGGGGGATCGTGCATGCATGCTCTAGAGGGAGGGGTTCAGGACGGGCTCCTGTTTTGCTGGCGTTGGCGTGTACTGCTCACCACTTCGCAGCCTTGCTCGTCCCTTGTCTTACATCCCATACGCGCTCTGTCCCTGTTGCTTCTGGCTCGCACGTCCTTCCCATCTGCAACAGGGGTACGACGCCCTGATTTCTCATCTTGCCGTACAACACACCGAGTACCACCGAGTGCAGTACAGGCCTGTAGTCAGGTGGGGTCACGGGGCCGTGGCAAGAAGGGAATTGGCGGCAGGGCGGAAGCCTTCTGACCTCAACCGGGGCCTGACGGCCCTGCCAAGCGGCAGCTATACCTGCCTTGCACGCTCCTTCCGACCTCGCTCCGTCAAGCCCTGTATGCATCCGGAGGCCATGCAAAACCCTACGCTACACCCCTCCCCGCCCCTTTCCCCCTTTGTCTCCCCTTCACCTCTCCCACCTCCCACCCCCCCAGCGCCGCCTCCGCCCCCTCCCACTGCGCCTTCGTGCTGGGGGAGTACCGCATGCAGGACGTGGGGGGGCTGGCGGGCCACCCCGCCACATTCAGGTGCGGGCGGGTGGGAGCCACCGGGAACTGACCCAATCCTCTAATGGAGTCGCGCTGAAAAACACGCACAATACTGAGCTTGTGGGAAGGGAAGGGGGGCGCTACCCAGGCATGGTTGGGCTTCGGAAGGCTCTAAAGCCGCTCGCGATGGCGTGTAAGGGCAGCAGAGACAGCGAGAGCCCCCCCTGCCCCTGCCCCTGCTGCTGCCCCACGCCCCTGCTGCTGGCCGCAGGGTGAGTCGCGGGTACTGCCTGTACAAGCTGGCTGTGGACCCGCACAGCGGCCGCATCGTGCGGGGCTGGGTGCGGCGGCAGCTGACGCAGGAAGAACGAGACGAGCGAGTCTGGGTGAGGCAGTAGGCAGCAGCAGCGGGGGGAAAGAGGAGAAGGAGGAGGAAGGGCTGGTTGCAAGTCGGGGTTAAGTAAGCGCAACAGCCTCATCTTCAATATAATCACGTTGGGTCTGTTTCGCCTGCGCCTGCCTCCCCTGCCCGTCCTACTCCATAGGACCCGGTGCACGTCTACCCCGCGCCTTTCCCCCTGGAGCACCTGCACCTGACACGCGGCGGCCGGCCCGACCCACGGGTCATGGAGGAGGCGGCGTGCGCATGGGTGGCAGCGCAGGCCACGGCGCCGCCGCAGCCACCGCCGCCAGAGCAAAAGCAGGATGAGGAGAAGGAGACGGACGGAAAGGTGTCGACCTCTGCCGAGCATCAACATCAACAGCAGCAGCAGACGCTGACGGGAGCGAAGGAATTGGGAAGAGTGACGACACCTGGCGGGCAAGGCGGCGGAGAGGCTGCTGTTGATGTTGCCGCGAGCAGCGGAGGCCCCAAGGCGGAGGAGGCGGAGGGTGCTGGGGCGCCGCAGGCAGCTCTCAGCGACGCAAGCGGGGATGAGGTTTCGGAGCCCACATCTGCTGCACCTGCTGCGGCAAGGACCGAGCCCAACACGGGAGGCGAGCGGGAGGCTACGGCAGACCGCGAAAAAGGCAGCAACGGTGCTGGCTCCGGCGTCGACGCCGACGGCGGCCTGCAGAGCATCAGTACGGCTGGATTCATCAACAGCGTCAGCCCGCACGTCAGCAGCCTAGGCGGCGCCGCGGGGGAGATCTCCAGCACCGGGAGCAGCGCTGCGGGCCGTGAGAGCGGCGGCGGTGGCAGCAGCAGCGAGCATGGGGGCAGCGGAGGAGGCGACGCAGAGGCCGCACCTGCACCTGCACCTGCACCTGCACCTGCGGCAATGGCGGCAGGGGGTGTTGAGGGAGGCTCTGCGGCTGGGGGCAAGGAGCCGCTGTCACCGGTGTCATCGTCTTCATCTACGACAGCAGAGGCATCAGAGGCGGCGGCGGCGGTGCCCAATAGCCCGGCAGTGACGACGACACGAGCGCAGGCGCGGCTGACCAACCAGATCCTGGCTGAGGATTGCAGGTGGGCAGGATAGGAAGTACCGGTACGCAGGTTCAGGTGACGTGGGTGTGCCACTTCTCCCGGTATGTTTCGCGAAAAGTAGGTGTATGACCTACCTTATAACCCTTATTTATACATGCGGCTTGATCTGCCGCAAAGGAATCAAGAGGTTTCCGGCAACAGGCGCGGCGGAGAAAACGTTGCTGCGCAGACATCCTGCCCACTCTGACGGGAGGTCAGCAGCGCCACAGCCTCCGTCACGCATCAGAAGCTTCATGCCGACATGCCCTTCCTGAACACCCCAATGCGGGCCCCCCAAACCCCTACCAGGTTGCTCGATGCGTACGGCATCTGGCCAGGCCCCGAGGAAGATCACGGTCCGTACGCCCCGTCGTACAGTGGTACGTACGGCGGGCGCAGGCCCCAAGCGGTGGTGGGCGCGCAGCGGGTGCTGCACCGCATCCAGGTACGACAACAGGATACCAAAGCGTTGGTCGCGTAGATCTCAGGCTTACCGTTTACGCCGCTAGCCTTATTGCATGCGCAATTCAGCGGTTGCATGCTACGCTCCCTCTTGTGGTGGTTGTCTGGGTGTATCCTTCACGGAAGGGGAGCAATCTCCGTTTAGTGTAGGCTGCTCGCTTGCTACTTACCGGTACCTCATGTTCGCTGCGGCGCTGCAAGCACGGCGAACACTGATGCGCCCGACCCATGGCGACACACAGGCCCAACAGCAGCGGTGCCTTCGGATCGAGCCGGTGCTTCGTGACGTGGCGGTTTCGGAGGACCACAATATCGCCTTCGTACACTGGACCAACACCATCGTACCGGCGCCGGAACCAGCGACGCCGGCGGCGGCGCCGGCGGCGCCGCTACAGCAGTCGGCGGCAGCAAAGCTGTCACCGTCAGCTGCTGCTTTGAGCCGTACGGAACGAGTGTACGGTCGCGGCGCCGCAGACGTCGCGGCTGTGAGCACCGCCGCTGCTTCCGTCGCAAGCGCGGCGGCGCAGGCCGCCTCCGCCGCCGCTGACGCCGCGACAACTGCGGCGTCTGCCGCGAGCGTCGCCGCCACCTCCGCCAACACCGCCGCCACCATCGCCGCCACCGCCGCCACGGCAGCGGCCTTCATAGCGCAGGGTGAGGCTGCTGACGTCAGCAGCAGCCGCAGCAGCAAGGGCCCCGACGGAGCCGTTGCGCCGTCAGCGCTGCCGTCTCCTGCGACGCCCCTGCTGGGCCCTGCATCTGAGCAGGGAGCGACCGCTAAAGGAGCAGCATCGGCGCAGATGAAAGAAGAGGAGCGACAGAAGCAGAAACAGCCTGCTGCTGTAGCACTGGAGGAGCGGAAGGGGGCTGCAGGCGCAGCGCAGATAGAGGGATCTTTAACAGCTGGTAGTACGGCCAATAACACCAGCGGCGGCAGCAGGAGCAGCAGCACGGGCAAGAGCGGCGTCAGCAGCAGCAAGGGCGGCGACGCAGCTGAGGGCAGCAGCAGCGGCGGCGGCAGCACACGTCCGCTGGGGCTTCAGGACTTGCGCATTCCCATGCCGCAGCTGCCGCAAATGCCCCAGATGCCGTACATGCAGATGCCCATTCAAATTCAAAACCTAGAGGACGCCCTATCCGCCGCCGCACAGCGAGTAGCCGGCGCCGCAGGCACTGCCGCTGCCGCCGCCAGCGCCGCCGCGGCCGCCGCGACAGCTGTCATTCGCGCGGATGCCGCCGCAGCAGCAGCTTCTACCGGCGCCAGGGACCAGCCCGCTGCAACGGCGGCGGCGGCGGCGCCGACGCGGCGGCCGCCGCCGGCGGCAGATCTGCCGTACCACCAGGACTGCATGGCGGCGCTGCTGTTCCATGACGACGGCACAATATCGGATGTGTGGCTGTTCAGGGGCCCCTTTCACTTTGAGCGCCGGATGCTGCGGCCTTAGGGTTTTAAGGAGCAGGAGGCAGCAGCTGCCTGTTGTTGCGATGGTTGTGCTTAGGGGGGTTGCTGCTGCTGCTCCGGCTGGTGCTTCTTCGGCGGCCTGAGACGTCTACCTGGCAGGTTTGGCTGTTGGGAAGCCTGGTAGGGGACACGTGGGTATGATCTGGGCCTGATTGAGCCCGCGCCGTATACGGTACGCAATGTTGTCGTCACATCCCAGCATTACCGGGCGTACATCAAGAGCTAGGTTGCTGCTTGGGCATGCAGAGGTCGTCGCCATCTACCGGTATAGGTTCGTTTACTTAGTTGCTTTGAGTGTTGACCTTTGGAGCTTAGTGTCTGCGGATTGTACGGTACGCCGTACGCTTGTGTGCCATGCCGGTAGTTGTCTTGATAGCCTTTGTCTTGATAGCTACCCTGGGAGCAGCTGAGATGTGGGTTGTTTTGCACTGAATCGAAGTCGATGCTAATGGGTAAATAGCCCCGGCGGCTAACTAACTATCCGTAGCTCAGCGGGGTCTCCCACTTGCAACAGGGATTAAGAGTCAACACATTTGTTTGTACGACATATCCCCCTTACATTTGTTTGTACGACATATTCCCCTGTTGCTGCGATGGTTGTCTGGTGGGAGTCAAGGGTGCATGCTGGGGAGATGATGGGAGTATGCGCGGCATGAACATGTGGGGCCAGGTTCGCGTGCCAGGATATGTAACCGCGGTGCAGAATTGAGGGCCAGGAAGACCCGTAACAGCAGGGTACAAGTGCTGTGAGACAAATACGGTAGTGTATGAAGTTCCTGCTTTAGGATCCTAGGAACGAACTCGTTTATAACATTTTAAGTCGGCCTCGTACCACCATGCAAACCGTCTTCACTGGAAACCCAACGTTCCTCCCTTAATGTCCCTTAAGGACAGGGCCGACGATTGGCTCACCCGACAATAAAAGAAAGGCAGTACAGGGCTCGGCTGCAAGTCACCCAGTTTGGAACATTCCAGAAGCAACTCAAATGCGTTCCCCGCCCACACAAGAAGGGTACGGTGTGAGGGGGTGAATGCGTTGTGAATGTGAATGTGGCAAGGCGTTAGCATGGCACAACGGGCCCTAACTCAGAGCGGAGTACTTTGATTATACTGTTTAATTGCCATATGTAGTTGAGGACCGCCGTACATATGCCTGTCCTGCAGGACACCGACCCTGTCGTACAACCCAACCGTCATCGCCGTACGATCATGACGATGGTGCCTAACTAACCCACACGTTATAGCCAACTCACGCGAGTGTAAAATCACAATACCCACAACCTTCGTTCCGCACTCACCGTGTAGCCATCCATCGCTCATCATAAAGGCACCGAGGTCTTCCGTATCAGTGCCAGCAACAACACGCCCTGACGCCCGGTCTGTCACTTGAACCCAAGTACCCAACCCAGCTCCTTCGATTCGCCTGCTGCTGAACTGCGCCCCTCCCGTCTGCACCGCCTGCTTCGCAGTACGCGAATCACGCTTGGGGACTGCTAGCAACGCAGCCTGCATGGTACTGTATGCCTATGGCACGGTAGATACCTCGGGCCCCGCTGTCACCGCCGTAGCATGGGGCGAAAACGCGGGCACCTCGCTCGTTCGCGCTTCCTGCCGTACGCTCCCAGCCGACGACGCCACGTCAACCTCAGGTGTCGTACAGCAAAGCCAGGGCCGGACAAAATCCCCGAGGCGCGCGTATCGCGCCCGGTTGAGGGACTTGGGTGACGCTGCACGGCGCAGCGCCAGGTAGGTGATGAGATGTACGACAACTAGGTAGAGGAAGAGGTAGCCGATTGTCGTACCCACGGGGGTGTTGATCTTGTAGTACGACAGCAGCGCGTTGGTGCTGACCACGCAGTTGCCCATGGGTCGCGCCATGCCGTACCTGGGATGCGGAAGGGAAAACGAAAGGGGTATAGACAGGAGGATGACGTAAAGGCACGTTAGCAGGAAAACGTTACAAATACCGGTAGTTCATGATCTGGATCAGGCCGGATGGGTCAAACGCTTCCTTGTACGGACACTCCGCCCAGGACACTCCCTGCAACCAACGTACGGCACCACCCATGTCTCGACGGCCGATTCCCGGTCACAGCCCATCCGTACACGCCGCCGGCGGCCCTCACTTCCTATGCCCCTCTCCCCCATGCACCTCCCAGAGAGGCCTTCTCACCTCAGCAAGCTGAACCTTGGGTTGGTGGGCAGGAACTGCGAGTAGAGCCCGAGGGCATCGGTGCCCAGCATGCCCGTCATCCCCGCTGGGCCGCACAGGAAGGCGCGGTTGCGGAACTCCGCCTCGAGCAGCCCGCGCCAGGTGTGGTCAAGGGCGGAGATGGCGCGCAGGCGGCGTATCCAGGGGAAGGAGATCTTGGCTGCGGGCGGCAGGAGGCGGCGGTGGCAGTAGCAGCAGGGGGTGCGAGGGACGTGGGGGTTAGGAAGGAAGCCTTGAAGCCTTGAGGGGAGGCTGGGGAGCTACCGGTATGGAGTGGAAAGGTAGCGGGGAAGTTACGGTGCAGTCCCGCCACGCCGGTCTTGCTTACCAGCTCCCAGAAACATGCTGCTGAAGAGGAGGTTCACTACCGAGAAGGCGACTGATGCGATGAAGGCGATGTCCTGGTTGGGGGAGAACGCCACCGCGGCCTGCGGGGGGTGAGGGGGAAGATACGTGTGATGACACGGGCGGGGAGGGGCGGCGCGAGAAGGGGATCTCTCCTAAGGAGGAAGAGAGTGTTAGGTAGATTGCAGCGTCACTATAGCTCATGAGACAGGAGTGTGGGCATGTAGCGAAAGGACAGCGGGTGCAGGTTGCCGCATGGTTCCCAGTAAAGCGACCCATGGGCCACTTTCCGCACTTAAGCACAATACCTGTGTCTGCCCCCTTCATCAACCTGTAACCCCTTTCAATTGCCCCCCACGTGTCATCTCACCACCCCCAGCTGCTCACCTGCACCCACTGCATGGAGATGAGGGCCATGAGGGCGGCGCAGGTGGCATGTCGTACACAGTCCACCACACTGTGCCGCATACCCAGCATGCCGTACCTGCGTACGATAACGGTACGACACACGGAGAGTCCGTCCGTATATGTTAGTAATTTGAGACGAAGGGGCCACCACACAGCACAGTCTGCGGGTTGGTAAGAGCGCAGCGGACATATGTCGTGCAGACACTGGTAGCTGCTTACCCAATGAGGTCGAATGTGAGTGCGATGATGATGTTGAGTGGTGCGGTCGCGGTGACCTTGGCTGCGTAGTAGGCTGAGGGCGCGTACAGCCCGCCCCCGCCGCCGCGTGCAGAGGCCTCAAGAAGGAAGAAGCGCTTGTCTGATGGTAAGGAGGGGAGGGTGTGGAGGGAGGAGGGAGAAGGGGGTTTCTCAATGCAGGTGCCACGTTCCCTGATCCTAACCTCCGCTGCCGCCTCACCGCCCTGCCCACCGGACCCATCGGTCTCATTGTGCTCGGAACGGGCTTGGCACTATCTCATCCCAACCCACGCACCCGCCGTGAAGAGGCTCATGAAGACAAAGGGCATCACAATGAAGAAGAACACCAGAGCGAAGAGCAGGTTGGCGCGGAGGGCAATGCTGGTGGCATCCGTCTGCAAGAGGGTGAGGTGGCAGGAGCAACACATCACAATGTAAGCCACATGATGTTCATAGGTTGGGTTGCTAGATGGCACAACTGCGGTACGCACTCCCAATCCTTTCTAGTGTAGCCTTGCTTCATGCACGGCAGAGAACACGGAAGTGCTTTACAAACATGCTGCACGGATATGGCCTACAGGGTACCCAACCAAAGTGTCCCACGGGTCGCTACCCTCCTAAAGAGACCTCCGTACGTACCGGGAAGTTGTAGGTTAGGAAGTTGGAGAACAGGCCAACCCACACAAAGGTCAGCATGCGTCCTGCCACGTCAGCCGGGTTACGTGTCGCCATCAGCCATTCCCGCCACACCAGCATCTGGTACTGCCGGAACCAGAGCTCCGCTGACGTGGCAACCCCCGCCGCTGCAGTCTCCACCCAGCTGCACGACAGCGGCGGCGTGTGCGACACGGCGCCACCTCCGCCGCCTGCAGTCCCCGCCGTGCCGTCTTCACGACCTGTACGACATGCGTCGTCACCAGCAGTGTTTGTCGTACATCCGGGTACGGGAATGGTCCTCGTGATGGCGGAGGCATGCAGTACATTGAGGTAGTCCGGCACACCGGCGCTGACGCCGGGAGCTGGCGGCACTGCCTGTACGGCATCGGCGATGAAGGTATCCGCCGCGGCATGCAGCTCGGTGAGTGACGTCATCGCTCGCGGGGAGTCCGGACCCGACCATGTCTCACTGCAGCTGCTGTTGTTGCTGTTGCGGCTGCTGACACTGCCGCCGCCGCTGCTGCTGATGGTCCGCAGTTGGGCCGGGCCATACCCGCTGCGGCTGCTGCTGCTGAACCTGATAACTCCGCCGCGACCACCACCTCCGATGACAATGTTTGTTGCGGTCATGCCGTCATACCTGGCCCTTCCCACCACCGGCTGATCGGGCCGTCCGTAACCCACATTCCCAGATTCCCGCCTCAGAGCTCCGTTGGCGGCAATCGCGCCGCCGCCGCCGCCGCCAGCAATAGCAGTAGCTGAGGTGGTAGAGGCAGTAGAGGCAGCAGTAGGGGCCGTACTGCCAGGGGCCTGCATGCCCGACGGCAGCGCCACCAGGTCCATGACCCAGTCCGACACCAGTCCGTGTACGGCGGGGCTGTAGCTGTAGCCCAGCCTGTCCCGGAACCAGGGCAGCAGCTCCGAGGGCGGTCCGCAGTACAGCAGCCGGCCGCGCCCCAGCACCACCACCTGCTGCACCTGCTCCCAAATGGCGGCGCGCGGCTGGTGAAGCGAGGCAACAACCGTCACACCGCCGCCCCCGCCGCCCCCCGCTGCCCCGCCCGCATGTCCGTGTGCATGCCCCCCCGCCGCCAGCGCCGCCACGTGCCCCACCACCACCGCCGCCGCGAATGCGTCCAGTCCGCTGGTGGGCTCGTCCAGCAGCAGCACGCGCGGACGCGACATCAGCCCGCTGCCGATGCTCAGCCGCTTGCGCTCGCCGCCGCTGAGGCCGCGCAGCAGCAGCCCGCCCGGCAGCACCCCGCCCACCATGGTGTCCATCACGCCGCTCAGACCCAGCGCCGCCGCCACCGCCGCCGCGCGCGCCGCCACCGCTGCGGGCGCGCACTGCGGCGGCGACAGCACCAGTCGGCCCTGCAGCAGCAGCGCCTCCCGCACCGTGATCTGCGGCAGGAAGGCGTCCTCCTGCGGCACGTAGGAGCTGCTGCGCAAGAAGGCGCGGCGGTCGCGAGGCTGGCCGTTGACCAGCACCTGGCCGCTGCAGCCGGGGGAGGAGGCGGGGGAGGGGGCGGAGGGGGAGGGAGAGGGGGAGGCGGGGCCCTCTGGTAGGGCTGCTGCGCCACGCAGGGCGAGCAGGTCCAGCAGCGTGGACTTGCCTGCAGCAGGGTGGGGAAGTGGGGTGGGGCAGGGGTGCAGGGGAATGAACAGAGATGTGCATAAGAAAAGGTGCAGAAGTTGTGTTTGTCCTAGCCTTCCATTGTGCCCCTTCCTCTCAACCCTTCCCTGCTGCCCCCCCCTCTGCCGCCCCGCCCCGCCCCGCCCCGCCCCCACCTGCTCCCGACGGCCCCAGCAGTGCGGTGACGGCCCCCGCAGGCGCCCGGCCGCCCACGTCCCGCAGCACCGTCAACAGCCCGCGCGGGGACACCACCGTCAGACTCACGTGACGCCACTCCAGACACACCTTCGGGGGGGGGGGGCAGGAGCGAGCAGGAAGGGCAGTAAGGGACAGGAGGTAGTTGAAGGAGGGGGTGACGTGACGTGGGGAAGCGGTCACCGCTCCCCAGCGCCAAACAACGTTCATGCCACCATGCCGAGCAAACAGTGCTCCCCTGCATGCACTGCTCCCCTCCCCTGCCGTACCGCCGTACTACCTGCTGCTCGGAGCTCTTGCCGTACGACGCATCGTCGTACCCGAGTGCCGCCTCCAGCGCCGCCGAGGAGGCGCCCAGCAGCTCAGTGCTGCGACCCGTTTGGGACTTGACGGCGTTACCGTTAGACTTGCCGTTGCTGTTGCCGTTGCTGCTGCTACTGCCGCCGCCGCTGTTGCTGCTGTTCGTTCCAAGACCGTTAGCACACGCAGGCAGGAAGCCGCCGTCCTCCACATCGTCCTCCTCCCCCTCTGCTAGCGGTTTCAGAGACGGTAGGTGTGAGACAGGGGGGCTGGCAGCTCCTACTGGGATGGGCGGGAAGCTGCTACGAGCAGCGGCGGTTGCAGGCACCGCAACTCCCTCCTCGGAAGAGGAGTCTGCACAGGGATATAAGGCGGTTTACGGCGGTTTGGACAACGTAAGTTAGGGGCTGAGGGCAGTGGAGGAACGAGTGGCACGCTATCGCGACATGTTAAAGTGTGGCGTCGTAATGACGTACTCCGCAACTTTGTGCCGCGCCCCATCATGCCAATACCTGACCTCTTGCTCGTGCTTCCCAACCCCTGGCCCCCCCGCTCCCCCCCCCCTCACCTCCCTCCGCCCCGCTCCTGCCGCCCCGGATCCTGGCCAGCAGCGCTCGGGGGCTCAGGTGCCTGTGCGTGCGGGGGAAGGGGCGGCGCTGCTACGTTGCTGCTCAGCGCACCTCTCCACGCACCTGGCTCGCCCCTTCCCTCCCCCGTTCTCCCCCCATGCTGCCCCCCCCACGCCCCCAACCCCCCCACCTCTTGAGGCTGGGCATGTAGAGGAAGAGTCCATGCACCAGGAACGCGATGGCGAACACGTGTCCGAACAGCGCCATGACCAGCCACAGCGGCAGGATGGCGCCGGCGGGCTCCACGCGGGACAGCGCCAGAGACACGTCGGGAGACAGGGAGCCGCCGGAGGCAGCGTCCGGGGTTGAGGAGGGGGACATGGGGGCTGGTGGGAGTGCTGGTGGTGGCTAGGAAGGGAGGAAGGAGGGAACCGCGGGGTGGTCTATCCAGCGGTGGGCCGCCTATGACGGTGTGCTGCGGTTTAAGCGACGCAAGGGGAAAGGAGTTGACGCGGTAATATATATTGATTTATTAAACCTAGGTGTAAATAAAATTATTGGAGTAGAATACAGATCGCAACGTTGCACCTGTAAGGAAATTATGCATGCCTAGTAATGTACATGACCCATGGGTCATCTTCGGTAAGCGCGATGCATGGCGGCAACAGCCGAGGTGCTCCTGGCTTTACAGACAGCACATTGAACGCTGTGCTCAATGAATGAAGTAAGCATCGGATCAGGGCGTCACCGGTTGCGCTCCTATGGGGAATCGCTGACTTCAGCTCCGTTCGCGATGTCCGACAAGTTTGATGGCGCCCGGCAAGATGCTACAGATAGGTCACCGCAGTGCTTATACGCTGCGCACCGAGCCTCCCATATAAGGTACGACATTTTTACACACCTTTCACTTGGGTGCCACATACAGTCAATGTCGTCTGCGTAAGGCGGAGAGCAGGCTCCAGGTGCTGTTGACACTTAGTCAGGCAGTGTCTCAAGAGAATTACCAGGGAAGTGCGCTACATACAAGTGTATTTCTCGCCAAAACGAAATGCCTGAGTGCGCCCTTCTCCTGGGGACGTAGCAAGACACTAGCTCTAACGGCATCGCCAGTTCACGAGCACGCGTTTGTGCTTTGGGAAAAGTTGGCTTCGAGCGTTGCCTTTGATGGGACTGTGATGCTCCGCTTGTGATGGGGCATCGACCGGGACTTGATATGCGAGTTTTCGTCAATCGAATAGCTACGACGATAGACCCAGCGGATAGTATGTTTTGTGGACAACAAGCAGCAATATTCCATTTTAAATTCTTTCTGCAGTCCCCGAGTGGGATGATTGACATTCACCTTACAGCAGCTCTGACATGTCGGTTCCTGACGAACATTTGCCACATGTCTAGCTAAGATCGCCTCCGCAGACCCCACAAAGGGTTACAGCTGAGGGTATGCATTCGAAAACTGTCAACTTAAGACGTGCGCATAGTTTATTTTGGCATGATCAGTAGCCAAGCTTCTTTGCGAAGCCATGCAAGGTTAAGTGCCCCGTTTCATGGTCCCAGAAAGGGGCCATTTACCATCCCTCATGGCTCATCAGCATCCCGCATGACCGGGAGCTTGAAAGCCTGGGGAGCCATGAAAGCCGGTGGAGGGAGAAGGATGTGCGCTGGCATCTCTGGGGACTTCACCCCTTAGGCTTGAGCCCCGTCCCCAGACGTCCCCAGTCGTTTCCCCATGCACCCATGTATGCATTGCATATAACTTTCTATGTTGAAAACACTCGAGCCCTGTAAATAATCTAGGAACGGTGACGGTTGCTTGCACAGTCCGGACAACGGGCACGACATGTTGATGCATACTAGCCGTGTGCTTAGCGTAGCTGGTACGATGGGCGCACATCTACCGGGCAGAGACACATATTACATTGGTAACTTGCTTTTGTAACTTTTACTTGGTATTGGCCTAATGCTCCGGCTTACGAAGAACGCGTCGCTTACCTTTCCTAACCTCCATACATTTGTAATAAATGATTAGTCGCAAGCTACGGCTACTGAAAAGGGCCTGTACACGTCGATGAGGCATAGAGTATGGCGGAAGCGTCTGCGCTTTTCTTACTGAGTAACTATTTAGAAACAGCAGAATGGAAAGATTTAGATAACAGGGATGACGACGAGAGCCCCGATGAGAGTGGCGTACGTGAGAGGTTGCCTGTTGCCAGGAGGAGCGAGGCATTTGTTCTTGGAAGGCAACATAGCCGCCTCCAACCTATATCGCATGGACCTGGCAGCTCTATACAAGCGCAGCTGGCGCATGTCAAGGATTACGAACGGCACCCTGCGCGTGAGGTGCGAAGGATGGCTATTAAGACTTCTCGCCGTGCATTACTCGTGATGTCGTTTTTTAAAAAGACTCTAGAGGCGATGCCTTTCCTCTCAGGCTTTGGCAAGCGAGGGCTTGCTTTTGTCTCGCATTCCGTTGACCCCCATGTAACGTCGACCGCAGGTCCGCCAGCACTTTGGCTCGTCCCGTTTTCGGCATTCCCCGCGCCCACGAGGTTCACCTGCAATTTCTGGCGAGCCGCAGCATACAGGGGCTCACCAACCCCAAGGACCGGATGCCGAATCCCTGCCAACAACAGCACGGCCATTTTCCCAACCTCAGGTCGATGCCTTGGGTGATCTCACACCTCGGGCATGCCGCATGCCCCCTCTACCAAAGCCTCCCAGTAGCGCCAAACGTGCATGGCAGGGCCCATTGCGTGGTGCAAGCACATCCCCAACCACATCTGCAGGCCAAACTCAGGTCGCCATGGAAACGACGGCTGCGGCATCAGCCTCCTTGCAAAGCTTTTATTTGCTGCAAACAGGGTTGTCTTCGGAATCAGAGTCGCATGCTCCTTCTTCGTCTCCTCGCCCTCCATCTCAGCACCCGCAGCAGAAACCTTCCGCCACGGAGGCCTCTAACTTGACAGCCAACAGGGTATCCTCCCTGCTGCTGGAAAAAGCCTGGGTCACCGGTGGCGGCGGCAGCCACCCAGGGGGGCGGCTGCAGGGAGCGAGGCAGCCGCAGCAGGCAGCGTCAGGGGGGTCCCCGGCGGCCGTCAGGCGGCTGCGGCGGTCCACCACCTCGCCCCTTGAAGAGGGCCGGGGGAGCAGCAGCTCAGGTGGCGGTGCTGGCTGGAGCAACAGCAGCGGCAATGGCGGCGGGCCGCGGGGTAGCGCAGCCGCAATGATGCCAGCCACCGCCGCCGCCAGGTTAGCTCGCAGCAGCACCTGCAGCGGTGGCAATGGCGCCGGTGAGTGGGAGGGCCGTCGCGAGCGCTATGCACAGCGTCAGGACCAGCAGCCGCGGCTGCCATCATGGCTGCTGCGCGGCCCGACTGCCACAGCCGCCACCGCCAACGGCCCCAATGCGGCTGCTGTGGCGGTCTCTGCCTCCGCGTCCCTTGAACCGCCGTCGAGTACCTCTGGCGGGCGCGATAGCGGCTGCGACAGCACCCGGTATGCCGCCTCCTCTTACTCCCATCCTCTCTCCCTTCCTAATGCGCTGCTAAGGCCGCTGTTCCCTGCATCGCGCCCTGCGGCAGCGATGGCATCACAGCACCCACCGCAGCAGCAGCAGCGCAGTACACAGGAGGAGGAGGAGAAGTCCGCACCGTTCCTAACCAGCATCTGCTGCTACAGCCGCCGCCGGCATCAGCAGCAGCAAGGGCGCCTAAACGCCCAGCCGTATGGCTCCGGTGATCCGCTTGCTGCACCTGCGGTGGTTGATGGGGGTAGGGAGGGCGTGGTGGTGGGTGGTGCCGCCAGGACGGCCGGTGGCGGGCCCGCTGGTGTGGATGGGGGTGCTGGTATCCTGGGTGCTGCGGCCGACGGCAGCAGCTGCTTCGGCTGGTCACGGTGGAGTCGTGCGCAGCAGCAGCAAGAGCAGCAGCGGGGCCAGGAGTCTGTTGACGGGAGGGAGGAGGGCGGAGAGCGCGGCGGAAGCGGGTTCGGGCGTCGCAAAACGTTATCAGGTCAGGGTCAGGAGGTCCGGGAGGGCGACCCGTGGGTCGCGAAGGACCGTTGCGGCCACCGCAGCCGCCAGCGCTACGAGCGGCGCTCGTGGTGTTGGCCATGGACCGTACCTGCTTCTTCCTCCCCACCCTCCTCCTCCTCCGGTTGGCCTTGGTCTTGTTGGGGGCTGTGGGGGCGGCGGCGGCGGGCGGGTGCGGCGGAGGAGGATGCTGACCTGCGTAGTGTGGTGGATCTGGAAATGTGGGACGTGGTGGACCAGTACCTGCCGGTGTTCATGCCCTCCACTGCAAGGATGTGGTGAGTGGCTGGGTTGCGGTGAGGGATTGGGGAGGCGGGTTGCCGGGGGGCGGGGCAGGAGTAGGGTCAATGGCAGCAGGAGTGCAGCAGGCGCCGGGGCGGCGGGAAGAGGTTGGTCGTTGGTGCGTCTCCGAAGAGGTGTTGTTGTAGGGCCAGATTGGGACGAACATGGAGGTGGCGCAGAGGGAGTGTGGTTGGTGCTGCTGGGGGCCAGCGGTGGGGGCCGAAGGGAGGTCGCCTCCCTGCACCGTGCTGCGCTCCTCGCCTCCACCCGTGGCTCCCGCCCTTACTGCTTTTGCCCCGTCACCAGCTGGGACGCGCGGCTGCTGCTGTGCATCGCCCGTTTACAAAATATTCAAATCCCTCACGCTGTGCCTTCCAACACCTCCAAACCTCCGCTTATATTCCCCGCAGCTGTGCTGCTGCCTGCTTTTCAACTCGCACGCCATCTGCTATGTAGTACTGAGTAAAGCCATTCCTTAACACCGCTGCACACTCGCCCCCCCCTCCGACCCTCTCCCTTCCTCCCTCCCGCAGCTGGGACGCGCTGCTGCTGCTGCTGCTGCTGTACACCGCGGTGGTGGTGCCGCTGGAGGTGGGCTTCAAGGCCGTCATCAGCCCCGCACTGGACGCATCCCACCTGGCAGTGCTGGTCGTGTTCTGGGGGGACATTGTCGTACAACTCAGGTACGGCGGCGGGAGTGGAAAGGGCGGTACGGCCCCTTTGTTTATTCACTGGGCCATTCCTCCTAGGGGGAGTGGAAGCTGCGCAAAGTGCCGCTGCATGTCTGTAGCCGCCCTCTTGTACATGCCGGTAGCCATCTGCCCGTCCGTAAGCCCTGTACTCTCTCATGCACCTCGTCTGGGCCCTTCGCAAGCCCCGATCCCTCCCTGGCGTATCATGGTTCCCTCCCTCTTACTCCCTCCCCCCATCAGGACCGCCTACGTGGACGGGTCGGGCGAGGTGGTGCGCGACGGCCGCTCGCTGGCCGCCCACTACGCGCGCACCTGGCTGGCGCTGGACGTGGTGTCGGCGCTGCCGTGGGGGGAGATAATGAGGGTGCGTGGGAGGTGGGGGAGCCGGCGTCACCTGTTGTTTTGCCACCACCACCATTCAACACATGGTGTGTTTCTTTTCCCCCCACTGGACCGCCATGCAGGCTGTGTTGCACCACGGCGGCGCGCGGGAGGGGGTGCTGGCGGCGCTGGCTCGCCTGCCACGACTGCTGAGGATTATGAGGTGAGGTGCGAGGTGTGGGGTGTGGAGGCAAGCACGGTGTTTATGCCACGCGGAATGCCGGCGACGCCATGTCCCGCACACGGCCCTCTGAGCCTACCGGTATTCATACCTGGATACAGGCCCTTACCTACCGCATCCCCTCTCCCCCACATCCGACTACCTTACTATCGTTCTTCCTCCCTCCCTGCCCTCCAGGCTGTTGCGGCAGCTGGAGCGGTCCCGCTACGCCAACGCGCTGCACATCCTGCGGCTGCTGGGCATTCTGCTGCTGGCGGGGCATTGGACCGCATGCGCTTGGCACGGGCTCAGCGAGTGGCTGACGGGTGAGGAGGGGGGGGCTGAGGGGGGTTGGGAGGGAGGAGAAGGCGGGGGAGCAGGGGCTAGGAGTTAAGTGCCGGGGAGGCTGAGTACGGCCCTCATGGACTTGGCGAGTACCGGGCCGGAGATGAGAGCGAGGTATAGGAAAGAAACCATTTGTCGAATTTGGGTTGCGTTGTGGGTTACCGTAGGGCAATGCCTCCTTAGCTCCTGCCTGCACCGCGCCCACCTTCCCTTCCGCCTCTTCCCTGCACCACTCCCCGCATCCTGACATCCACCGCCTTCCAACGTCCTCAGGCTGGACCTGGATGTTCGAGGAGCTGCCCGGACCGACCCCCGGGTCGCTGCTGCACCAGTACAGCGGCGCCGTCTACTACGCGTACGTGGTGGTGGTGGGCAACGACAACTCGCAGGTGTCGCCGCAGAACGACGTGGAGCGGCTGTTCGTGATCGTGGCGCTGCTGCTGGGGTCGGTGCTGTCGGCGGTGGTGGTGAGGGAAGGGGCGGGGAGCAGGGAGGAAGGGAGCAGGGAGTTTAAGCATTAAATATAGCAAGCCCAGTCCGAATCCGAGGATGTGTAGGCAAAGGCAAGGAGGAGGGCGGAGCGCTGGCGGTGGAGGGAGGTTACATAAGCTGACCGTGACCATAGAGGGATGAGTGCGCAAGCGCACGACCTTCCTCCTCTCCTCCTCGTCCCCTGTGTACCCATCCCAGCACCACTGCATCTCGACGTCACCCCTCAATCCTCTGCCTCCCTCCCCTCTCGCTCCCCTATCCCTCCCTCTCCCTCCCCCGCACCCCCCCAGGTCAGCAACATGGCCCTGCTGGTGGCCAACCACAACTCGCTGGCCAACCGCTACCAGGCGCGAGCGGCGCTGGCGGCGGACGCGCTGCGATACGTGGGCGCTCCGGAGGCGCACCGCGTGCGGGTGGCAGAGTACTTTGACTTCCTGGCCGCCAATGACCACCCTGGTGGGGTGAGGGCAGGGAGAGGGCACTCGCAAGGACCAGGGGCCCAGGATAGTGGGGCGCTAGAGGCGGTAGGGGGTGCTTTCCTGCAACCTTCCCGCATCGAGCTATCTGCGTATCCATCTCAGCCGCATCCCATGAATTACCCACCCGCCCCCAATCTCACGCACACCCTTCTGCCGTACCGTATCGTTATATGAACCTTCCCCCCACACGCTAACACACCGCAGGCCCTGACGCCGACGCGGTGTTGTCCGAGCTGCCTCGGGGGCTTGTGGAGGACATCAAGTGGCGCCTGTACGCGGCGCCGCTGCAGCGACTGCCGCTGTTCGCCGGCTGCGACGAGCCCTTCATGGCGGCCCTGCAGTCCCGGCTGACCCTAGCGGCCTTCACCGCCGGCGAGCTCATCTTCAGCGCCAACGACGTGGGTCGCGACATGTTCATCATGCGCAGGGTGGGTGCCGTGCGCGCATGTGCACCCTCCCCTCCTCCACGCACAACAACCTCCTACTCCTCTCTCCACACTGTGTCGCATGCTGGCTTCCCTGCTCTTGCCAGTCCTCGCCCTACTCCTCGCCTCTATAACCAACCAGACGCAGTTGGCTCACTTTTCATGCCCTGTGCGGAATACGCATCCCCTCATTACCCCTCCTCCTCTCCGGAACCTCCCCCCAGGGCTGTGTGCTGCTCAAGTCGCACCCCGCCGGCGACGTGGTGGCGCTGCTGCAGGCGGGGGACAGCTTCGGGGAGACGGCGCTGCTGCCCGACCTGGCGGCGCGCAGGAGGGCGTGTACGGCGGTTGCCGTACAGCCCACCGACGTGATCTGCCTGACGGCTCGAGACCTGGCGGCAGTGTGCAAGGACCACCCGGAGACGGGCGCGCTGGTGCAGGTGGGTCCCTTGTGGGTGCTGGGGGAGGGTACCGTACCGGTGCTAGGTTGATGGTGTGGTGGATGGCGGAGAAGGCGGATGGGAAGAAAGACAAGGTGGAAAGAAAAGGGGGCCTTATCCGTCGCCACTAGCCTGACTTCTTAGCATCGCTCTCGAAGCCGATCTTCCTCATGTTCGGCCACTGCCCTGCCATTCCGCGCCTGTCACAGCCCCTGTGTAACCCTCACATCCCCAACCGCATCCCTGCTCCCTCTAAAACCCCTCAGGAGCGGCTGCTGCAGTACCACAACTACATGCAGCTCAGCGGCACCGCCACGCCATCTCCCTGGTTCTGGTCGTACATGGACGTTCTTGATTTGTCGTACGGCGCCGACGGAGATGAAGGGTACGACTTTGAGATGTGGTTCGAACACGGAGGAGATCAGCTGCTGCTGCCTTCGGCGACAACTGCGGCGGCGGCGGATGTTGCGGCAGCACTGGCCCAGCCGACGGCTAAGGAGGTTACCCCCGTTGCTCCCAACAATGTGGGTTCCGTCAGTGGCAGCGAGACTGGCGGTGGCACCGCAGGGGATGCCACGCTGTCGCCGTCAGTAAGAACAGTGGCGGCGGCGGGGATGGTGTCAGCGGCGACGGCAGGTCTGAGCGCAGTGGATGCAGCGGTGCAACCGGCTGCGGCAGGGATGTTGCCGCCTCCTGTGGCGGCAAGCAGCAACGACGGGCGGCCCAGCGAGGGGGCAGCTGCGGAGCCCGGTAGTGGCGGCGGGCTGGACGGAACCGTTGACAACACCCTTGGCTACATTCCAAAGGCGGCCACGATTGATAGGACCGACGATGATGGTGACGGTAACGTTGGCGACGGCGCGGCAGATGGTGCCGCCGCCATTGACGTCTGTGGCAAAGCCTCCCGCAGCTCCTCCGCTTCGTCCTGGGAGTCCTTCCTGCAGGCCACCGGTGCGCCCGCTGGCTCCTTGGTACCGCCGAGGATACCTCCTCGCGTTCCCGCTAGCGGTGCCGTACAACCCCGCGTTCGGTATCGCATTGCGGCAGCAGCAGCAGGCGTAGGAGGAACAGGGGCGGCGTCGGAGTCGTACGCAGCTGGCGGAGGTGCTGGGCGGACGGAGGTACTGGGCAGAGGAGGTCAGGTTGAAGGGGTTACGGATGCGAGGGTCAGTGGTGACGGCGGCGGCGGTCGGGGTCCTGAGGGACCGCTGCAGTCGGCAACACTTCCAGCGCCGCCGCCGCCGCCACTGGTGCCGCCGCCGGCGCCGCCGGCGCCGCTCCTTTCGCCACCGGCGCCGCAGCAGCTGCTTCATGCGCCTCGTGCGGCTGCCACTAGTCCCGCCGTCGTGAAACCTATCGCCTCCGCCTCCACCACCCACGGTACGGAAGTCCTGAGGCTTCCCGCCGCTGGGGCCGTGATGATGCCGCCGCTGGGGCCGGCTTTACCCTCCTCTCCGCAGTCCCTGCTTCGTCCCCGGCCGCCAGCAGCAGCGGTAGGAGGGCGCCACCCTCGCAGCGGCCTGTCGCCCTTCCTGCTGGCATCCGCTTCCATGGCTACCCTGGAGTCCCTAGAGGATGCCATGTCGTCGGCCGCTTCTTCAACCGCCAGGGCAGTTGCTTCGGGAGTGACGGCTGCAAGCTCCTCCTCCCCATCCGCGGCGGCAGCAGCAGCACGGACGCATGCAGCCTCAGTAGCTGCAGCTGCTGGGGCAGGAAGGTTGGGATCTCCTCGGGGCTCCCGGCTGCGAACCGTTTTTGGCCCCGGAGTTGAGCACGAACACTTCATACCGACCTTCCAAACCCTGCCAGGACAGCTGCTTACTGCGACCGGGAGTCAGGCAGGAGGTCAGCCCGCCTTCGCCCCCGCCGGCTCCCTGTCCCCTGCTGCATCCGTTGGCACCTCCCGCTTCTTCGTTTCGCCGCCCTCAGCACAGCCAGCAGCACTACTGGCAACCGAAGCTTTATCGCCCATCGTACACTCGGTACGGCAGGAGGTAGTGGCGGAACCGTCCGCGACGGATGCCACCGCAGCCACGGCTTCTGCTCCGGCCGCACTGTCAGGTACGACGGCTACGGCAGCGGCAGTAGCGCCCAGTGGCACCGGCGGCGCTGGTACTGTTGGTAGGGTCGCAGACGTTCCTAGCCGCGGCTTGAGCTTGCGCAGCCTGATGAGTATGGCTAGCAAACTGCTCCGCGCCAACGGTAGCAGAGGCGGAAGCGGCGGCGGCGCCGCTGCCAATAGCGGGGCCGCTGCCAGCGGCGGAGGCGCCGGCAACCCTGCGCCTGCAGACCGGGGAGCTACGGAACCCTCCACCGCCTCCATTACCTCCGCTTTGGAGAACGCCTTCGCGGCTGAGTTCGTTCCTCCGTCGCGCCGCAGCTTCATCCGCCGGCACCTCTCGAGCATCAGCCCCAGTCGCGTCGTGACATCGACCACCTCATTACGCCGCCGCCCGACCTCATCCTCCGAAACCTCACTGCCTTTCGACTGGATGGCACCGCCACGGCCGCTGTCGCCGCCGCCGCCGCCACAGCCGCCGACGTACGACAACATGGCTGTCGGCTCCGCCAGCATGTCGCCGCTGTCGACGGCGCCGTCGTGGCTCATTGCACGCGCGTCTCGCGAACCGATTGCCAACCAACGCTCCCTTCGCCGTCGCAGCGTTGCCGGGTTGCCTCCGCCGCCGCCTCCGGAGGACCCCGTGCAGAAGGCGCTGCAAACCCTGGCGCGTGTATTGGAAGTTGATTTGGGCCTCGAAACCGTGGCTAGTGGTTCTGCTGCTGCTACTGCAACACCTGCAGCAGCAGCACCGTCATCTATGGCGACTGGACCAGCGGCGGCGGCAGCGGCGTATACGGGTGCGAGCACGCGTGCGGATCATGGAAGCGGAGGTCACGTGGCTGCGAATCGACAGCTGGTGAGTAGGCAGCATTCGAAGCTGTTTGAGCATGACCATCGGCATCCCCCGAACCATCAACAATACCCGCAACGTGAGACCCAAGCCGGACTGTCGTCAGCCCAGCACGGGATGTTGCTGACGCTGATGGATGCAGTGATACGGCGTTTCGGCGTGGAGGCATTGCCGGCAGTTAAGGAGGCGGTGGAGACACGCGTACGGCAGGTTGAAATGCGGTTAACCGCAGTACTACAAGCCACAGTGTGCAACCTAAAGCAAATCGAGCATACGGTAGGTAGGCCACGGCCATACTTGGATGTTTCGTAGCGATGGGCTCATGCGTCCTTCCAGCAGCCCATGCTGTGCCTCCACACCCCTGCTCCCTACTTTTAATCCCCGTCCATATCCCATTTACTCCTGTTCCGACGTCTTTCCTCGTCCCCTTCCCTACTATGACTCCCAGGTCGCCAGCATCGACGACGCAGCCGCCGTCGCCAAGCGCCGCCTCGCCGCTCTGGAGCACGCTGCCTTGGAAGCCACCGCCGACGGCGTCCTGGCGCCTCGCCTGCTGGGCCTGCTGGACACCGACGCCGGCGGCATCACAGCTGCCTTGGAGCGCCTGCACCAGGCAGCAGCCTCCAGCAGCTCCGCTTGGTCCGACGCGGCGTTGCTGTCTTCCCTCGTGAACGCGAATGCGGGTGCCGGTGGGGGCGGGGGTGCGAATGCGATGCTGGGGCAGCAAGGGCCGTTGGCGGCGCCTGCGGCGCCGGCCGTCGCGGCGGCTGCGGCGCAGGCGCCGTTACCGGTTTGCTACTCGCCGCGCTCCGGCCTGCTCCGCCCTCGGTCGCTGCACAGCGTCAGTTCCGCCTTGTCGGAAGGACCGGAGGGAGGATCCCCGGTGGGGCGCAACAACGCGGGCGCCATGGGGACCGGGAGCGGAGCAGCCGCAGGGGCTGCGCTGTCGCGCACGGCGACGGGCGGTAGCCATGGCGGCAATGCGACCGGCTTAGCGGCCGCCAATGCCAATAGCTGCGGCAGCACCAACTACAGTAGTAGCCTGGGTCAGGTTAGGGTGCCTCGATCTCCTTCCTTGGTTATTCCTTCCCAGCAACGTCGACATCCTGCGGTGATGCGCCGGAGAACCCTAGATCCCAACCAGATGTTGGCGATAGCGCGTGGCAACGGCAGCGGCGGTGGCGGTGGCGGTGGAGGTGGTGGCGGTAGAGTCAGCGGTGGCGGTGGAGGTGGTGGCGGTAGAGTCAGCGGGGGCAGTGGAGGCGGTGGTGGCGGTAGAGTCAGCGGGGTCGATGGAGGCGCCAACACGATACCTGGTAGCCTCAATGGTATCGGCCGCAATGATAACATACCAGAGAGTCAGGGGAGCAATGCGGCGAATGCAATATCAGCGTCTACGTCTACATTCGCAGAAGCGGCGGCAGCCGCTGCCGGCGCCTTCCATCGCTGTGCATCCGGGTTTGAGTCTTGCCGCCGACGGTCGTTACAATTACTGAACCACCGCCTACCTCGGACAAGCACAGCGCCGCTGGAGGTTTCCCCGTCGCCGCTGTCTGCCGCCGCCGCCGCTCCTGTTGCCGCCTCGGCGGTTGAAGCGGGAGCGTCGATTTGCCCGTCGTCGCCGTCGCTTGAGTATCAGGCGACTCCTGATGCCTCACCTGTGCCATCGATGATGCAGCAGGTGCTGGGAGCAGCTTCTTCAGCCGGCACTCGGCCTCGAGAGCCGAGCGTCCATCTGGGAGGCGGCGCGGGAGGTATGGGCGCGTCAGCCTCAAGACCGGTGTCCATCCACTCGTACGCCGCAGTAGGTCTTGTGCCAGGGGCCCTACACCCCGGTACCGGCCTGGGCGCGCCCTGGCCTGGTGTCGCAAGTCGCAGTGCCGTACTGGACGACAGCGTCGTGCGAGACGGCGGCGCTGGCGGCGGCGGAAGTCGCGCGCCTGTCCGAACGCTGCTGCCTTCGGAACGACCCGGAGCGCGGCGCGCGCCAGGGGCTACAGCCGCCGGCAGCAGCGGCGGCGGCACCCTCGCGACCTCGGTGGAGGCATCTAGCGGATCCGTACTGGCCGGAAGCGGCGGCGGCGGCGGCTTCCGTCGTCTTCCCTTCCGCCGCGCAAGCGCCTCTCTGCTAATGCCGCAACGTACGGCATCGTCGACGGCGGCAATGACAGCGGCCACCACCGCCACCGCCGCCACTGGGTTGACGTCAGTTAATCGTACGGCAGCGGCACGGGGACTTGGGCCGTCGGGTGGTGGAGCGGCGGCGGAAGAAAGGTCAGGGTCAGTTGCGAGGGTCGAGCTCGGACATGGGTTCGGGTTCGAGGATTAAGGCGGAACGCACTGAGGAGTAGCTGTGGTGGCGGCGGTTTCACTAGTACGTGCGGTGCCGGTGAATGAGCGTTGAGGGTCGTAACGGCTGTGGCCACTTTAAGCTTGGGTGTGTGTTCATGTAAGGAGATCACGAAGAACGAAATGAAGAGGCGGAGAAGAATAAAGAATGGGGCTAGGAAATTTTGTAGTGAGCGCAACTAGTAAACGTGAGTAGGGAGGGTACGGCCATGTCTACGTCGTACCGTTCCAGTATTGATTAATGCATGGTGTTCGACTTGCAGCCAGCGTGCGTCAACAGTTACTATGCCACGACGAAGGGACCCGCGGCATGTGCATCCGCAGGTGCCCTGTTGGGGTTGGGAGGGACAGTATCTTGGCTACTCAATGCCAAGCGGTGTCTGCTGTTATCCGCCAAGCGAGTACTGCTGTTAGTTGCTTTTGCTCGGGACCCATTGTTGTGAGCCGTGGGTCGGTCCGGGTGTTTTAAGTTGCTGCACAATACTGCTGCACAATCGAGTTGAGCGAAAGTGCGTACTTACGGGGCTGTAACTTAGTATGGTGCAGGCGGCGGGGGACGAAAAGAAGACATGCATGATCCCGGTACCGTACTGGGTAAGGCGCAACACATGCACATAACATAGGCTCCTTTTGTGTTCATGCAAACGCCCACAATGTCATTGTGTGTGCGATGTGAATTTAACGGTCGTTGCTGCCTCTCTATGTCTGGGGATTGCGCAAATCACCCACACCGCTTGACAATATCATTAGAAGGTAGGAGGGCGACGTGTGTATGAGCAGCTTTGTCGCCTGCGGCGTGCGATTAACGGGGTTCTTTATCCATGTGTGGCGCTGTCGTGTTCCGGCCTGCCCATCACTTTGGAGGCGACATGCGGGCAGTGCGTTTGTACGGCTGGTAAGGTGGCCATTGCCATGCTATGTACGGCTGACTAGCCGGGCTTGATGCTTCATGTGTGAACTCCCATCGTCAGAGGCTGAGGTGGAGGGCACGTTCCGTAAGGATAATTCCAGAGGTGTTGCCTCATGTGATAGGGCGGCTGGGTATGCCAAACTTCGGGTTCTGTGGTGACTGATGCAACGGAATGTTAAACTCGACAAGAGGGATTTAAATTTTGCCGTCTGTATCAATATGGCTGCCAAGAAAGGCTGCGGCTCCTATGTAGCGCACGAACTTCAGCAGACACGTGTTATATGTGTTATATGGTACGACGGTTGCGAAGCTGTCCTGGTAAATTAAAGCAGGATGCATAGGCACCCACAATAGGGTACATAATGTTAACCGTGAACATGGGCAAGTGGATTGAGGCGGGCGTATACGTTGAGACATGCGTTATTGATAACGATACAAGGTAAGGGTTCGTGGGGGGGCTTTTATGTCGGGATTTGTCGTATGTATGATGCATCGAAGGAGTGTTATGTGGGGCTCGGCGAATGCAAAGTGACTTTTACTTTTAAGTGATCGGTTATGGACACCAGGAGGCACAGGAGTCACGGCGTTGACGAATTGCGAACACGGCTTTGGGCGGTTGGGCCGCTCGGACGGTCAACGCTGGTCAACATGGCTGGAATTATCGTAGTGTCCTCGTTCCCCACAGCGGCTAAGCGTATGATGTTTATTTCAGTACGATATCGTTTACTTGTGCGGGCCATGCGCACTAGCAACCAGGTTGAAAGCAGGAGCCGTACAAAATCAGCGAAGGCAAGAGACATTCCAGAAGCAATCCAGACACGCATTTCTGTGGTTGATGTACATATATACGGAGGGGAGAATGTTATGCTACCTGCACGCTGAAGCCGGCAGGCTGAAGATTCCTTGCTGGGAAGACAACAACCTTGGGACGTCGAAGGCCATCCTCTTCGACAGCTCTTTTTCGGTGCAGCTGGAACACAAAGCGAAGCGCAAACTGCGGCATGTTCCTCGTACATGTATCAATATATGTTGTCTTAATACAACTCCATTCATACTGCACAGGGGTATGCACTTCATCTGCTTAGCAATAGCCCTGTTCCTCGCATGTTGTTACCATAAAATTCTCACAGCCCAGGGTCAAGCAGCGTAGCACATAGTACCCACCTAAAGCCTGGTTGGACCGGTCCAAGGTGGTCTAGCGGACTGGCAACCTGATAGTGGAAAGGACACATCCGGCTGCTACCTGGCCTCTAGCACCAGCTGTACGTAAGTAAGGCGGAGGGGTCAGGCATTCAACACTTTAGCGCCCGTCAGCTTACGCCAGCCGCCGTCGGCATCTGCGGCGTTGACGTCAAATTTGAAAGGTGCGTCGCAAGGCTGTTGGTACTGACAGTCTTTGCCACCTTTTGCCAGGAATAGTTCAGGGCAAAACTTCAGGGCAAAATTACAGCAGGGCAAAAATAAAGCAGTATACTTGTTATGTCGCTTCACGGTGTGCGTCTTGCGGCTCTGTGGCCCTTAGGCGTTTACATGGATGACCGTATTCTTCTTCGTCGAAACGACTAATATCATTTAGCATAGCTTGCGTGAAATGCCTCTGGCTTTAAACACACACGATGCTTGATTCTTGGAGTTTTCTGACCCATGGGTCATTTCCCTGCCTCACAGCCTTCGGCTAGCGTCAGGCCGACAATTTCAGTTCACCCGCTGCAAGCAGCACCTTCAGCCTCAGCGGCGCACCACCTTCCGGTAGCCCCGCCACCAGCCCCCATGTCTTCCTCCTCCCCTACCGCTGCCCTGTCTCCCGACGTGTCTCTTGCGCTGTCCCGCGTGGAGCCCGCCGGCGCCATCCTGCCGCTGTGGCTGGTCATGGCGCTGTTTGGACACATCTTCGCGATCGCGTTCCTGGTGCATGGGCTCTTCCTCTACATGCCCAGCCTGAAGAGGTGGGGGGGTGAGAGGGGCGTGGGGCGGGGCGGAGAGGGGGGCAGCAGGGAGGGGAAACGTGGGAGGTAAGGGGTGGGCCAGGTGCGTGGAGAGGTGCTCTGAGCAGCAACGTAGCAATGCCGCCCTCCGCCCCGCCCATCCCCCCGCACGCACAGGCACCTGAGCCCCCGAGCGCTGCTGGCCAGGATCCGGGGCGGCAGGAGCGGGGCGGAGGGAGGTGAGGGGAGGGGGTCAGAGGGGGAGAGTGGGGGAGGAGCGCTGTTGCAAGGGGCGGGCGCAAGGTCATGATGCGTACATGTGGGTCGGGTGCTCCTTATAAGGCTGGGTTAGTCCTTAGATGTCGGCTAGTCGGCGGCTGTTCCACCGGGGCTTTCCAGCACCGTTTCCGCCATCTGAGGGCTGTTGTCGTACACATTCAGTCACCCTTCGTTTACGAAGTCGCTCCTTCACTACGGCAGGAGGCGGCGGCGGCGGCCACCAAGCGCACCCCAAGCCTTCAGGACTAGGTCGAGAGGAGGAAGAGGAAGACGACTTGGAGGACGGCGACTTAGTTCCTAAGAACGGCAGCAGCAGCAACGGCAAGTCCAACGGTGACGCCAGCAAGTCCCAAACCGGTCGCAGCACTGAGCTGCTGGGCGCCTCCTCGGCGGCGCTGGAGGCGGCACTCGGGTACGAAGATGCGTCGTACGGCAAGAGCCCCGAGCAGCAGGTAGTACGGCGGTACGGCAGGGGAGGGGAGCAGTGCATGCTCGACATGGGGGCATGAACGTTGCTTGGTCCGGGGCAGCGGCGACCGCTTCCCCACGTTACGTCACCTCCTTCCTTAACCTACCTCCTGCCCCTTCCTGCTCCCTCCTGCCCATTCCTGCCCCCCCCGAAGGTGTGTCTGGAGTGGCGTCACGTGAGTCTGACGGTGGTGTCCCCGCGCGGGCTGTTGACGGTGCTGCGGGACGTGGGCGGCCGGGCGCCTGCGGGGGCCGTCACCGCACTGCTGGGGCCGTCGGGAGCAGGTGGGGGCGGGGCGGGGCGGGGCAGGGAGGGAAACGGTTGGGGGTGGGAGGTAACTGGACATGTGGATGAGATGGAGAGGCACGAAGGAAGGCTGCAACTATCACAGCCACCTGCCCCACCCCACTTCCCACCCCGCAGGCAAGTCCACGCTGCTGGACCTGCTTGCTCTGCGCGGCGCAGTAGCCCTACCGGAGGGCCCCTCCTCCTCCTCTCCCTCCGCCCCCGGCTGCAGCGGCCAGGTGCTGGTCAACGGCCAGCCCCGCGACCGCCGCGCCTTCCTGCGCAGCAGCTCCTACGTGCCGCAGGAGGACGCCTTCCTGCCGCAGATCACGGTGCGGGAGGCGCTGCTGCTGCAGGGCCGACTGGTGCTGCCGCCGCCGCAGTGCGCGCCCGCAGCGGTGGCGGCGCGCGCGGCGGCGGTGGCGGGGGCGCTGGGTCTGAGCGGCGTGATGGACGCCATGGTGGGTGGGGTGCTGCCGGGCGGGCTGCTGCTGCGCGGACTCAGCGGCGGCGAGCGCAAGCGGCTGAGCATCGGCAGCGGGCTGATGTCGCGTCCGCGCGTGCTGCTGCTGGACGAGCCCACCAGCGGACTGGACGCATTCGCGGCGGCGGTGGTGGTGGGGCACGTGGCGGCGCTGGCGGCGGGGGGGCATGCACACGGACATGCGGGCGGGGCAGCGGGGGGTGGCGGAGGCGGCGGTGTGACGGTTGTTGCCTCGCTTCACCAGCCGCGCGCCGCCATCTGGGAGCAGGTGCAGCAGGTGGTGGTGCTGGGGCGCGGCCGGCTGCTGTACTGCGGACCGCCCTCGGAGCTGCTGCCCTGGTTCCGGGACAGGCTGGGCTACAGCTACAGCCCCGCCGTACACGGACTGGTGTCGGACTGGGTCATGGACCTGGTGGCACTGCCGTCGGGCATTGAGCCCGCAGCGGCCGCCGTAGCGGCGGCTAATACTCCGACCGACGCTCCCATCATCAGCGGCGGCGGCGGCGGCGGTGGCGGTGGCGGAAGCGTCTTTGGCGGCGGCGGCGGAAGCGTCTTTGGCGGCGGCGGTGGTGAGAGCGGCGGCGAGGGTACCCCGGAGCGCGAGATTGAGGAACAACGCGGAGTCGGCGGTGGCGGCGCTGAAGGCAACAGCAGTCGCAACGGATCGGCGTCAGAGCCCGACACCTTCCAGGCGATGACGTCACTGGCGGAGCTCGACGCCGCCGCCGACGCCTTCGCCTCTGCCGTACTGTCGGTGCCGCCAGCTCCCGGCGTCAGCGCCGGTGTGCCGGACTACCTCAATGTACTGCATGCCTCCGCCTTGCGAGCGACGGGTGGCGGCGGCCGTGGTGGTGGTGGTACGACAACCACCACCGCCGGGGCGGCGGAGGTACCTGGCGGCGTCGGTGGCGTCGTACTGCCGTACCCGCCGCCGGCGGCGGTTGTGAAGCAGTCGCGCAGCTGGACCGGCGCCGTCACCGCGGCGGCGTCCGGCGCCGCCGCCGCCGCGTCCAAGTGGTTCCGGCAGTACCAGATGCTGGTGTGGCGGGAGTACCTGGTCGCGACGAGGAACCCGGCTGACGTGGCAGGACGCATGCTGGTCTTCATGTGGGTCGGGATCTTCGCCTCCTTCCTGCAGTACAGCCTGCAGGTGCGTACGACACAACCCGCGCGCCTAGAGTTGCGGGCGACATGCGGGACCGGGGGTTTTGGGGACACGGGCATGTATGGGAACTGTTGGTTGACTCGTCGTTGCTGCGCTACGGCGGGCTAGGATTAATTGCGGCTTCGTTGATGCCTGGGATGCTGCTCTCACCCCGCCACATGTATGCATGTTGCATGTGGGGCTCGCTTGGGAGGTAGTATGTGGTACCGGTATATGTCCCACCTGCTTGGCATGGGGGAGGGGCGTGGAACCTGTGGCGCGGGGGCTCCACGGGAATGGGGCATGGGGAGCTCGGAAAAGAGCCTTCACAGGTTCACATAGGAGCTTGCCCTGCTCAACTGCACTGCACGGTATGCCCGGCCTACCGGGGGTACGGTTTGTACCGCACCGCTGGTGCTCCCCCCTTCCCAACCTCATGCAGGCCGACGCGTCCAGCATCGCCCTTCGCGCCAACCTGCTCTTCGCGCTGGTGTTTTTCTTCATTGTGATGCCCTTCATCTTCATGAGCCTCTTCACGGCAGGTGCGTGCGTGGGTTGGGAGGAAGAAGGCGGCAAACAAAGGCAACGTGCTAATGCCGTGGTAGAGCTGCTATATAGCCCCACTCACCCCTCCCTCCCTTCTTTCCCCTCCTCCCTCCCTCCCCTCACCTTCCCCCACCAGACAAGCGCTTCTTTCTGCTTGAGGCCTCTGCACGCGGCGGCGGGGGCGGGCTGTACGCGCCCTCAGCCTACTACGCTGCCAAGGTCACCGCCACCGCACCACTCAACATCATCATCGCACTCACATTCGACTGGATCGGGTGCGTGGGTGGGTGGCTACATGACTCGTGGGGGCATGGCTCGAATGCCGTCAGTCTAGGCTTTTCGGTTGTACCGTATACCCCCCTCATGCACGTCTGTGACCCATGGGTCATCACGGCCGGTTTCCTTATCCAATGTGTGCCGTACACGAGCGGTAGCGTGTACGGCACCCTTTGGATGAGGAGGTTCGCAAATGCGCCAGCCGTGATGACCTGTAACATGCTGTTATTCGTGCCCGCGGGCTCGTGTCCTCCCTGCCTGCCGTCTCCCTTGGCCCTTGGCTTGACCTCATGCATGCTCGTTGTGCCCCCTCCCTCCCTTCCAGGTACGGCATGCTGGGTATGCGCCACAGCGTGATCGACTTCGTGCGGCACACCACCTGCGCCGCCCTCATGGCCCTCATCTCGCTGCAATGGGTGCAGGTGGGCTGGGCGCGATGGAAAGGAGCGGCGGACGTAGGGCGCATGCACCTGGCTGTGTGGTCGCCTGATTGCCCGAATATCGCTGTCCCTCCCACCCTGCTGCCCTGCCGCCTGCCGCCGCCTCCGCTCCCCTCCTCGCCTCTTTCACCAGTCTCTCCTCGCTCCTAGTTCAGCGCGGTGTGCGTGAACTGACTCTTTACGCCCGCCCCGCCGCTACTGCCCCCCTCTTCCTCCCCTCTCCTCCCCCCTCCTCAACCTCCGCAGGCCGCCGTGGCCTTCTCCCCCAACCAGGACCTCGCATTCATCGCCTCCGTTGCCTTCGCCGTGGTTAACCTGCTGTTCAGCACGGAGTTCCTGGGATACGGTGGGAGGGGAGGGGACGTGGAGGGGGGGGGAGAGAAAGGCGGGAAGGAGGGCAGGGGCGGGGGTTGGGGCTCTGGCGGCGAGGCTCAGTCGCTGGGGTGCTGCTTCCTGGCCCACCCGGCACGCAAGTTACGCAACCCACATGCTGTACGCCCCTAACCCCTTCCCTTTCCCCTCCTCCCAAACCCCCGACTCGTACACAGCCCACATGACTTTCCCCGGGCTCCGCCGCCTGCGCGCCATCTCCGCGCTGGACCACACCTGGCGGGGCCTTATGGTGGCGGAGTTCCGCAACCGCGCCTTCTTGTGCGGCCCCCCGGGCTCCGCGGGCATGCTGGGCACCGATGCACTGGGGCTGTACCCGCAATTCCTGCCCAGCAACCCCGCGTTTGGATTTGTCAGGTGGGCTGGGTGGAGGTGGGAGGAGGAGGGAGGAGGGGTTAGAGGATTGAACTGGGTTGTCGTCGTGTCGATCGGTAGGCTTGGGAAGGAGAGGAAGAGAGAGAACGAAACTAACCCGCAGGAGCCTCAACTCATGTTCCTTAAATTGTGGTTGCTGCTGCTGCCATCATGATGTGTACCCAGGCAAGGCATGACGACTGCTCCCGAGAACTGCGTGGTCAGCACCAACGCGCTGCTGTCGTACTACAAGATCAACACCCCCGTGGGTACGACAATCGGCTACCTCTTCCTCTACCTAGTTGTCGTACATGCCATCACCTACCTGGCGCTGCGCATGACGGTCATGCCCAAGCCCTCGTTTACCAGCTCATCACGCCGCGACGGCGATGGAAGTCCGATTGTACGGAAGTTGCGTAACGTCATCTCACGTGTACGGCATGGCGCCAAGGGTGGTACGGAAGAAGCAGGGGCGGGGAAGGAGGCTGCTGCTGCTGCAGGGCCGTCCAAGCTGAAGCCGGGGGAGGTGGGGGATGCGGCAGCGGGGGGCATGGGGGTTGGGCCGAGGGCGCTGGCGCCGGCGGGTGCAGCGCCGGCGGCTGAGGAGTGAGGAATACCGTAGTCGGACGATAAGGAGGCGCAGCAACGCATTATTGTCATGACAAAGCAGCCATTGTGCTACTCAGCTGTTTGCTGCCCAGATACCCGGCAAATGCTGCAGACGTAAGCGCCGCCACATTCGCATTCTGCTGCGCGAGTTGGGCCTGGTAGGATAGGTTGGGCAGGTGACTGGGCTAGGCGGGTTGTAGCGCACGTGAGGAGTGGGTTTGTGGACGTAATACCGTTGCGAGGAACGCAGGATTTCAGGATGTTTGAGAGCACGTTTATTTTTGGGGGGTAGGTGCTGTTTGTTGTACACGCCCATGCTTCCGGTTGACGGTTTGTTCGCGTTGAGTATGGTGAAAACAGCCGCCTGGTGCCGTACCATACGGCCTACTCGCATTGTTGTGTATCATGTTGTGCATAGCACAGAAAGAAGAGTTTCAAAAACTGCGGAGCATGTAAATGCGGGCGTGAGTTTGGAGCGGGGGGATTAGTATCGTTGCGCGGCTAGGTGGGCTCTTGATAACGCTGCTCGTGTATAGCTGGATGTTCTCACGAGGGAAGCGCAGTGTTGGTACGTGAAGGATGGAGGCCTGCACAAAGGACTGCTGTGAGTCTATCGTGCACACGTCGCGTGAACAGCCTCTAGCCTCACCCCGCCGTCCTTGGCCTCCCATTCATTCAACGTCTGCTGCATCACTGCAGCCTTCATCACATGTGCCGTACTTGTCCCCCTGTTTTGGCTTCCGGGGGACGGCAAGCGACCGCACCCACCCCCTCACTTACTTCCTTACTAGCCAAAAGGTCTGGCAAGCGACCTTGCCACTGCGCATCCCCGAAGGCTCGTGGCCCAATACGAGACTACAGCAAGCTTAAGACCTGCTAAGCGACAGCGCGCCAGTTCGGGGAGGCCAAGTAAACGCACAATCGAAAGACAAAAGATACCACAAGAGAACGTACTTGCGCACGTGCTGCATTGCACCCTATTGCGGCCACGGACTGTTTGCATGACTAACGCCCCGCCTTGGATTTTGATTCCAGGTTACGTTCCGGTCAACGCGTTCGTTGCTAGCATTTCTAACTGTAGGCAACCATTTGCCGTCAACACTGCTGAGTAGCTGCGAACTGGCTTTTTGACACAAGACATAGGATATGCTGCCTACCTTGTCTTCTATCTATCTTGGTTAAATTTTCCTAGCAATGGTTTAATACCAATACCTGTATAAAACTGACTCGTTAGTCCTAAGCTTGTGCTCCTGGAGGGCCGCAATGTCAGTGACAGTACACACCAACGTGGGCGATCTGAAGATAGAGCTCTTCTGCGAGCAGGTAGCTGAAATTAAATAACATGCTTTGCGGTTTTGACTGGTCTGTGTCACGACAGCTTTGATACGCAAATATGTACATTGCAATCTTCTGCAAGCGCGGCGAGTCTTGTACGTACCTTGATGGACCTCAGGCGATCTTTGGAACTCTATGTAGTGGTTGGGTCCTTGCCGTATACGGTCGGCATGGCAGGACCCATCCCTTAATGACACTTGCCACCACCATCAGAGTCCAGAGCGCCTGCATAGCCAATATCTGCCCCAACCCTCCATCCAATCCCTGTTTGGGTCCTTGCCTTCCAGGCCCCTCGTGCATGCGAGAACTTCCTAGCCCTCTGCGCCAGCAACTACTACGACAATGTGCACTTCCACCGCAACATCAAGGGTTTCATGATCCAAGGAGGTGAGTGCAACCAGCAGCACGATTAGAGTGAGCAGGAGTGGGGCTAGCGGTGGTGGTCGAAGGGCGGCGGAAGGCAGGATGAGCAGCAGCATAGGGGGGACAAGCGGCCCCATGCCCCCCCCCATGTCCCCGCCCTCCAGGCGACCCCACTGGCACTGGCAAAGGCGGGCGCTCCATCTACCCCACCCCCACCGGCAAGTTCCCCGATGAGATCAGCGACGCACTCAAGCACAGCAAGCGAGGCATCGTATCCATGGCCAACTCCGGACCCAACACCAACGGCAGGTGCGGCACAAAGAGCAGAAGCACCATGCTGGGAGGGGCAATTTGAGCGGGGGTGCATGTCCGCTGGCGCATGCTGGGTTTCGCTATGCTCGCTCAGCGCATGCTGGGGCGATGGGCCCAGATTGGGAGTCGAGAAGACCTGCCTCCTGGTGCTCAACACCCGCCCCTCCTCGCCCTCCCACGTCCCACCCTTGCAGCCAGTTTTTCGTGACGTACAAGGCGCATGCGCACCTCAACGGGAAGTACACGGTGTTTGGCCAGGTGGGTGACGGAGACTGCGGGCAGGAAAAAGGGAAAGGCGGGGGCAGTCTGCAGGGGGGGTTGCGGCTTATGAGGCTTTAGGGTGAGGGAAAGCGGAGTCTTGGGGGACCCTTTTAGGAGTATTTCGGAGTGCTCGGAGCTAGCCGCTGCAGCCACATGGGGCACCGCTCCTCATGTCTTTGCTTGGGGTATTCGCTGGGTGCGGGATTCCGGGTCCTTCATGCAGGCATGTGACGTCATCGAATGTAACGCAGCTGACCCGTGGGTCGTGCGCTCTGCACCTACCCGCAGGTGATTGACGGCATGGACACACTCGACCGCATGGAGAAGGTCCCCACGGATGAGAAGGTAAGCAAGCGGCTGGTTGTTAGCGGTTAAGCAGTTGAGGTTGCCGAGGGTGTTGAGGGTGGTGGCAGCAAAGCTGAAGACCACAGACGGAATTGGAAACCATGCAATGCCTGGGACGCATTGCAGATTTACAATCCCATAATTATGTGTGCCGCATATCAGGACTTTCACAGACTGCTGTGGTCGAGCCATGCTGCGACTTCCCTCGTGAACCAGCATCTCTCACCCGCATTCGTTTACCCCTTCTTGCTGCTTTGCATCTCCCTCTCTTTCCTTCCCCACAGGACCGTCCCAAGACGGACATCAAAATCAACAAGGTCACCATCCATGCAAACCCCCTGGCTGGGTAGCATGCGGGGCGGTGGTCGCCGCAAGCACGCACGGCCGGAGCCGCCTAGCCCCGTGTACGGCAGGAAGGCGTACGACATACGCTTGAGGATGTCGCATGCGTGACAAGTGGGCTCTACCTGTCTACGCACTAGCGACCCTACCCGCGGGGGTGCTTTACCCCCCGCACGTGTAGTCGCGCTTGCAGCAGCAGCAGCAGCGGAGGGCTGGGGTGCAGTCTTAGGAGGCTGCTTCCGCTGCCCGGCTAAGTAAGGTCACAGCATGTTGCTTGTCCCGGTGCGGCTGCTGGCTTTGCGGAGGCCTAACAGAGTTGGCACTGCTGCAGCAGCACTCCTGCAGCAGCCATGGAAAGGGGAACCGACGGGTGACAGCATGGCAGCAGCAGCAGGAGGAGGAGGAGGTGGCTGGTGAAAGAAGTGCACCGTGCCTGATAGGATAACAGCGTGGGATCAAACGATTTAGGGGGATTGTTGCAGTTATTGTTTCTAATGCGGATTGTACTGCTGTCGCGTTGATTGGTGTACCGCGCTCTGGAGGGGAACACGGCACGGGTCCTCGACGTTGGCAGCTGCGCGGTCTTCCTAAGGCTTAGTCTTGTTTGGGTCTATTGAAGCCGCAGCTGCAGCATCTACGAGGAGGAAAGAGAGCAAGGAGGTGGGGGCGCACGAGTAGTGTGTGAGGAATCGGGCAGCGGGGGACGAGGCCTTGGGGGCATAGGCTTTGCACGGAGAGAAAAAGCGCTGTCGCTGCATGCACTCCAAGGGGGTAATCCTGCACATTGTTGACGAGGCCTTTTCATTTAACCAGCTCGGCTGGTTTCCGTCTTTTAATTTGCGGACCAAGAAGCATGTAGGAAGCACGTTTGGAAACGCTGGTGGAAAATGGGAATAAAACACGCGAACAAGCATCCAAATGTTCCAAATATTGCTGCGTTCCTTGTTCCCTTTCATTGACAGGAAACAGAAGAGGAGTGCACCGGTAGGGGACATTGAATGGGCCTTGCACGCCAATTCACTCTCTTTTGGTTTTGACACATCATAAACCAGAACATACGAAAGGCAAATGGGAGCCAGGTGTAAGCTCGACTACATCCCCTGTAATGAATGTCACGTGAGTAATAATCATGATCATCCCTTTAGTCATCTTAGGCACAACCTCAGGCATGGGAAGCATAATGCAAAACAGCTGCTGCTGTATAGTATGTCATCTTTTCTACGGGTATGCGCATGAGGCCGCTAAGGTGAAGATTGCGTGGTCAAGACGCGTCATGGTGACCCACGGGCCGTGTTGCGTGCATTGCGGTCATTTAGGTAAGAGATCCATAGGTAATGCTCCAGGCTGACATAAAATACTCAGGCAATTGAGAGGTATCCCTCACAAAGCGATCAGGCAGACAGCAGTCAATGATCACACATCCCTCATCCCGTCCCTCCTACTTTGACATACGACACGCCACATCGCGTAACCCATAACGTATTACCAGGCAAATATTTGACGGCTTGCTGCCAACGTCCCAACCCCACTTCAATTCTATACATTAACCAACCACTTGCCTGGCTCCAGCATCAGCAACTTCACTTACCACTGATAGCTGCGTAGCTGCTTGCCCTCACATAGGGGCCTCCTGCGCCCCTTGACAGAAGGCTTGCCCCATACGGAGCACAAGGGTCCTCCCTTGTGCTCTCCTTTACCAATCCCTACCTCCCCCTTTTCCTAGCCATAGTAGCAGCCACAGCAAGCGTCATCGGTTACTAAACGACACAAGTTAGGCCACTTGCAGCGCTAACTAACGACAGCGAGCAATCAACGCGCCCCATCGAGCTTCCTAGGATTTAGCCCCAGCCTGCCTCTGCCTTAGCTTCAGCATGCGAGATTTGGCAGGGGATGCGTGTGCGGGGGCGGCATCTGGCCCGCCCCTGCCACCTCCCTCGTCGTCTTTACGCCGCGCGGACACACCCTTCACCTGTGCTCCGTCCCTGAACCCCGACAACAGCAAGCAGCGCCACCACTCGGTTTCCAGTAAGGGCAAAGCTGGCAAGAGCGCTTTCAGCAACAGTACCAGCAAGAAGCCCACGCGTGAATCAACCGCTGAGTCAACCGCTTTTACAGCACCAGCCAAAACAGTCATCTCGCTGTCTTCATCCTCGTCACTCTCCGCACCGGCTTCCCAGCAGCCCTGCCACACCATATTCGAGGAGGAGTCGTCGTCCTCCCCACCCTCCAAGCCGAGCTCCCTCGCCGGCGGCATCATGAACGCTGCTACTGTCCCAGCAACCGCCACCGCTACCAAGCAACCACCCCAACCGTCGCAACCACCACCACCATCCTCCTCCTCCTCACATAACCACCAGCAGCATACGTCTTCGGATCCTCTGGCATCGCTCTTCTCTGAGCCCGAGAAGCCCTTCGGCGCGGGATTCACCTCCACCACTGTGCTTCAGACCGCGCCCGCCGACCCACGGGTCAGTCGCGCCTCCCTGCCAGCCGACTACGACCGACGCGGCTGGGTGCTGCTGCTGCGCATGGCGGTGGCGGCGGCGGTTTTCCTGGCAGCGGCGGTGTGTACCGCGGTGGCGGTGGCGGCGGTGGTGGGGCCGCGGCGGCTGCTGGCGGCGGTGGCGGTGGCGGAGGCGCTGTTCTTCGTGTACTACCGCCGCAGGTGGGCGAGGGGGTGGTGGCGGTGGTGATGGTGTATGTGGGCGGTGGTGCGCGATGCGTCGTGTGCGGCTGCTGCTGCTGCGGGTGACGGGGGATGTGCTGACTGGCAGGTCTGGGACTAGCGCTGCTGTTGTCGGTCTGTCACTCATTGCCGCGCTCCCCGCTCGGCACTCCCCACCGTCTTCTCGTGCGCACCACTCACGTCTTCTCTCACACGCATCCACTCGCGCTCCTTCACTCACCATCATCATCACTCGCCACTCGCCCCCACCACCTGGCTAACCCCACACACTCCACCCCTCACCCCCACCGCCCCCACCACCTCCTCCCCCTTCACGTCAGGTACCGCGCGCTCAACGCCCAGCCCACCGGCCGTCACGCGCCCGAGCGCCATGACGCCCTGGCCGCCTTCAACCGTCTGCTGCAGGTGGGGGGAAGAGGGGGAGGGGGCTTGCTTTGGAACCCGGATAGGAAGAGTATCAAATGGCTAATGGATAACATCCGGGTTTCGACGCGCCTCGAGGTAGTATAACCGACCTGCTACACTGTCCTTGGCCCCATTACCGATTCCCCCCGGCCCCCGCCCTTGTACCTCACCCTCACCCTCACCCCGCCCCCCCAGGTCACGCAGTACTTCCAGCACAAGATCGACGCGCGCGTGTACCTGTCCACCTGGTTCTGCGGGGCGGACTACCGACTCATCCGGCGGGACAACGTGGCGGACCTAATTGCGTACGGCTTCTGGTACATGAGCAGGTGGGGGGGCCGGGGGGGGAGGAGGTGGGGAGAGGGGGGGTCTCCGGTACTACGGTTCCGTTGGTAAGACCAGTTGGTTTGTTGACAAGAGCAGTTGGTTAAGACCGTATGGTAAGGGGTATCTCAGGATAGCCACATGCATGAGGACTCCTGAGTAACAGATCTCTTTAACTCCTCCCCCTGCCCCCTCGCTTCCTCCCTCCCCCTCCCCACCCCCAGGTCCGAGATGGAGGCGGCGGGTCTGGGTCCGCTGCTGCGGCAGTGCGTGAGCGCGCTGGAGGCGGCCTTCCGCATCTCGCTGCCGGCCGGCTACCAGCGCGGATTGCGCTGCATGTTCCACCTGTGGGAGCCGCTGAGGACCATTTACAGGTGCGGTGGGGTGGGGGAGGGGGGTGGATGCATGTGCGCGTGTGTTAAAATAACTGGCCGCGAGGCGAAACGTACTGTGATTGCCAAAAGATGAAGTCCTCCCACCGAAAACGCCACTGGTGAAGTGAAGTCCGTTGGCTACGTTGTAATAGAGTTAACAAGTAGTCTCGGAATCATTGTAAAGCAGTAATAGCAATGTCGTAACGCGACCGGACCTAAGGACCGGAGTAGTAAGTAGGTAGGTATAAGTAACCGTCACTGTCATGTGTAAACTGGATGTAGAGAAGCTGGAGCTGTCGCTGAACAGGGGTAAAAGCAGGAGTGATGCCAAGACGTCGCAGTGCATGCTCGAGCAAAGCAGGACAGGAAAAACAAGTGCAGGACCACTATGTGCGTATGCGAATATTACCGTAGACTGACCTGCAGAGCAGGGGGGACCAGCAGCCAGCAGCGAACACACCAGTAGTCAGTACCGAAGAACACAGACGTGTGTGTGTGTGTGTGTGTGTGTGTTTTGGTGCCTGCCTACACCCTACTCAGGCTATCTGATTGTGCACCATAACCCCACATACGGCAACCCCTTACCCTGGAGTCGTAGCGCCCCCGTTCATCCCTCCCACACCACCCACCAACCCCTTCTGTACCTTCCCCGTCCCCCCCCTCGTCCTCCCTTGCAGGCCGCTGTGCTTCTACCTGTCGACCGAGCTGCTGGCGCTGCTGTGCCAGGTGCTGCTGCGCGCTCTGGGCTGCTCGCTGCACACCGACCCGGTCTCGGGCATGATGGTGGCCACTGCGGGGGTGGGGGGGCCGGCGGGTGCTGCTGCTGCGGGGGCGCAGGGGGGGCCGGCAGCAGCAGTAGCGGGGAGAGGAACGCAGAAGAAGCAGGGGGTGGCGGTGAGGCCGGGCAGCCAGCAGCAGCCACAGCCCCAGCAGCAGCAGCAGGAGGAGGAGGAGGAGGGTGGAAAGGGAGGCAAGGCGCCGTCTGGCGGACGCGGGTACGGGGGTGTGGGTGGTGGTGGTGGTGCTGGTGGTGAGCACCACCACCAGCACCACCAGCAGCAGCAGCAGCAGTCGGTTCGACCCACCGTGGTTGCGCACTGGGATGCGTTCGATGAGGGAGCAGCAGGGGAGGAGGCGGAGGAGGCAGGGGCGGCTCATGACAGCAGCACCACCACTAGCACTAGCAGCACCAGCAGCACCCCCGCCAGCCGGCCTGACAACACCCCCGTGCTGCTGCTGCACGGAGTGGGGCTGGGTCTGCTGCCGTACACCAATCTCATCAGGTGGGGGTTAAATGGGGAGGTGGGGGGGTGCCGTACAAGACTTGGCGAGGGAAAGCTGGTTGGGTCCCCTTCCAAGAAGTTCTAACCGTGACTCCTGTACCACGTGACACCTGTATCCTGTCGTACAGGTGCCTGCTGGCTGCCGGGCTGCCGCTGGTTGCGGTGGAGTACAAGCACGTGAGCATGCGGCTGTGCTCCATCATCCCCTCCGCGGACGACATAGCGGCGGGGGTGGTGGGCATCATGGACCGACTGGGCATGGAGCAGGTGAAGAGGAGGGAGGGAGGGAGGGAGGAGGGAGGGAGGGAGGAGGGAGGGAGGGAGGGAGGGAAGTATGGGTTAGAGAGGGCACAGGATAGTAGGATCTGGCCGGCATTACGCGTCCTGTGTTCTTGTGTAAAGCCGTCTACACACCTTCAAGTCAACCTCCTTCCTCCTTCATCCCTTCTCTTCCCCTGCCCTCCCCCTCACCACCTCCCCCACCCCCCCAGGCCTGTGTGGTGGCCCACTCGTACGGCACCTTCGTGGCCTCCCGCCTGGCGCAGCTGCACGCGCCCCGCCTGCAGAGCCTGGCGCTGCTGGACCCGGTGTGCTTCGGGTGAGCGAGTGACCCGTGGGTCGGTGGTGGTGGGCAGGGGGCGGGAGCAGTCGGACTGGCGGGTTACGGTCGTAGCCCTCAGCTGTATGTTGCCTACATCCCTGTCATCTATCCCTGCTATCATAGGGTACCTGTAGCCGCGCGTGTTGCATTCATCGACACCTGGTGTTAGCCTGGTTCACTTGCTCGCTTTGTTGCCCACAACACCCGTTACTGGCTAACCCAACCTAACCTCCTCCCCCACCTCGGCCCCCCTGCTGACCCCCCTCCCCTGCTCCCCCCAGCATGTTCATGCCGCACCTGCTCGCCAACTTCATATACCGCCAGCCGCGAACCACCTCCCTGGCCATATGGGCCAAGGTACGTACGGCAGTCGGGTGTACGGCAGCGGGGGTATGGTTCCTTCTTGCGTATTCCTTGAGATCCTATCCGTATTGCTGGCTGTTGTACAACCGGCGCGCTCGCTCGTTGCGTCGCTCTTGCGAACACCTGCGAACACCTCTCTCCTCCTCTCATCCCCTGCCTTCCCTCACGTCTCTCCTCTTTCTCCCCCCCCCTCAGGACATGGTGTTCAACTTCGTGTCCCGCGACCTGCACTGCGCCGCCGCCCTGTGCCGCCGCTTCTACTGGTCCGACGTCAACTTGTGGCCGCAGGTGGGTGAGCAGTGGGGGGGAGCCGGGGAGGAAGCTGGGGGAGCCGGGGGGGAGCAGGACCTTGTCTTTCCACAGTGTTGGCATAGTGCGCTGCCATGTTCGCTTGTCCTGATGTGTAATCACCTGACAACCGCCCTATGGTTCACGCCGTCTCCTCCTCCACTTACTCCTTCGCCCCGTTCAACTCCGCTCCCATTCGCCGCCCGTTCCACTGCCCCCTTCCCTCTTTCCCTCTCTCCTCCTCCTCACCCCGCCTCTTCCCCCTCCTCCCCCCTCCACCCGCGCTGCTGCAGGACATCCCGGGTCGCACGCTGGTTGCGATCGCGGGCCATGACCAGCTCATTCACGTAGACGAGGTGGGCCATGTGGGAGGGGGGAAGTTATACCGGTAGATAGGGGGGAAATAGAAGGAGGTGTGCTGTTTGCTCCGTTTGTCCTTTCTTGTTGGGGGCTGTCTCCTCCCAACTGCTTGCCTGCTCTGGAAAACAAATACCGGTACCGGTAGTTGCCGCTATTGTTCGCAGCGGCAATCTTCCTCTTCCCGCGCGCCCCCTCCCCCCCAGGTGCTTGACTTCATCCAGCACTACGCCGCCAAGATCCTGTACCACCCGCACCACTCGCACGCGCAGCTGCTGATGGACGCCAGCTGGCAGCAGCAGGTGGGGCAGCCGACCCGTGGGTCGGGCCGTGCTGGCTTCCACCCAGCGCAACATTCTGCTTGTGACAGTTGCGAAACAACCAATAGAGCTCCAGCACGATTGGCGGAGCTTACAACCAAACCCCATGCTACCCCTTGTTGTTGCGGACACTTCTGCTGTCAACGCTTCTGTCGGATCCCAGAACGGGTCCTAACTCCTGAGCTGTTCCTGAGGTCCATTGAAACCCCTGCTTCGGCCCCTTCCTCGGCCTCTGCCCCAGGTCGTTGCTGACATCACCGCAATGGCGGGATCCGGCAGCGGCTCCGCGGGTGCCCGGGAGGTGCAGCGGCGCCTCACAGCCATGCCGGCGGCGGCGGAGGCGGCGGAGAAGGCGGCGGAGGCGGCCGGCACGCTGCCGCTGACGCTAGGCGCCCTGGCGGCGTCGCCGGGAGTCGTACGACGCGTCACCACCACCACCATGACGGCGTCGCCGTTCCAGGTGCCGCCGCCGGCGGCGACGGCGGTGGTACGGCAGGGAAGTATTGTTCACGGCGGGGTTAGCGTCAGCGGCGACCGCCACGTGACGGCGGCGGCGGCGGAGCACGAGGAGGAGGATGACGTGACGGCGCTGGCGGCGGCGCTGAGCCGTCAGATTGGGGAGGCACGGGAGCGGCGGCTGGCGCCGGCGGCGGCGGAGACGCCAAGCACTGCGGCGCCGTTCCCCGGCGGGGATGCCAACGGTCCTGTCACGAAACCTCCGGCGCCTCCACCTTCACCATTCGGCGCCCTTGCCGCGGCTTCGGACAACGGAGCGTCTGAGGGTGAGACTGCGTCGCTGGCGGCGGTAACGGCTGCTGGCGGGGTTTCCGGAGGTGGTGGCATGGCTCGCAGCTGCAGTGCGGGCGCGGCGGGGGGGCGGGTGGTGCCGCGGCGCGCCACCGCCGCCGCTCGGCTGCAGCACACCTCCAGGTGAGAACCCCTGTGTGGTGTTGTTAAAAAAATGCAAGGGGGCATAAGGCCAAAAGGGGGCCGTGGAAAATTGACGAAAAAGGCGTGAGGTGGCGGACTCCCACGCCCTTCATTACCGAGTAACGCCTCATTCATCCCTTGCCACACTCACCCGCCCATCTTGCCCCTCCTGCAGCGGCGCGCTAGCCTCCTCCGAGGCCCTCCTCCGCTTGGAGCTGGCGGGCATAGGACTCAACCCCGCCATACTCCTAACCTCGCCGCCGCTGACGTCACAGCAGCAACAGCAGCAACCGTACGCCGGCTGCATGTACGGCAGCAGCACACCTGGCGTTGCTGCTGCCTACCGTACGGCCTCGCAGCCGCCGCCGTCGTCTGCTTCGTTGGGGCTGCGAATGGCTCTGCCTGCGATTCGCGAGACGCGGGAGGACGTGTCGGGACCCAACACACCGGTAGCGGGACCGCCACCGCTGCTGTGGGGCGTGACGTCGGTGTCCCCACCGCCGTCGGCGTTCGCGTCAGTGGCGGCTTCTGCGTTCGTACCTTGCCTCATGGCGGCGGGATGCGGAGGGGTTGTCTGTACGGTAACCGGAGAGGGAGCGGCGCTGCGGATGCGGCGGACCATGACCACGTGATGTGGCGAGGTGTGGGAAGGCGAAGGCTGCTCTCGAGAGCTTACGGGTTGGTTGGACGTTGGGTAAATAATGGAACCTGATAATTGCTGTAGTGCGGTATGGGTATGAAGGAGCGAGAGAGTAGGGGAGGAAAGCGCTTATTTGGTCGTTGCGACGATGGGTAATAAACTTCAAACCCGGCTTGAACACGATAACGTGCAGGATTAAGGTATTTGGATGAGAGCGGCGCACTGCCACAAGGCAGGGTGGCAATGCGCCGGCATGCAGATAATGACTGTACTACGAGGGGGCTCTCCGTGTGCTTCCTATGTAGTAAAATGCTCTATCCTTGGTAGTCCTTGAACCAGTCTGAAGTGGGATATCTTGGTGTGGTGGGCATTGGTGACATTGTAGACGCGTGTGTTACTGGCCATAAATTTGAACTGGGTTGCGTTGGCAAGGGCAACTCCCTTTTAAGGCCACACGCTGAAAGGAGGATGTAACGGCATCGTTGAGCCCACGACAATCGAGTTGCCGGGAGTTGAAGTTTTAGCAGCGGTTGGGTTCCGACCCACATCCTATGTTGGCTTTCCTCGTGGCTCTGTGTGCGTCTTGTGGTCCTGCTCCATGGCAAACAACGTTTCGAGGGGTACAGGTTGTGACCGTAGACAACAGCCAGCAGATTGCCACAACTCAAGTAACCTGTTGACAACGATGTAAGTATCGTCAATGGCTACACAGCATCATTGATGTGACGTATAATAAGCATGTAGCGGATAGGCACGCCGGGGACGGAGAATGCGCTTACAAACAGTCATCTTGCAATGCTGACTATGTATTTCCGTACATGCACATCCGCACATGGACATACTATATCTACAAACCGTCTCTCCTGCGGCATAAGCACCCGGTGTCAAGCAATTTAACACTAGGGCAATAAACCTCGAAGCCCCTCGGCGATATATGCAAGATACGGTGCATCAATTGCACCTCACAGGCCTTAGGACTGCCGACATCGCACAGAGTATCTGTACACCATTCGTGTGGGTTAACCCCTAGCACGCACCTTGCACGGTACGGACCCCTTCAGTTGTCTTGTGCCGCACTACTCTTACAGCTACGTACACCCCAGCATTTTACGACCCCCCGCCCAGCTATGCCACGCCACCTTTCACCCCTGCCCTCCAGCGGGCCCTACGCCAGTCATGAGAAAGCACCTCCACCAGCCGCTGCCCAGCCTACGAAGACTCCGCCGCGGCCTCCAGCTGCTGAACCTACAGCGGCATGGTAAGGAAAAGGCTAAGTACATGTTTGCGTGTAGAGATAGGTTCTCATGACCGACGTACCCGCTCTTGGAGCTCTTTAATAAGCTGGTTCGCCTCCTCGAGCTGCTTTTGAAGGCCATCTCGCTCCGCGACGATAGCCTCAAACTCGGCAGGGGTTGGAGACCCCAAGCATTGTTTAATGTAGCTGTAATAAGTCAAAGGAGTACAGGGTAAGAGGGCAAACGGCCTTTGACATGGTGGAATCAGCTTTGCGGGTAGACTTACTCTAGCGCCTGCTTCGGCTTCGAGGGCTCCTCGTATAGCTGTACTAGCACTGCGCGGCAAAATGCAAGGTAAAGACAACAGCCGAGCGGACTGGTGGACTCCTTGCTGTACTCCGCGGCCCGCGCACCTACCTTTGACAAGCACATCAATAGCACCGGCCTGCTCTAGATATTTGCGGAAGGTCTCCTTCTGCGACTCCGACATGGCTCCTACGTAAGCCGAAGATGTTGCTAAAAGCTACCTTCTTTCTTATGATAAGGGCACGCAGTCAGTCTAACTGTTACAAATAAAGCTTTATGGCACGTGTTCTAGGCGTAGGAGATGCACGCAGAGGCAGGCTTCGCTCGAAGTCGTACTATGGCTCCAGAACTGCTCCAATTGCCCGCTGATGAGGGACCATGACAGTGTCAACCTTCTGTTCGAGCTAAGTCTCGTGATTAGTCACGCACTTGGTCATATGCTTTAGTAAACTTTGTGTGGTTTGTGGGACACAACTAGAGCTCAACTTCTCGCTGCTAGCGAGGGCAATTACTCTTTGGCTGCTCCCAAATTCTACCATGTCATTTCCTTGTCAAAAATGTCGAAAAGATATCTCCTTGGGAAGCCTTGCGGAGCTGCCTTGTAATTGTCTGGTATGCGTACCTTGCTCACGAGGTGCCGTCGTGGATCACCTTCAACGGTACGTTTCTTTGTGGGCGTATTATACCGAATACGTTTAGTTGTCTTGTTGTGTGTATGATGTGAGTATTGCCACCTTTGGATTGAGGAGCTGGGCGATGAGGCTAGGGCATTCAAGCTTTCGGCCCCTCACTCCCTTGCAAACTAATGATTGATGCATGTAGCCGTTAGTTTCCATGTACTCCGTCGCAAACCCTTGGACAGGCTTGCCACGGATGTTGCGCCTTCGCCACAGCCATCCGCAGTCAAGCGGTTGCGGGTGCAGCTTGAGCCTGGTGACGAAGTTTATTACAGGAAACCCGATGGCTCCTATGTGAAGGCGACTGTTGAAATTGTGGATATCTCGGTGCAACCGCCACAATATGGCATTCAGCTTGCAAACACGGACAACTTGCGTTTTACCGAGGAGGATAGGCTCTTTACGGAACTACCAGGTTGGCCCTTTTGTTACCGGCAGTTCCGCAACTCCGCAGTTACACAGGGGCACTTTCGACCTGCACCCCGTCCGACCTACTCCGTTCTTTCCTCCACCCACCTATTGCGACACCTCGACCCCCTGGCACCTAAACCCACACGACCCTCATGACATGCTCCCACTCTCCGCCTTTACCCGTATCAACCAACTCCTCGTCCTTCCTTCCTCCCCCCCACCCTTTCTCCACTCCGCAGCCCCCACGCCGCCTCCTCGCCAGCCGCCGTCCCACCTCCCCACCGCCCGCTGCCCCTGCTGCTCCTCGCACCTCGCGCTGCAGCACCTGCGCGCCCTCGCACCCGAGGCTGTTGCGGCCTGGGAGGCGGAGCGCACTGCCTCCTGGCTGCGAGTGCATGACGTCATCGCCTGTCCCCACCCCCGCTGCGGTGCCCTCATCCAGCGCGTGCCTGCTGCTGGCAACGCCGGCGCCGACCCGCGGTCGCCCTTGTCGCCGCTGCACGCCCACATGCGCGAACAGCAGTCGCCGCCGCGGCTGCAGCGGCAGCAGCGGCAACGACAGCAACAACAACAGGATAAGCCCAAACAGCAGCTCTCTGACGCCGAAGCCCATCGCGAGCTCCACCGCTTCCGTTGCGGCGCCTGCGGCAAGGACTTCTGCGACGCCTGCGGCGCGGCGCCCTACCACAACGGCCTCACATGCGGTCAGGCGCGCGCGCCCGACTGCCTGCTGTGTCGCGGCAAGGTGGAGGAGGAGCGCTTGGCGCAGCTGCTGCCTGTCGCGGCTGCCAAGGAGGCGCGGGAGCACCAGGGGAGGCCGGCCGGTAGCCAGCATGGCGCAGCGGCAGGGGCGGGGCCGGGTCAGGCCAAGCGCGCGGAGAAGGAAGTTGCTGCTGCGGTGGTGCAGCGCGCCTCGAAGAGTGAGCTGTTGTCGGCACTGAAGGGCCTGGGGCTGGACATCAGCTGGTGCCTGGAGCGGAGGGACCTGGAGCAGGTGAGGTTGCCACGGACATTATCACAGTATTAGATAATATTAGGTAAGACCGTACTTGAGCTGTCGCGGCTGACCGTAGATTGAGCTTTCCTCACATATTCGTCTGCAACAGGCCTTGACAAACCCTGTTCTCAGGCGCCGGCTCTTCGCGATGCCGTTTACCCTCCTCCATGCAACGCTCCTACCCTCCTGCCTACCGGTACAGGCGTTTCTGCACTGGGGCTGCCTCACCTGCGGCGCCCCCGACTGCGCCGCCAAGCGCCGCGCCATGTGCGCCCGCCCGCTGCCCTGCGGCCACTGGTGCTGCGGCCTGCGCGGCGAGGGGGACAACATGGGCGCAGCAGGTGCGGAGTGCCGCCACCCGCGCTGCGTGGAGTGCGGGGCGGACCCCGCGGTACCTTCGCCCTCGTCTGCAGCCGCGGCAGGCGGCTCGGCGGCGGCGCTGCCGATGGTTAGCGACTGCTGCTTCTGTTGGGAGCCGTTGTCGACGGCGCCGTGCATTGAGATGAAGTGCGGCGTGAGGCACGTGTGCCACCTGCATTGTGCGGTGAGTGGGTGGGGGTGGGGGCAGGGGAGCCCGGATGGGGATGTGGGTCGTCGGATTTTGGGTTTGGTGGCCGCGTTGAGGATGGCTGCATATGGACGCGACGTGTATATGGCCCTAATCGCCTTGCCCATTTACTAGCCCTTGGCCCCAAACACATCCTGTCCTTAATGGCCTGACCCAGATCGCCTCTAGTTCGAACAGCCTCACCACGCGTCGCCCGACCCAGATCACGACTGACCCAGATCGCGCATTTACATTATTAACAATGGGTTCACCGCGCCCCACGCACTCCCCTCCTGTCTCCCGCAGCAAGCCCGGCTGGCAGCAGGCTACCCGGGACCTCACATCTCCTTCGCGCACCTCTCCTGCCCGCTCTGTCGTGACGGTGGAGGGGGTGGAGGTGCCGGAGCACAGGCGGGGGGCGGATCCGGAGCGAGCAGCAGCAGCGGAGTCGTACAGGTGAGGACTGGACTGGGGGGTTGTTGCTGCTTGCTTTATCGAGGACAGTGCCTTTTGTGGTTGTGCAGCCCTAACCCGCTTACCCTGCCACATCTCGTTACCGTTCTCCTGTGTACACCGGTACACGCCTCCCATCCCGACCCACAATGTCTGGTGGGGTGGGATGGGCCGGGTCGAATGTAGCAACCCATGGTAAAGCCTCGTCATGCAGCTCGTCATTTTCCTCTTTTTGCACCGACCCACATTATTTTCCTTTACGCCATTCCAACTTCGAACCTCCCAAACCTTCCAAATCACGCATCACGCCCCGTCCCGTCCCCCTCCCGCCTGCAGGCCTCCCTGGCCCCGGTGCACCTCTCCCACCCCGCGCTGTCCGCCTGCCTGGCGCCGCACCTGCAGCTGCGAGAAGCGCTGGTGGCGGCGGTGCGCGAGCGGCTGCGCATGGACCCGCTGCTGCGCGCGGCTCCGGAGCTGCAGCCGGGTGGCCGGTACGACGGACGCCCCGTGGACTTTGGCGTGGAGCGGCTGCTGTTCTACAAGTGCTCCAAGTGAGGGGTTAGGAGGAGGGCTGGGGGGGGTAGGATGGGATGGGGGGATGGGTTTGGAGCGTGGAGAAGCGGAAAAGCAGGGTTGGGCTGGGTTTCGATTTGTGTACCGTGCATGTTGTCGCTAGACAAGCGCAAGGGCGCTCAAGTTGCCGTTCTCGTTCTTGCTTGTTGTTCTCGTAGGTGCTCCAAGCCCTACTACGGCGGTCAGCGAGCGTGCGGCGCAGCAGCTGCGGGGGAGGCAGCCCAGCAGCAGCAGGCGGCCGCGGGAGGGGCAGCTGCAGGAGGTGCGGCCGGCGGCGGTGGTGGAGATGCAGGAGCAGCGGCAGGGGGAGGTGGTGCGGCCGACCAGCAGCTGGTGTGCGGGGACTGCTGCGCCGTAGCTGCGGGCACCTCCTGCGGCCAGCACGGCACCAGCTACATCGAGTGGAAGTGCAAGTAAGTGGGGGTGGGAGGGGGTATAGGGCTGTGCGAAGGATGGGAGATGGGAGCTGGTACGGGTGCCGTTCGTGATGCCTGCGCAGGTATTTCAGCTACCGGACGCTACCGCGCCACTCCTTTCCTTCGCCGCTTGCACCGCACCTAACGCTGGTTTACCAGAGTCTATTTTGACGTGTGCCTATCTCCACCCCAGCACACCCCAGCAGCCGCCTCCCCCTCATCCCTGCTGCCTCATGTCTCTCCCTTTATCTCACACCCCCTCCCTCTCCGCAGGTACTGCTGCTCCCTGGCGTCCTGGTTCTGCTTCGGCACCACCCACTTCTGCGACCCCTGCCACCGAGACTACTGTGCCCGAAAGCTGCTTGGCTTCAAGCCCACCCCCGGCAGCGCCTGCGTCGACCCCAACTGCGCCTTCAAGCACGTGCCGCACCCGCCCCCCGGACAGGAGGCCTGTCTGGGCTGCGGAATGTGCCGCAACCGGTAGGGTGGCTGCAGGTGCGGCAGGGGACAGGGACAGGACGAGCGCTGGGCAGAGGCTACGGCCAGGAGTGTCAACCGATAGGACGGTGGCGGCAGCAGCAGGAGGAGGCGTAGAGGAGGGCAGGAAGTGCGCTGGGCTTCGTGGCCCGCGGCGTACGGAAGGGACGAGGGTATGATGGCTGGCTGCAGGATGGGTGGGTAAGAAGAGGAGTGATAGTGGAAACTGTGGAAGTGTAACAGGCTGGGGTAACGGGCACCTGTAAGGTGGCGGGTAATGTACGTGGTCCGCGGCGATTGCCGGGTGGAGGCTGCGGGCTGGTTTGTTTTGGCTGGATGCGTGGCAGCTCGATGGGCTCAGGAGCCGGCAGCAGGCAGGGCGAAGAGACGGAATGGCAAGTACAACGCGTGTGATGCACATGAAGACAGCCATTACAATACCCTCAGGTGACATCCCCCCCATGCATGCATGAGTATAAGAGGGGGTGTTTGCGGTGCACAAGCGTCTGAGGCATATCGCACATGAGAACACACCTGGCGTCCTTTCGTCTGAAGTCAGGTGCGCAGCCGGACGCTGCCCCCGCCCTTGCTCATCCTGATGTGGACGCAATGACCTCGGGAGCGGTTAGTAACGGTGCTGCAAGCGTACTGTGAAAGGCCTTCAATACGGCTGATAAGAATGGGTTATTAATAGCTGTACTTGCTCGGACACCTGGCATTGTAGGTTCCTAGCGAGTTGGGGGGTTTAATCGCTTATGTTTTACCGTCTAGGATGCAGGGGTAGTGGCACGTTTCGCTAGGGTCCTTGTATGCTTCCGCGGCGCTTGATTGCTTGGTTGCATGCATGCCCTCAACTGCGTAGCTGTGTCTAGTTAGGTATGCATTGCACGTTTGCAGGCTTCGCCTATAGGATTAGTAGTTCACTGGTGATGGTTCAACTGTTTGTCTTATGCATTCCTATGCTGGCTGGTAGATGGCTCAATACGCTTGCTGGTAGATAGTTCATTCCTGATCGTGGCTCAGATGCTGAGTAGAGAGGCAGGTAAGGGTACGATATGGTAGCGGAGGCAATATAACATTAGCGGTTGACGGAGCTGATGCAGTGCTTGACTTCTTCCGTTCAATACTATGATAGGTGGCATATGTGTGGCACATATGGCGACATGGTCGAAGCCGACCCATGGGTCCCTTGCAATGTCATTGGCTGGTGTTTGCTGAGTGCGCTTAGCTGAAAAAGAGGCTCTTAAGTTTGTATGTGCGAGGGACCGTATAGGGTGTAATTGTTACAATTTGGGTGTGCAATCTGATTAATTCCATAATCCGAGCGGCGGCTGGTTCTATGCGCGCAGCCGCGTTAGCAAAGCAACGTTTCTTCACATCTCCATGGCACAAACGCATGGTAGTGGCACAGTTCAACACCATAGCTGTTTAGCAGTAACACCTGTTGGGTGGATAACAACACGCAGAGGGATATCCAACAAGCACAATTGCCGGGAGCGCCGATTTCGGCATCACCTGCAGGGTTCCTGCGGCAGAGTACGCAACATGACACATGACCACAACACAGCCTTAATCGTTACCGCAACCCATTTAGCCGCCTTGGCTAGTAGTGACACAGGGCTCAGTGACATGTTTTGGGGGTTCCAGTTTCCATGCATGGCCACGCGGTGGCACACATCCTGCAATTCAGTTGACCTGTACCTGCAACGGTCCTAGATTACCACACAGAGCAAAACTTTCAGCGCACTTAGCGCTGCGGCGTGATCCACACAAGCAGCCGCACGACGAACCACCTTCATAGCATTAAACCCCGTCCCTCGTTCACCTGCCTTCCAACACTTCAGCCGCTCCCACCAACAACATCAACCTGTCTCGCACCATCCCCTGCCCCTGTCGTGCACACTCCCAATGCTTCGGTGCCGCGCTGCTAGACACCTCGTCCCCCTCCCAGTAACCGTCGTCGAAGCAGCTGTCGCCCCCGTACCCAGCACCGCTGCTGCCAGCAGGGGTGCCGGCTAGTGGCGTGACGCTGCAGCTGGAGCATGTCGCCTGCAGCATCTCCTCGTCCATGTCGCCAGGAGTGTTCGCTACCATGTTGCTGTACTCCAACCTGTTGCTGCTGCAGCAGCTGCTGTAGGCAGGGCTGACACACTCCATGCTCTCGTCCATCATGTAGTCATCGTAGGGGTCATCGCAGTCCTTGAAGGCCGGCTGCACGGGGTCGCTTGCAGTGGCAAGGGCAGCTGCAAGGTGCTGTCCCGTGGAGCACGGCCCTTGGGTCTCGGTCAGCTCGGAGGTGCGTAGCAGCACTAGCGTTCCTTGTAGTGGGGCGCACAGGAGGAGGGTACCATCAGGAAGCACAATAGGGCAGCGCAAACCACCCGAGTGGAATGCCGAGTCAGTGCGTTCGTTCTCGTGGCAGTGATGGTTGCTGGAGGTGCTACAAGCCTCGTAGTGGGAAATGGGGCTGCGGGTGTCAGCGTTGCAGATGGAGGTGTTGTCATCATTGCAGGGGCTGCAGTTGCCAATGTCGCTGCTCTCGGTCGTTGTCGGCCTGTAGATGGTCTTGACGATGCCATCGGAGGTGACGGATCGGATAGTGGATGTTCCGTCCTGCAGGGCGTCCACTATTATGGCGCCGCCGTCAGCAGTGACACCAACTGCAGCAATGCTGGAGAAGCGGGCATCACACCCAAATCCATCTGCCCCTCCCCGGCTTCCCTCTTGACCAACCCACGGCGACCAGCGGGCAGTGCTATATTCATGCGTGCCTTGGCTGGGGTCTTGTTGCTGCCGGTACATGGCAGTTGCCGAGGCTAGCAGAAAGCACCCGGGTGCGCATGCGAGGCTCAGCTGCCCTAGGCTATCCCCATCGTGCTCGCGCAGCATGGTAACGTACGTGGCAACAACGCCGTGCTCTTCCGATAGGGCAAAGTCTACACGGTGCAGCCCGAACGCATCGCTCACGTACAGGGTATGAGAATCAGGCGCAGCGAGCTCTGAAGGATAGGAAAATTCCAGACCCTTCCCGTGCTCGTAACCCGGCTCGTTTCCAGCGACAGCAAGCACTTTCCGGACAACATTCCTCTCATCCAGGGAGAATATTGCATGGCCCTCGGCGAAAAACGTCAGACCCGTCGCCGCACAGAACGTAGCACAGGAAATGAACGACTTTACATCGTAGGGCTTAAGGATATCGATGCCATGCATAGGTTCGAAAAGGTCGAGTTTGGGCCCGAGGGCAGTTCCGCGAAGCTGGAAAAAGCCGCGGCCCTTTGCAGGATTGCCAGGTTGAGTAATATCGCAAAGGATAAGGACCTCGGGCTGTGATGCAACGTGCCTTGATACCGCTCCCACGACCCCAGAAGCGTTTACCCTGTGCACCGCCGACAACATTTTGGGCACAGGAAAAGGTTCTATAAGGTAACCTTGAAGCACCTGTGATAGTTAAAAGTATTTTTCCTGTAGCTTTAGATGTGGAAAATACAGTAGAATGGGGGCTCTGGCCTATTTATGGGAAGGCTACCCAAATGGGCCTCCTACATACCGCATACGGCAGGCCATTCCATCCAGGCCTCTACATCCGGTCATCCGCCGTGCTAATGTCCGTTCCCTACATCCTCAACACTAGAAGATTGAGAAGTGCTATGCAGGATCGCAAAGGAGACCTCGAAAAGCCTTCTTTGCAATTCTATTACCCGCAAGTCTAAACCATTGGCATCAACTGGCACTGTAAAATTTATTGAATCGACTGCCACTGAGCCCTTTGCCAGCTGTACCTCGAAAGACTCGTCTGAAGTTGCATCCACTTCCCCTGGAGCACGGCCCTCCGTGACCGCAACTTCTCCACAAAGCCCAGCATGCTCCTCCCGCCTCTCATCTTCCAACGGCTGGCTTCTCCTTGTCACGCCGTTGCGGGGCCCCAAAGCCACAGCAGGACTCCCCGCGCCTGCGCTTTTGCCGTCGTCCCCCTGCTGCTGTCCCTGTTGCTGTAATTGCTTAACCCCTAGGCTTCTCCCCTCCTCTAGTTTCTTCTTCTGATGTCCCAGCGCTCCTGTCCGCGTCGCCACCCACTCCTCCAAGTCCTGCGCAACGTGTTCACTTGTCAAAGCAGGTCACCTAACAGCTAACGCACGCTTATGAAGGCCGCACGGCTGATGTCATGATTCGCATCTTGCCACCCAGCCATTGTGGGTCAAAAGAATATATTGAGCGGGAGAATGGCCTCTAAGTCCGTGTTCCCCTTAACCCCCTTCCCCCTGCAATTGCAAAAGCCTTCGTAACATTTCACCCACCCTCTTGTAGCCCCCACTCCGCAAAGCTCCACTTCTTTCCCCCTCCTCACCTCCCGCGTGTCCACATCCCTCAGCCGCGGCAGCCACTCCAAGGGCGCCACCCGCAGCCCGCAGGCGGCCGCAGCAGCCACCGTGTCGCCCAGCACGCGGGAGCTGCTCCAGGGGATGCCCTGCGGGTGTGTTTGGGGGCGGAGAGGGGAAGCCCTCAGCCCACGCTTGCGGCGCACGCCGGCACTGCACTTCTCTGCCCCGCCACCCCCCCCCCCTCACTCCAACCCCATGTAACCCCTCCTCCCCCCCTCCCACCCTATTGCTTTGCCCTAACTTGTGGTCTCCTATGGTTTGGTATGGTCTTTGACCCCCCTCCCACCCTAAACAGCGCCTCCTCCTCCAGCCGCGTGAGCCCCAGCAGGTAGTACCCGCCGTCCAGGGCGGGACCCAACACCACCTGGGGGGGAGGGTCAAAGACCATACCGAGCAAAAGGAGAACCATGATGGGAGGGTTGGGAAGAGTGGGCCAGGGCAAGGGGGAAGCTGACCTCCGTTCGTACATTGTAAATGCTAGACACCGGTTACTCGGGATCCCTGTCGTACGCCTGCGCCCCCTCCCGTGCCGTACCTCATGTTGGTCCAGCGCCTCTGCGGCCCTCCGCAGCAGTGCGGCCGTGAGGTCGGGGATGTCGGTACCCGTGATGAGCACCTGGGGGGGGGAGGGGGTGAACGGCATTGGGGTGGCAGGGGGTAAGGAGGAAGGACCTTACTAGCCGTATGACAGGGCTGGGGGGCTTGGGGGTGGGGCAGGGATGGCGGCAACCTGCGGACGGAAGGAGGGAGGGAGCGGCGAGGTCCCAAGGGCGATCAAGGGGATAGGAAGCAGCGAGCTGAGTGAGACGCATGGGGCTTGCGCCCGGCTTCCTTCCCCAGGCAGGAACCGAGGAGGGACGCGGACTGTGCTGAGGAGAAGGAATACGAAACCCCAGGTCCCACGTACCCGCCTTGCACCCCACCCCACCTTCCTCGCCCCGCTCCTCCCTCGCGCGTCCCTCATGGCAGCCAGCATCTTGGCACCCAGGTCGGGATCCGCGGGTGGGGCGGGAGGAGGGGCAGCGGGGGCAGCAGCACTGGCAGCAGCGGGGGCGGGGGAGGCAGAAGAGGTGGCACTGACAGCGCCGCCGCTGCTGCTGCCGCCGCCGCCTCCAACCCCGCTGCTGCCGCCGCCAGTAGCACTTGCAGCAGTGGCAGCAGCAGCGGCGCTCAGCTGCGGTATGCACGGCAGCGTCTGCGGGCGGACAGGGGCGCAGAGCATTCAGGGGTGCTGTTGGAGACAGGGTGCAGCATGTGGGTCGCAAAGCAAGGCCCGGGGTGGGGGGGAGTGAGAGCCCCCGGCGCGAGTGCCCGTAGCCCGACCTGGGGACACATGGACGCTAGGTTGGGGTGGGCATAGGCGTGTGGGCTGGTGTCATAGGGGAGACCAACCCCACAGTCTGTGACACGCGCAACAACAACCACCAGTTGGAAAGCTTCATTTCCCTTCACCTCCGTACCCACCAGTCCCTCCCCTGCCAGCCAGGCCGCCACGTCCTGCGACGCGTCCGCACTGCTGTGGTACACCGCCACGTCAGCCCAGGAGCGGCAGCTGCAGGCGGGCAGGCATGCAGGGAGCGAAGGAGGAGCATACCCGTTCAGCGCATAATCTAGACGCATAACAGGCGGTAAGTGAAGCAGCGTGTCAGGGCATCAGGTTACACCAGGCAACAGGACGGTAGCAGGGAGGCAACCTGGAGGATGACAGGCAGTGGGCTGCTGGGAGGGGCGGAGGAGGGATGCCTTGCGGCTATGGGAAGTGTCTACTGCTATGCGAAGCATACCTTGCTGCCTGATGGATAGCATGCGCGGCACATGCGCGGTAAAAGTCGCATGCTCCGTCAGGACCTATGCCAGCACCAGCTGCTAGCCGTGTCTTGACACGTCCTGGAACCGGAAGTCTCGCAAAGACGACTATAGCAGTCCCTGAACTGCTCATCTGTGTCGAAGATGCCCCAGCTTCACACTGGCCCACGCCTGAGTTACGTATAACCCGTCGAAGGCTGCTGCTGTTGCTCAGCCGCAGGGAGTCTTGCGATTACTTTAGGTGTCGCTGACCAGCAAGCCCAATGGGTGTTGCGGGACTGGTGCTGCCGTCGCAGTGATGCTATATTTGATGGTTATCAACTGTTTGTACTGGTGTGCGGGCGGGAAGCGGAGATTTCTGTGGTCTATGCTTTTGTCCCGCAAGACTACCCGGCGGTAATCAGCTCTGCAGCGGAGGCTCTGTACGTGTTTTAATGAACTATGCTTAGTTGTCCCATTTCACACGCCTGCGCGAGTTGCTGGCATCGATGATTTGACGTGGATCTATTCGGCCCCCGTAGTCGATCAGTCGTTAACAGGATCCAATTGCGCGCAGCGTAACGACGACGCTGAAGTAAACCTCCTTCCTTGTTTTAACCACAGGCAAGTTGGATCGAACCTACACCTAGAATGCAGACCCTACTTGCACAGCATCGGCTAACACGTCCAGGGCTTGCACGCCCTGCCAACCGAAGAAGCTATACCTTACGCTCGTCAAAGGGGTTTGGTGTAGAAACAAAGACTGCACAGGTACATTTCGCTAGAAAGACTCTGAAGTCATGGTTACCTTTCTCCCACATGGGTCATCTTGCCTTGATTACCGTGCCTTGGGAATGAATTTTATACGTGTACTTGTTACAGAAACCGCCACGCGAAGATGGGGAGGACGATGAGCCAGTGGCGAGCACCTCAGCCGCTGCGGCAACGACAGATAAGGACGCTATGGCTCTGGAGGCGCTAGAGGCCCGAATTGTACGTCGGACAGGAAGTCCAAAATTGGATAGTCTCTGGATAAACCCCACGCCGTTCGTCTTCGTTCCGTTCTTAGCCCACTTGCAAGGCACGCTGCAATTGCGAAACGCCTGCGTGCGGGGAGGGGTGGTATTTGCAATGATGGCGGTGACTACACCCGTTCATCCATACCATTGCCAATTGTGTGCAGCCACCGGCGCTCTGTGCTCTATGTTGGTTGTCCATGTTACCGGTACCAACCAACCCCTCCTCGGCACGTTGCATCCACCTAGCCCACAGCACCGGCGTAATCCCGCTCACCCAAAGCTTCCACTCCTCCTTCCCTCCCTCCCTTCCACCTCTCCCCTCCCCTCCTGTTCCCACCCGCCCACCACCAGAAATCCCGGCGCAAGAAGGTGGAGCCCAAGGTGAAGGTGGTAGCGCCGGCCGTGGATGTGGCCACCGGCAAGGCCCCCGCGCCTGCGGAGAGCGAGGCGGAGCGCGCCTACCTGGCCTTCCTCTCCTTCTACTTCGTGGCGGTGCTGCTGCTGGGTCTAGCGCTGGCGGGAGCGGTGAGTCGGAGCGCATGCATACATGCGTGCCTCCAAACTGGTATACCGGTGTACACCACCGGGTGCCGGCCGTTGGCAGGCCTGGGCTGTGCGGTTGATGCTGTCTTCAGGTTGCGCTGTGCACGCTTGGATTGCCCCGCCGTACCCTTTTGGACGACTGAGACCAGCGTCTGTCATGCCCTGAGGTTCCATCTGTTAGGATTACCATTATTTGATCTCGAAGTGGAACGCAATTTTTACGCTGTTCCTAATTAGCGCGTTAATCACGGATTCACGGTACTGTCGTTGCCAACTGCTGTTGCTCCTCCCTGGTGCCGCACGCACACTCATACGCACAGGGTTTCATGCCGGAGGAGGTGGACGTCTGGATCCAAGACAAGCTCTACCCGTCGTACAGTTGGATCGTGCTGGGCTTCCTGGGTCTCTCATCGCTGTACGGGCTGTACAAGACCGGCAAGCTGCCTGGGCAGGTGCAGCGGCAGTAGTACGGGGGGTGCTGGCGGTGGGAGCGGTACAGGGGTTCAGGTAGGGGGGCCAGAAAAGAACCAAACCACACAAGTGAATGCAGGGCAGGGGCTGATGGAGAGCGGCGGTATGGACGGTGCCCGCAGTTGAGGTTGGCGGGGGCTGATACCGGTAGGTGAAGCGCCGAAAAATGTGTGGCCGTCACTCCCTTCCTGTGTAGTCCTCATTCCACCTGCTTTCGAATGGGGTGTATTCCATCACGGCTTGATGGCAATACTAGGTTTGTTACACTCGGAGTACATGTGTGAGCAGCTTTGAAGCTATACATGTTGGGGCAAAAAACCGGTGGATTTGTGTCATAACGGAGGAAAGTGCCAGGCACCAATGGTACTACCAGGATGGCCACTAGTGGGGGCCAACTAGACGTTATGCAGGACTTGGTTGTTAGTGGGTAGCAGCGACTGTACCTTCATGTGCGGTCTTCCTCTTTTGCTTCCACATGGGGAAATGTGTTTCCCTTCTGCTAGTACTAGTGTTTACCTGGCCTCCGTGCTATGTACGAGCAAATTGTAAATAATACGGACTGTGCTTATCCTTGTACCAGAACAGTGGGCTCCCTCCGTTACAGCTTGTCACAGTACTGAACAATTAAACCAGCAACCGCTTCTCAACTCCTCCCTGCCCTCCTCGTGTCTCTACACTCAATCCACGACGCTTCACCGCTCAACCAAAGTGTGAAATGCAGTGACGACTCACATCGGCGCAGTCGTATCGCTTAATCGCTGATTCCTCATCTCATCATGACAACCTTAATCCAGACTTAAACCGCAGTACAGCGCATTTAAGACCCGCATGTACGACCCGTGGCAGCCCAACTTGCCAAACCCGTATGGTCCCATAACAGGAAGGAACGGCAGGAAAGACAGTTGGAATGCATGTCACGAGGGATGCAGCGGGACGAAACGGGCCTTACAAAGACCCTTTACTAACGAAAAAACGGCATACTTTCAATTGGAGAAATCTGGTAAGGTAAACACACACACACACACACTTGCAAACTCATGCTCCACGCTCTCTCCATGACATAGGGAGGACGTAGGTGGTCCGCAGTCCCTAATATGGGTTCAAGTATCATCAAATACTCAAGTCACCATCACAGCCAGTGCTTCCCAACAACAACTCCCCAGTCCCAATCCACCAGGGCATACCACAATGAACCTACGACATGCACATGAGAAGGACAACTCGTGCCCAAATTAAGCGCCGGATGACCCATTGGTCAGTCATCGCATGATGGACGACCGACCAAATAAATATTCAACGTCAGGACCAGACCGTCGGAGCCCCCCGGCCAAAGGATGACGACGACAATAACAGCCAATTAACGGGCTTCCATTGGGAAAGGGAAGCCTAATTATTCTGACAGCGAAACGTGCGAGAGGCCAAAGACACGGAGGGGCGGGCGCCAGCACCGACCAGGGACAGCCCCGAACTACATCCCGACCTCCACCCACCACAACTATGTTCGGGAGAATCAACATAAAGGGGCTTTCGAGCACGTCAGAAGCAGGCGCAAGTACGCCTCGTCTGCGCGTGAATGCGCCTTATCTTGTTCACGAGGCATAGTACTGGACAGGCCGGCAAAGACACAATTCCAGCCGCCGGTATCCACGCAAAAAGGCGACTAAATGGCATGCCCCCGCTCTCCGCGCGGATAATGGGTCGCACGAGGAAAGGTAAAAACAGGAGCCCAAACCTGAGGGGCACCCAGACTTCCAGACCAAAGCGCAAGGATGGTACATAAGGCGCAGATGTAACGCACACGTACAACCTCTGCGATCCAAGACCCCATGACATAACAAGATCCACAAGCTCAAGCAATCTTTTCTTCGCTGGCCAAGTCAGGCCATAGTAGCCGAAATCTATTATACCTTACTTATGTCACAGGCTTTTTAACGCAAATGCCCACCTAAGAGACACAAACCGTTGGTCACCGCGCAAGGGCAAGGCAAGAAGCGCACGCAATGGTACGGCGCCAACTGCACTCAACTGCTTTTCCTAAGGTCCAAAGCCCACCCTAGCTGGCAAGCCATAGACGCCAAACAATTACACCGCCACTAGCACACCACCATCCGCCACCACCACCACCACCTGCGAAGTCCTTTATTGCCTGTGCACAAAAAAACACCAAGCATCTAGCCACAAGAAGCTAACCTGTCCGCCTTGCAAACCTACCCCCTCCATCAGCCCTCCACAAATCAACCACCACCCGCCAGCACCCGTCCTCCCTACTTGCCCTGCTGCTGCCGGCTGCTGCCACCCCCACCCGGCGCGGCAAGGTCCTCCGCCAACCTCAGCGCCATCCTCCTCACCAGCTGCCGGATGAAGAGCTCCAGGGTGGACCGCATGCCCGGCAGCAGCTCCGGAACCATGGGCATCAGCTCCCCCGCCGCGCGGATGGCTCGGCCGCTGGTGGTGGCCACGTCGGGTAGTCGCGACATGGAGGGCTGCAGCAGGTCCAGCAGCGTGCGGACCATGGCGAGGGCCTGGAGGTGGGGCGGCGAGGTGGGGCGGGTTGGATGGAAAAAAATGATATAAGTGAAACAACGAGTCCCAATCCCATCTTGGATGGGAAGATGGGTGGGGGGGTGCATGGAGGCGGGCAGGTACGAAGGGGCGAGGGGGTGGGGTCCTCGGCAGACAGTGTGGAGCCACCCAATCGACAAGCAAACGTACCCCGGAGGCGCAAAACTCGTTGAAAAACAACCTCTCTTCCTCCTCTCACACGTGTATCCAATCCAATGCAAACCACTCCACTCCCCCCCTCACCTGTCGGTCATCCGCCGTGAGTGTCACCGTAGGCGCCATGGCCGACAGCACCTCCAGTGGCAGCGGCAGCGGCATCAGCATGGACCGCAGCGGCCCCAGCGCCTCCACACTGCGCAGCGCCGTCACCGCGCCCGCCGAGCTCAGCACCAGCCGCAACGCCTCGCCCAGCGCCTCCCGGCTCATGGCGTCCACCGCCGCCACCATCTCCTCCACGATCAGCTCCTGCGCGTAGCTGCCGTCCTTGGCGAACACCACCTTGAGCACCTCGCGGGTGGCCTCGTTGACCACAGGGCCGTCGGACAGCAGCCCGCCCGAGCCCGAGCCGGAGCCGTTGTGACCCTTGACGCGCTCCGCGAAACCGCGCTCGGCGGCCTCACCGAATGTGGGACCGGAGGCCTGGGGGTGTGGGTGAGGATGGTGGAAGGGGATGTGGCAGTGAGGGGAAGGTGCAGGGTGAATGGAGGTACAGGGTACAGGGTGTGGCTGGATGGATGCCGTCGTTCAGCCCGCTTTATTCACCAGAAATCAAAGGCGTTAAATGACATGCCACGAAGCCCCTGTCTGCACTGGAGAACCCCCATCATCCCGTACCTGCGCCGTGGCCGAGTTGGTTGTGAAGGATCCAAACGCCGACACCATTTTAGACAGACGCTCAATGTCCAACCGATTCTTCTTGCCGTACAACAAATGCCGCAACGCCGCGCGCATGCGTGGGTTGTTGTCCGTCAACAACCGACGGCTCAGGTAGGGCAGGCACTCATGCACGATTGCGTAGTTCTCATCCGTCTTCAGCGCGATGCCTTCAATCACGCAGAACGCGCGGAGGACGAGGCCAAAGTACGGTGGAATGCACATCTTGTAATTCATGGCAACACCCTGCAGCTGGCCGCTGACCGAGCCGATGTTGAAGTTCTTGAGGCCGCCACCGCGAACGATCTGCCCCATGACGGTTTCCAGCACGGGAGCGATCATCTGCTCGGCCTCACGCGGCATGCCGTCGGGAAAGAAGCTGTGGGGGTTGTTGTTGTTGTGTGGGGAGTTGCGAGGTGGTGGTGGTGGGTGGGAAAGGGAGGAAGGAAGGGCGCGTCAGTCTCAGCCAAAATAGTTTGGTCTAGATAGGAAAGGCAGGGCTGCCTCGGTAACTGCGATATATCCTTCCTCCCCGCACCCCCTCCCCCCCCTGCTCTCACCCCAGCGCCAGCAGGTCCTTTGCCACCCCCTTCCAGTCCTCCATGGTGAGGTGCGCGATGAACTCAATCAGCGCCACCCGCTGGTCCTCCGTCACCTCCGTCATCAGCCCAAAGTCCAGGATCACGATTTTGCCGTCGGCGGTGCGAAGCAGGTTGCCGGGGTGCTGTGCAGGGAAGGACGCAGGGGCGAGGGGTAACGGGAGGAGCGGGTAATGACGAAGCATGCTGGGAGAGGAGGGGGATGTACGAACAGGAAGGGGCGTGGAAGGAGAGGCCGAAGAGGGCGGCATGCGTTCTGGGGCGGGGACAGGCGGCCAGAAGCGAGCGGCGGAGTGACCGAGCAAGGCAGAGCAGCCGGGCCAGTGCAAAGGCGCTAGGATGTGTCGTGCTGGTGTACATAGCTACCATGTCGTGTGGGTGCTATACCAGTGCAGCTATAGGACGTGGCGTTGCTTGTGTTAAAATAACTGTCTGTCTGACTGGCTGGCAGGCTCACCGGGTCCGCATGCAGCAGCCCCGTCTCCAGCAGCTGTATGAGGTAGCAGTTGAGCAGCGTGGAGCACAGCGCGCGCACGTCCTCGGCCTTGGACTGGTTCAGCTGCGGATGGAGGGGAGGGGGGCAGGAAGCAGAGGAAGGAGGGGTTAAGCACTGAGGAGGGGAAGCGCATGCGTCACGCACAGCATGGAGGGAGCGTTACACTTGCGGCTTCAGCGTAATGCGGCTTCACGACATTGATATGATACCGTTACCTTCATAGCACTCCGTTAATGCATTCCTCCCACACGTTTCCCTCCTCCCTCCCCCCCTACCTTCTCTCCCTCGACCCACTCCGTGACGATGACCTTGCGCGAGGTGAACTGCGGGTACACGGTGGCCACGCTGATACCCTGCAGACTGGCCATCTGCTGCTTGAAGGCCATGGTGTTGTGCGCCTCCAGCTGGTAGTCCATCTCCTCGAAGAAGCGGGTGGCCCAGTCGTCCAGCACAACCGCCCACTGGTCCGACATCTGTGGGGGCGCGGGGGAGGTGTGTGTTGCAGGGAGTGAGGACGGTGAGGTGGAGGGGAAACATGATGGGAGACAGACCCCAACGCGCAGCAAAGAGTGTAAGCATGTGTCCGTGAGAGAAAGCGTAAATCGGAGGTTACAGCTACCGGTGGCTGCGAGTTCATTCTTAGGTAGGCTACAAAGGGTGCAAATGGGACGCAACGTGCAGCAGCAGCAGCATTGCCCCCCGGGTACCGAGTACTTCCCATGTCATCCCCTCATCCGCCCATCCCTGCTCCCACCCCCGGCATCTTGGACATGAGGATGGCTGCCCGGCGCATGATGTAGATGTCGAGCGCCACCGTCTCCAGCACCGCGGGCCGCTGCACCTTCACCGCCACCTCCACGCTGCCGTGCTCCGGACGCAGCTTGCCGCGGTACACCTGACGGGGGGGGCGGCGGAGAGGAGAGGAAAGAAAAGGGGAGGAGGAGGGTGATTTGACAAGAGGGTAGGGCAGAAGACAGGAAGACGAGTGAGCGCAGCAGATCCCATGCTTTATCAATAGCCGCCGCCCAGTTGTGGTATTGGATTGACGGAAGACAGAAAGGTCTAATACCGGTACCAGCGCAAACCGCCTCCTTCTCACCACCACAAGCATCGCACACCACCCGCCACCCACCTGCCCCAGACTGGCCGCCGCCAGGGGCTCTGCGGAGAGCCACTCGAACACCCGGTCCACGGAGCACCCCAGACCCGACTCCAGCACCTCGCGAGCCTCCACCGTGCTGAAGGTGCGCACGTTGTCCTGCAGAGGGGAGGAGTGCGGGGCCCAGGGTTCAGGTGATGTCATGTCACAGTGTAACGGACTACTTAAAAGACAGCTCTACGCACGAAAAGGGATAGCGTAAGGGGTGCGATCTTCAGTGTAATCCACGGAAATTTAGGAAGCAAAACGCCCTACGGAAGCAACGATTTTAGAAGATCCAAGACCCATGGGTCGCACCTGCAGCCGCTTGAACTCTTCCAGGTAGGGCGGGGGCACCAAGTCCACACGCGTGGAAAGCTGTTGTGCAATCTGTAAATTGTACGGCGTTCGTGTGCAAGGGCGTTGGGAGGATACCAAGGCCGTTAGCAGAAAGCTTGCCTTGACAGCGTCAGATTACACACAAAATCGCAAGCCGCATACCTCCCACGCCAGGCCGGACACCCCCACAAGTCAACCCACAAAGCAGCATGTGCCTACCAACTCGCTTACCACATGCCGGTAAGCCCACATGCGGCTCATGCCCAACGTTTCCCGCCCCAGCACGTTATCCCACGTCCTCCCAACCCACAGACAGCAACCCTCGCAGCCATCCCGCCCACCTTGATGTACGCGGGCCCCAGGTCCTCGATGATCCTGCCCGCCTCCTTGGCGCGGTTGTCCATGTTGGACTCGAACACCCCCGTGCGCCAGTCCCACAGCACACGCACGCAGAAGCCACCGATCCGGGAGAACACCTGTGCAGACGACGGCAGCCGCAGAAGAGCCGCGCGCTAAGAAAGCTGGCCGCGAGTGCAAAAGCGCCCACCAGTTGTTTAGCTCCATTGAGCACACTAAGCGGGAATGTTCACGAAGAAGGCCCCAAAGGCCATACCAGCTACCTGAGTTACCCCACCTGTGCGTTGCGCCTGAGCACTTGCATGGGCCGCTGCGCAAAGTACGAATCCAGCGCTTTGGGGTCGTACCGCAGCGGCAGCCCGTCCGCTGCCGTCGCCGCGGGGGAGCCCAGCAGCCCGCCCGCCTGCTGCTGCGAGGGCCCCGAGGGGATGCCGAATGCGGAGCTGCTTGCCGCAACTCCGGCTCCGGCTGCTAGCGCCGCCTGCCCGCCGCGAGGGATGGCGGCCACCAGCAGCGCCAGAGCCATCATGGCCACCTGGGCCGCGCCACGGGTGCCCATAGGACCAGGGCCGCCCTGTGGGATAGGAAGTAAATGTAAGGAGCTTGGGTCAGGCACTCACGCTTGTTGTAGCACAAGAGTGGGCACTAGCTAGAAGGCAGGGCGTCTACATGGTAGTCGTGGTCGGCGGAGGCATAGCATCGGCCTATGGGTGTGGCGAGGATGACCGCATCAGGGCAATACCAATACTGTCTTGAAAGTGGGAGCAGCTGGGAGGTGTGACGCACCCACCATGAGGGTCTCGTGCATGGCTTGCTGCGCCGCCAGCATGGAGTCGATGGTGGAGGTGGCCTCCGGGTGGCTCAGCCGCAGCGTGGTGACCAGCTGCTGCACGCCCAGCACCAGCGCATTGGTCCAACCCAGCACCAGCCCGCCAGTCTGGTGAGGGGCGAAAACACGGCAAACAGCGCCGTCAGCATGAGGCTGTATGGAATGCGAGGTGGATACATGGAATGAGAGAGCTGCTTCTGCTAGTTGATGGGTCCGTGTATCGTCTGTGTCGTGGATTTGCGTGATTTCGTGCCTGCGGGGAAGTCAAGGCAGCCACCCGCCCACCCACCTGGGAGTCCACGACACCCTGGATAGCCGCTAGCACCTCATCCAAGGTATCCCGCATGATGCCGTACGACTCCGGGTCAATCGTAGCAATGGTGGCGAGGCGCTCGCCTGCCCATGTGGCCAGAGCCAGCACCGACGCGTGCGCCGCGTCAACTGCCATTGCGGAGGCGGCGTCGGCCGCCAGGGCCGTGTGCGGGGAGGCCACAACGTCCGCCAGGACTGGGAGAAGAGGTAATGAGGGTCCCGGGAATGGGAGCAAAGGGTGTCAGCAAACTTAGTTTGTTGAGGACGGCACGGAACGTGAGGTTCGACAAATGCAGGTCGTCGAAGTGTGGAATGTACCAGTTCGCTGGTAGAGCGCATGGGTGATACGAAGCAGGAATGGTGGAACCCACCTGGCGCGGCTGAGGCAACGACGTCGTTAATGGCGGAACCCTGGGCCCAGCTCCCAACATGATGAAGGGCCTCCGGCTGCGAAGGAGTAGCCAACTAGTTTGTCAGGAAAAAGCAACCCTAGCTGCTTATAAAGAAAAGTGGGGATGTCAGCCATGGTTGCGGTGACACGACGTCCGGAGCCTTACCTCTACAAGTGTAATGGCAGCATTCAGGTCCGCGTGGACATGGTGGGTTGTGTGGAACAGTGAGTTGGAGCCTGCAGGAGTTACCAAGGAACAGGCGAAACCGTGAAACGTACTACAAGGCCTGCCCAGCACATGGCAAGTTCAGCGTTGCCCGTATTGAGGTCTTTTTAAGCCATGTTCAGCTTTGCAGCGAATACAAGAAGCCCTTCCAGCCGAGCGGCCTTCCGGATTCTCGCGAGAAGACGCACCGTCCAAAGCATGATTTAGGTGCGATAACAGGTGGGAAACATCTGTTCCAGAGTACTGAAGAGAACGAGCAATGAGCTCGCTGGCAGCCGTTGTTGTGGCGACGTCAAGTTGGGATGCAGCCTCCCCCAGAGCAGGTACTGGACGTGCGATATTACGATGCCGTGGCCGCAGAGATGATGTAAGACGCCTACACGTATACGATGACATCAGTAACCGTTGCTAATTAAGACTTCTGAAGCCCACTGTTGTCGGACATGTCTAAAATATTTCCTCACCGTTCGCAAGCGTTTCGAGACGTAGGTACAACAGATTGCCTATTTCCGTTTACTAGGCTGCCTAAAGCCATGGCTCTAACGAAACGTAGACGAGTCTGTGAGGGAGCACAATGACCCCAGTGCGAACCATCAAAAAATAAGCATAGCTAGTAGTAGTGGTCTTTAAGATATAGTGACAGTTGCCAGTGTTCGCAAGTTCCTGTAGGGTATCAGGATGCGGAAGGCAGAATGGAACCAGTGTCGTACGACCTGTCATTTTAAGAACGCAGCCGGGTTGGTCAGGCTCGAACGTGTATCATACTTTTAGTGTTGCTATAGGTAGTTGTAGGACAATCCAGTTTGCATGCTTGCGCTTCGTTGTCGTTAATGATAGCAAAGTATAGGGGGACCTGCCCTACTGTCCAAAAGCCTCTGCGTAGCCATCCATGCAGAGGTCGTGCCTTCTAATGTCTACCCTATAATGCCTAGTTTCATAAGGAGTACACTTAGCTGGGGACTCAGGCTGCCGTCGTGAACTTGTTAGTCCCGTGCACCAGAACAATGCTGGCTTCAGCGGGAAAGCACACCGCTACGGCTCGTCATCGGTATCCACCATGTCTGTCTCATGCATTTAGTACTGGGCATACATCAATAGCTTCTGGCGCGCGCGCCGCGAGCTCAGCTGGCGTACCGCGGCGACATGGCTTGGTGCGTCGCTTGACATGGCGTTATGGGCAGCAGCCACAGCAATAAAATGCCTGTCTCAACACAACTGGCGTCTGCCAACAGACATCCAAGGCATGGCCGCAGCTGGTGCGGTACCGCCAAGGCGAAGAAGTGCAAGCAACAGTCCACAGCGTCAAACCTTCCATTGCTAGCAACAGCGCAACGGCGCAGCCACCCTCGGTAACTGCAATCAGGAAGCCTGACATGGATTATACATGCGGTTGCCGGAGCTTAGCAACTGCCGTGCCGTTTTGCTGTGTGTGCAGGCACGCTCCCAGCTGAAGGTCATCGGTCTGGGACTCAGGGGCATTAGCGCGGTCAACCGGCTGATAGGTGCGTTTGTATTTAGCAATTTCTGTCGGCCAGGGGACACAGGTGTTCGGGCAACATTTATTGGCTTCCCCCAACAAGCGTGGGTAAGCACGAAATGGAGCGAGATGGAAACGTGTTTTCTTTTGCAGGTTCTGGCACTTTGCAGGAAGCCGAGTTCTGGGCCCTTGACTCTGACAAACGGGTATGGACAGGACCTCCGCTGCGTAAACTCCTGCCCATACAGCACCAATCGTACCCAATAACCTTCCCTGGTACCGTGTATACAATCACTCAACACTAGCCGCACCTCACGTCTAGCCCAGTTCCTCCAAAGGCTCCAACCTCGCCGCCCTCTACCCTGTCCCCTTACATCACATTACCACCCCACTAACCCCTCCTTCCTTTCCCCTCCTACAACCCGCATCTGTACCCGCTCCTGCATCATGCAGGTGCTCTCCAGCGCCGACCCCACCGCACACGTCTTGGAGGTGGGCCCCGGGGATGACGCCAGCCTGGGTCCCGCCGACCTGGCGGCGCTGTCCGGCAGCAGCCCAGCGGCGCCAGCAGCAGCTGCGGCTGCTCCTCCGCAGCACCCGCAGGGCTCCGAGGTGCCGGACGGCCAGGCGGGCGCGGTGTTTGTGCTGGGCTCCGCGTTCGGCAGCCCGGGTGGCGCACCCATGGTAGGTGCGGCTGGGCATGGGATGGGAGATGGGCTGGTGTGCGGCATGCGGAGGAAGGCCGCTGCGGTCAGATAGGATGTTGCATGTGGTCGAACCGGGAAGCTTAAAACAGCAACATATATTCCGTTGGATAGGTACTAGATACGGTATTAGGAGGTATGAGAGGGTGTGAAGCATGAAGATAGAAGCTGTCTGTAGATCATGAGAACAGTGTAAGCCCCCTGATCGCCTCCTCTCCATTCCCTTCCCCTTTGCCTGCTTCTGCCGTCTGCAGCTGCTGCAGCTGGTGCGCTACCTGCGGCGGCAGGGCTACTTTGTGGCGGCCGCGCTGACGCGGCCCTTTGACTTCGAGGGCGCCCGGCGGCTGGAGGCGGCGGACACCCTGATCAGCACGCTGGAGGAGGTGGCGCACCTGGTGGTGAGCCTTGTGGCGCTGGACACACTACTGGCCATGCGCTTATACGTTATCCCGGGGGAGGACAACACAAGCTGCCGTGCACTAGCAGTAACAAGGCCCACGGCAGCTCCTTCCGGAACGCAGCGCATGAACACACCTCCTCCATCGCTTCTCACCTCACCCCTGGTGTCGGCTGCCCGCTCCACAGGTGGTCATCTCCCAGGGCGTGCTGACGCGCGCCAGTGCGGAGCTGACCATGGCCCAGGCGCAGGCCATTGCGGACAACACGCTGGTATACACCGTGCAGTCAACACTGTGGGCGTTACGGTAAGCAGTCGTGGGGCAGTGGGTTACCCAACGCCTGCTTCCTGGTGGTTGCGTGCTTGGGCATGGTGCGAGCGCGGTCAGCACCGTGGGCAGTGGGGACCCAGGATCAAGCGTTTTCGGACCTTGTGTCCCTGTGTCTCCGTGATGTGATGCCGGTGGCCTGAGGACAAACAAAAGGTCCTAAAAGCCGTCTGCCCTGCCGCCTGCATCCGTCACCGCTGCAGGGCCCCCGAGGTGCTCAAGGTGTCGCACGGTGTCTTCCTGTGGCACGGTCGCGACCTGCGTAACATCAAGCGGCCGCTGTTCCCGCCCATGATGAACCTGCTGTCCTGTCCGGGTGGGTACGGTGCGGGTGGGTATGGTGCCCCTTTCGGGGATGTTACGAGGTGGTGAGGGTAGTACTTGCGGTCCTGAAGGGAGTTCCTCATGTCCTTGTACTCAGCTTTTATCCCACAATCCAAGCTTACAGCTACTAACGGATGCCTCGTACGGTGATTCATTGCAGGTCACGCAACGCTGGGCCGGGGCCAAGCTGCACTGCCACTGCCGCTGCTGCAGCAGGCGGGCCTAGCGAGCGCTCTGACCACGCTGGCTGAGGACGCGGTGAAGGTGGGCGGGGGCTTTGGGAGCACGAGGTAGGCAAGGGGCTTCCATAGCGCGCGGTAACCTACTTGACTGCGGTAAACAACAGCGGGCTAGGCGCACGAGGAGAGCTTAGGGTTGTAGCAGGATGCAGAATCGCACCAGCGGTTTGCTCCTCCTTTATAATGAAGGCGGGGCACACAGCTTGTTTCCAGAGCGCTTTCAGTATGCCAAGCGTGAGTGCAAGCGGAGATTTGCCCGGGATGATGATGATGACGGAACGTTTGCCTGCTGGCCCACCCGGTGCAGGCTGCCTCTGAGTCGCCCTTCCTGGACAACAAGCTGGAGGGCGCCACGGGGGTGCTGTGCGTGCTGCGTGTGCCGCCGTCAGCCCTGGGCGTGTCGATCCGTGCGGGCGGCAAGTACGCCAGCGGCGGAGCGGCGCATGGAGGGCCGATTGTGGCGGATAACCACAAGGAGTATGCCCTGCGTTCTGCGGTTCAGGTAGACATATCGAACCGCCTGTCGTCGCCTGTATCCATGACACTAGCTGCATCCAGCGTACATAGGTACTTCGAGCTAGCACCCTCCTCAACAAAGACTTTCCAGTTGACGTCCCCACCCGGCCCTCCCATCCTCTTTACTTACCCTGATCCTCTCCCTCCTCTGCTGCCCCCCTCCCCAGGTTGCCGCCATGACGGTGAAGGAGCTGGTGGGGCCGCACTGCCATGACATCATAGTGTGTCCGCAGCTCTGTCACGACCTGGAGGCACCGCAGCAGCAGCAGGAGGCGGCAGGGGGGGCGGCCGATGGCTCTGGGGGCTTTGGAGGCACAGTGGCAGCGGACCGGGCGCCGGGGAGGTGGCAGTCGCAGCAGCAGCAGGTTGAGGAGACGCCGATCGTGCGTGTGGAGGTATCGCTACTGGTGCTGGAAGCGATTGAGGAGGCGGGTGAGGGGGGATGCTCCACATGTGACTCTGCGAGGGATTGGGTGTTTTTGCACGCTGCCTCGTACTTCCGTTCACGTGACTGAGTTAGGGAAAGGTTATCCTCTGCGCAGTTCAGCGCCATCTTATCCTCTCTCCTCTTCTTCACCCTATCTCTCCTTTCATCGCTGCTGTAGCTGAGGCCAGGGCCATTGCTGGGCACAAGTCACCCTTGGACAACAACAACAACAGCAGCACCGGGGCAGCTGCTGCCGCTTCCTCCAATGCCTCCGCAGCATCTTCCGCGCCGCCAACGCCCACCGCCGCAACCGCTCGCGACCGCATGGCCTCGGTCATCGGCACACGCTCGCATCCCCCAGTAACCCGCTTGCCTAACAGCTTTGGTGCCACCACAACAGCCAACGGCGGTGCCGCCAACCGAAGGCAACCGGTCCAACAACCACCACTGCGTCCGACAACGAGCGGCGCTTCTGCCGCTGCTCCTGCTGGTACTTCTACTGCTTCCGGAAGCGGTTACGGAAACAACAGGAGCTACAATAACAACAACAGCAGCCAGCTTGGACGAACACCACCTTCCTCCACCTCATCCGCTGCCTCCTCATCCACGCCCACTTCCTCGGTCCATCCATCGGCCATGGGGACTAGCCATCAGCAGCAACACCTGCCCTACGCAAGGCAGTCCGCACCCAACGCAAGCCACTCTCCTTCAGTCTCTTCCTCAGTACCAGCAGCAGCACCCGCAGCAGGGTCTGCAGGAGCAGCAGCAGGGTCAGGGGCGGACAGCAACAGCGCCTCTGCACGCAAGCAGGCGCGCCTGGCCGCCATGTCTGCCATGTCAGCATTGGCAGGCGGCACTGGGGGGCCCGGCATACACGGCGGCGTGCATGGGGGAGCAGTGGGGGGAGCAGGAGCAGGAGGAGGCTATGCAAACGGCAGTGCGGGCGCTGGGGTCGGCAGCACGTGGGGAAGGCCGGCGGGTAACAACAATAGCAGCGGCGGCGCTTGGAATGCTGCAGGCAACACGGCGCGGGGTTACCCGCAGCAGCAACAACAACAACAACCGCAACTGCAGGCTGGATCCGCGTCATCGAGGAGGGAGGGGGGTGCGGGAATGGGGCCACAACAGATTCCGCGCATGTCTGAGAACTTGGTAAGCAGGCAGCAACTGCGCCTTCCACATGCCCTGATTGCTACCCTGCTAGGCATGAATGCTGTAGCGATACAATGCGAGCATTATTAACAGTCTGCCGTTGACGCCACTTTGTTCGGCGTAATCATGTGACCCATGGGTCGTTTGCCCTGCTTTGTCCCTAGGTCACCTCGCTGGTGGCCCAGTCGCTGGACCTGCCGCCCCAGGCCGCCCGCTGGCGCCACCAGCACCGCGCCCCGCCTAGCGCCCGCGGCACCCGGCCGCCTGTGTTCCAGCTACCCAAGGTAAGAAACTTTGGTGTGATGGCAGCTGTGGAGGGGGCAACATACTGTTTAGAGTCATGTGCAGAATGCGAACCCGTATGGGTGGGTTGGGACGGATGCGGATAAGAGTTCCTCAAGGATGGCATGAGTGATTACCCCAAGGTCTGCGTGTACACGTACTTGCACCTCGATGTGGCTCTTACGACAATTACAAGACGGCATGTAAGATGCCGGCATGTGCGCATGTCTCTGGCTCCTGCAGGTAGATGCGGACCTCCATGATGCGGACGATGGCTGGGCAGACGGCAGCCAGGTGAGGTGGCGGGGGCTGCCTTGTGCTTGCTTGCCAGAGGGTCCCATCCGGCTGCCTCGTCAGTTGTCACCCGGTTGCCCCCAGGGCTGGTTCAACAAGGCTATTACTCCCTTGCTTTATTGCAAGCCCTTGGTGGCCGTAACAACCGTGACAGCGCCGGCACTTTCCTAACACGCTTGTCCTCATGTCCTGCGTTTGCTGCCCCCGGGATCAACCCCTCAGGCTGAGGGTGAGACATTGGGTCGCGGGCTGCATCAGTTCATCATGGGCATGCGGCTGCCGGTGCTGGGCTCTGCGGACGGCAACGGCTCCGGAGCAGGCGGAGGGCCGGCAGCTGTGCGCAATCGCGTGGCAGGCATGCTTGACAGGGAGCGGGAAGATCCGTAACGAGGAGAGAGCGGGTGGGCGTGCGCGTGGGTTTCGGAGGAGAGGGAGGCGGGTTGGTTAGTGTGGGAGGCGTTGAGAGCAGGCATGTATGTGATCATTGTTGAAGGCAGAGAGGAAGTACGTGCTGTGAGCTTCGGTCGTGTTCGGGAGTGTGCAAAGTCGCCCTTCGGTTGATACCCGGTGCTCATGCGAACCCTACTTGGCCCGATGGAGTTGTACATTGCTGAAGAGAAGCTATGTTCGTGTGGTTTCAAATCTACATATACCTGCAATAAGCACACAGTAGATTCCTGAATTTCGCCAGTTTGTATTGGACGTTCACCACCAACTGCCGTGGAGAAGCCGAGTTCGTTTCATAAAATCGGATTCACGTCCGGCATCATTTGTAACGTTTTATTGTACATACCGGTTTTGTTTGAGCTAGCTGCGCAAGGGCGCGTGCGGTTGCAAAATGTCATTGGAGTCGCTAACTCTCGACGATGAGCGCTTTGTCGACCTGCTGGGAAAGCTCATCGGAGAAGCAAAACACTTGCAGAACAATCCTCCCGAGGCGGTGCCCAAGGAAGACAGAGGTGCGAAGATCCCATCCCTCGCCAAAGGCATGCTGGAGTATGGCATGAAGGATATCCACACCTTTCGCCCATTCTTGACCTGGCTTTGCACCCCTCATTAATCTAAGCCTTTTCGTTCCCCAACTGCATCCTGGGCGACCCCAGCTGCTCGACATGTCCTGGATGTCCTGCTACCGCTAAGCGAGGAGGAGGGCGGCCCCTTGCGCATCAGGCACATTTCCTATGTGGAGGGCCGTGGGAACATTATTGTGGAGGTATGGAGCAAAAGGGGGCGGATGTCAGACGTGCCTGGCTTCCATAGCCCTGCTCCAACCGCGCCCATCTCCGCGCTGCTGCCCCTGCCAGCCCCTCCTCCCATCCGATACAGCCCCTGCCAGCCCCAACGCGCGTTCCTCTGCTCCCCCCTCCGTACAGTACCCCGGGGAGCCGGACGGCGGGGTCATGTCCTTCGTGGGCTGCCACATGGACGTGGTGGGTGGGGCGGACTGGGTTGGGTGCGGGTGCGGGTGTGGATGGGTGGTGGGCGCGGCCCGCCCGGACGTGTGCAGGGTACGGCACCGACGCCTCTGCCTGAGGGCCTCGCCCGCCTACCACAGGCTGTGTGTGGTGACGGACGCAAGCACGCACATACCCTCTCACATGTGCCTCCTTGCGGGTGCATCTCAGCTACCTGCCTCGCTACCTGCCGGTGCACTCACGCACTGCTGCGGCCCTCATGCTACTGCTGCCGCACACCTCGCTGTATCGTACGCTGCAGCGCCCACACCCCTCGCAATTCCCATCTCCTCCACCCAAATGACATCAACTTGGAGAACCACCATGATACCATCGTACCCAACTCCTCCCCCTCCCTCTTTCTTTCCTCAGGTGACTGCTAACCCCGAGACCTGGTCCTTCGACCCCTTCTCCCTCACCCGGGAGGGGGACCAGCTGAGGGGCCGGGGCACCACCGACTGCCTGGGACACGTGGCCCTGCTCACAGAGTTCTTCAGGTGTGCGTGTCGTACACGTGTCGTACCGCTGCCGTACACTGTAATATACGACACCGTTGTTGTCAGGACCCAGATTCCGCCCGTCGTCGTATCTCCGCTGTCTTACCGGTACCCTGGTGGTTACCCGTGTGTTCACCAACGCCCCGCCATCGTCCCCCCTTCCCCTCCTCCCGCCTCTACAGGCAGTTGGCAGTGGCCCGGCCGCGCCTCAAGCGCACCATTGTAGGGGTGTACATTGCCAACGAGGAGAACAGCAAGGTAGGTTGTTGGAGCGGGGCGACAGACACATTGCAAACAGCAGCGGCTTGCAGAGTTGGCTTCCTCCCTGCCGAGGGTTGTTGCCGTGTTGTCACTGCTCTTCTGGCTCTTCATCGCCTTCAAGTTTCGGATGCTCCTTTGCTCGCCTGTCGCTCCCTTGCCTGCTCGCCCATCTCATGTTTCTATGCCCTCTTTCCTGGTACCAAAACCACACGCGCCCAGCCAACACTGTTGCCGCTGTCTGTCTGCCCCTGCCGCTGTCTGTCCGCCCCTATTGCGGCCTGCTGTCGTCTGACCTCCATCACCAGATCCTGGGTATCGGTATTGACGAGCTGGTTGCGCGGCACCTGCTGGACCACCTGAAGCCGGGGCCGCTGTACTGGTGAGTGGCAGGCGGGGAGGGGAGGAAACGGACAAGCTGTACGACACGACAGGCGGGGAGGGCGGCGGATGCGAGCGTGATGGCTGTCGTGCGGACACCTAGATGCTCCGTCGCTGGGTGTCCCCAAGCCAGCGCTTGTTTAGGCACGACGTGCATCTAGGAGTGGAGAGGGAAGCAGTGCATGCGCGGTTGGGGGCGGTTCTGGTATCTGCTGGGTGGTGCAAGGTACTGGTATCTGCTGGGTGGTGCAAGGTACAGGCGTGTTCATGGCTGCGACCTGCGAGCAGTCTCTGCGTGCAGTTGCGCTGGGCTTGCAGCTGTCAGCGGAAACGGAAGTCGAGAATGTGTGTGCCCCTCGTTCGGCCGCTGCTGTGTGGTCATCCCTCATGATCTCGTGACCTCATTAACCTCTAACCTCCCATCTCCAATCAGGGTGGACGTGGCGGATTCGCAGCCCTGCATCGGCACGGGCGGCATCGTGGCATGGTCGCTCAAGGTGGGTTGGAGTGTGTCCTTTGGAAAGAGGGGGGGTTTGCAGGTAGGGGGTTAGTGCGCCCGGTGGCGGTGGTGGGTGGCTAGGTAGGCTGTGGAAGGCCAGGGCTAACCCGTGATGTAGCAGCCTGTTCTGCCGTGACCATTCGTTCCGTACATGCACTTGGGCAGTCCCTGCCTACCTGAGAAAGGCCGACAGGATGAGATAACGCTTCTGCACGCCTTTACGTATGGTTCTGGGGGACTTGGTTAGCTACCGTTGGGCTACCGGATAACAACCGGTGCTATTTGTTAATTATACCGTTGAACCCGCGAATGCCATTTGTTGTATTCGGTGATTCGTACATTCGTACACTCGCACAGGCGTACGGCAAGATGTTCCACAGCGGCCTGCCTCACAAGTCCATCAACCCCATCGAGCTAGCCATGTCAGCCCTGCAGTACATGCAGGTACGGCAGGGGCGATACAGTTATTGCAATTGCCGTACAATTGCGTGTCACCGAATCACGTTGTACGGAGGTAGGGGCTAGTAGCACAGTCCAAACTTTCGTCAACGTACAACGGTACGCTAGCATGGCAACGGCTGGCTAACGGTACTAACAGCCGACCTATTCTTTTGCGTCAATACCTGTCTTACACGAATACCATATGCTGTCGTATGGCCCTGTGCTACACCCGTGCTTCTACAACATCACCACTTCCCAGCACGCCTCTTTGCGTTCCTTGGCTCTCACCCCCACCCGCATCCTCAGGACCGCTTCTATGCTGACTTCCCACCCCACTCCGAAGAGGCCAGGTACCGGTAGCGGGTTCACACTGGGGGCAGGAAGCAGGCTGCTTGGGTCGGTGGGCATAATCCTCCGATGCATGCACGGGCCGCTTGCCCCTCAGGTGCCTTGGGTATTTGTGCTGCTGCTGCTGCTGCTGTCGTCCTGCTCCTTGCGCCTCTTCCGCCACTTTTGTTACTAAGGACGTATGCCTTGCGTTGTCGTACTTGTTGTCGTACGGCAGGTACGGCTTTGCGACGCCCTCCACCATGAAGCCAACGCAGTGGTACTACCCGGGTGAGCGGTATGGGCTGCCGTATGGTGCCTGCTGCCGTACATTTGTGAAGACGATAGCGTCGGCAGATGGGAGATGGCAGTTGCTGACTAAGTGATCGTTCAACGCACTACTCTTGTCGTACTGTCGTACTACAGGCGGATCCATTAACCAGATCCCGGGTGAGGCGACTGTGTGCGGGGACTGCCGCATCACGCCTTTTTACGATGTGCAGGAGGTGAGAGACCCGTGGGTCACAAATCATAAACAGGGGTACTTGGGCGTTGAGGGCCTTGGGGGCTGGGGGGCGAGGTAGGTGAGGAGAAAAGGCGCGCCCTGTTCAGCTGTCCTTTTGCCTGGTAGCATCTTCCTGGCCTCCTCAATCTCTACCCCTCTTGTTCGACCCCAAACCTCACGGGTTACTTTCCAAGGTTGTTTACCCCTCACCAAGTCCTGCAGCTGCAGTAGCTACGCCCGACGTGTGTAAGGCTCCTGTAGCCCGGTAACGGCCCAGCGCCCTCCGCATGCCGTCTGCCTGCTGCCTGCTGCGTATTCCCGCCCAGGTGATGTCCAAACTGCGCTCCTACGTGGATGAGCTCAACTGCGCAGCCGGGGGGACGCTGGAGGGACTGCCCACACGAGGACCCTGCTCCAAGTAGGTTGGCAACTCCCAAGCAGTCGTCTTCCCCCCTTCCACTGGCCCCGCCTCTGCAGCTGCTTTCTTTCTCCATGACCTGCTGCTCATACTGTTATCGTAATGCCGCGCCAACCCCGCACCAACCCCGCACCAATGCCCCAAAGCCCCGCACCAATGCCCCACCAATCGATTCGTGTGTACTGCTACTAGTGAGGTCCGTTGCGACTCCAGCCCTGTGTGTGTTGCACGTAACTCCTCCTCTGCAGGTTCACGCTGCCGGAGGAGGGGCTGCGGGGCCGACTGGAGCTCAGCTTCTTCGACTCTCACTCCAAGGGCATTGCATGCAACCTGGATAGCGAGGGTGAGGACGGAGGAGGGTTGCGCTACCTTCGCTGTAAACCTTTGCAGGCTGTCTTACGACATACTCCAAGATAAGTAACATTTTTTATTTTTATATATCTGTTCTCCTCCTCTCCGTCGTATGCCGTACAGGTTTTCACGCCATGACGGCCGCCTTTACCAAGGTGTACGGCATCTGCAAGCCGTACGCCATCACAGGCAGCCTGCCGTGCATTCGGGAGCTGCAGGAGGAGGGATACGATGGTGGGAGGGGAGGGGGCGCTTGGGTTGGGTAGCGGGCGGCACCGTGAATGGTTGCTGCTGCGTCCCCTGCTGCGCATGTAGGGCTGCTGTTGCTTCCCGTTTTGCTGCAACTCACTTTTGACTAAACATATGTTCCTGCTCGCTGTTTGCTGCTTTGCCTTGCCTGGCTGCGCAGTTCAATGCATCGGCTTTGGGCGCATGGCGACCTACCACGCAATCAACGAGTGAGTACCGGTTGTACCCTCATGCCGTCATGTCGGGGGTACGGGTGCATGGCTGGGGGGCTGCGGCTAGGTACCGAGGATGTTAGGTGTGAAGATGGGGTGTGAGGGTTTGAGCAAGCTATGATACAGGTGTGACGGGCCAGCACTAGGGCTCATGGTGCTCATCAATGCGCTTCTGATTGCTAGGTTTATAACCGTTTTTGCTAGACTTGTGTCTGCTTTAGGGACATGCAGCCGATACATCCTAAGTCAATCTGTACGCACGGCCATGTTGCCGCTTGCACCGCTTTGCCGTACACACGCTAATTCCTTCCGTACGTACGTAAACCATGTGTGTCCAGGTACGCGCTGCTGTCGGACTTCCGCAATGGCTTCGAGGTGATGCGCGAGCTCGTGCTGCACTTCAATGGCAACGGCAAGCAGTGACAGCAGCCGCGGTTTGCAGTATCTGTACGGCTTGTAGTCCGTAAAGACATCCAAGCTACACATTACGTAAGAGAGTTTGGGAGTTGTATTGCTTTCTTAACAAGGGCAGCAGAAGCAGAAGCAGCAGTAGTCAGTTGCAGTAGCCGATAGTTGCAGTAGCAAACTAGGAATGGGGACGAGCGTTCTACACGTTACAGCGCAGTTGAGCGGTTGGCAGTAGCAGCACACAAGTTCTGCTGATGGCTTGTGGACGGCATCTCAGAATCGCCAATCAGCAAACTGCGTGACGTGGCATGTTTGTGGGGGATACCGGTATTCCATTGAAGGACCCTTCGCGTTGTTAGCTTGAGATTGCTCTCGTTGCTAAGTAGCTCGTTGCGCAGCGGTTGGTCGCCAGGGACGGTCGCGCTCCCCGAGGATTAAGCTGGTTCCAAGGTGCCAGTGGTTGGGTGTGGGCGTACGGAGGTTGCTTAGTTGCCAAATGCGTCGCGCATAGGGCCCTCCAATCATAGGGTTGTGCGTCGCACCTTAGTAGTTACTGACTCCCCTGTAATAGTAACCGCATTATCCAAGTCAATCTCCTTTCCTATGATAGCTGTTAGCTGAGATGGTATGTGTGCTGCATGTGTCGATGTGTGGTATGCGTGTGCTGCAGTGCCGTTCCATGTCCAGCGCTACTTGCTTAGGCCAGGGACATGGGGTTCAGTCGGGTTGGGGCGCTAGCTGTACGGGTCGGCCACAGGTGCGGTGATCCTTGTCTACCGGGTGTTATGGTTACCCTGGAGGGCCGGGTTCAGAGCGTGCGCATATGCATGTGAAGGCCCCCCAGGGAGGCAATGTGTGGGCGCAGACGATGCAGTGGGATGTGTTGTCGTCGGGAGCTGGGCGCTAATACGCGGCGTTCATCCCCTGTGCGATGGCGCAACCCGATCTCCGACCACGCAATATGGCAACGTGACTTATGTCTCGTGCCACTGATAGCACACTACGGCACTGTTTGTGAGCAGAACACTTTATCGATTTTGTTGCCAAACTTTCCTACTGTTTTCTACACTGCCAGTTTCTGAAATGGGTGCAAAGGAGCACCGGCTCGGCGTTAGCGTTAGATCGAAGACCACTTAGGGCTTCTGGGTTGGTAAGCGGCATCCGTCTGCTGTGCTTGGGGTTATGCCCATTGGAGCACAAACGCATTAGCCCTTACCCCTTACGGGCGAAGATGGTTCTGCAAGGCAGACTTTGTCGCGGCGATCTATCTGGTATGCTCGAACAGCTGCTGTGTGCCATGCCCATTGCTGTACGTTTAAATAAATTATTTAAATGGTACAGCAATCACACCATTAGGGCGGGTTACGGCGCTTCCTGCTTTCAAAGTAACGCTTTCGTTCCCTAGATCATAGAGAGCAGCATGACTACTGCCCATTAACTGTAGACTACCTTGACATATAATTATAATGCTAGGTTACAACATATCTTTCTACATATGCAACGGAACATGCAAATTGCACCCCGTTTTTTGACATTGTGCACTTAATATCATAGGGACGTGTCCAGTCCTAACAGGAATTAACTCGTTTGCCGACGTATTGCGCAACGCCAAATATGTACTTGTACGGCCCTTCGCGCAGGGTATGCAAGCCGTGCCGTTTCTTTATACTTTGTTACATGCCTAGATCATCTATGTTACAATACTCTACCCTGCTATATCATCGAGAAGGCTTGATATTAAACTCCGGACATCGCTTTAGCTGCTGCCCCTCCTTCCCTTTCCTTTATCAATTCTGTGCATGAGAAGATAGGAACGCGTGACCGGCCGACAAGGCCATTCCTTTGCGGCCAGGGCGCGAGGAATGGGAGGGTGCGAGGACGAGTTTGCTCAGGTCTGCGGCGTCTTAGGAGAACTTTAGAAGCGTTGCTACTTGGGTTATTATTCGTAAGGTCTACATGTAAATATGTGTCATACTGTAGAAGGAATGACGACAAAGCGGCGTGTTCGACTTCCGTTTGCGTCCTCAATGCTGCTTATCACCCGTCTACATTTGCCCGATTCCTAATGGCCCCTATATGTAACTATCAACGCCCCTTTTCATGTTTTCAGGCAGTCGAAATCATCTCTGGTCTCTACTATTTTCTCCCCCTCAAGCGTCCGGACAGCCCCCGCTATTCACCTATTGCTCAGTCTAACATCTGCTACTGCATCGATGACGAGCTGGTAGGTGGAGACCCTCCTTAAGGAAACGTTTCTGTACTCGCTTGCATGAGCCTTTTTTCCCTTTGCAGCTTTACGAGCCCTTCTTTGCGGACTTTGGACCGTTGAACCTAGGACGCACGTATCGGTTTTGCCAGAAAACCAAGCAGCTACTCCAGGTCAGGGCGCTGCTGGGCGGCGCTTAGTTACCCGTTCGCACGTCGTCTTAGGCTTCGTTGTGGCTTTGCAGGAGGCGGAGAAACATGGCAAGCGCTTATACCTCTATGCTGGACCACATGCGCACCAGAAAGCAAATGCGGCCGTGCTGGTGAGCACCCTACGCAGCATGTACGCCTTTGAGGCGCGACCCTGCTTGGTTTGAGGCTGCGATGCTGTGAAGGTTCCTGCTTCAGGCCCCTGAAGATGGCGACGCAGAGCTTATAGACAAATCTGAGAAAGCTTTGCAAGGATGTTGCTTCTGCTTTGCTTAATGATGAAATTTTCTTGTGCCCAAACACGCCCAGGTTGGAATTTATCAGGTTATCTACCTAAACAGGACAGCGGACGTAGCTTACAAGCCGCTTTCGGCTTACAAGCCTTACGTGCCATTCCGCGACGCTTCATGCGGCGTGTCGACCTTCCACTTAACCGTATACGACGTAATCCGGGTACGTAATTACGTTCTTATCTGTCACCGATCGCTACTAAGTTGCGTCGATGGGGACGCGGACTTGTACAACAGCGTTCGACAACTCGGGCTTGATACCTTGGGTACTTTGCGGTGTTTGACCGCAGGGTCTTCAGCGAGCGCACGATGTGGGGTTTATTGACTGGAACTCCGGTTCCTCCACGTGGAGCCTGGATGAGTACGAATTCTACGAGCAGGTAGGCCCCAAACCGCCACACAAGCAGCCAGTCAGCGGTGTAGCCAGGTTCCTGCGGTGGCGGGTTACGGCCATGCAAACAGTGGGCCGCATGGGGGCTACCTGTCGTTGCTTATCACAGACTGATTGTGACTCCATTGGTCTGTTTTATGCTGCTGCTGCTGTCTCATACCTGCCTCTGCTGGGCGTCCTCCTCCCCGCTCCCCAGGTTGAGAACGGCGACCTCAATTGGATCGTGCCGGGCAAGTTCGTGGCGTTCTCCGGCCCTGCAGCCCGCTCCAACGAGGTGGCTGGCTACCGGCTGCACACGCCGGAGGACTACTGGGACTACTTCAGGAGGCGGGGGGTCACCACCGTGGTGCGGCTCAACAAGAAGGTGGGGCCTCTGCGGTTGGGGCTGCGGGGTTACTAAACATAAGCTGTGCTAGGGGCGACTCGGCGAGGAGACGGGAAGGATAGGGACCCTTGTGCTGGTCCAGTAGGGGCTCCGGGAGAGAGCATGTCTGAAGTGTAGACGGTTGGGCGAAGGGCAGCAGAGCCGGGCGGCAGCAGGACTGGGGGCAACCTAACTTAAGCTGGGAGGAGCGGTCCGGGCTTGTGGAGGGCCGGCAGTGCGATGCAACAGGATGTCCTGTACTCGTAGTCAGGAATAACGCACTGACGGCGGATCGCGCAGGGAGTGGAAAAGGCAATGCGCACCTCGTACCTCGTGTGCCTCGCACCTCGTCGTGTGCGTACCTCGTACGCACACAACGACTGCACATCGACCATGGAATCTGCCCCTGTCCCTTGCGTGCCGCTGTGCAGGTGTACGACCGCAAGCGCTTCCTGGACGGGGGCTTCAAGCACCATGAGATGTACTTCCCGGATGGCTCGTGCCCCTCGGAAGCAATCATCCAGGTAGGGATTATGGGAAGGCGTACCCGAAGACTGCTGAGAGGGAAAGGTTGTGGTGCAGGAGGTGGGCAGTTATAGCGCGGACATGTTGCACTGTTTAAGATCGCAGCCCGCAATGTCCCAATTCTCCGTTACCAGAGCTTGCTTCTCATGATCGCCCGTGTCACAGCGCTTCCTGGAGACGGTTGAGGCCGAGCCAGGCGCCATCGCGGTGCACTGCAAGGCGGGTCTGGGTCGCACGGGGCTGCTCATCTGCCTCTACATCATGAAGCACTACCGCTTCACGGCGGAGGAGGTGCTGGGGTACATCCGCGTGTGCCGCCCGGGCTCCGTCATCGGGCCGCAGCAGAACTTCATCCGGGAGGTGAGGGTGGCCAGCAGGCGGTGAGGGAGGGGGATGAGGAGTGTTTGAGAGCTGTCGGTAGTAGGCGCGGACGGAGAGCGTCCTCCGTGCTTTCGCATTATTTCATGGACTCACACCGCCTCTCTTTGCGCTGCCGTGTAGATGGAGGCGCGCATGTGGCACGAGGGGGAGATGTACCGAGCTGCCAGGGGTATGCCCAAAGTAGCCCCGGCGGTGAGCGACCTTGTTGTGGCGGGGCGCGCGGCGGGGCACGCGGAGCTCGCCGCGTCGCCCTCGCCGCTCTCCATCATTGACGGGGCTGCCGCCGCGGCAGTAGCAGCAGCTGCTGCCGCCGCTAGCAATGTCCGCACCGCCAGCTACGGCAGCATCGGCAGCGGTTCCGTTGCAGGAGCAGCGGCGGTTGCGCAACCGTCATACGGGTTGTATAGATCCAATAGCGGTACGGCGAACGGCGGCAGGTCTGGATCAGCTGGGTCAACGCATGGTCCAGCAAACGGGACTGGCTCAGGCTCCATCCCTTTTGCAGGGGCAGTCTCGGCCTCCGCCGTTTCCCCCGGTGACGCGTCACTTCTGCAGTACAGCAAATTGCAGCAGTACGGCGGTGGTTCCGTCAGCGCTTCGTACGGCACTATCGGAACCTCCTCCAATGGCTACTTGACATCGGATTATAACTCCGTATCTTCGCCGGCGGTGCTTGGCGGAGGCGTTGGGTCTTCCGTAGCCTCCCCTGGCGTCAATGTTGGCGGCTACACCTCTAGCTACAGCGCCGTATCCTCCGTGTCGTCCTTCCGCAATCGGTACAGCGCCACTCCTAGCGGCTACAACAGCGGTGTCGGACGCTCCATGACGCCGCTGCGGTACGGCACCCAGAACACGGGCGCCTATCACATGGGCGTGGGCATGGGCGCGCACCACCATCACGCCGGCACAGGGGGGCACTACGGCGGCCACCACCACGGTGTTTCTGCCTCCCACCCGGGTCCACTCCAGGCATCGGGTGCGGCCGCTCGGGGAGGGCCCATAGGCATCTCATCCGTCAGTCGTTCCATGCAGATGGCCCCAAGCAGTGCCGCGGCGGCTGCGGCAGCAGCAGCAGCCGGCATGGGTCGCTCGCCCTCCACGGGTCGCCTCAGCGCCGCCGCAGGCCTCGCAGCGCCACCGACTGCGTCCGTAGCCGGGTTGCGATCCACGCTGCACACCGATACGCTCGCAGCAGCCGATCGACCGAAGCTCATTCCTGAGCGGAACACCCAGAGTGCGGACATTGGCTCAGGGTTTGGTCTCGGCAACACTTCCCTCGCAGCCAGCGTGTCTGGTGGCGTAATGGGCGCGGGGCAGGCCGGGGGGGGCTCGGCGCCATGGCGCATAGCCGCCGCCGGACAAGCCAACGGGGCCTCGTCCACCACTGCTGGAGGAGCACCGGGCGGTATGGGTGTAGGGGCCACGCGCGCTTCGTCTATCGGCGGCAGATCGGGGAGCACCGGCAGCCACACGGGAGCGCCGGCGCCACCAGGTGCCGGCAACGGCGGTGTGGTCCGCGTCCTCGCGCCCAACGGTCAGCCCCGGAAAGTGCCGGTTGCGTTGTTGCATCAGTACTCCCAGCAGCAGTATCAGCAGCAGCAAGCAGGGGTTGGAAGCATAGGTGGTTGGGCGGCAGCTGGTGGCGGTGGCGGAGGGGTGGGGAGCGGCTCCGTAGTTGCAGCCCTAGCTGGAGCCGGCATTAGCGGCACGAAACCGCCCTCTGCATCCAGCGCCGCGCAGCTGCGCTCGGGGTACTCGTACGGAATGCGGCAATGACGGTTGCGGCGCTGACGAATGCGCTCAGCATGGCCGTTTGACGCGCAGTTGGAGATGCCGGTTCCTAGTCACCGGTTCCTAGTCATAGCAGGTGGACAGGCTGGCAGGAGTTATGGAAGCCATCGACCAAACTTTCCGTGGGCGCTTTTTGTTTACTTAGCTCCGTTTGGGCCATGCTGTGCATGGAGCGGTGGCAAATGCTTTGGGGTTGAATGACACCACGTTGCGATTTGCAGTTTGTGCCCCAGTGGTTAGCATGGCCCTGGCTCGTGCGAACGCCGCGAGGTAATAGAGGGTTATGACCTAACCGGGAAGTTCGAGTATCCTTCGCGTGCAGGGTAATGCTGGTTTCATGGCGGTTTTGCTTTTACTTGGTCCAGCCATCCTAGTCGCAGGTGGTGGCTATTGATTGCTGGCAGGCGGACGCTTTCATGCTATTCTTCGGGAGCAGGCTTATGTTTCCGCGTTATTGCCCGTCTCGGACGGCTGTTGGGGGTTTCCAGAGCAGCGGGCGGCAGCGCACGGGCGTCCAGTAAGGCGCCCGATGTGTGTCGCATCAGGTGCTGTATGATGCCTTTTGCGTTGGCAATGCATGCTTCTGGGTTTGCATTCTGCAGGTTAGCTTACCACCATGATTCCGTTCGTGGTTTCGTTCGCCCTGCATCCCGAGAGTTCCCTGCGGCTTCCAGGTGCCGGTGCCTAGGCGTGCGTCCTGTCTCGCGTCGCGCCCTGTCCTGAAGCCACTGTCGGTGCTTGCATGCTTAAGGAGGTGGCATGTGGGGCCCGCTAGCATGCCTTGAGGGAGGCCACGCACACGCTTTGGCGCGCGGAAGGGGAACGGGGGCAGGGTTCGCTTAGGTTCATGTGGTGCTTTGGAAAGGGAGCAGAAGCAGTTTGTTTAGGACTAGGACCGAGCTGTGTATGTAGGCAACGACAGCAGGAACAGGCTTGGCTTGGCTGACTTGGGCCGCGCTGTTGGCAGGTTACGATAGATGTAGTTTTGAGGGCATTCATTAGATGCTGCCCTTTCCTTTCCATGCTTATTGTGGAATCTCCGCGTGTGTGTCTGTGCATATGTATGGCGGCGGTGTTGGCCGCTTATTTGCGCGGCGGCCCTTGGCCAGCGGCGCTTTCTGTTTGCACCTGGACTTCCTCCTTGACGCATCCTTTTGCCTTCCGGGCCCGCCTTTGTCTCGGCCGCCCAGGCGGCTGCGCCCCAGGGTTTCATTCCTCATGCCGTTCACGTTTACCTCTTTGCGCACGCTTTACAGCGGCTGTTGAGCGAGAGGCAGTGAGTTGCGAAGAGCGGAAGCGGGTTGTGTCTTCGTGTCGAGGATGTCAAGCCTTGATTCGAGGTGTACCGTTCCTCCGCGTCGGACGGATGCTTTCCCGTGTAGGAGCCGCCTCCTGCGCAGCTGGTGCTTCCTGCCGAGGGATGCTCCTGGTAGGGAAGCTGTGCCGAATCTGCCTCCCGGGCAGCAGGATATGCGGTTGGCAACAAGGGACATACCAGGCGTCTGGCTTCTGTAGGGGTTGTGCGAAGCACCCGTTGAGTCTGACCGCTCAATCATAAGGGGACTCAAGCAAGTCAAAGCCTTATGTTTTCTGTGAGTGCATATGCAACAGCAACACCTTTTGTTTAGTCTTATTCCGTGGTGGCTTGGTTTGGGCCTGGGCTTCAATAGGCACCATCACTGATGTTTGTCTTCGATGCAAGCGTTGCTGCGATGGCCTGCAGTTGTTTCCCTTGCACATTGAGGATAAACGATGATAATATGGTTGTGTGGTAGGAATGCCCCTGATGCTGTCGCTGGGCAATAGTTTATATATGAAGGCCCGAGCGAGCATGCAGTCGCTGGCTAGTCCTGGCAGTCGTGAGAGATGTGCCGCGTGCCGTGTTTTGGGCAACCCTTGCAGTCGTCTTGCAAGCGGGCACGGGTATGCTGGTGTTCGCGGGGCGGTGTGGTTGCTTTTGGTTCAGCTGCCGTCTGGGACCAACGGGCGTCGCTTGCCACGTTCCACGTTCACAATCGGTATCTGTCTAGGGATGCCGACGCAGCTAGTTCTTCTGCTGTTCTGATTGGGTGATTGAATGCAGCAAATCCGCACGGATCCTGGTTCCTAGGGCCCTGTTTGTGTCGTAGTAGACTTTCGTGTTGTGTTTGCAAGCCGGGCTTGCATCCTTCGTTGTCTGTGGGTGGGTGCAGATGAGTTGGCTGCTGTCATTGTGCTGTATCGCGTAAAATTCATAGCAGTAGATTCTTGTCGCTGTAGGTTTTAGATACGTCGACGCGTCGAATGGGCTGCTGCTGCTTGTTGCACTAAATGAAGACTGATACTGCTGCGATGACGTGCGTACTTTCGTTTTCTGGTTTTGTCTTGCAACTTGGGTGCAGACCGCCTCTCTCTCTTGCCTGCTCGTTACTCGTTAAGATGAACGGGTGTGCATGTGGGTGCTCCCTTGGCTGTGGTAGACTGGGTGTGGTGCAGTGGTGTTGCCGGTGTTTCTAAACCAAGTACGACGATTATGACGATTTTGACAAATCTAACACATGCAAACACTTTCCGGAAACTGAGACACACAGAGATGCACACAACACGCGACTGGTGGGTGTCCCGATGGAGGGCGCTGCTCGCTCGTGAGGCATACTGGATTTTACCACGTACGAATAGAGCCCTTTGGGAGGCTGTGTTGGGGGCCCCTCAGTAGTAGTCAGATTTCATGCAATGCCTGATGACTGATATGGCTTATTGAGGGATCGGAACATGGAAACGTAGGTTTTAGGACATGTCCGCGAGTTTTGATGCAGCTTTTTGTGGTGTAGCTTTTAACTGACGACACTGCGTCTCGACAATGCGTGGAGGGCCCTTTGCGCGCAAATGGTGATTGCTGCTGCAAAGCGGAGAAAGAGGTCGACAGCGTTTGTAGCGGATTTTGATTTTCGAGTGCATAATGCTCGCATCCGTACAAAGTAGTGTAACCAAGTAACTCTATTGGCAGGTGTCTCGAAACTTCAGCGGCAGCCCCCGGCCTCCACTTTGACTCGGTGTCTCACTAATGTGCAAGGTGTCGTGCGCCAAGCCCCCGAAGGGAGTATTAGACAGTATGGTGCGTACGGCACCAACGAGCAGCTGCACGTACCCGGCAGACGCAGGCCAGATGTTAGCTGCGGGAGTTGGCAGGGATGCTCTTGAGGCGACAGGCTCTTATTTGTGATGCCTACTGCACGAATGCCCCGTACTGCAGCATCATCCTCCACATCTCCGCAGCCGTTTCCGCTGCAGGCATCCGCGACGCCGCTGCTGAAACAGCAGCCGCAGGAACAAGAGTCACAGGAACACGTCCAGTGCATGCTAGAAAGTACCCAGGCCGGTTGTGTGTGTCTTGCTACCTACTAGCACCGCCATTAACTTAACAAGTATAAGCAGGGAACCACGTATGCCGTCCATCTGGTACCGTACTAGCTGTTGTACTGTACGACAAAACGGTATGGCGAACAATGCAAGCGTTACTATGTTCACTGTTGCATAGCTCATGTCTTGCTTTTTGTTACAAGAACAGGTTTCCAAAACGTTTCGGATTCTCGCCTCGGTTACAACTTTTGTAGAAAGCTGGAAGGACGGTTAGCGCCAGGTACTTGTAGATGGATGCGCTACATAGTACAAACAGGTTCCATATTTACACACGAACTTTGCAATGCGGCGATAAGGGCTCGCTGACAAGCGTGACAGCTGCTTAGGTACTTTGATGGATTGCGCTGCATTACCCGAGGGTGTCATAGTGACAAAGGTAGGTTCCCTTACAGGCTCCTTTAATCAGCACAATCCTTTGAGTACCGGTATGCTGACCCGTCTGCGCGTGCGCCCTTCGTCCATCTCCTACAGCTCGGCTCAAAGGCCCGCTTAGTCGCAGATAAAGTGCTTGAGACAATCCAAAACAGCAAGATAGTCGTCACACGTTTCTTGCAGAAGACAAAAAATGTTCCAGACCACCACGCCAACGGGGAGGTTAGCAGCAAGTGCATTCCGCTACACGAACACTATAAGGCGGTGCAGCAGCTTTCCTCCGCGGCGGCAGCAGCAGCAGGGGGCTCAAGGCCAGCAGCGAAAGCCCCTCGCGCAATGTATATGCACAACAAGTCCCTGATAGAGGTGTTGGGAGTTGAGCTGACACAGGAGCTGTACGCTGCCGTACCTCACCTCAACCATGATGGTAAATTGGGGACTAGCTAGGTAGCTCACATGCTCACATGGTGCGTGCCGGGTATGCATGCATGAGGACACCTGCATGCTGCCTGCATTCCAGCATGCTGCTGTGCCCTTCACAGCTCAGAAACGAGGGCGTCCTTGCTTGCTTGTCTATGTGCATGCGTATGTTGCTATCCCGACATGTAGATTGACTTATCTGTATGTATGCCTACCCCCCACTTATCCATGCCTTTAATTGTGAACCATAAATATACATATGTAGCTATCTAGTGCCGCGACATCTTTACTAGCTAGCCACTAGTTCCAGATAATTAATAAGGCCACATATGCATGCACCCCGTCCATGCAGATAGTTAGGCTAGCCGTCTGCATGCATGCATGCACCCCGCCCATGCATGCATGCAAGGAAGTGGTAGTCTATCTACAAGCGAACGCGACCCTTATGTACGTGCCTGCCTGCCTCAGGCTTCATACGTACCATGCAGGCCATGCAGGTCACGTATCGCATGTAACGCCCGCCCGCCCGCCCGCCGGCCACATGCATGCATGCAGTGCTTGTCAATTACCCGCTGCTCTACATCTCGGAGTTCCCCAAGAGCAGCAGCGACGTGCTTGTGGGCGGCAGGGACAGCTGGTCACCCTTGCACCAGGTGGCGATAGATGTACGGGGACGTTGGATTGGGATGGGTCGAAATACTAATTGCTAAATAATAATTACGCCGGTCGAAGCCCTGGCGTGTGTTAAGAGGGTGAGGCAGTGAGGGGGGATTAGCCCCTGCTGAACCCCTGTACGCCAGCACCACCTCCACTGGGTTGAAAACGTGAAAAGCAAGCAATGTTTGTATGCCTGAGCGAAATCGAGAAGGGCATGCATCTGAAAGGTTTATACCTACCGTCCACGCACGCACCTGATACAAGTTGCTATTGGGTATGCACGTACGTATTTACGTAGCACGACTGCTGGGTACTAGCTAGCTTTTACTTCTAGATAGATGTATGGGAAGAGCACGCAACGGCGCTTGCTAGCTAGGACAATCCTACTACGCACGGCTGAAACAACCAAAACCCTAATAACTACTCTCTTTGTACACTTGTTCGTACAACCTGGCTGCATCCAGGACCTTCCGTTGTACTGCACCTCCATCATCTTGGTCCTGGAGGGGCACAAGGAGTTTGCCCTGGTGCCGGACGAGGTGGTGCCTTCCCTCCGCATCAACTTCACACCCGACTGCTGGGAGAAGACCGTGACGCATGGCGGCTAGTCCTATCCCAACGTGCAGGTAGGTAGGTCGGTGCGTGTAGTGGGCACGCATCGCAAGCATACTTAGTTGTGTAGATGGCTATCTAGGTTATTGTTACCTAGCCACCGATAAGTATTGAGTATTTGAGTTGTTACACGCATGCACACAGACATGCAAACTTGTTCCTTACTTCTTTTCGTCCCTGGCGGATTCTGTGTGCTGCTGTAACAAGCTAGCAGCCGTACACACCTACCTAGCTCCACGTGCGGGTGGGGTCCGTTCACCATGCGTGCATGCATGCCCTGCACTGCTGCCGCGCGCCCTCAAACACTCACATACAGTCCCTGCTCAAAGCCACGGGCGGCGCCGTGGTTCCCCTGCGCCCCGGCGACATGCTCATCATGCCGCCGCGCCTCTTCCACATCGCACGTAACCTCACCAGCCCCACCGTCAGCTGCAACTTCAGCGTGTGTACCATGGATGTGGTGCCCTCCGTGCTGTTCGAGGTACGTCATCAGCAGTAGGGCTGCTGCTGGTGCAATAGCGTATGGAATAGCTCTGATACGCTGCGTGCTGCTGCGAAACCAGGCGACTAGCTACGGTACGACTGAGCAAGCAGCGACTCGCTCTGCAGCGACTGTGCTCGAAGGCTGCATTTACTGCTGCTTCCTGGTTTGAACTGCACTGCAGACGCTGGCATGGATCGCGCAGCGGCCGCAGGACGTCATGCACTTCGATTCGGACTTTGCACGGCTGTTGGATGATTGCACTCGGGCGGTGCGTGGGTCTTTCACTTGGTGGGAAACAGGTGTTAGCCCGTTATTAGGTTCTCGCGCTCCTGTGCTTGGTGTAGTGTCATCACCGTATTGCGTAAGGATTTGGATTCCGGCACGTGGATTTCCGTATACTGCCCTTCCCCCCCTTCTTTCCTGGCTGCTGCAGGTGCTGCAAGAGGCTCCGCCGGGCAAGGCGAGCAGCATGCAGGGCGCCACCAGCAGGGGTTGCCTACCGGATGTACGGACGTCCGTGAGCAGCGCAACGCGCCTCGTCACTTGGTGCGTGCTGCTGGGTTGGGGCCTCCACGGTGGCACGTAACTGAGGAGAGGCCCCCAGGAGAAGAGCAGAGCACGATTGTTGTACTGCTGGATGTCGTCGTCCTGCATTGCTGAAAGTTCGAATGGGCACGGGAAACAAAGCCAGCAGTGAAACTCAACTTTAGCGTTACCCTAGCTTCCCGACCATGTCCTCCTGTTGCAGCCCCCAAGGCGAGGCTATGCCTGGAGGCTGACCCGCAGCTAATCCGGCGATGAATTCGTACCATTGGAACACTGTACATACATACATACACCCCGGATCTTTCCTGCATCCCTGACAACTTGACACAACACGTGCCTGTCTGCAAACCGAGCTGCCCCACGACCCACGACCCGCCACACACATACACGCAGGTACACCACGCTTCAATGCATCCCCAAGGGCTGGGTGACGGGCTTCTGGGGCCCTCTGCGGGACCGCCTGCTGTCTCAGCTGAAGGCCGCACTGCCGCTCCACAGCAGTGCCCCCTGCCGCCGCGGTAGGCTGGCAGCACCGGCGGCAGCAGCAGCAGCGGGGCCGGCGGTGGAAAGGGTGGCGGCGGAGGAAGGTGCGGATAGGGATGGCGGCAGCAGCAGGCAGCGCTGCTGCGACGACGGAAACGTGGGCGGGATGGACACCCGCCGGGGCTCAGCTGCTGCTGCGGGTGGGCAGGAGGCGGCAGGGACGAGGGGGTGTAATAAGCCTCAACCGGCGGAGGCTGCTGGGCAAGAGCAGCAGCAGGAGCAGCAGGAGGAAGGGGCGCGTTCGGGCGGGAAGACGACGAGGGGTGCGACCGGTGCCGTGGTTCCAGGCAAGAGGCCGAAGAGGTAACATTGGTGTTTCATGGCCCATGGGTCATGTGTCCTGGTGTTGGGCAGGGCGGTGGCGTTTCGACTGGTCAACGTCTATGAACGAGGCTTTCTACGCATTCGCCATTTCTTCGTCCAGGTCTTGCTGGGTGGTCCATGTCCCCTGCAGCGACCCATACATCTTAGATGATGATGCTTCCTGTTTTCTACATTTATCAACATTGTTCTTGGCTGTTCTACGGCTCGCGGTGTGTATTCGATCGTGCTTGGACTGTTAGACATAGTCAAGGCACCGACGGGTGCAATTAGCATTGAATGGCAGCAGTTCATGCAACGTGAAGCAGATACCGTTAGTTAGGTGGCTGGAGATTCCCTTGCAAGGCACCAACAGGCACCCTTACCCCGCGAGGCGATTGCCGTTGTTAGCTGCGGTGGCTGACCCGTGGGTCGTTTAATTGGTGAGTCGGGTTCGGCAAGACGGCGTGCAGTGTATAATCTGACAAAGGATTGGAGCGAGAGATAACTTGACATGGATACCGGTATCCCTTCCGCAGTGACTAAGCGTGGCGGTCACGACCATTGGCATTGATAATAAGAACTCCACCAACGTAAGAAGCAGGATGAAGACCGGCGTGCTGTCTTGTCGTTGTTTCTTTTCTTGGTGTGTTTGCAATTTTGGAGGAACGCTCTGGAGACTAAAGGGGGGAGCAGTGCTTGGAGGGCATCCGGCTTGCTTTGCGGCGCTGCTGCTGTGATGCAGATACAGATAGACTTACAGCTAATGACACCTATGAGGCGCTGCATGCATGCTTGCTGGTAATGCAGCCAGCAGCCAGCAACCTGCTGGACAGTGCATCTAGTGCACAGCGAATCCTACTGTTTTTTCAATCTACAACAGCTCATCCGCCGTGTAACACGCCTTCCGTAACTGCATCCTGTAGCCACATGCATGCATACGCATGCCAGATGACGAGGGCAGGCACGCATGTCGCCGCCCCCAGGCTCAGGCCATCCCGTTTACACCCCCTACACACCCTGGCCCATCGCCCCCTCCCAGCCACTTTGCGGCGGGGGCTCGCCCCAAAAGGTGGTTAGGAGAATGCTGTATGCGGGTAAGGGATTTCAGGAGTGCTTCCGTGGTTCATCAGTCCCGCGAGCTAGGTGGATCCTGGCACTTCCAGACTGTCATTGTCAGCGGCCGTGGTGGCTAAGAGGGTGCGCCCAGCGGGACATGCGTACACATCCTGAGACAACGTTGCGTCCATGCATGCCGGCTGCCTTTCAACGCTACCCCACCACCCCTCACCAAACCTCCCCTTCCCTGTTGACGCCTTTCCTAAGCTGCTTTGCTAGCGTTCGACTCCGTCTTTGACGTCGGCCTTCCGATGTCGCTACATTGCTCCGGGCTTGTCACGCAGGAGGAGCAGCGTGCCTGACGACAGCTGTACTTCATTTGCATTATGTACGTCCTTACGCGCAATGCAAAAACATCTATAAGGTACATTAAGAAATCTACGTCCATTACAGTTACATACTTTCTTGCGCAAGCTTTGCAAGCACCTTCGGGAAGATGAGTCTTTTTGGAGACTTGCCACCACCTACAGCTCATCTTAGGCCTAAGATTGAATCTACTGATCAGGAGTATAAGCCTCAGCCTTTACCTGCTGAGGCAACGCTACAAAAAGTGGAACCAGCTCGCGAGGATGCTCGCGAGGATGGTGACGATATTGACAGGCCGGACAAGCGGCGCCGGGTAGAAGGGGCTGGAGGTTCTGGTCTTTCAAGCGAACAGGTAAGGAACGCCTGTATCACACTTGCTACCTTCCTCGGTAATATCAATGCGTGCCGACCACTGAACCTAATCCCTTTCCTGTCGAGATTCACCCCTTTTGCTGTTTACCTTACTACAACATCAGACGCTGCCATTCAAACAACTAACGCCTGTCTGGCACCTCCTCTGTCCCCCCGAGGACCCCACTTCTCCCTTTCCTCCCTGCCCTCCGTCACTCCTTCCCTTCCTCTCCCTCTCTCCCCGCCCCTCCTCCACCTCTCTCCCTCCTCTCCACCCCAGGTGACCGCCGCGCTGCTCAAGATCGGCTCCCACATCTCCAACCCCGACAAGTTCCCCAAGGCCGCGGCGCTGCTGCGACAGCTGCTGGAGTCGGGCGCGGTTGGGCGGCAGCACCGGGAGCCGCTGTTTGAAGCCATCAAGGCGAGTGCGTGGGGGTGCTGGGTTGGGGGGCTGCCAACTCGGGCGCACGGGCTGGCTGTGCCAACAGCTGTGGCAGGGGGAGGCGAAGATCCCGTACTGCTCCCTGTCATTGACCCTCCTTCCTCCCACCAGGGCTTGTCAGCTGAATGTACCGTTTCCACACCACACATTGGAGCTTCTTTTTCCCTCCCGCCCGCCCGCCCGCCCCTCCCTTAGGCCGCCTTCTCCGACTTCGACAACGCCAGCTCGCCCGGCCTCCGCCGCGACTACATGAAGCTCTGCCACTGCCTGCAGCGCACCACCGAGCCCCCCGCCGCCCCGCCGCCGCCCCCTCCCCAGCAGTACTATGACCCCCAGCAGCAGCACTACTACGATTACTATTACTACTACCAGCAGCAGCAGCAGCAGCCCGCTGCCCCCCCGCCGCTGCTGAGCCGGGCGCAGCGGGAGCAGCTGGCGGTGTACCACATCATAGGCTACCTGCAGAACGAGATGCACACGGACGACTCCTTCGTCTTCAACAAGGCGGGTAGCTCTAGTGCACCGTAGCAGTGATACGGCAGAAGCAGGAGCTGCAGCAGTAGTATGTTAATGCTGTCTGTCGTGGGTATCTTGTGTTCACCTGTCGCCCTCCCCCCTCCTTGTCATTATTCCCATCTCCTCCCTCCTCCTCCCTCCTCCTCCCTCCTCCTCCCTCCTCGCCCCCCAGGTGCTGTCCCGCGTCAAGGAGGCGGTGGAGGCGCTGCCCCCCGCGGGGAAGGAGGACGAGGAGGCGGCGGCGCAGCTGAGGGAGCAGCAGGAGGGCGGCAGCAGCAGCGGGGAAGAGGAGGAGGAGCAGGAACAGGAGGGGCAGCAGCGGCAGCAGCAGCAGCCGGAGCTGGAGGTGAAGGCGGAGGTGGATGCTGGAGGGCAGTCTGCAGGGGGCTGCACCGGGCCTTCATCCTCCACCGGGGCAGCAGCAGCAGCAGCTGCAGGGCCTTCTCAGGCTGATACCTCGGAGGAAGGCGTGGGGGGGCCAGCGGTGAAGCGGGAGGTGGAGGAACAGCAGCAGCAGCAGGCGGACGACGACCCCTTCGGCCTGGATCCGCTCCTCACCAAGCCTCGACAAGCACCCAAACACCAAACCCCTCCTCCGCCGCCACCACCTCCACCTCCTCCACCACCACCACCGCCCTCCTCCTCTCACCCCGCCGCCCTGCACGACACCACCACCAGCAGCAGTGCTGCTGCTGCTGATGCCGGTGTGTGGACGCCCGCCCAGGCGCTGGTCATGCGGCGTCAGGCGCTGGTGGAGTGCCTCATCACCGCTCGCGGCTTCCACAAGACGCCCTGGGCTCGCACCAGCGTCGAACTCCTGGTGGAGCACTACCAGCGGCACCGGGAGCGGTTCACGGAGGAGCAGCAGCTGGTAGTGGAGGAGATGGTGCGGTTCGTGCGGGCGGCGAGGCAGGCGCGACCCACGGGTCCGTCGCAGAAGGAGATCAACCGCGACACCACCAGCTTTGAGCGCGCGAGGTCGGAGTGGAGCAGGGTGCATGTGTCGGCGAGGGGCAAGGTGGGGGCGCAGGGGGATGCCAAGACGCAGAACTGGCTGGGGTGAGAGACATGAGAGGAGAAGGAGGTGGTGGTGATGATGGGTACAGACTACCGTATCCGGTGGCGGGGGAGGCTGCGGTTGCTGTTGGAGGTGTGTTGGTGCTGGAGGTGGTCATGACAGGGTGGTGAGGGTGGTTATGCTGGGGTTGGGGAGGGGTACGAGGCAGCAAAACCGGATGAGGTGGGAGGATGTGAGGACATGGGGGGCGCATGCGGCTGCTGCTGCCTACCCGCTGTTGGTGTTCTGGTTGTGTTGGGTTCTGGTTGTGGTGAGCGGAGTTGGTGGTTGATGGTGTTGTGTACTAGGGATTTGCAATGGAGAGGTGGCGACGGTGGGAACGTGTATACCGGTATCATGTTCTGCTGTGGTTCAAGTGCGGTTCTGCACGTGGGGTGCCAGGTTGGCTGGTAGAGGCAGGAAGGTGGCAGCCAGGAAGGCGCGCAGTGCTGCTGCACCGCACCGTCTGCTGCTGTTTGAACTACCGTACTACCGAACATGCGTCAAGACAACCGTCCTTGGGGTGTACCTCTTCCCCCCCCCGCCACAACGTCAACCCTTGACCAACCTGAGCACCACCCAACCCAACCCAACCCATCCTCCTCCTCCTCCTACCAGTACCCCCGAAAAAGAAATGGTGGCCCGCAACGCCGCACACCATGGGGGCGCGCACACACTGCCGCTGGGGTCAACGTGCCATCATCGGTCCTAGAAAGCACCCAGCCAGCCAGACAGCCAGGCGCCACATGTTCGTCCCTCCTTCAACGCCCCTTCTTCAACGAGGCCTGGACCAGCCGCTTTGCAATCACCCCTGTACTCCGCTGCTGCCGCTGCTCCCTCGTCCGCCCAGCGCCACATCCTGCCAAGTATCGACTCTTCTTCCCCGACCCCTTCTCTAACCGCCCTCGCCTAGCCTCTCAGGTCGCGTACGCAGCGCCCTGCAAACCCAGGCGCCCTTCCATGAGCAGCGGATACACCGATTTAGCAACACACGCAGGGGCGAAACTTGGGGTACACGATCCGCCGCCCAGGCACCTTGGGCTCGTGCTCCTCGCTTCACACACTTTCATCTCAAGCCTCAACTGCATCAAAGAATGTGCTAGTGGTCCGCCCTCCCGCTTCTGCAGTCCTCCCGTGCCTGTCCAAGCGTGTCGCGAAAAGCCATCAGACCTGTTTCCCAGCGCAACAAAGCACTCCTAAGCCCCGCCACATGCACACAAGGGCTTCAATACAGCCCCAGCCGGCATAATGTACACACACCGCCCATGCATCCTGACCCCTGCCCCTCTTCCTTGCCTCTCCCTCTCTGCAGTCCCCAGGCTCAAGCCCCCGAGACAGGCTCAAGCCCCCGAGGCAGACGGCATGCAGCAGCGCCCCCTTGCCCGCCTCCCAGCACACTTGGCTCGTACAGACAACATGCCGTACAAGGGTACGGAGTGTACGACGTCTTGAGCCCTTAGCCGTCCCTCGTCACCCTCATGGGTGCGAGATGGAGGCCGGCTGGCTGGAGGGGAAGGGCTGGTACGTGGTGGAGAGGGGCGGGTGCGAGTCCGGCTGGGGTGGGCAGCGGGGTAGATGGGAGGAGGGGGGCAAACATAAAGGAAGGAAGGACGAGGCAGGTCGAGGAAGGGTTAGGCGGGAACCCCAACGGGCGCCATGGGAGAGGAAGGCAGAGATTGCAGAAGGGACTACTTCGCCCTCTTCCAGGCCCTTACAAGACAAGCCTGGCCCGTTTCCTCTTCTCTGTGTGGTCGTTTACCGTACTTCTGTACTTTGGGTTTAGAAAGCGAGGATTACACTGGAGGACCAACCACTGGAGGACCTTTGGGTTTAGCCTAGCACATGCTGATGTACGACAGCGCCGGTGTGTGGTGCAGCTTGAAAGCTACACAAGACATGCGGATTGCCCAAGTGCAGAAGTGAGTCATGTTGGCATGGAGGCTTGACCTCACCTGAGGAGGCTGGTAGGCGGCGAAGGGGTCTGAGGAGGGCATGTGGCCGTACGACGGAGGGGGCGGCACAGCGCTGACCCCAGCACCGCCGGCATTGGCCTGGCCGATTGCTTGGTACGGCACCTCACCGACCGTTGCTGAGCGGTGCAGGGACCAGGCCAAGACACCACCCGCGAGCTGAGGGATAGCGGGGTAAGATTGGCCGAACGAGTCAGGAATCGGACTACAAAGGAAGTGTTGCGTACAAGTAAAACTGATCAACAAAGGACAATCCTGATCATGACAGAGAACGTCGCCCACAAGACGTGAGTATGGATGCCTTCAACTGCTAAAGGGCTCGCGCGGTGGGCATGCTAGGGCAATAAAAAAGGAAAGCCACGCGCTACATGATCTGGGACTCACAGACAATCACAATTACAATCAATTTAATTAAAGTTTTGGCCAATACCCGGCGTTCTTGTCTAGAGGCTAACCGTTCGTTCACCTTCGCGTACCTTTGCTATCATCTCGCAAATAGTGAAGAAAACAAGCCAACCACGGCCATGAACACCGTGCGTGCTCACAGAAAGACGGATGATATCAATGATCACTGAGGCCGGGCTGAAGATGGAATACTGCAAGGAGCGGTCGGTTGATAATCAAGCTAGGAAAGAAGTTTACTGCAACCAACCAGATTCATGGGAAGCCCTCTGAACTAACCAGCAGCAGCAGCTCTGTTGACGCCAAGTAAACAGCAAGGAGACCCATCACGGCAGTGCTACCCGAAACATCTGACGCCCATATAGACGTTAGGAGTGCCAGGCCTAGTGTTGTTATAGCTGCAAGGGCAACGTATGAAGCACGAGGCCCTTGAAAGGCGGGTGGAACAGAAGGTCCTCCATTGAGGGTCAAGCCCATATTGAGCATTTTGGTAAGCGGCTAGAAGTTAAGCAAGACGATTCGCAAAAACAACCAACACCCCCGCGCAGATCGCTGGGGGAACCATGAAATGGCCAGCTTGGTACGATGTATCATGTACGATCTGCTGAAGCCAGTAAACGTTATGCAATGGGCAACTGGCATTAAGACAATGCCCCTGTGTGTAAGGAGGCATTGTAATTCTTTCAGTAATTGGACGTCTAGCCTCGGCATTTACCTTGCTGACCTCTAGCCGACCGGGAGCCGTTATCAGTCAACCCGCCTCTAATGCCGCCTCCACAAACTCGAGGAAGCTATAATGCTGACGCGTACACATCACAATTACGTCAAACGTCTTACGCAGCGATAGCGTACTCGACTGTTCCGCCCATTTCCTTGCACGCGCGACCCATTACCTCCCGCACACCTGCTGCCCGCTGCCATGCCCTGAGTTCCGGAACCTTCGCACCCCAGCTCGAACATCTTCAAATTTACCCATCGTCCAGCAGCGGACCCTGCACCGATGTGCAACATCATCGTCACCATGGCCACACCTACGCGAGGCACCACCACCATCACCCCAGCCGCCGCCTCTCTGGCCCCATTCCTCCGCTGTCCGCACTGTCACCATCAGTCTCATCATCAGCATCACCATCACCAGCGGCAGCACCGCCCTCGCCCCGATCCCCCGCTTCCCAATCCTCTTCGGGCCCACCGGTGCACGAGGGTCAGGTGTTGGAGCTGGAGTGCGCTCGACTGGCGCTAGAGGGCAAGGTAGGTCACTGGGGGGGGGGTGTGAGGGGATGTGTTTATTATGGAGGGGGGCGTGTGGGAAAGCTTATGTCGAAATCTGAATGCCAGTCAGCTGGATGTGTCTGCTGCATGCGGCAGCGGCAGTGTGAGGGTGCCAAGGGCCAAGCACGTGGGAGGTGGCGGTGGTGATGTTGGTGGTGAGCGGAGACTGCGTAGTGGTCTGTACTTGATGTCTGGGGGGGTTGGGGCGCGGGTCCTCGTGCGCGGCTAGCTGGGTGAGGTGGTGTGCGCCGCGTGTCTGCATGTACTCGAATTGCTCCTATCCCCCATCCTGCTCTTCTCCTTACCCATCTCCCTCCCCCCCTTCCTCCCTTTGGAATTTCTTTTTTCCCCCCCTTCCTCCCCCCCTCCCCAGGGTGTGTGCCTGCTGCCCCCCAGCGGCTACGTGGTGCTGGTGGGGCGCGCGCTGCCCGGGGAGCGGCTGGCGGCGTGCGTGACGCGGCCGCACAAGGGTGGGGCGGGAGAGGGTGGCAGGGGGAGGTGGGGGTGGGGCGGGAGGTGGCAGGGGCAGGTGGGGGTGGGGCGGGAGGTGGCAGGGGGGGGGGGTGGGGCGGGAGAGAGTGGCAGGGGGAGGCGCACAAGGGTGGGTGGCAATAGGGCTTGAAAGCCACAAGGGTGAGGGTGGGGAGGGGGATGCCGAAGAGAAGGAGGCTCATGCGTTGAGTGATAGGCTGTGGTGAGGAAGAGGACGTGGACGGAGGAACCGTGTGGTGGAGGGGAGGGCGCGGGGGGCGCAGCGGCAACCAACTGTGATAACTGCGCAGGTGCCGGGGTGTCCCGGGGTGGGGTGGGGTGGGCCACCTGCAGCTGGCAGCCCCTGCCGCCACCGCCCCCGCCACCAACCATCAACAGCGACCCAGCGATCCGCCCGCTTGTCTACTGCGCCCCTGCACCCATGCACCCTCCTCCCCCGTACCGGAACCCTACTTGGCTCCTTCCCCCACCCTCTCTTAGTCATTCAGTTTGTCAGTGTTTCTTTATTTTTACCCTCTCTTAGTTCCTTGCTCTTTCCCTCCCTTGCCCTCGCCCTTTCCCTCCCTCCCCCTCCCCCTCCCCTTCCTCAAGGCTACGCCGAGGCTCGCAAGCTGGCCTCGCTGGCCCCCCACCGCGCCGCCGTACCGCCCCCCTGCCCGCTGTACGGCCCCTGCGGCGGCTGCTCGCTCATGAGCCTGTCGTACAACCAACAACTGGCGGAGAAGCGGAACCAGGTGTGTGTGTATTGGGAACTGGCCGCCTGTCGGAACGCGGTGTGTGTGTTCGAAACCTGGCGTGCAGGGGGTGGGGGGCGTGCAGGGGATATCCACCTGACGCCTCCACCCAATCTGCATTCCCAACCACCCTCACCCCGCCCCCTCCCCACACCGCCCCCCCTCCCCAAACCCCCCCAGGTGGATCAGACGTTGCGGCGAGTGGGGCGGCTGGGAGCCCAGCTGGACGAGCTAGCGGCGGCTGGGGCGGGGAGTGCAGGAGGGGGGGCTGAAGGGGCGGCGGGGCTGCAGGGGGACGCAGCTGGCTGCTGCAGCGGCAGCAGTGGAGGCGGTGGCGGAGTGGGTTGCGGTGTGGCGGCCCCGGTGGGGTGTGGTCTGCAGCTGGGGTACAGGAACAAGGTGGGTGGGTGGTGGAGAGGGCGAGGAAGAGGGAGGGAGAGGGAGGTGGCAGCGGGAGGTCAGTGGATGAGGGAGTCAGGCGATGCGGGCAAAACTTCCACCGCCCTCCCCTTCCTGCTCCCCTTCCTGCTCCCATTCCTGCTCCCTCGCCCTTCCTGCTCCCATTCCCTTCCTGCCCTTCCCTGCCCCAGATGATGTTCCACTTCAGCAGCCGCACCTGGATGCCCGCAGCATGCCCGCCCGGGGGGGCTGCTGGGGCGGGGGCGGGGGTGGAGGGGGGTGCTGCTGCTGCTGCTGCTGCTGCTGGTGGGGGCGGGGGTGTAGACGGTGTGGATGAGGGTCAGGTGGTGGAGGGCAGGTGAGCGCGTATGCAGGCGGCCGGGGAGGGGTAGGGGAGGTGGCGGGGTAGCGTGCGGGGTTGTGCATGTTTGCATGCAAGGAGGGGGGAGGTCTCGCTGAGCGAGGAAGGTGGTAGGGGGTCGCTGGGCACAAGCGGGAGTGCTGAGCTGGGCTGAGCGCACTTCAAACGAGTCCGACGGGGTGAGGGGCGGTGTACCTGCGACTGCTCTTCTGACTACGTTACTACGAACCCCTTCTGCCCCCTCTTCTCTCCGACGCTCCCTCGTTGCTGCTCCCTCCCCGCCCCCCCCCCCCTCTGCCCCCGCATAAGGCCCTCCCTGGGTTTGCTGCGCCCCAGCAGCCCCGATGTCGTACTGCCGGTGGCCCCCCTGGGCTGCCTGCTGCAGGTGGGGGTGGGAGGAGGCAGGGGAGCGGGAGGAGGTACTAGCCATGTGCCAAGGCAGCACCTTGGGAAAAGGGAGAGGAAGGGGCGGAGAGGGGAGGCAGAGGAAAGCGGTGAAATGGAAGGAGTGAGGAGTGAAGGGGATTGAAAAGATGTGGCAGGGTGGAAACGTGTTTACACACATTTTAATTCACGCACTTCAATTGTCGCCACGCGTGTCCCGCTCATGCAGAGCTCCCTGGCGAATGCCGTACTGAGGCGGGTGGGGGACCTGGTTTCGGAGCTGGGGCTGCTGCCGTACAACCAGCCATCTGGCGAGGTACGGCGCTGTGCATTCTGGCTGGGTGGCTGGTACTGGTATGCTGTGTGTGCTTCCTAACACGAATCCACGAAGGGAGGGACGGGTCGGTCCAAGGGCTAGGCAACCGGCATGGCTTGGATGACGGTTTGCATTCTTCTTAATTGCCGGTACCCAACTGCCTCGCTCGTCGCCCTCCTGAATACCCACCCAGGCACCCACCTAGACCTCCCATAGCGGTGTCTTCCTGCCTCTACCTAGTTGTTGTGTCCCCAGCTGCCCTCCCCCTGGTCATTACCCCTGAGATCTATTCACATCTCCTCGTCCCTCTCCCTACCCGCCTCCCTCTCCCCGCCCGGCTCTCCCTGCAGGGCTTTCTGAAGCACCTGGTCATCCGCACCGGCAGCGGTCCGAGGGGGGAAGCGGCAGAGGCGGCAGCAGCAGCGGGAGAGGCAGGAGGGGCTGTGCGTCTAGGCAGGGATGGCGCCAGCAAGGCACAGGAGGAGGAGGAGGAGGAGGCGGGGGAGCCGAAGGAGGTCATGCTGGTGTTTGGAGTGACCCATGGGTCAGCCGCTGCAGCAGCAGCAGTAGGGAGCGGAGTCGTGCAGCAGCAGCAGCAGCTGACCTCCCTTGCCGAGCAGTTGGCGGCTGAATTCCCGCAGCTGGTAAGACGCACTGGAGTGCTGGCTGTTGCGGACAGTTACCGCTATGTTACCGGTAGTCATGTCATGCTTCGTATCGAGGCCTGTGAAGTTGTGATTCTATCCTCTCTCCCCCTCTCTCCCCGCGCCGGTCCGGTCCTGCATCCGCCGCTCCCCCGCCCTGCTATACCCTGATCTCCCCACCCCACCCCACGTGCACGCAGCCGCATGACAGCCCCAGCTAAGCAGCGGAGCTTACTGACAGCATTGCAGCAGAGACATCAGGTATCGCGCAGTGGAGCCGGTTATCACAGAAGCAGCCGCCTTTTATTCGCCAATGACGAGTGATCTCAGATCACCCCAGCCGCCATGGAGCTTACAATACGGTTTCCTATTGATTGATGCTACTAACTATACAACAACTACAATTATACGCTAACCCAACTATCCAGCCTAATGCGGATTCTGTTTCCATATTAACCCCACCCCACCCTACCCGCTCCACCTCCACTCCGCACCCTCCCCCCTCCAGGTCAGTGTGTCCATGCAACTGGTGTCCCCGCCGCGTCCCTCCCCCTCCCAACACGGCATGCGGCGAGTGCACAGCCCCCTGCAAGCGGGCGCAGCGGTTGCAGGCGGAGGGCTGCTGGCAGGGGGCCGGGAGGCAGTGGCGCCACACCGCCAGCAGCAGCACCACAGGCGGGGGAGCGGCAGCGGGGCGCAAGGGGCGGGGCAGCAGGGCCCCCAACAGCTGAAGGCCTTGGAAGGGAGAAGGAGCTATCGTGGGGATCGTGGGGGTGGGGGTGGTAGCTCTCGTAGCGGAGATGCAGATGATGCAGTAGAGGAGACGTCTGAGGAGGTGGCAACAACAGCGACGTCGTCAGTGCTGTTGTACGGCAAGCCGTACATACATGATGTACTGCAGGGCCTCACGTTCCGCATCTCCCCCGGCTCGTTCTTCCAAACCAACAGTCGCCAAACTGAGATCTTGTACGACATCGTACGACAGGCCGCCGGGTTACGACCTGGCGCTCAGGATGTCGTACTGGATCTGTACTGCGGTACGGGCACCATTGGGCTGAGTTTGGCGGCGGAGTGCCGTACAGTGGTGGGCATGGAGGTGGTAGGTGAGTGCTAGGAGCACAATACAGCTGTTTACTGAGTGTAAAGTAAGCAAAAAGAAATAAATAGCACATGCTGTTGAAGTTTGTGTGCGACTTTGGACATTTCTACCGGCTGCGTCGTCCATTACCCGCTACGCGCCTCCCCCCTCCTCCCTGCAGAATCCGCAGTGGCTGACGCGCGTGTGAACGCCGCGCTCAACGGCATCACCAACGCCACCTTCGTGGCTGCTGACGTGGACCAGCTGCACCGCCTGGAGGCGCTGATGGAGGTTGCTGACGTGATGACTCACAATGGCCACAAACCTGCAGCAGCAGCAGCACCACGATCAGCATCACAGCAGCCGCAGCCGCAGCAGCAACACAAGAACCTGCAGCGTCAACAGTCAAGGCAACAGCAATCTATACATCATCATCAGCAGCAGCAACCCTCCAGCCGCAGCTTCTCCCCAGACGTTGTGATCGTGGACCCCGCTCGCGCCGGCTTGTCAGCCTCCGCCCTGGCCTACCTGATCCTCTGCGGCGCCCGGCGGGTGGTGTACGTGAGCTGCAACGTGGCCACTCAGGCGCGAGATCTGGCGGTGCTGTGTAACGGTAACGGTAACGGTAATGGAGGCGGCGGCAACGGTTACAACGGCAACGGTAACGGTAACGGCAACAGGGGAGGCAGCAAGGGTAACCAAGGCAGGGGCGACAGGAAGGGGGGCAGCAAGGTTGGGCCGGAGGGTGCGGAAGGAGTTGGCGGTGGGGTTGGGGGTGGGCGAGGTGTGTTTCGGCTGGTGTCGATTCAGCCGGTTGACATGTTTCCGCACACTGACCACGTGGAGACGGTGGCGGTGCTGGAGAGGAGGTAGCAGGAGGCGGGAAGGACTGTAGTAGGAATGAAGCCCTGCAGTCCCAGCCCCATGTTCCTCTCGGTAGGGGAGGTGGGAGGAGGCTGTGAAGTGGGAGCGGAGGTGGGATACGGATTGAGGTGGAGGGTTGGGGAGGCTTGGTGTGATGGCTGGTGGAGACGGCTGTGTGTTTGGGGGGAGGGCAGGGGACCCATCATGGACGTGGTCGCGTTGGAAACTGACAAACACTGAATAACAGCTGGCGATCGCCCTGTGCTGGACAAGCAGGATGTCGCTTTTGTGGGCAGGCCATGGCGCAATGTAGCGAAGCGTGTAACAGGATTGGACTTGCTGAAAAGGCCTGGCTTCGGCGTTGCCGAACGTTGGGGAGGAGCACCGCGCGGGGCAAGGGCCCGCGGGTCCTTAGTGCTCCTTACCTTCTGACAATTGCAGTGCACAAGTGCATAGCGGCAAGGGAACGTATGCAGTATGCGCAAGTTGCTTATGGCTACGCGTTTAAATACTAAAGCAAACAGAGAGAGTTGTAGAGGCCAACTGTACGCGTGCGTTTCCTCGATCCGAACGTTTTCTAAACCTAGTGTAATTGCGAATGCGCATATAAAGTATTAGCATGTGAATAGTGCGAAGAAGGTAAAGACAGCAAGCCAAGAAGACCTCTGCTGTCGTACATAAGGCTCCTTATCTACCCCAAGCGTCCCTGGCGAACCCGGGTGCAGGCATGGCTAGAATGGCGACCAACTACATGGAGCTTGCCTGTCATTTGCTCACGGCCGATTCTTATGGGCGATTTAGATAACCCAGACCATTTTGTGGCCACCACGACAACTAAGTAACCAGCTAGCTACCTTGAGTTTTCTAACCCGTAATTGGATAATTAATAGGTCCTAAAGAGAAGGATTCCTGGTGCTTTACATTTGACCTCTTTGGAGAACAATATGTTGCAATATAATTAAATTGTAAAATGGGAACATGATCAGTTCATAGAAGAACTTGTTTAGCCTTTGGAAGAGGCCGGCGAGGCTCCCGGGCGTATCCGCCGTCCTGGGGTGCTCCCAGCGGGTGTGGGCGCATGGCATGGACCTGGATGCGGGACAGCATGCGGCGCTGGGATTGTCATACTACAAGGGATCGGTCCCGCTACACAGCTGCGGCGGCGGCACCCAGGTAGGTGTTGGGGATGTCGCGCCGACGTCGCTTTGTTTTCCGTTGAAGTTTCAGCCCACGCTGATCAGCAGCAAATTACCATGCATCAGGACAACTGCTACACAACAAATAACCCCATCAATTGGTAGAGGGGGTCCAGCAAGCACTAGCGGCCGCGAACATTTTGGCCTTACACCGGCGCGCGCGGTGCATCCTACTGAGCGCGGCGGGCGATGTGACGCTGCAGCGGTACATCAAGGTAGGCACCTCTTCTGTTGATCAGTATGGGTGCTAGCAGGATCCGCCCAAAGACGACTCAACGACGCGTATTTTGTAGGTGGGCTCGGTCGTAGCGACGTCCTTGGAGGCACGCCAGGGCCTCCACCCCTGACATCCAGACGCATAATGAATCGGAGGATTAAGAGGTGCGGCTAAGCTGGTCGTAAGGACTTTTCCGAACAAGCAGTAGCTAACCACATGTGATTTCAATTCCGCAGCTGCGATAGAGCGGAACAGCTGGCGAGTCTGGTGCTTGAGGAGGTAGCCAATTTTGATCAGCAGAACAATACCCACGCATTGTCTCGACTAGCAAAGCTGTTCAGGGGGAGCCGACAGTTGTTGTCGTTATCTGAGATGGTTGGCAATGAGTTGCCTTCGGCCCAAGTGCCGCCGGCACTGTTGCCAGCAATCCAGGCGCTTACAAAGCGCATGTACCATCTCATCAGCAGCTACGACTCTTGGGATGCAACTTCGTCCTTGTGGGCTTATGCGCAGCTGGGGTACGTGGATGAGGCGGCCATGGACACGTTATGCAACATGGCGCTGGCTATGGTCCACACGTTTAAGCCAGCGGATTGCGCCAACGTCGTTGTTGCGTTTGCGAGGATGGACTACATCCACACGGAACTCCTGCGCCAATTAGTCCCGGTGAGGATTGCCGGACTGTTGATGTTGCAATTCACACCAGTAAAGCCGGCGCTGCTGCCACCACCATCAACAACATCAACATAACTGTAAACGGAACATAATACAAACAGTAAGATACCCCAAACTCTTTCGAACAACTCCTCTGAACAACAGGCCGTACTGGACGTCATTGGTGAATGTCGCCCCGGTGAGATCTGCCAGCTGCTGTGGGCATTCGCGCGCCTGGGCTGCCACCCCGGGGACCTCTTCCTCACCGAGATGGTGGATGCCGTACACTGGCATCTGGACGAGTACGGCAACCAGGTGCGTGTGTTGCAAGAAAGCAGGCTGTGTGTGTATAGGGCTACCGCTGAGCGAACTGAGTTCGCTGCTGGGCTTGCTGCTGCTGGGATAGCTCCTCCCTGCTGGGATGCAGGGGGGCTGCTTCCTCAGCATCTGGCACCCCTCTACCCGCCTTAGTACTCCCCGCTACCTAACCAACCGCACTCCTCCCCCCCCCCACCTCACGCCCCCCCTCCCCCAGGAGCTGGCCCTGGTGCTGTGGTCCCTGGCCCGCCTGCGCCACCTGCCGCCGCTGCCCTTCCTGGCGGCCGCGGAGACGCACCTGCTCATCCGGCTGCCGCTGCTGACGCCCTCGGACGTGTGCGTGAGCGTGTGGGCGCTGCCGCGGCTGAGGTACAAGGTGAGGGATGTGACACGCCGGGGGTGTGCTCGGGCGTGTTGACCCCTGTGGAGGGGGGAGTGGTGGGGTTGGGGCGGGGTTCGGCTGGCTGGCTGGCTGGCTGGATGCAGCATGCAATATACGCACACATGACCCCACTCTGTCATCCATCCGCTCCCTATCCGCCATGTGCCCCCCCCACACCCGCACCTCCCCCTCCCTCCCCCCCTAGGCTGTCCGGCTGCTTGACGAGCTGCCTGCCGCGCTGCTGCCGCGCCTGCCCACACTGCCCAACCGGGAGCTGTGCGGCCTGGTGTCGGCATTCGCAACGGCGCGACACCACCACCGGGTGAGAGGAGAGGAGGAGCGGGGCGGGGTGGGGAGGAGCGGGGCGGGGAAGCTGACCCAGTCAGCTGATTGATTGAGGAAAGGGAAAGGGGAAAGGGGGCGGGCGGCGGGCTTGGAGGACCTTTGCAAAGGCCAGCAAAGGTCTTACCTTTGCTGACCGGGTCGGCAGGGAGGAGGTTTAGGCGCCCCCCACCCACCCCACCTGCCCTGCCCTGCCCTCCAACCCCCTCCCTCCGCCCCTCCAGGTGTTGCTGGAGGCGGTTGCCGCCGAGGTGCTGCCCCGCCTGCCCTCCCTCAAACCCCAGGTGGGTCGCGCATGGGTGACGGGGCGGGGACGGATGGCTGGCCGGCTGGATAGGTAACTTCTCAAGTGCACCAGCACCTCATCCGCCCCTCCTCCCCTCCCTCCCCACCTTCCCTCCCAGGAGCTGTGTATCGTGCTGTGGACATACGGCGCCTTCCACCACCGCCCCGAGCACCCCGACTTTGCACGGCAACTGGCGGGGGTGTTGTACGACCGGATGCCGCAGCTGAGTCCGCAGGGGCTGGCCATGACGGCCAAGGCGCTGGCGCAGCTGCGGTGGCGCAGCGGGCCGCTGTTGGCGCAGCTGGCGGGGGCGGCGGAGCGGCAGCTGGCGGGCTTCAAGTGGGTGGGGAAGCGGGGAGAGGGGAAGGCTTTCCTTTCGTGCCACTTCTCGTTGGTGTTCTTCATTCCGCCCTACCCCCCCTCCGCCCCGCACCGCAGGCCCCTGGAGATGTCGCAGCTGCTGTGGGGCCTGTCGCAGCTGCACTGCCCCGAGGAGGCCATCTTCCACGCCGTGGTGCGCCGCTGCATAGCCATACTGCAGGTGGGGTGGGGGGTGGGTGGGAGGTGCGTGGGGAGATGTGCCGTACGTGCTGCTGCCGTACGCAGTACTGCCCACACGTCCCCAGGTACTTGATGCCTGCCGTATCACCACCTACGTGCGTTTCTGGGTTTCTGAACTGACCTGGGCGGCCGCCGCGGACAGACCCGCATGTCGGGCGGGGGGGGGGGCCGCATGCGTGCGGGTCGGCAGGTGGGCGTGTTGCTGCTGGACCTAGTAGCCGGACCAACGTAGCCCCCAACCCAGTACCGCTAACCATGATACCCTCACATCTTACGAGTCATGGCACCCTCCCCGATTGCCCTGCTCGGCTGCCACCCTCCCCCCTACAGGACCAGCAGCACCCCCACTACGGCCACATGCGGCACCGCGTGGTCAACTCCATCATCGCCTCCTGCCAGCGCCGCGGCTTCATCCCCTGGCTGCTGCTGGACTTTGCGGAAAGCAAGGGCATCCGAGTGAAGCAGCCCTGCGGCCCGGACGCAAGACCGCTGGGGGGCGGAGGGTGCAGCGGCGTTGGCAGCAGCATCAGCGGCAGCGGTGGGGAAGCTAGTGGAGGTGTGGGTGTAGGTAGTGTGGGTGAGGTTGAGGGCGGCGGCGGAGGAGGAGGAGGAGGAGGAGGAGGAGGAGGAGGAGGGGAGATTTGGGTGGCGGAGTGCAGCAGCGATGGGGAGGAGGAGGAGGAGGCGGTAAGGGTGCTAGAACCGCCTCAGCAGCAGCAGCAGGTGGTGGTGCAGCAGCAGCAGCAGGTATGGCACTCGCCGCCGCCGCCGCAGCAGCAGCAGGGACAGGGGCAGGAACAGCAGCTGCATGACGACCCTAGCGTGGGCAGCAGCGGCAGCGGCAGCGCATGTGACCCCAGCGGCAGCCGGACCTCCCACACTGACACCGGCAGCAGCAGCAGCAGCCATGGCCTTGGTAGCAGCGATACCGGCGCTAACAGCAGCAGCAGCAGCAATTCCTTTAGCAGCAGCAGTACTAGCAGCGCCCCTAGCAACGGCAGCAGCAGCAGCAGCGGTGGGTTACGCTACCTGGGTGGGGCACCTGTGGGGCCGCTGCTGCCGCCAGTCGAACACGCCCTCGCTCCCCACCACCCCCACCTTCACGGCGACACTCCCGGCAGTGCCTACCCCCCGCACCCGCACCCGCAGCGCCCAACGGTGCACCTGGGGCCGGGTCCGCACCGAGAAGCGCAGCCGCAGCAGCAGCCGCAGCAGGGAGACCGGTCATGGCCCGGGCCGGGGCCGGGAGCTCCGGTGCATGGGGCGGCGGGCGGCAGGGTGCTGGTACCCCGGCCCGGCAGGTCGGTCCGGCCTCACATGGGGCCACCGGGGTTGCATGGGGGTGCTGGGGCGCTTCAGGCTGGTCCCGTTAGACCACCCACAGGAGTAGTGGTTGGTGGACCCATGGGTCAGTCCATGGCGTCTGTTTCCCAACCACTTTGGCCACCGGCTGTTGCGGCTCCTGTAGCTGCAGCAGCTGCGGGGCAATCGCAGCACCCACAGCTTCACCCCAACCAGCAGCCGTATGGTGGAGAGATGCTGCCCCAGCCGCCCCTGCCTGAGGGGCCTATCGGGGCTGGGCAGTCGCTCCCACCCGCTATGTTCGAGCCCTCGTCGCAGCAGCAACAGCAGCAGCAGCAGCTGGATCAGCCACAAGTGCTGCGGCGACCCAATGCGGCCGCTCATCCCTCGCCCAGGGATGCTGTGCTGCTACACCCGCCCCCGCAGCCCCCTCTCGGCCGCATGCAGGCACCGGATCAACGGCGGGAGGTCCAGCAGCAAGGCAACCGGCATGAGTGCTCGCTTCAAACACAGTGCCCGCAGCAGCAGCAGCAGCAACAACAATATCCCCCCCTGCAGCAGCAGCAACAGCTTGGGTTGCCATGTGGCCCTGTTCATCCTCATCAAGGGTTGCCAGCACAGCAGGTGCAGCAACAGCAGGAGCAGTTACAGCAGCTGCAGCAGCCAGTGGTGGCAGCGGAGGAGCCCCTGGGCGAGGACGTCGGGGGCGGCAGTGCCCCTCCGACCTGCGGGGCTGCTCCCCACCATCACCACCCCCACCACAAGGACAGGGACATGGACGGCAGCAGCTGCTGCGTTGGAACCAACGGCAGCAGCATGGGGGGGAATGACACGGCGGCGTTGAACGGTGGGTGCAGCAACGGGGCTGATGTGGTTGGTATGCCGGTTGATCAGTTGACGGAGGCCGGGGAGGCAGTGGCAGCGGCGGCGGTGGTGGTGGCGGCGGGGTGTCAATCGGCGCACAAGCGCCCGCGGGCTCCGGCTGCCGGTCTCCATTCCGACGCCCGCTTGTAGCAGGTGCTGTTGCGCGCACAGCAGCAGTCGTTATGCCTGCGGAGGGGCAGTGGGGCAAGAAGCAAGGGCGAGTGCGGGTGTGCGTGCTAGCGGTACGCACTGGGTGGGCACTGCGGCAACAGGTTACCCAAATGGCGCTTTTTGCGGCAAGCTAGCTGCGCGCGTGCAGGCATCAGTGTAGCGGAGAGAGGTGCGCACATGCGTGTAGGAAACGGCGCGCAGTCACCGGGTTGAGATCTTGGGGAGCTGTCCGGCCGCTGAAAGGCGGGATGCGTTGAAGATGAGTTGGAGAGGGGTGCGCTGAAGGAAAAAAGCAGGTTAGGACAGGGCAGCGGAGAGGAGAGGAATTGCGTGATGTGTCTTTTAGGTGTTGCAGCATGCGTAACGTTGAAGAGGTGTATGCCGGCGTGGTGGATTTGGGTGGTGCTACTGGTGCTGTATTCGCAGTGTGCCATGGCCGGTTGGGAGGGTAGTGTTTCAGTGGTATCGAAATACCCCGGAACTAGATGGGTGATCGATTTAGACAGGCTTAATCATGGTGAGAGGAGGTAGCTTGCTAAGGAATTAGCGGAGCCGAAAACAGAGAAGAACGTCTTCTTGTCCAGGGCGACGATGGGGTAACAGCATGCCGGCCCGGGTTATGCCTTATGCGCTCAGCTGCAGCTCCCAGAATTCAACTGGTTTAAGACCGAGCAGGATATGCACTTCGTTGACCCGTTGTAGATAAGTCACTAGGTTAGTGTTTGGCGGTTGGTTGTTACATGTGGTGGTGGTGGTGTGCTAGCTAGGTCAATTGGAACGCGGCGGCTGCCGTTCAAAGAGTCAACGAAGGTTAACAGGTAACGGCAATGGAGGGGTTAGCGAGAGTAAGCTTTTTGCCCCGGAATAATCATTGCCCGTGTTTTGGGAGACCGCTGACTGCTTGCCGGTGCATGCACAGCGCAATGCGCGGAGCAAGGACAGACCCATGGGTCATGTGGCCTCAACCTAGATGTGGACGATAATGCTCGTGAACACCCGTGCGCAAGTCGTTACACTGGCGCCCTGACAGCAGCCTCTCAGGCCCTGCTGTGTAAGTGTAAGGCCCTGTTGAGGGCTTCTGAAAGGCACGGCCCATATTTCACTCCCTGCTCAGCCTCCATGACTGAAAATTCCGCATCACCTGCAGCAGCATAGCTATAAGCACTATCTCCTGCACTACCGCATCCTCGGGGCCCCTGCGTGCGTGCATGCATGCATGCCGCCCTCCTCGGGACGCACCAGCACGAACGTCAATGAACGCCTCCAGGGCAATGAACGCTCGCCCGAGACTCCTGCTTCCATCCTCTCGTTCTCGCACCATGCCCTTAGCTAACTCGACTTCACATACAACCCATACACGCATACGCCCGATGCCTACTGCACGCAACATGTCCTCTCAGCCTTCAATGACTAGCAATCAGAAGCCAAATGCAAGTCAAAGCCACATATGAGTGTTCCGGTCGCCGGCAAACAGCCAAGGTGCGGCTTCCGTGCAAGTTTAGTATTGTCAAAAGGACCGCAGCTTTCCAAATGCAAGAAAAGTTGAAGGTACGGAAGCTACCGGTATGGAAAGTGCTTCCAAGACTGTCTTGAGTCAAGCCACATTAGAAAAAGGACGCTTCCGCACAAGGCCATGTACTACATGCCACGGCAATGCGAAGTCTCACTGAAACGCGTCAGAAGGCTCACAACAAAGAGTCGGCCGTAGGCCTGCGCGAAAACAAGCAAGCAAGCTGCCCACTGCCACCTTGGTACACAGTGAGGGTAAGTTAAGAGCTACGTAAAAGGCCAGGAGGGTGCGAAACCACAGTTCGAGATAAACATAAACACAAACGACTGCCTGCGTGTCATATGCAAGCTATATGCCTGGCAAACAACTCTGCGGCCCCCTGCAATCCTCCAAGCCCTCTGCTCCCTCTCCCCGGGTCCCACAGCATCTACCCGCCGCTACCACTTCACAGCCACCGACACTTCCGACATGTAGCTTCCTAATCCTTAAGCCAACCCTCCTAAGCATCTATTAGAGAATAATTGATGTCCCAGGTCTAATTCATCTTGCAGCTAATTAACACAACGCAGCGGAGCATCCTTGCTAGCCTAACTCCAGCACCGACCAGGTCACGTGAACCAGTCCGTGTATGTGCCGCGTACTGTGCCACCGTAAGGATCTCAACTAGCTTGCAATGGGCTACAACCGCATGCCACCTCTGATTCTACGTTGGCTTCCTGGGCTCCACGTGTCCCTCGTCAGCCCCAGTGCACACCGTGAGCATGCGCGGGTGATTCCGTACACCGTCTCAGCACCACACGTTGCGAGATCGGCTTCAGATCGGCACGCGCCACAAACCAGACAACAAACCAGACGGACACGCCTAAACCAGCAGCAATCACCTAACTGTGTTCCTATCTGCGCACAAAGCATTGCCATCTGCATTTAAGGCTAACTAGCAAGAAATGTCTAGTTGATAACACTAACTACTGGACGTGCCCAGTTACTGCCCTCCTGGTTGGTCGCAAGGTGAAGGCAGAGGTGATGCCGTAAAGCCCAAAGCACCCGTGGTTCCGGAGCTGTACGACGTGGAGGTGGTGGCGGCGCTGCTGCTGCTAAGGGCCGGGGAGAATAGAAAATACGCCGCATCGGGTGAAGCACAGGCGCTACTCGATGAACCACCATTTGCGAGGAAAGAAGGAGTAAATATAGAAGAGGAGGACGAGGACGAGGAAGTAGAGCGCATGCCACCTCCGTCGACGGCGCTGCCACCGCCACTGTTGTTGTTGCTGTTGCTAGGAAGGCTGCTGCTGTTGCTGCTGTCACTGGTACTAGTGGAAAGGGTCAAGCCGCGCTGCCGTGCGAACTCCCGGAGCGCCCGCGAGTGCGAGGAGAGGTCCTGCTGCAGGGACGCCGCCGCCGCTGCCGCCGCCGCCACCAGTGCTGCCGCCGACGGGTATCTGCCCCGCCCGGCAGCGCTAGACTCCTTGCATGTGCTGCTGCTTACTGCCCCCACTGCCTCAGCCTTTGCTGGTGATCCGGGTCGCAATGCAATGTTCACATAGATGTCTGCCTCAGCACCTTCAGAAAGCCCCTTCGCCTGCTCGTCGCGCTCCTCCTGCTGCTGTTGCACTAAAGCATCCCCCGAGCAAGCCTCCTCTCTTTCTTCCTCCTCCCCATCCCATGTGCGCATCTCGCTGCCTGCACGGTAGCCCGGCTGCTGCTGGTGGTGCTGTGGCTGGCGCTGCGCCGGCTGTCGGCCCACTTGCAGGCGGCCCCCACAGCTCCTGTCGCCGCCGCCGCCTCCATCGGCGGTGCCTATCGACACGGCATGCATGGAACTGTGACTTCCGATGCTGGTATTCATGCCCAGGCAGGAGGGCCGGCGGGATGGGGCGGTCTGGTGTGGCTGCTGGCCGTGATGCTGAAGCTGCAGGTGTAGTAGAGAAGGCGGGGTCAGGGGAGAAGGGAGCTGATGATGTGGGTGGGCTGGTGACGGTGAGGTGGCGATGGTGAGGTGGTGGGCCCCCGGGACCTGCCGCTGCTGCTGCAGATCTGCCGCAGGAGAGGCAGCTGTGGGCGCCTGGATTTTCAGCGCAGGTCTTTTAGCAGCGGTAGCAATGGTGATGGTGGTGATGGGGGCCGCAGCCTCAGCTGGAGCAACAGCAACATCAGGCGTGGCGCCGGGCGTAGCCAGGCGGCTGGTGCGCCTAGGCCTGCCTCGTGGCATGCCTGCCAAAAGTGGAGAAGAAGGGCAGCTGCTGTTCGGACTGTTGGTGGCGGTGCTACCAACCGGGGAGTTGTTTGTAGACGGAGTGTGCGCTCGTAGCCTGCGTTCAAGCTCCTGTTCCCAGCGGGACGGGAGCTGCTGATCGTGCACTAAATGTTGCTGAAGGAGGTTCTCGAGCGCTTCACAAGTCAGGAGAGGGGGCAATCGTGAGCACGATGGTTGCAAGTTGTGTGAATTTCCCGCGATCCACTTGCTCATGTTGCAAGCTGTTCCGGCTGTGGCATAGGTAAGAGTGGAAGGAGCGGGCGAGCCGTTAGCCGAGGGGGCCGGCTCCAGCGACAAAGTTTGAGCGCCCGCGTTCGATTGCTGGAGCTGCTCCGCTCGCCTTAAATGCACACGAAGCCGCTCAGCCGCTTGTCGCCCTATAACATGTAATTCTTCCACAATTGACGACTTTGCGCTTGCAAGGTCGTCCCGCGTTAGCGGTCTGGCAGGAATTGTAGCTGCCATCCAGCAGAGCTTTGCGCCCCCGTGCAATAGGCAATACCGGGGTAGGGAAGAACACCAAGCTGATTTAGTTCATATGCGGCTTTCCTAGCACCACTTGGCTTCCACTTGGGCCCGCTTGGAGGACGTTACAGTAGTAACTGCGGTACTCGTAGAAAGCTGCTATGCATAAGCGCCTATGGTGTTATAAAGTTGCCGTTGCACAAGAGCGCGCTAAGGGCTGCTCTGCGAACGTCGGCAAGGTTCTGGGATAAGGCCGCTTACGAAGGTGCTACTAAGGGTCGCATCGCCGATTTACCGTTTGTCGCTCCTTTGACATAGCATATGGATGGGTAAATAGCTGTAAGTTGTCTCGGGTAGCTTTGGATCAACACAGACAAGACCGTCGAAACGACAGCTACAGTGTAGTACCTCACTGCTGCCACCAACTGCTAACACACAGAAGGCGAAATTGTTGGCTGCTAAATACATTCGCGTAGCTGGCTAGTACCTGGCACTAGTCTCCTTAGGAGTAAGTTCTGGACATGCCCATGTCGAGACATGCTCATGTTACCCGCTTGTTCAAGGATGGATTGCATCCCAAGAATGGTTTCATCCCTGTATTCGTTCAAGGATGGATTGCATCCCAAGAATGTTTTCATCCCTGTATTCGTAAGGTAAACATATTACAAGAGAAATGAAGTGTCTCTTATAAACGTTACTTGCCCACGGTAGTGAAACTACCACCTCCAGTACAGTACAGGAACACATGGGGCCATGGCATTCGCAATGTCCAAAGGCTACATGTCAGTAAACGCTGCTGCAGCAAATTAAGCCATTTGCCCAAGAAGAGGGGCAACAAGGAAACAAATTCACGCGTGGGTTTCAGTAACCCTCCCAAGCACCAGCATCCAGCAAAACTTGCGGCACAAGCAACCTACGTGCCCTTACATCTCTCAGCTATCGTACGCGATTATACGTCTTCCCAACAAGCCAAAACAGTCACAGCATGTTTCAGGCAGCGCCAGCACCCATACAAAACTACCCAGCTCATTTCGCATCAACAAAATCCGCAATCCAATGCATATAACAACGCAACCTCACCATATGAAATAACGCACCGCCCGCCGCAAAAGCACACCACCGTACATTGGATCCCGTTCGTGCTGAGCCCCAAGTTACCACATTGGGGGCAAGGTGCATGAACGTCAAGGAATGCCGTGAGGAAGATACAGCCCAACTAAGCATCCAACAAAAAACCCCTCGCATAGATAACGGCGGTGAGCTTGCCTTAACGCATAGAAGCAGCACAGATAGCACACGTTCGGCTCGCGCTTTAGGCATGGATTTTCACCTCGCCGCGCGCCACACGCTCTCGCACCAGGTGGTGGTGCACGTCGATGTGCTTAGAGCGCACCGATGTGATGTGGTTGTTCGCCAGGCTGAGGGCTCCCTGCGAGTCCAGCATGATGGTGATGGTCTTACGTGGCAGCCGTAGGTCCGCTGCCAGGTGACGCAACCAGAGTGCCTCTCGTACGGCTGCTGCAGCTGCCTGATACTCCGCCTCCACTGATGATGCCGCCACGGTACGCTGCAGCTGGCTGCTCCAGCTCACAGCTGCGCCTCCTAGCGAGAAGACGTAGCCCGTGGTGGACCGGCGCGTGGCAGGGTCGCCAGCCCAATCTGAGTCGCTGAAGCCAGTAAAGCCGCTGATGTCGCCATCACTGCCAAACCGCAGACCTAGCGCCCGAGTGCCAGAGAGGTAGCGCAGCACGCCCAGAGCCAGAAACTTTCAAAACGCACGCCCCTCGAGATGAAGGGGCGAAGACAAAAACCCTATTCAGCCCATCAGCGTGCACAATAGTCGTAGTGCCCAAAGCACCCAAGCCAATACACTACACCGCACGAGCTTAGCAGTATTCCACCAAACAAAACTATGTATGGCGCAATTCAAGCAGCAGCACCCCTTGGCTCCCATGCACACCCCCACATTCATCTCAGACCAGTGGAAACCCCAAACGTCATGGTCGTCTGATCCCTCATCAATAACTTACCCCAAACCCCTTTCCCCTACCGCGGCCCTCCCGCCCCTTACGCCGCCTTCTTCACAGCCGCCGCCGCCGCGCCGCTGCTGGCCGCCACCGACACCACCGGCTTGGGCGCCAGCGATGGCAGGAACACCGCGCGCAGACCCTCCGTCCAGATGATGGGGAAGATGATGCGGCAGGCCACCGCCAGCAGCGCCGCCGCCATGTAGAGACCGCGCAGGGAGGGGCGCGGCAGCAGCAGCCGCCCCACGCCAAACAGCGCCACCATGAAAAAGTGCTTGACCAGCACCGAGGGGCGCGGGTTGAGGCCGGAAAGCAGCGAGATGGGGCCCTGCGCGCAGATGCCGCCCAGGGCGAGGTAGTCGAAGCAGGCCTGGCGCATCTCCTCGTGGGCGGGCTCGCCTGGGGGAGGTGGAGGGGAAGTGGAGGTGGAGGGTAATGAGAGGTGAAGACAGTTGAGGGAGGTGATAGGGTGGAGGGTGGTATTTGTAGGGTACCCCCAACCCCTCCCCACCACCTCCAACTCACCCGAGTACCGAAACACCTTGTACAGCGCATTCGCCAGTGTGTTGATGGTGGCGCTCAGCGGCTTGCGGCGCGTGTAAAAGTCCGCGGTACGCTGCGCGGTGGCCAGCGCGTCCCCCAGGCTGGGCAGCGGGCGCAGCATGTCCACCAGCAGCGCGCAGTCGGAGAGCGCCACCGTCATGCCACCGCCGGTGAGCGGGTGCCGCATGTTGAAGGCGTCGCCCAGCAGCAGGGCGCCGGGCTGGTGCAGGGGCGTGGCGGGGAGCAGCTTGTTCTGCAGGGGGGGGAAGGGAGGGGAGGGAGGGGGGGGATATAAACGTGCAGTAACGGGAATCCCGAGGCGGAAGGGGGAGGGGGATGGCGTGCTGTGGACAGGAGAGTGATTAGAGGGTAGGGAATGTCCGTGTCGCCACATGCATGCATCCTGTTCCGCCCGTCTGTTTCGCCTCCAGCCACCGAGCACCATCTCTCGAACCCCTGCTCTGTGCTTATACTCTATCCTACCGAGGCCCCCTTCCCCCTTCCCACTACAGTGTCGGGATGCGGGATTGGGACTCCAGTTGCTTCACTTTCCAACTCTTTTCTCCCCTCCCCATGGTCTTTGTTACTTGCTTCCCCCCTTCCCCCCCTGCCTCCCACCTGCATGCTCCTGATGGCCTCCGGCTTCTCCAACGCCTGCAGGAAGGGCTGCCGCAGCGGCTCGGGCAGCTGCGGCACCACCGTGGCCCGCAGGTAGGCGGGCAGGTCGGAGGGGAGCCGCTCGCCGGGGACGTCAACCAGACACCTGGCGGGGAGGAGGGGAAGGGGGAAGGGGAGGGGCAGGCAGAGAGGATTTGAAGCATGAGACATGTGGCAAAGCGAACAATGCACAACAGGTCATGACGCACCCCTCGTTCCACCGGGCCTCCCACCTGACTTCATTGGGGCTGATGGGGTAGAAGAGGATGGGCGAGGGCTTGGCCAGCACCACATGCCCGTGGTTGGGCACCGGCAGCTGGCAGTTGGGCAGCAGCAGCGCCACGAAGAAGCTGGGGTGGACCGGCTGCATGGGGGGGAGGGAGGGTGGGGAGGAGGAGGGGAAAGAGGGAAGAACATGAGGAGGGGGGAGGGAAGGTGGGGGGCGTAATGTTGATAGCAGTGCCCGCAGTCTCTGCTCTCCTGCGCCCCTGCTGCCACACCATGTTATCAGGGCCTCGGGCTGATACCGAGGTCCTGATTGATAGTAGCCCTCCGTCCTTGGCCCCGCCAAGTTCAAGTGCTGAATATCCACCTTCCACCCTCTTAATTCCCATCCCGTAGGGTACATTCCTAATCCCCCTACCGTACATTCCCAAACCCCTTACAGTGGATGAGGACAGGTGCTTGCGCAGGTTCGAGTACATGCCGTCGCATACAATGGTCAGGTGCGCGCGGGCGGAGCGGTCGCAGGGCGCCGCCCCCTCGCCTGCCGGCAGGTGTCGGTACACCACCCCCGTCACCACCTCGCCCTCCTGCCACTCGCCGCCCTTGTCTGCAGGGAGGGTGCGAGGAGGGGGTGCGGGGAGGTGAGGTGAGGGGAGCAGGCGGCGCCCGCAGAAGTGGTTGCTGACGCGCTGCAGGCGGGCGCTGCGGTCCGTCAGTGCTTGCTTGGTCTGCTGCTGGTGGTCGGCGAGTGGGTCAGGGGATTGCGAAACCGTCGCGCGAACGACCCCCTGCCAAACTGTGTCGAGTATAGTGCACTTTGCCTTTCGTCTAGCTCAATCTGTCCCCCCCCCCAAACTCACTAGCTCCTCCTCATGCACGGCCAACAGCCCCATAAGGCCCCCCCTCCTCACCGTTGACCAGCTTCTTGACCAGGCCCTGTCGTACAGTGACACTGGGGCAGGAGGCGGCAGCCACCCGCAGCTTCTGAATGAAGCGACCTGCTCTCAAGGACGTCGGGGTGGGCAGCATGGGAGGAACAGCGCCAGCAAGGCCTTAATCGACCGACCCGTGGGCCACATAAACCCGTAAAAACTCAGCGCACATTCTTGGTGGCCTTCGGTTGCTTCGGTGGCATTCGGTTCCCGCGTACAATCCCGTCCCTTTTCCATGAACCTTTCTCCATTGCTCCGTCCCTTCAAGCCAGCAAACAATCCTTATTTCCCAGCCCACTCTTCACTCCTTCCCACTCCCCACCCCTTCCCGGGCCCCACCGTGGTGGAAGCTGCGCCCCGTCACGTCCGGCGTGTACCCCTCCAGCGGGTAGTGGATCACCGCCTGCGTGTCGCCCTTGAACAGGGCGTAGCCGTACACCTGAGGCAGGGCCGGTAGAGCAGGGGGTGCAGGGTGAGGTTCAGGGTGATACATCATCTGGCCCGGGTAACAAGGGAGGGTTGGTACGACAAGGGGCGCCTCAGTACCCATGCATGTCCCCAACCCACATCAGCAGCCTGCATCCTGACCCACATCGCCTCAATCGCCGTGCAGCCCGGGTCTTGCTACCCCCAAGCCCACCTCGGACCATGAATCCCACTCGAACCAGCTAAGAGACTGACTCACACTCGCACTGACCCCATCCTATACCCGCCCAAAGCACCTCTTCGCACCCCAACTTAGATCACCAGCCATCACCCTAACCCAAATCACGTCACGCCAAAACAAACTCGCCAGGAAACGTCCCAAGGCTAACAAGCCTGCTCACGCTAACCGCACTGATATTGCACCCTCCCTAGGAAGCCCTCCAGCCTTGCTCCAAACCTCATTAAACCACAAAGACCTCAACGTACCCCCAGACCCAACTCACATTGACCGCATCAATGCCGTCCAGGCAGCCCTCCAGCCCCAGCTTCTTGAGCATCAGGTATCCGCCCGGCTGCAGCAGCTCCCCCACAATACGATCGGGCTGGGTCAGGTCGCGCTCAATCATAAGCACGCGGCGACCGTCCTGAAGGGGAGGCGGGGGAGGAGGCGGAGGCGGGATGGCACATGGGGATGGCGGTAAGGAAAGAGGCAAGGGAGGAAGGCACAGGGCTGATGGGTTGGAACGAGGATGAGGCATGAAAAGGAGAAAACGGAGCCGGGAGGGAAATTGCGGCCGAGTGTGGGCCTCGCGGACGCAACCGCGCCGCAACCTAAGTCTGTGGTTTAACATGGATGCTTCCCAACCCTACCAACCCACCTTAGCCTGGGCGTACGCCAGAGCACATCCCGCAACTCCTCCGCCCACGATAACCACATCCCAAATCTGCGTTATGGCAGACCAAAGGAGGAGGAGTCCGGAGTGCCCGGAGTACATGGTAATGCACATGAGCCAGGTGGCGGCACTTGATCGAGCGCGCGGGGGGCGCACCAGCTCCATACTTCAACCGGTATCGGACTTCAAGAGATACAAATTATGACATGCTCCCAACCAGACGTCGAATGTTAGTCGAAGGAAAGCGCGCGCAAAGGAGGTACAGTCCATACCGCTGAACATGCGCACCTCTGGATCGGACGTCAGGTCGTCGTTCGATGGGATTGGAGGCAGAATCATTGTGTCCTCATGGGACGTCAACGTAGAGGTTGTGCACATTGTGCTTGCCTGACAGAATTCGGTGGTGCTGCTTGCAGATTCGTAGGCTACTCACGAACGGACACCCTCAGGCCTGCCACCGACGCGTCTAAAATAGCTCTTGATCGACAGCCTTAGGTCGGGTCCTAACAACTAAATCGCTGGTGAAGTCACGCAAGTAAGTGCCGCGGCAAGCGTTTCAAAGGGCTCGTTGGCACTGGCCCAGTTAAGTTAATATATGGTGTTGCCTGCATAAAATACCTCACTGTATGGTTGAGACAAGCCTACATAAGGCTAAAAGGGCGGGAGACAGCGGCGGTACTTCATGTTACGGCCCGGCGTGGCACGATTTGGGCGCCCAAATCCAAGGACAACAACGACTCCTCGGCTTTCAGAGCATAACCAGGCATCTTACACTCCTACCAAATAGCGCCTACAATACTCTGTAATCTGTCTCTTTTCGCGGTGTAGTTTGTTGCACTACCGTAGACGCTATGGGTGGAATTGGAAAACGCAAAGTAGGCGGAGACCACAAACATCGTAAAACATATAAACAGCAAAGGCGCGGCGTGTTCCAGGAGCGTCACATCGACCAAGTGTGGGAGGACGTCAGGAAGCCGCCAGCGGTCGTTCATGACGGGAAGACTGGCCCTTTAGGCACAACAGCAAAGTGGGTCTTACGTAAAGCAGTTTGTGGGCATGGGCTCGGCGGCGCAGCCATGCGGAGCAAAAGTAACATGAATATCCCCTCCTGATCGGCGTTCGCAGGTCGGAGCTTGACGAGGACGTTCCAGGGTTCGGAAAGCACTATTGCATTCCTTGCGGGTCAGTAGGCTTTTGTTTCTGCGGTAGCTTCAATGACGTGAGGCGCAACATGTTCCTGTAGCCGGCGAGCCAATCCATGTACCGTCATACTTAAGTTACGACACCAATGCTTTCGCCTGATTGGCCGACTTAGCGACCTCGCACCGTACGGTATAGGCACCCGAGCATCCGTGCCCATCCGCTCTTGCCTCCAGCCACTAGTTCTCCACCGCACCCCGTTGCACCTCCTTGATCATCGCCCCTCCAACCACACGACCCGACTTCTCGTAACACCTGCTACAATCCGCACATGCCTCCTTCCTGTTCCTTCACACGCCACCACCCACGTGTTCCACCGACCCCACCCCCGCACCCCGCCTGCCCTCCTAACCCTTTCCAATCCACCACCCCCCTTACTTCTCCTCCTTCCTGTCCTCATCCTCCTCCTTCCCCACACCTGCAGCAAGTATTTCAACTCCGCCACAGCTCTCGCCAGCCACGAGAGTGAGCGGCCACACAAGCGGCGAGTCAAGCTGCTGAACACCACTCCGCGGCCGCACAACCAGAGGGACGCGGAGGCGGCGGCAGGCATGGGTGCTCCGGACAACGGACCCAAGCTTAGAACGGGTGCGGCGGCTGGGGCGGCTGAGATGGACGAGTAGCCTGGGACAGGAGTACACAGGATTGCCTCGTATAGGACGTAACGGCAGGAGAGGGAGCTCCTGCTGAAGGCGGGAGGTGGTTTGGGGCAGCTGCTTCAGTCTGGCAGCCTTGACAGGATGATGCTGCAGTGGTAGATGGGAGCTGGTTTAGGGGGCAAGGGGGAGACAGAGGTAAAGGAAGGGAAGGGAAGAGCGGGGAGTGAGGAGTAGTGTACATAGAGGCGTTGGCGGGGTTGCTGTGGGGCTACTAGGTCGGCTAGTCATTGGCAGGGATCCCCCCTGTGTTGGTCATCCGCATGGTCACTTGCAGGCGCAGCTTTAGGGTGTGCTGCGGGGGTTACCGGTGCCTTCATGGAGCCATCTGTCCATGTAGTAAGGTTTATGTAGTATGCGAGGCGCCTTGCATGGGCACATACAGGCCCGCCCCGAAAACCGTCGTGTTTGCACCCCCAACAAGTTATCCTCTGACTTGGATCGCGGTTTGTTGCGCTGCGTTGCGGGTCTCACGGATGTCAAGGGGCAAAGATTGGTTTGGTTTGCACGCGTCGGGAGCTGTTGCTCGCAACATGGTTAGTCGCGGGACGTGGTGAGGGAAACCGATAAGAAGGTTGTGGGCGTGGGCTGCCTTGCCAATAAGCAAAACGGTTGTTTCGAGTAAAGGGGGCTTTCGTTTTGGCAGAGGTTTGCGCTATGCCGTGTATCATTAGTTGACCCCAGGCGTTCGGGCGACATAAGGAGATGACGGACGGCTAATGTGACGGACAAGTGTGCCACTAGACACACTTGTGGCAGACACGGTGTGTGGCAATGAATGACTGACGGTTACAGTGATCCCAAACCAGAAGGCAAGGGAAAGCGGACGGTGCCCTGCCCTGAGTTGCAAGGAAAAGGGCAGAGCCCCGAGCAATGGTGGCATGATTTGAAAACGCTGGCCCTTGCGAGGCGGGTACAGCTTGGAGCTATGGTAGAAGTATATCGTACCTCCCAGTGATCATCATTATTTAGGACAATGTGCATTATTACTATATATAATTGGTCCGGGGCCTGCGCGTTAATTAAAAAATTGCCCATGGCGTGGCCACCAGTGCATGCTGACTCGAAATTCCGGGTTTCGCTCTTTTCCTGGCCCCATCTATACCTGCACCTCCTCTCTGATCCTTACTCTGCTTTCCGATCTTTTTAGTATAAGCTTTAGGCTAATACAATACTACTTTAAAGGCTGCGCGAAGTGGAAAATAATTGCTCAGACCCCTGCGCGATATAATGAATAATCCCTTACAGCGCTGCGCGTTATGATAAATAATCCCTAAATTTCCTGGTACACGGTGATCAGACACAGGTACGGTAGCTATATGCTAATTCTGTTCAATTCACCCGCCGACCTGGCACCCGCCGACCTAGCACCCGCCGACCTGGCACCCGCTGACCTAGCACCCGCCGACCTAGCACCCGCCGACCTGGCACCCGCCGACCTGGCACCCACCGACCTAGCAGCCGCCGACCTAGCAGCCGCCGACCTGGCAACCACCGACCTGGCACCCACCGACCTGGCACCCGCCGACCTAGCACCCGCCGACCTAGCACCCGCTGACCTGGCACCGGCCGACCTGGCACCCGCCGACCTGGCACCCGCCGACCTGGCACACGTCGACCTAGCATCCGCCGACCTAGCACCCGCCGACCTGGCACCCGCCGACCTAGCACCCACCGACCTGGCACCCACCGACCTGGCACGCGCCGACCTGGCACCCACCGACCTAGCAGCCGCCGACCTAGCAGCCGCCGACCTGGCAACCACCGACCTGGCACCCACCGACCTGGCACCCGCCGACCTAGCACCCGCCGACCTAGCACCCGCTGACCTGGCACCGGCCGACCTGGCACCCGCCGACCTGGCACCCGCCGACCTGGCACACGTCGACCTAGCACCCGCCGACCTAGCACCCGCCGACCTAGCAGCCGCCGACCTGGCACCCGCCGACCTAGCACCCGCCGACCTAGCACCCGCCGACCTAGCACCCGCCGACCTGGCACCCGCCGACCTAGCACCCGCGAACCTAGCACCCGCGAACCTAGCACCCGCCGACCTAGCACCCGCCGACCTAGCACCCGCCGACCTAGCACCCGCCGACCTAGCACCCGCCGACCTAGCACCCGCCAACCTAGCACCCGCCGACCTAGCACCCGCCGACCTAGCACCCGCCGACCTAGCACCCGCCGACCTAGCACCCGCCGACCTAGCACCCGCCGACCTAGCACCCGCCGACCTAGCACCCGCCGACCTAGCACCCACCGACCTAGCACCCGCCGACCTGGCACCCACCGACCTAGCACCCGCCGACCTAGCACCCGCCGACCTAGCACCCACCGACCTTGCACCCGCCGACCTAGCACCCGCCGACCTAGCACCCACCGACCTGGCACCCGCCGACCTAGCACCCGCCGACCTAGCACCCACCGACCTGGCACCCGCCGACCTAGCACCCGCCGACCTAGCACCCACCGACCTGGCACCCGCCGACCTAGCACCCGCCGACCTAGCACCCGCCGACCTGGCACCCGCCGACCTAGCACCCGCCGACCTGGCACCCACCGACCTAGCACCCACCGACCTAGCAGCCGCCGACCTCGCACCGGCCGACCTGGCACCCGCCGACCTGGCACCCTCCGACCTAGCACCCACCGACCTGGCACCCACCGACCTGGCACCCGCCGACCTAGCACCCACCGACCTGGCACCCACCGACCTAGCACCCGCCGACCTGGCACCCGCCGACCTGGCACCCGCCGACCTAGCACCCACCGACCTAGCACCCGCCGACCTGGCACCCACCGACCTGGCACCTGCCGACCTGGCACCCGCCGACCTGGCACCTGCCGACCTAGCACCCGCCGACCTGGCACACGCCGACTTAGCACCCGCCGACCTGGCACCCACCGACCTAGCACCCACCGACCAGGCACCCGTCGACCAGGTCGAACCTAGCACCCGCGAACCTAGCACCCGCCGGCCTAGCACCCGCCGACCTAGCACCCGCCGACCTAGCACCCGCCGACCTAGCACCCGCCGACCTAGCACCCGCCAACCTAGCACCCGCCGACCTAGCACCCGCCGACCTAGCACCCGCCGACCTAGCACCCGCCGACCTAGCACCCGCGAACCTAGCACCCGCCGACCTAGCACCCGCCGACCTAGCACCCGCCGACCTAGCACCCACCGACCTAGCACCCGCCGACCTAGCACCCGCCGACCTAGCACCCGCCGACCTAGCACCCGCCGACCTAGCACCCGCCGACCTAGCACCCGCCGACCTAGCACCCGCGAAACTAGCACCCGCCGACCTAGCACCCGCCGACCTAGCACCCGCCGACCTAGCACCCGCCGACCTAGCACCCGCCGACCTAGCACCCGCCGACCTGGCACCCGTCGACCTAGCACCCGCCGACCTGGCACCCGCCGACCTAGCACCCACCGACCTAGCACCCACCGACCTAGCACCCGCCGACCTAGCACCCGCCGACCTGGCACCCGCCGACCTAGCACCCGCCGACCTGGCACCCGCCGACCTAGCACCCGCCGACCTAGCACCCGCCGACCTAGCACCCGCCGACCTAGCACCCGCCGAGCTGGCACCCGCCGACCTGGCACCCGCCGAGCTGGCACCCGCCGAGCTGGCACCCGCCGACCTAGCACCCGCCGACCTGGCACCCGCCGACCTGGCACCCGCCGACCTAGCACCCGCCGACCTGGCACCCGCCGACCTAGCACCCGCCGACCTAGCACCCGCCGACCTAGCACCCGCCGACCTAGAACCCACCGACCTGGCACCCACCGACCTGGCACCCACCGACCTAGCACCCGCCGACCTGGCACCCGCCGACCTGGCAGCCGCCGACATAGCAGCCGCCGACCTAGCACCCGCCGACCTAGCACCCGCCGACCTGGCAGCCGCCGACCTTGCAGCCGCCGACCTAGCACCCGCCGACCTAGCAGCCGCCGACCTAGCACCCGCCGACCTGGCAGCCGCCGACCTGGCACCCGCCGACTTAGCACCCACCGACCTGGCACCCACCGACCTGGCACCCGCCGACCTAGCACCCGCCGACCTAGCACCCGCCGACCTAGCACCCGCCGACCTGGCACCCGCCGACCTGGCACCCGCCGACCTAGCACCCACCGACCAAGCACCCGCCGACCTGGCACCCACCGACCTGGCACCCGCCGACCTGGCACCCGCCGACCTAGCACCCGCCGACCTGGCACCCGCCGACCTAGCACCCGCCGACCTGGCACCCGCCGACCTGGCACCCGCCGACCTATCACCCGCCGACCTAGCACCCGCCGACCTGGCACCCGCCGACCTGGCACCCGCCGACCTGGCACCCGCCGACCTTGCACCCGCCGACCTAGCACCCGCCGACCTAGCACCCGCCGACCTAGCACCCGCCGACCTAGCACCAGCCGACCTAGCACCCGCCGACCTAGCACCCGCCGACCTAGCACCCGCCGACCTAGCACCCGCCGACCTAGCACCCGCCGACCTAGCACCCGCGAACCTAGCACCCGCCGACCTAGCAGCCACCGACCTGGCAGCCGCCGACATAGCAGCCGCCGACCTAGCACCCGCCGACATAGCACCCGCCGACCTTGCACCCACCGACCTAGCACCCGCCGACCTGGCACCCACCGACCTAGCACCCGCCGACCTAGCACCCGCCGACCTAGCACCCACCGACCTGGCATCCGCCGACCTAGCACCCGCCGACCTGGCACCCGCCGACCTAGCACCCGCCGACCTGGCACCCGCCGACCTAGCACCCGCCGACCTAGCACCCGCCGACCTGGCATCCGCCGACCTAGCACCCGCCGACCTAGCACCCGCCGACCTAGCACCCGCCGAACTAGCACCCCCCGACCTGGCACCCGCCGACCTAGCACCCGCCGACCTAGCACCCGCCGACCTAGCACCCGCCGACCTGGCACCCGCCGACCTGGCACCCGCCGACCTAGCACCCGCCGACCTGGCACCCGCCGACCTAGCACCCGCCGACCTAGCACCCGCCGTCCTGGCACTCGCCGACCTAGCACCCGCCGACCTAGCACCCGCCGACCTGGCACCCGCCGACCTAGCACCCGCCGACCTAGCACCCGCCGACCTAGCACCAGCCGACCTAGCACCCGCCGACCTAGCACCCGCCGACCTGGCACCCGCCGACCTGGCACCCGCCGACCTAGCACCCGCCGACCTAGCACCCGCCGACCTAGCACCCGCCGACCTAGCACCCGCCGACCTAGCACCCGCCGACCTAGCACCAGCCGACCTAGCACCCGCCGACCTAGCACCCGCCGACCTGGCACCCGCCGACCTGGCACCCGCCGACCTAGCACCCGCCGACCTAGCACCCGCCGACCTAGCACCCACCGACCTAGCACCCGCGAACCTAGCACCCGCCGACCTAGCAGCCACCGACCTGGCAGCCGCCGACATAGCAGCCGCCGACCTAGCACCCGCCGACCTAGCACCCGCCGACCTGGCAGCCGCCGACCTTGCAGCCGCCGACCTAGCACCCGCCGACCTAGCACCCGCCGACCTAGCACCCGCCGACCTAGCACCCGCCGACCTCGCACCCGCCGACCTAGCACCCGCCGACCTAGCACCCGCCGACCTAGCACCCGCCGACCTGGCACCCGCCGACCTAGCACCCGCCGACCTGGCACCCGCCGACCTGGCACCCGCCGACCTATCACCCGCCGACCTAGCACCCGCCGACCTGGCACCCGCCGACCTGGCACCCGCCGACCTGGCACCCGCCGACCTTGCACCCGCCGACCTAGCACCCGCCGACCTAGCACCCGCCGACCTAGCACCCGCCGACCTAGCACCCGCCGACCTAGCACCCGCCGACCTAGCACCAGCCGACCTAGTACCCGCCGACCTAGCACCCGCCGACCTGGCACCCGCCGACCTGGCACCCG